ATCAAATCCAATCAATTTTTAAATTTTCTCCGCCATATTAGATCCGCCATTTTGAATTTTAAAAATCTGATGCCGGATTCGTGATCGCAGTAGCCTCAAAAACCCTCGAGTAACAAGTTTCATTGAAATTTGTTAAATTTACAATATGTTTGAAGCAAATCCATATGATTCTTTCATTTTTTTGGATGCGATATTAGATCCGCCATTTTGAATTTTGAAAATCTGATGGCTGATTCGTAATCAGCGACCCCAGAAACCACCGAGTAAAAAGTTTCAAGCCATTTCAACGTGCAGGCGAGCATCATTTTCAACTTATTGTTAACTTTGAAGTCGTTTTTCTTGAAAACTTGATTTCGGACGTAAGATCCCTTTTAACTGTCAAAGTCACATATTTATATTTTTGATGGAAAGAGAATTGAATAAAAAAGTATTATGATTATAATTGTGCATTTCATAATTTTGTTATTTCAATTTTAAAAAATTTTAAATGCTCAATTTATTTTGGATAGTCTATATGAGATATCCAATGCACAGAAAAAACCTGAATTCAAATTGAGTATAGATTCTATACTCAATTTGATTCGCAACAAAAATGAAACTGGTTGTTTCATTTTGAGAAAAAGAAAAATGGAAAAATATTGTGAAATAACGAATAATTTTGCACAAAAACATGAAATATAATAATTACAAAGAAGTAAATAACACGCTAGACTTAATATATTTGATTAAAAATTGCTTGTAATCGCGTAATAAAATAATAAAGGAAATATGTTTTTAGGTTAGAAAAATGAAAACATGCGTTTTGACAACAGGAACGGTACTGCCAACTTAAATAATAGCGGTAAATTTAAAAACTTATGAAATTAATTATTATCTACGTAAATAATAATAAATAATTTTTATTTAAAAACTTCTAAATATTCGTACTGGTCAAAATAATCTTTCTGGTGTTGTTGAAATATTAGAAACAATAATTGAAATACAAAATTACTCTGCTTATGATGCCAACTTAGAAATCTGAAATTCCAGCCAATATCATTTTGAATAACATGAAGTTTGTCCCATATTCATTTCGATACCCAAAAGAAAATGAGTTGCAACAAAAATGAGTCCAAGTTTTTTCTGTGTGTGAGATATACCGTCTCAGATACTGCGGGAAATCCCGTATAAGATATACCTGGGATATACAGCACAGGTTACCCACGGGATGGAAATTTGGATATCCTAGGGATATCCTTTTGTTGTATGGGCATTTTGACAAATTGGAAATTTGACACATGGAAAAAAGGGTGACGTGAACCTTTACATATTCAGTCCAAAATAAATTTTAATCTATACCTTTATATATTTTTTCTATATGTAAACTCGATAAGTTATAAAAAGACGAAAAAATTTTTTCATTGAAAAACGAAATACTTGTAGATGTTTGTATAAAAATATTAAACTGATTTTTATAATAAAAGGAGATCGTTGCGACATCTATTTTGTTACGATCGAACAGAACACTGCTGCAGAGGTAATAACATTGTGTTATCATGCTGCTGGTAGTGTAATCTTATTACCGACAGTAGGATATGGTAAGTTACCTAGTCGTCGCATTAAGAAAAAAAATAGGAAAAGAACTAGGCGCAATTGCGCCTACATCTAGGGTTTCGTGGCGCTTTAAATTTTAATTAAAAAAAAAATAAATCAAAAATAAATAATTTAAAAATAAATAATAAAATTTAATTAATAAATTTTATGTACTATTAAATTTTATTTATTTAGCAAAACTTTTATTATAAATTAATTATAAATTATAAAATATTAATTTCTATAAATTAATTCTCCCCCAGACAGTAAATTCGAAGAAAATCAAAAATTGGCAAAATCAAAATTCAAAAAGGTAAATGAAAGAAAAAAGAATGAGTGGCTGTGGAGTGGAGGTCTTTCTTCTATCATTTATCTTTTTTGATTCACAAACAAAAACATTAGGTAAAATGTCCATTCGATAATGTCCACTATTAAGACATGTCAACTATAGGGACATGTCAACTATTGGGACATGCCCAAAATACGAATTTGGGATCTGTGGGGCCCAAAAATTCGAATGTGGGAGCTATGGTGCCACAAAATTCGAATTTGGGATCTCTGGTGCCCCCAAAATTCGAATTTGGGATCTGTGGTGCCCCAAAAGTTTAATTTGGGATCTGTGGGGCCCCAAAATTTGAATTTGGGATCTGTGGGGCCCCAAAATTCGAATTTGGGATCTGTGGTGCCCCAAAAGTTTAATTTGGGATCTGTGGTGCCCCAAAATTTTAATTTGGGATCTGTGCCCTAATATTTGATTTTGGGAGCTGTGGTGCCCCAAAATATACTACGGACAGACGGACGCCAAAGTGAAACTATAAGGCTTTCGGCCATGGGCCACGAAACCCTAAAAAAGAATTTTATGATTGAAACATAAAAAAAAATTGTTTATAGCTGTACATTTATTAGGTTTTATAATAAAAGAATCACATTGAAAACATTTAGAGAATCCTATTTAAATTTAATTCAAATTGTATATTTTCCTGTAGAATGATAATAGGATTTATTTGAGTTGATAAAATCCTAATTTTTTGGATCACTGATTACGAATTAGATATGCTGGTTTTTCAAAATTCGATATGGCGGATTCAATATGGCCAAAAAAATTTCCAAATTGATCCAATTTACTTGAAATTCATTAGTCGGGGGTTTTCATTGTAACTAATTACAAATTTAATTTTAGATTTGCAACTATGGAGAAACTGAGAACCCCTGTGTAACGATATTTAAGCGAATCTGATAAACTTAAAAATATTCCGCCATATTAGATACGCCATTTTTAATTTTTAAATTATTTCCAAACTTTGTAGGAAAAACTTCCTATGGGGATTTTTTTTCAATTAAGATGCATCTTAACTGGAAATTTTTCCACGCAATTTGGAAAAATATTCGAAATTATTATAAGAAAAACTTCCTGTCAGTTAAAATTCCTCTATTTCAAATGGAATTTTTTCTGTGTACTTTGAAAAAATATCCAAAACTCTTAGGAAAAATTCCTCATCAGTGGAAAAATATCCGACCATAATTGGAAAATATTCCTCTCTTCCAATTGGAATTTTTTGAGAAATAATTTTCGTTTTATATGGAATAAGTATTTTTCCTTCTTTTTTGGATAGGGTAAATGTACTAATTGCGGCGCGATTCGAGTCAAAACATCTTTGAAATAGAAAATTCGACATTTTTATTTTATAAACTCAATTTAAGACTTATTAAACTAAAAGCTTATGTTATTAATATATTTAAAAAAAATTTTAACTTTATAAAAATCGATTATTTAAACAAATATGAGAAATTAAAACCAATACAGTAATTTTCTATTGCGGCGCGTTTGTATCAGTTTCGGTGTATCAATTTCGGTGACCAAAATTACGTGTATTTTGAAGATACTTTGCCCGCCGAAATTGGAGCCAATGGAAATCTTAAAAATGTTTCAATTGCGGCGGGGAAAAAAATTTGATCTCAAATAATTAAATTAATAATTGTTTAAATGTGCATCTTTATAAGTAATTGTATAAAAAAAAATTGAAATAATTTTTTTTAATCATTTGGCAACAGTTATATTAAATATAATGGTAATAATAGTTATTTTTTATAAACGCGCCGTAATTGGTGCACTCGCCGTAATTGGTACACTTACCCTATATTTCCTATACCAATGTTGTTGAAGAATACATTATTTTCGGAAATTTTTCCAAAAGGTAAGAATTAATATCCGTTTTTGTATATGAAAAATCTAGATTTTTACATTTTTTTGGGGAAATAATTCCTTCTAACATATTGGTCGAAAATCCTATTTTTTCAGAAATTTTTTAAAATTGTAAGGAATAATTTCCGTTTATTATTGATATAATTATATATACTCAGATAATTACACAGAAAATTATAAGGTATTAAAATCAGCTGCAACGCTTATTATTTTAATCCAATTTTGCTTATTTTAATACCAAAATGGATTAAAATAAGCAAAATTGGATTAAAATAATAAGCGTTGCAGCTTCTTTTAATGCCTTTTAATTTTCTGTGTACTAGAATAATTACTAGATTAATTACTGGAAACTCCAATAATTTTCTTGCAAGATGTATTTTTTAGTTAAAACAAAAATTTTTTTCAGTAGAATTGTAATTTTGGGTTAAATATATTCCTGTGCTTTTAATTTACAACAAGAAACTATAATTGCGCAGAAATATATGAGCTACAGAAACTTAGTGTGCAACAAGTAAATTTTTAACGAATATGTATGGCGAAAAAATTACTGGAGTTTCCAGTAATTAATCCAGATAGTTATCCTATATATACATTATCCCAATAATTATGCAAGTAATTAAGTAATTATTTTTCATAAGAGAGAATTTTGGTGTTAAACTTTCACTAATATCTGCAACATTGCCTCAATATTGCCATTATTTCTGCAATGTTGCTGAAATATTAAAATATTGAGGCAATGTTGCGAATATTTCTGAAAGTTTAGGTGCTGTGTGGATTCCTTTATAAAGTTTTTTTCATACCATGAGTCATCAAGATCTTTTAAAGTATTTTGTATTTTCATAATTGATTTATTATTAATTTAGTATAAGTATTGATATCATTCAGCAGATTAGGAGCTTTTTGATAATCATCTTTTTTAAAAATTAATGTTTTGTAACTTTTATCTTCAGTAGTTATTATATTTGGGTTGTTTTTTTTTAAATTGTCTTACTTCTTTAATCTTCTTTTCTATTTGTAATTGTTTAAAAGTTATTTTTGCTTATTTAATTTATTTATTAATTAAATTTGATAGCCAAGAATAATAGTTGTAGAGAAATATGTGTGACGTTCACATCACATTTCATGATTAATCATATATATATATAAAAAGGAAACCAAAGGTACATTTCACCGTTAAAATAGGTCGAACTTGTGAAGTCCGTTATCTGGACAGTTGAATGTCAATCGTTCGTTAGTACGCATCATCATTTGAGAATATGAGCCATTTTCTATAGCTGTGAAATAAAATTAAATAAAGTTAACAATGAAACAGATAATCATTGTTATTTTCTTAGTGGTTGTTTGTTTGAGTGAACATTATACTTACGGGAAATTGAAACGAAATAAATTAAATAGTTGTTATAATGAGAAAATAATAAGAAAAAAGAATAATGTGAAACAAAACATTTGGAAGCAGGATCTAACAACAACGAATTCTTCATTTGTAACAACGAATCAAATATCAGCAACAAAGCAAGGACCTTGCAATTGCGGTGGCGGTATATGTGCATGTTGTTCCCGACTTTTGTTCAATGTATGGAAACAAACAGCATGTGTTAGAGTTAGTTACGATCCCGATGAGTTTAGTTTCACTGCAAAAATTTTAATGAATGATGTAATTTTGTATACGAGATCCGTTTCAGGTAAATATATATTTAAAAATATTTCTTTGAAAATTTTTGAAAAATCTGATTTATAATTTTTTAAGAATAATAAGTATAATTTTGTTAAAACTGTTCGTTTAATAAATTTTAAAAGAAACAAATTTTGTAAGTTTAAATTTGCGCGGTATTTTTTTATGCATTGCGCAAACATCGCGCGCTTTTTTGTAGTAACTAGCCTAATCTATACGGTAGACAATTTTGGCGGTTTGGTTGATACGCGGCGTGGTTTTCTTTTTTTCCCCTTTACCTTGAAAAAATATGTATATATTGTAGGCCGATAGAAAATTCAGGTCATTAGCTAAAAGCCTAGGTGATTTTTTAATGACCAGTCAGTAGAAGAAATCGAAATTATATATTCAATTAACGTCTATTTGCCTAGAAATTTCAGGTCATTAATTACTAGCCTGATCACATTCAGCCCATTTGAATAAATACTATTCAATAATTATGACCTCTCGTTAATTAATGTAAATATTAGTATTTGTCTAATAAGGGAATAATATAGGTTTTAGTTTAATAAATTAATTAAGTTTTTAAATTTTAATTTAGGTTTTAATTTACATCCTTAGTTTCTAATTTTATTTTGTCCGATATAGTCGTTGTAACAGCGTATACTTATGTTCGGAAGAAATATTTCTTTGATTCAAAGAAATCATTTTTCTGGGAGTAAGTATATATTTAAAAGTAAGGAGTCTAAAAATAAGCTCCCGTTTGACTGTGTAACTATAAAACCATTATAATCCTTTGTAGTAATCTCTTAGAAAGTTAAAAAAATTGTCAAGTAGAAATAATCAATATTTAACTTCTATAAGAAGATATAGATAGTTAGATAGTTTCTTTTAACTTTCTCCCCACAGAACCGAAACTTACCTAAAGATTTATTTGAAATGTTCGGAATATTTATAATTACAAAGTTTAGTGAAAATTGTGTAAAGATTTAAATGTCCTGATTAAATAAATGTTTAGCGCGAAACTTTCCTGAACATTTATTTAATCGAGACATTTAAATCTTTACACAATTTTCACTAAACTTTGCAATTAAATATTCCAAACATTTCAAATAAATCTTTAGGAAAGTTTCGGTGCTGTGGGGGTCATTATATCTTTAACTGTATTTTTAAAACAGTAGCACATTAAAGTAATTTTCTAAATTAATTGCATAACTATAAGAATAATTAAAAGAACTTTAAATATTTTAGGAAAAAATCCAAGGCCAATTTGTGTTCCTGTTCCTAGATTTCCAATAGTGAGAGCATGTCTACGATTTTACAACATTTACTTTCAAGGAAGAAATGTGCATGCCTGTATGAACATGGAAGGAAAGTTCCGAGATACCATCTTATTTAAGGTAAATAATAATGATCCGTATTCAATTAAGTTTAACTAATAGAAATTATATACATTATAAATTTCTTTTGAAAATACTATAACTGAATTTTGGTTAAATTTTTGTAATATTTCATAAAACATAATTGACATGATTTTTATTTAAATATAGGTGGAATTAGATTGCATGAGATTTGGCTCAAAAGGTCTTGCTTTTGTGAAACCTGAAGATGGTGGTGGACTAGGTCAAATTGTCCTTTTACCCGAAGGTATTAATGAAGGTGACGAGTATGGCGATGATGATTATGATGAAGAAGACGACGATGACGATGATGATGATGATGACGAAGGCCTCTTCGATTACTGATTATAGTTAAAAATCTGCAAGTTTATTTATTGTTTAATTATTTATTTTGAAGATAAACGGGACAAGCCATTTACGTACAAAAGTATACTGTTACATATACTGAAGTTACACATTATAAACTAATATATATCAAAAATACAAAATAGGTTGGCATTTACGAGTTATGGTGTAATATAATTCTTCGTAATAATGCGGTGAATCTCTCCAAACTATTTTAAAAGAAATCAACATCATCAGAGATATAGACTTTGCTTCTCTACTAAGTCTATTATAACCAAAGAATTATGTATTACCATAATTGGTTCTATGATATACCCAGGTGAAACGATTCTACGGAAATCACTCCACGGAAATTCCATACGGAATTCCGCAAAAATTCTATACGGAATTCCGCAAAATTTTGAAAGTATTCCTTTCGTAATTTTGCGAATTTTTTTGGAAGAATTCCATACAGAATTGCACAAAATTTTCAATAAAATTCCACAACTTTATTTTTTGCTGATTTTTTTGTGATTTTAAAATAACTGCTGCTACTATAACGAAAACTAGTCGACGATGATGTTCCTGGTGGATATAATATAGAATTTATGATAGATTAATTAATATCTACTCTCTAAATCTGAATAAGTGAAATTTCACTTAAAATGTGTCAAAAGTCTTCCACGTAGAAAAATAAGTGCATATACACTTATTTTTCTACGTGGAAGACTTTTGACACATTTTAAGTGAAATTTCACTTATTCAGATTTAGAGAGTAGTCGAACTTATTTGAGAGGTCAATAAAACGTTTTCCAAAAGAAATTTACTATTTTTCAGTCAACTAACTAACGGTAGTTGAATTTCTCGACTAATTTTTTTTTCAGTGTATCCACCAGCAGTTATTTTAAAATTACAAAAAAATCAGTAAAAAATACACTCAATAAAAAAACTAGTAGATTTGACTACTTTTTAACATAGTTCAATAGGTCCTTAACTGAATTTAAAAAGTTGTATGGACTATTAAAAAGTAGTTAAAAGTACTAAGAATTTAGTTGGGTCAAGGAGATTTTGTAACTTTTCTAATTTTTGAAGTTGATTTAACTACTTTTGTTAAGTACAATTAACTACTAATTCTTAACTCCATAAAAAATAGTTAAATTGACTACACGCACATAGTTAAAATAACCAAAAAAGTAGTTACTTTTACTACTTTCAAGTCAGTTAACTAAAGGTAGTTGAGGATTTCGGCTAAATTTTTTTCAGTGTACAGTTGTGAAATTCTAACAAAAATTTTGTGCAATTCTGTATAGAGATTATGTGTGTAATTCTTATAAAAAATTCGCAAAATTACAAAAGAACTTCTTTCAAAAATTTTGCGGAAATTTTTGCAGAATTCCGTATATAATTTTTACGGAATTCCATGTGGAATTTCCATACGGAATTTCCGTGGAGTAGTTTCCGTAGAATCGTTTCACCTGGGTATGTTACTGTGAACGAGAACAAAAAAATTTATCATGGAAAGCAGAGTAGGGCAATTAATAACTTCGTTTACAAGTTTATATAAAAAAGCGTGCCTGCAAAAAGAAATCTTAATGTAATCATATGCGAATATTCATGAGAATTCGCAAATTTTAATCATGAATGTGACTGTCAAATGGAAGAACAAGTTGAAGTTTAAATATTTTTGCATTTTAATCTAGGGGAAATATTTTCATAAGTGAATTTGTTGCTAAAACTAATCTATTAAAAATTCTTAAACCTTTAAGATGCATCAATGCGTGTATTTGTCCTTAGGCTTCTTAGAGACGTGAAATTGTAAATTTTAAGTGGAAAAAATTTTAATAATTATTATACCAAGGTAATACTCCACAATTGTACATAAACTATAAGTAACTCTAAACTCGAGGTTGAAATGACCCGAATAATTTTTTTTTTAATGTTATGTAAACATATGTAAAAATTTACTAAATTTGTCGTTATTTATTACTTGTATTTATTTATTTATTTTTTAACAATGTGTGTAGGTACATTTAATATATTATAGAGGACTAAAATATTAAATCAAAATTTTTTATTACAATAACTGTTATTGCAAAATTTTTCTACCTTTATTTAATGTTACACAGATAGTTTTTGGCGTTCGTTTTCAAATTAGAAAAGTGTAGTTGAAGAGAAGTTGCGAAATATTTAATTTTTATTTTATAAATTACATATAACATGAAATATAACTTGGAGTGACGTAATGAAAATAAATGTATTCTTCAAATAGAATTCTATTAAAAATTATTTTTTTAAAAAACTATTTATAATAGTTTGTAATATTTTTTTATATATTCTAAGATTTAATATTTGACTATTGAAATATCATTTCAAATAATAAAATTTATCATTTTAATTATTTTAAAAATGTAAATTTTGAGAGTTAATATTACACGTGTAATTACTGTTTGAAATTCACAATCCCTAGTAGAAATTTGTCGTGGATGCACTAGATTGACTCAAGTTACTTGACAGTTTTTCTCGCGGACGCTGATTCTAGCTGAACTGATAAATAACTGTGAAGTTACTGATCAGTGCTTTTTGAAAGAAATTCAAGTTGAACTTGATAATTCCACGACTCAAAGCTATCCAGTTTTTTTAATGGCACTGTCCAGTGCTGCTCGAAATTAAATTCATATCCTTGTCATGGCGGTGGCGCTTCAATAAGTCTAGTAACTGGACAGCTATGCTAGGATTTTGTGTATTGACATTTCGCTTGCTTGATTTAAAAAAATTACAACTTGTTTATAAAAATTAATAATAATAATATTAATATTCCTTTCTCAAAAAAAGACAGTGCATACAAAACACATGAAAATGTATCGAAATATCTCGGTGGTCGAAAAAATTGAATTTAAGAAAAAATGAACTTTGCTTTCCAGAGCATCTAAATCAATATTCATTTTATGAAAATCACTGTAAATTAATGTTCCACATATATATTTTTTGCATAACTTATCTTATTGCAATAAATATACACTTGCAAAATATTATTTGTTGTAAATGTTTGCCAGCTGTCATGAATCAGAAACGAACATAACCTATATTTAGTTGAAATCACTTGATTGGCCCAAGACAAAATAGCGCGCGCTTTTTTAAAATAATAAAATTTATTAAATTATAATAAAATAATTGCAATAAATTAAATTATTATGAAAATAATATTACCTTGAATAAAAAGTGTTTTTAGTTTTTAAAAAAAAATGATTAAACAATTATTATTATTTTCAGACAAATTTTACAAATATAGTAGAATATTATTTTTCTGTTTGAGTATATTATAATAATATAATAATAATAATAATAATAATAATAATAATAATAATAATAATAATAATATTATATTATATCAATAATTATTAATTTATTAAAATAATTTTATTTATAAAATTTTACATATAATTTTTGAGGATAATAAATAAAAAAAATTAGTAATTAGTTTTTTATAATTGTCTAATGTTTAAATTAAATTATAAGTAAATCATTTAAAATCAAATAAACATCTAAAATGTTTATTTGCCTAGAAAATAATAAAAATAATATGCACAAATTCATAATATTATTAGGTACAGTGAAATACGTCAAGCATTTATTCTAATATCACTGATCAGAACGGCCGAGTTGCGTAAAGCGTGCGTTTCTTTCGTTCCCGCCCAGCGGACCCGTGTTCGCTCCCCGGTAGCCCCAAGATTTTTTCGTTGAAACTGCGAGAAGTGTTTTAAGGTTTATGTTATGACATTCATATTAATATAAAAATTATAATTGTTTCAGTGTTGTTAACAGTTCAGGTCAAGATGTTGCTTCAATCGTTTTACTTATGTAAATTTTTTTTTTAAATCCAGTTTAATTGTGAATGAAAAATTACATTTTTATAACGAATTACTATATTTAGTGCAATATATTTTCTTATAATAATTTTTGTTGATAATTGGAATATTTTTTTTAATTACATAAAATAAACGTGTTTACTACATTAAATCTTATTATTAAATGAATTTCGAAATATTTAAAAGAATTAATTTGACTAGTTTTTCAAAAGTCCTATTGATAAATAATTATCAAGTTGGGCTGGATAATAACTTGATGAAAAAAGCGTGACATGACATTCGAGTTTTTAGCTAGCTGGTCAGTCAAGTAACTAGACAGACTCCAGCGCGACTAGGCAGTTCCTTTAAAATAGCTAGGACAAATTTCTACTAGGGATTGTAATTAGACGTGTATTTTTTCAATATAGAGTTGCAGCTTTTTTATTTTCTTTAACATATTAACTAATTCAGATTTAAAGAATAATTACTGGGTACATCAATTTCATATGGTACACCAATTTTTATTTTTTCTGATTTTTGAATATTAATTATTTTGGGTTTTGATGTTTCTATACCATTGCCGCTTATTTCAAAACAGTCAAAATGTAATATTAAAAACGTAAATTGAGTTATCCTTACTTCAACATCAACACATGCATGTAATATTAAATCGTGTATCTGAAGATCTTTTAGACGAAGACAAACATTTAAAAGTGGTACATTCGGCACTGGTATGCAAACAGGAGGTGGATTGTTTACTGGAAAAAAAATAAAATAATTACATTTTTCATATCCTATTGCGTGTAGATAACAATAAATTTTGAAAAATTTTTTAATTTTGACAAGTTTATTCTAAGGTCGTCCGAGGAAATATTTTTTTAATGATCCCACGCCGATTTAGGCATATTGATGTACTTACATGTAAGGAGTGTTGCCTGACGCGACATGGTATATATTAAAAATAAAAAATTCTCAAAAAAGACAAAATTTTAAAAATGTATAAATCTGAAAATATTTTATCAAATTCTAAATATTTGATATTTAGACGCTTTAACTAACCATGAAATTTGACAAAGTTTGGACTAAATTCAATAACTTAATTTTTTAATACGATAGGTATAAATAATTTTTACTTTACTTAAAAAAATATCCCATACCTGGAATTGTAGCGGTGAATTTAGATTCTCCATCAACTAATATACTTATTTCAGCTGAAAATTCACTTGGAATAAATTTAATTTGAGGGCAGACAGTGTTATTCTTAAAGACTAAGCCATCATTTATAATGATGCAGCAACTGCAAACCAATTGATCACAAGAGCATGAAGGTCCCGGGAATGAATATTTCTGCGAAAATTCAGCAGACGTATTTATTGACTTGTCTACTTTTTCTAAATTTCCAGTAATATATCTTTTGGTTATTGGATTATAAAATATTTTATTATATTGATGAGAATCTAAAATAAAAAGAAAATTTATATTTTATCATATTCTAAAACACATTGCGCTACAGTTTTAACGTCACATTGAAGAACAAAAAGAATTATCACTTAGGATGGTCGCTATACCCAGCAATATCCTTAGGAACTGGTCAAGGATTATTTGTTAAATGTTCTTTTCAAAAAATAAAAGCAATAGATGCTTTTAATCATGTCATGTCTCAGATTTTTCTCAAAATTCGGTAAATTGTAGTGATAGTGGTGCTAAATAAGTGTACAAATTTTGAATTTGAAATTTTTAATATTTTTCGATATATTTACAATAACAAATTTGAGCAATATTTTTTTGCTTTACTTATAACTTTTTTCCTATTAAAAATAGAGAAAAATGTTGTAAATGTTTTTTACGCAGAAGACCTTAAACTTTTAGAAAAAATATTAATTTTTAAACAATTTGTTTAAAAAATAAAATTTCTTTATAACTTTTAAACATGTTCTCCCTCATTTAGAAGCGCGAAAAAAATCATGAATATTGTTTAAGTCATAATTAATCGATGGTTAAATTTTTGAGATGGCATTATTTTTTGTTTTCGTGATATTAATTAATTAACTAACAAAATTTAATAAAAAATGAAATATTTTACGAACAAATAAAATTAGAGTAATTTTAAAAACACCATTAGAATGCTTATCAAAATCCGCATCCAACGAGCCCTATATAAACTATTTTGAATAAACGGGTGTCGTAGGGTGCTAAAACCTCAATTTTTAATAATCATCTGTTAATTATTTAGATTTGTTAAAAATATTATTTACACTGGTTTTATTTAACACAGAATTAGATGATCTTTCAAATAAAAAAAGAATTGACGGTTTATCTTCATTTCCTTAAATGTTATTAATTATTTAAGTAATTTTTAATATTAATTATTAATTTAACACCCGTTTATCCAAAATAGTTCATATAGGGCTCGTTGGATGCGGATTTTAATAAGCATTCTAATGGTGTTTTTAAAATTACTCTAATTTTATTTGTTTGTAAAATATTTCATTTTTTATTAAATTTTGTTAGTTAATTAATTAATATCTCGAAAACAAAAAATAATGCCATCTCAAAAATTTAACCATCGATTTATTATGACTTAAACAATATTCATGATTTTTTTCGAGCTTCTAAATGAGGGAGAACATGTTTAAAAGTTATAAAGAAATTTTATTTTTTAAACAAATTGTTTAAAAATTAATATTTTTTTAAAATGTTTAAGGTCTTCTGCGTAAAAAACATTTACAACATTTTTCTCTATTTTTAATAGGATAAAAGTTATAAGTAAAACAAAAAAATATTGCTCAAACTTGTTATTGTAAATATCTCGAAAAATATTAAAAATTTCAAATTCAAAATTTGTACACTTATTTAGTACCACTATCACTACAATTTACCGAATTTTGAGAAAAATATGAGATATGACCCCGTATTCTCATATGAAATGCCTCATATATAGATGACAAAGTCAATATTTTTATAGCAGTTTTATTAATTTATTTTTACATATTCACATAAAAATTAAAACATAAAAAATTTGCTAGAAAATAAAAAATTTAGTGCTTTGTATAAAAGTTACGGAAAACTAACCTTCTAAAGACTTTAGCGAAAAATTAACTTTACTATCATGTTAGTCAAATAAACCTTCTAAATTTTTTTCAGTTCTGAAGTGAATCTAGTTGTTCTATTCATCAATCATAAGGGGAATAAAACCTGTCCCTGAAAAGTGAGCACAGTCAAGATATGCAAGTTAATCCTTTTACAATGGTTAATTTTTTATTTATTTAGTATGAAGGTTCTGTTGTTTCATAATTTCACAATTTTTTATATTATGTATGGGACGTTCTTTGTCAACCAGACCAGCCCATCTCTTTATAATTGGTTTAAATTTAAAAAATTTAATCATATTAAAAAAATTAGCTTGGAATGTCTACTTTTTAATCCCGTTGTGTACGCTTTTTGAAATTCAAAATGGCAACTTAAATATGGCGTCTAAAGGACATAAAAAACACAAAAAATCCATTAATATGATCTATATTATTGTTTAAAGCTTTACATATGACGATAAAAATAACTACAACATAGTTTACTTACGAACTGATGACGCTCTATTCAAAATTCAAAATGGCTGATAGAATTAAAAAATTGAGCTATAAGCTCGTTAAAATGTCTACCTAAGGGTTTTCGAGGTCAATGTTTACGAATTCGTTGTTACTTTTTAAAAAATCAAAATGCATAATTTAAGTGACTGTTAAAAAATGTATTAAGTTCTATAAAGCTCACCATTAATTGCTAATGCAATTGTTAATTTGACGACTGGCAATAAAAAAAGTATACTAATACTGACTTTGTTCATTTTCTTTTTTTATTGAAAATTCTTTTCACCAGGATGTCTTTAACAGAGAACGGTTGACACACGACTGAATTCAATGTGTACGGCTAAATACGCAAATTTCAGATATCGTTACCATTGATTGCAAAAAGAAAACAAATTCATTGGAATACGTGATTTTTTAAGAATAATTGCCACATCTAAATTTGTCTTCTTTATTCGTTGTTTCAAAAATGAAAAATCGAAATTTAATATTAATTTAAAAATATGTTAAACTCTTTGTTTAAGATATTAATAAGTAATGTTATTAATTCAATTAAAGATAATAGAAGTTTCTTAGTGTTACTCATTAAATATATCTTGTTACGTGCACTTGGTCTCTAATTTATAAATGCTTCGATTCATTAATCGAAGTCTTTAATTTCCATATTTTTTTTTTGTTATGATGTTTTATATTTAGAGTAACATTATACTTTTTCATCCTATTGAAAAACTAATATACTTTAGACAAAACAGTCAAATTTTGTAAGACATATAATTCATGTTAGGTTTTGAAAAAAAATATTTATGAAGAAACCTGAAAAGTGATTAAAAGTTGCACTCACTTTTTGATAGCTTAGTTTAAATAAGGACATTGACTCGATAAAACCGTTATTGAAACCTACTTATGCAGCGAAATTCGTACAGCATTTCCACATAAAAAAAGTTTTAGAATTCATATTAATATTTGCCTAAATTATCAAAAACTTTTTATTATGTCAAATCAGGTTTTTTTCTACATTCAAAAGCTATTTAGCGCGTTAGAGCTGGTTGTATGTTGCAATGTAAACTTCAAACAAGGATAACTCATACAAATATTTTTAAAAGATCTAAATTGGAAATTGTTAAGGAGAATATGAGCTTTCATATGCATATCACGAAAACCTCAGAAAATTTGTTTGTACTTTTATAAGAAATCAAAAAGTACCCTAAAAATATGAGAGAAGAAGGCGCATGGCGCGGACGTATATGGACGGACGCCAAATCGAAACTATAACCCACATAGCACGACTTGTTGCTGTGAGGTTACTGTAAGGATATCTGTAAGGTTTGCAAGGTTACCGTGTAAGCCTACAGTAAACTTGAAGTCATCTTAAAACTTTCGCCATAACAGTAAGCGCTTACACAGTAAAGCTAAGGTAAGCTTACACAGTAAAGTCGTGGTAAGTTTACATGATAAGGTTGTGGTAAGCTTACACGGTAAGGTTGTTGTAAGCTTCTCGTAAGGTTACTGTAAACATAGAATGTTATTAATAAATAAATTTTATTAATATTTATGCGCAGTAGTTTTCTATGGCACATACGGCTGCGCAGTCAATTTTATTTAACAAACCCTATTGGGGTTCATGAAGTACTTTACCAAATATATAATTTTTTATAAAAAAAAATTTATAATATAATTATTTTTAATATATTTTCATATTACTCTATGTTTACAGTAACCTTACAGCAACCTTACAGTAACCTTACGGGAAGCTTACAACAACCTTACCGTGTAAGCTTACCACAACCTTACCATGTAAACTTACCACGACCTTACTGTGTAAGCTTACCTTAGCTTTACTGTGTAAGCTTACTGTTATGGCGGTAGTTTTAAGATGACCTCAAGTTTAGTGTAAGCTTACACGGTAACCTTACAAACCCTAGAGATATCCTTACAGTAACCTCACAGCAAGAAGTCGTGCTATGTGGGAAGGCTTTCGGGCCTGAGCCACGAAACCCTAAAAACCCTTTTTAGATTTCAAGGTCAAATTTCTCAAAAACCTATAGGGTAATGAAGCAATTTTGATTACGGATTCGTGTTCAGCATGTAATTAACAAAAAAAAGCAATAAATTCAATAGTGAAAATGTTTTTATATTGCTTTCTTAACGTTTTGTTATTATTATTGTCAACTCTATGGACTCCAAAAATTTATTTCTGTTGCATGATGGAGTTCATCGTAGACGTTCAAGGTTTCAAAAGACATAACAACGATTTCGTCTTCAAAATTCGAATCTTCTTATCTGTGGTAATTGCCAGGACGCTATAAAAGTGAAAATCTTTGACTAACACATAATTACCATAGAATCGATTGGACAGCTGGAAACATCCCACACAGTGAACTTCGTCCTATTCGGAATACTACGAGGTGTTAGTAGCATCTATGTTAAAGGATTAGAAAAGAAGAGGAATATTTATTAAATGTACAAAATTTAAAAGATATTTAATGCATCCTTGAAAAAACCTGAAAATAAATTTTTAACAGCATCATACACTGCATAATGAAATTCGTATTGTATAAAAAATGTAAAAATTCTTCTTTTATTACATTAAAATCTTTTTATGAAAATTGTGAATCTTTTTTGTAAATAATTATACACTTTGGTCCTTGTTGACAGTCCTGGTATTTCGCACTTCAAGTATGTTTTGCGAAAAAACCAGCGGAGAATACTCTAAATATATGTTGAATCACATGACCTTAAACGATTGCAAGAATATCTTTTGTCTGAAATAAAGAAACAAGACTAGACACTTAATTTTCAATTTTTTATATGACTATTAGTGTAATATCGTTGTAAAAATATTTTACCTAAAGTTTTAACAAAATTTCAATTAGAAGTTAACTTTTATTTAATATACATATTATTCGACAGTTATATTCTAATACGTGTGCTATAAGATACAATAAACTAAGTGCGGGTACTCACACGTATACCTATCGTTGAAGTGTTAAAAGAAAATTATATACATATATTCTCGACGCAAGAGACAACACCTATAAGGCATCCGTAATGTTCAATAGTACTGTGCATTCATGAAGCATACTGTACAAGGAATAGAAAGGAAAAGAAGAGGTGTATATCGTAGGCTTGTGTATGCGATTACGTTTTACTTGTGGCGGCCGGTCTTTCCTTCAGCGTTCAGTACAATGTAGTGTTTCACGATTACACTAACGCCATTTACAATCCTATTATTATCCAAGTAAATCTACTGTTATGTACATTGTCATTGAAAGTATTTATTTTTATTTACAAAATGTTTGTCTGACCAACCTTCAGTGTCTTCTTGCCAGTGATCATAACGTTTAGGAACGTCAAAAAGTTAAACAAAAAAATGTATGTAAGCAACTTAATAAATAATTCATTTCTTTTATGCGTTTATTGAAAACTATAAATTTTTGTAATAATTTTCAAAAGACAAGGCATAATACGGTGATATTGTTTAAAATATTTATTCTTTATTATTCCCAACTAGTTTCGAACATGTTTTTTTTCAAAATGATATTTTACAATATTTATATTTTTTGACAAACTTTTCAAAATTATTATAACTAAACGGTGTGATAAAAAAGGAAATATATTATTACTTTAAAAAATTCGTATATTAATTTTGTTTTACAAATATTATTAAATTAATGCGTCTTTTGTCTCCATTAAATAAATAATCATTTTGGATAGTAATATTAATAATTTTAATAATTAATAATGAAAATAGTAAATTATTATGATCTCCTTCATTATCAATCTATAATAAATAATTAAATCTCCTTACCCACGGATTTATAGTATAACGAGATTCATATTTTCTATATGTAAATATGATGATAATTAAATTCTAGAGTTAGACAGAAGAGGATCGAACCTACCCATCTTAGTATATTTATAAACTAACCTTAAAGATCTTAGTCTCGAATATGCATTTTTAAATAATTGTAACATTCTACTTAAATAATCGGATTAAAAAAACCTATGAATGATTTTGCAACGATTTTTCTTGTAATTTTAATTTTTTTAATCCCTTCTGTTAATCCTTTTTAACTTCTTTCTTCATAAGCTTTATTAAGAGGAGGCACCATGCCCAATTTTGTCCCAATTAAATTTAAATTATTAAACGAGTTTATATTTTTTTTCCTGCATCACTTTTGGGATCTAAAAACACACAGGATGGTAAAAAAATTAAACTTTTTGACCATTTTAGAAAGGGGTCATCCATAAAGCATGTGATACATTTTTTCGAAATTTTAAGGTCTAAGTCCTGAAACGCAGCACATTGGATTCGTAATAAGCGATCCAAAAATCCCCCGTATATACCCTACTTTAAAATAATTCTACAAATGTTTTTAAAATAATTTAATTGATTATTTAAAATTAAAATTTTCCCCAAAAAAGTATAAATTTATACATTCATCCCTAAAACTGTTTTTGTGGGGAAAAACAAAAAATACGCGTCAATTATTTTTCAATGAACTATACTTTTGTATACACAGTTTATCAGAAAAATCGGGGTGTGACACTTCTTGTCAGATACGTCAGTTAGATTTTTAAAACAATAAGTGACTGATCTTAGGTGCAGCACTCACTTGTTTTTTTTAGAATGAGTAGTTATAACCATAGCCAAAGTAGTATTGTAGGCATAGATTCAATTTAATTAGGGAAAAATTCAGGGTGTGTACGATACTTGGAGTTCCTAGAAAGCCTAATTTACTCGAGGAAATAAAAAAAATATATTTAAAAACCTAAAACTATTAGAGTTTTTCTGAATTATTAAAATTTCTTAAGCATATATTTTATTTATTTTTATAATTATACACACTTGTGTTTTAAATATTCGAAACTGTTTTATAAAATTTTTCAAAAACGTGTAATGGCCATTTCAGATGATTTTGAATAATTAATTAATATTTCTTTAAAATTTTCCAAAATGTCCATTTACGGAAATTATATTGTAATTATTGAATTATTAATGTGTAAAGTGTAAAAGTACTTACCTGTCAGTTTAATAGAGCGTGATGTTTTATTAATTTTAATCGAAATAAATGGTGAAAAATGATAAGATATATTTATAATAAAATATTTTAATTGCTTAATTAATAATTTATTAAGCTTAATTGAATCGTGAATTTCGAAAAGGACTCAACTCTGAAAACCGTAAGAATCATTTTCATTATCCATTGTTATGCAGAAATAACCCTTAGGCTTTTTTAAGTTGAGTCCTTTTCGAAATTAACGATTCAATTAGTGTTAAATGATAAAAAAAACATAATTCATAAAAAGAATTTCCAGTATGTTGTGAACAAGAAGAAAAATGGAAAAATGAATAAAGTAAAAATAGTAAAATTTACTCCTGAAATAGTAAATCTTATTCCGGAAATAGTAAATTTTACTATTTATGGAGTAAAAATTGCCAGAAATGCGCAGAAATTGCGGACAGTTCAGGTTTTACTTTAAAAATAGTAAAAATTACTTTAGGGGAGAGTGGGGCAAAACCGGGTACTTTTTTATAATTCTCGGTTTACGAAAAATCTATTGAACAAATTAGTTCAAGTCTCGTTGAAAATTCTTCCTTGAACATTAGAAAATGAAAAAATAGGGTCGATAGCATGAAAAAAAAATTTTTGATAAATTTAAACTAGATTTTTCAAAAAAATGCAAAGTACCCGGTTTTGCCCCGATGGTGGGACAAAACCGGGTAATATTAAGAAAATATATAAATCATGGAATATTCTTTAACTTTTTATTCAATTAATATTATATATCACTTAAATTATAGAAAATAATTAATATTCAATAAATTTAATCAAAATATATAATGAATAACAGCAGTTAAATCTTTTAAAACGAAATTTTTCATATTTTTATTAATTTTTTATCGTTTATTTATCGATATGGTAAATAATTGATATATCGAAGGTTAAACATCGATCTCGAAACATACATGTCGATTCTTTTGAGAAAAAATTTAAATATGCATAGTGTAATGTATTTAAATATATCCGGTTTTGCCCCACCGTTTGGTACCCGGTTTTGCCCCGCACTGCATTTTTTAACAAAATGTAAAATTCTCAGCTTATTGTTAATAATTTAACAATTACTTTTAATGAAAATTACTCGTAAATAAACGCTGAAAAAGATGTTATACTTGCCGAAACGAATACATCGACACAAAAAGTTTTATAAGTGATTTACTTTCGATAAAAAATGGATTTTCTTTTGAGCTAAAATTTAAAAGTCGCATAAAATATAATAAATAAATTTTTATATAGTGGTTATATAATTAAAATGATGTTGGTTGTAAAATAAAAGATATATGTAATAGGTGACACAAATGGAAATGCCTATCATGGAAAACTGAGGGTACCCGGTTTTGCCCCACTCTCCCCTATTCGTTTTTAGGCCAGTCAATAAAGACAAAAAGTGCCATTAAATGTAGACAGGCAACTCTAACCGGAATTTGGTAGTTTGGGGGGGTAGTATAAAGGCCCCATAGTTTGCTCTCGATTTCCGGTTGCAGAAGTTGTTGTAAACAATGGTTGAAGTTGGTGAAAAGTGGTTTTTGCGTGCTCGTTGCTTTCCTCTACATTTTAGAGGAAAAAGTTGTTATTAGAAAAAAAAGGTATTAAAAATACCTACAAAATGGTAGGTCGAAAGTTAAAATCGGATTATTTGTTTAAAAGTTATTGAATTTAAACCATTAAAAATGGTACTTTTTTAATTGTTTAATAACTTTGTTAATAATAATCCGATTGAAGTGAAACTTTCTGAAAATGTGCCCCTCGCGATACTGAACAAAATGAAAAAACTTCGAGTTTAAACGGATGAATAGTTTATAAATTATTCCATTTGTTAATTAAAAACATGTTGTTTTTCAACCTAATTTCTACAGAACGATATGGAGCGAATTCAATTTTTTTTCTTTCATTTTACTCTTGAAGAGTGATACTATCATGTACATAAAAGAAAGAATTGAAATTCATTAATTAATTGCATTATTATGGATAAAGAAAAAAGGGTTCGTTTTTTCGTAATAAACAATTGAAATTACTCGACCAGTTTTTACTCTATCGAATTCTAATAAACGCAATTGAATTTCTTTTTTCTTTACAAAACTTTTAAAAAAAAGAAAAACAATCTAGGTCAAAGGGGGGGGGAGATAATTTTTTTTTTTCAAAAAAATCCTAACACTATAATTATTAATATTTTTCATTCAAATTTACAGTACTTGTAGTTTAATATGTGTACTGTTAAATAAAAAATTGTAAACATTGAAAAAAATTTTTTTATTATTTATAATGACAGTTAAAGACAGCTCATCATTTTACTTTGCTCCGGAAGGCGGAGTGGGGGAACACGTGGCGCGTAGCAAACGCCGCCACAAGATCAAACTCGCCCGATCAAAATTACAAAATTTGTTATAACTCGGTTAATTATTAACCGATTTTAATCTTTCTTTTTTTGAATTCATGTTATTTTTTCTCCTCTTTTCAAAAATAAATTTACATTTTTAATAAAAAATTTTTTTTTGCTAATATTTAAACATTTTTTTTTAATAACAAATTTTTTTTCACTAATTCAATTTTTTAAAAAATTTTTTTTTAACTGCATATAATGATAGGTATTTTAGTGTCTTTTTATGTTTAACGTTTTTTAAAATTATTCATACACCTTCGTGTAGCACTATGTCATTTTTTTCATAATTTAAAAAATTTTGATTTATATTACTTTTAAATGAGGGATAATAAAACATACACAATGGAAAGTAATTTATTATAAATTAATTTTATTTATTATATTTTTAAGATTAATTATTATTAATATTAGTAATAATTTTATACATATTACAATTACAAATCGTCATCATGATGTTCATGCTCATTAAAATTATCCTCATTTAAAGTTTCACACATTTGAAAAATATTATTTTCATTCTTATCATCATTTGTATATTCATTTATACCATCGTTCGTATTTTCATCATATAAATTATTATTAAAATACATTAATTTTTGTTCTATACATTAAAACATCATTACATTATTTTAAAAGTAATATAAATCAAAATTTTTTAAATTATGAAAAAAATGACATAGTGCTACACGAATGTGTATGAATAATTTTAAAAAACGTTAAACATAAAAAGACACTAAAATACCTATCATTATATGCAGTTAAAAAAAAATTTTTTAAAAAATTGAATTAGTGAAAAAAAATTTGTTATTAAAAAAAAATGTTTAAATATTAGCAAAAAAAAATTTTTTATTAAAAATGTAAATTTATTTTTGAAAAGAGGAGAAAAAATAACATGAATTCAAAAAAAGAAAGATTAAAATCGGTTAATAATTAACCGAGTTATAACAAATTTTGTAATTTTGATCGGGCGAGTTTGATCTTGTGGCGGCGTTTGCTACGCGCCACGTGTTCCCCCACTCCGCCTTCCGGAGCAAAGTAAAATGATGAGCTGTCTTTAACTGTCATTATAAATAATAAAAAAATTTTTTTCAATGTTTACAATTTTTTATTTAACAGTACACATATTAAACTACAAGTACTGTAAATTTGAATGAAAAATATTAATAATTATAGTGTTAGGATTTTTTTGAAAAAAAAAAATTATCTCCCCCCCCCTTTGACCTAGATTGTTTTTCTTTTTTTTAAAAGTTTTGTAAAGAAAAAAGAAATTCAATTGCGTTTATTAGAATTCGATAGAGTAAAAACTGGTCGAGTAATTTCAATTGTTTATTACGAAAAAACGAACCCTTTTTTCTTTATCCATAATAATGCAATTAATTAATGAATTTCAATTCTTTCTTTTATGTACATGATAGTATCACTCTTCAAGAGTAAAATGAAAGAAAAAAAATTGAATTCGCTCCATATCGTTCTGTAGAAATTAGGTTGAAAAACAACATGTTTTTAATTAACAAATGGAATAATTTATAAACTATTCATCCGTTTAAACTCGAAGTTTTTTCATTTTGTTCAGTATCGCGAGGGGCACATTTTCAGAAAGTTTCACTTCAATCGGATTATTATTAACAAAGTTATTAAACAATTAAAAAAGTACCATTTTTAATGGTTTAAATTCAATAACTTTTAAACAAATAATCCGATTTTAACTTTCGACCTACCATTTTGTAGGTATTTTTAATACCTTTTTTTCTAATAACAACTTTTTCCTCTAAAATGTAGAGGAAAGCAACGAGCACGCAAAAACCACTTTTCACCAACTTCAACCATTGTTTACAACAACTTCTGCAACCGGAAATCGAGAGCAAACTATGGGGCCTTTATACTACCCCCCCAAACTACCAAATTCCGGTTAGAGTTGCCTGTCTACATTTAATGGCACTTTTTGTCTTTATTGACTGGCCTATTTTCCATTTTTCTCCGTGAAATAAAATGTGACAGTACCGATATATTGCAAGCCGCGCGTTACATACGACAGATGTCGACACTTAACTTTACGTTTTCGAATATTTTTTCATTTTTTAAAAGTTCAATAAAAAAACTATATATGTTTCATAATTAAAAAGTTGTAAACAATTAAAAAATCTTAATTAACGTAAACTATTTGAATTTAAAAATTTTTTAATTTTAAAAAATACGTTTTATTTTTTAACAGATAAACCATACAATGGACCAGCTCACCATAAACCTCTAAAGAATTATTATAATCCTGGAACTAATAATTCGGTAATTTACTACTAAATTTTCCATCAACTTCATTACAGTTTTGTTTTCAATAACTTAAATCTATGGAAAAGGGGATTTCAAAAAGATTTGGAGAGGAGACTACATCTGTAAAATTACAGAGTGATAATAAATCTAGGAAAAATGTACTTCCTTTATTATATTGTCCAACTAAAAGAATCGAATTTGAAACAAATATTGACAAAAGAAAATCTATTGATAGTGTTAATTCGATTTATAAGAACAGCAGAATGCAAAAGAAATCAACTAATTCCATGCTAGCAAATCTAAAAGATTTGGAACGATTAAGTACAACTTCTGAGTCTACCACAAGTATGTTGAGGAATAATTCAATTACCCAGAAACAATTAAAACCTCAAGAAATGGTAATACCAAATAGTGCAGTATCGACTTCCTCTAAAATCCGATCAGAAGTTTCAAAAATACAACAGATTTTTCAAGCCTCAAAGAAAAGTCAAGAGTTAGTAAATAGGCAAAAAAAATCTGTTACACCAAGAATAGAAGCAACACTGGATATTAATAAATCGAATTATTTAAAAAAATGTATACCAAAGCCTCTAGTCCCTCAGAGAAATTTGAACAATTTGCGGGATTTTGTGTCAAATAATTTTACAAATGGTAAAAAATGTTTAAAACAGAAAACTAATGCTTCCAAAGAATATCCCCAAAATAAAATGAATTATAATGTCGAAAATATGAAGAGTTGTGAAAATATTGAAACCAATATTCAAGACCGCCCTCAACTACCTATTAGAAAAAAAAGATCTTTAAATTATAAATTGAATAAGGATGGAATTTCCGTTTCCAAAGAGATTAAAATTTCATCAGAAACTAAAAATTTTGCGGATAGTGCTGAAAATAAAAATATTTCAAAAAATAATGTAAACGATACAGTTTTTAAATTAGACAAAAAAGATGAAAAACAAAACAAAAACGATGATATAAATGAACCTGATATAATGAAAAGTTTAATAGAAGAATCAGAGCAACAAATTAGTAATATAAAATCAGACAAAAAAAAATTTGGACATAATTGGCAGGAATTTATTCAATATATTTCTTCAAATGAAATGAAATCATATTCTGACAGTAAACATGATGAAAAGGGTAAGTTAATAATTATTTTTAAATTACATGGAGCAAAAAAATTAGCTGATATAGCTTAGCTACTTCAGCTAATTTTAATTGCTATTATATGGATAGCAATTTTATTAGCTATTTCTGCTAACTGATGTTAGCTGGTTGCTGTTATCTATATAGCTGCTAACAGTTACCAGCTGGGAGACCTAATAATTTAGCTAAAGTAACTAACATCGAGCTCAAATTATTAACTGTAATGACTAATGATTAGCTGTGTTTTCTAACCTCAAAAAACATATTAGATTTTATGTAACATACAAATTTTTTAAACATTGATCGGATTCACTTAAAACTTGTTCCTTAGGGGTATTTGGGATCGTTGATTACGTATATGAAGTCGAATTTTCAAAATTCAATATGGAGGGTTCAATATGCCAGACAAATTTTTAATTTCTTTAAATTTTCACGTCACTTGGTGTCTAGGGATTTTCAGGGTCGCTGATTACAAATCTCAAGTCAGATTTTCAAAATTCAAAATGGTGGAAAAAAAATTAATGAAAAAATTTACGCCATATTGGGTTTGCCATTTTAAATTTTCAAAATCTGACCAGATCTTCAGATCTTCTAATAACAAAAATTACGTAATTATAAAAAGAAATTTACACTTTTGAATACAGATTTCTTGATTTTAATATTTTTTTTATTAATATAAATTTCATCTTAAAACTGCAGTTAATATAAAGAGGAGGGTAATAATAAAAAAACACAACAGTATTTCAAGTAGATCTACAACTTTTAATTATACTTTTATAAATTCTACGTATTTTAAGAGATAAACACAAAAACCATGAATTTTGGATGTTTTTATAGTTTTCACCATATCTAAATATGAAAATACATAAGTATAGCAAATTTCATTGAAAACAGAGGGGGACATTTTTGGAACTTTATGCCTTATACGTTATCTATAATTTCGATGTGAATGACATGTATATTAGTCATCCATTGTGAATGTTATTCATATTCAACTACAATTAACTTTGTAAACACGTACATCTGACGTTTTAGTCTTTGCCAAGTCATTGTCAAGAGCGCGTTCAGTGTATAGTGTGTTTAGAGTTTTAATTCATTTTCTCTCTGTCAACAGTTAGAAAAAAATATTTCACATTGAATTTCACTTAAATTTACAATGGTGGCCTTCATTATTGGTTTTATCTACTTTCATATACAACTTCTTCGATTGGAAGTACAAATGGTTTTAAATTCAGAAGATTATAAATTATCAAAATTTTTTCTATAATTAAAACAAAATTGTGGAATAAAATAAATCTTTATTTTCTTCATGTAATGAAAAAATAATTTAATAAAGAAAAGAAAATAATGGAGCAAAGAGCTATATATAGATGTTGTACAAAATTGTGATAAACTTTACTATTTATTAATGTTGTCTGTTATTAATAAACTAATATTTTCCAAAAAATTGTATTTGTTAAATATCTTAAAGTAAACAGTTATAATAAGTCTTTAAAGTATCAATAAAATTAATGGTTTTATGATAATAAAAAATAAAAATGCTTCAATTATAATATTTGCAAAATTAATAAAATTTATTACAAAAGTAATGAATTGAATTTTAATATTACGATATTACTGTAATTGAATTAAAACATTTTGAAAAGACGTTAAATAATATAGAACGAGAGGTCACAGAAAAGATAACCTTTGGAATGATTGAAAGAGAAATGAAAATATCAGAGGGAAAAATAAAGGTAAAGACAGTTGATAAGCCACAAATCGGAAAGTGAAAGATGACTACTGAGTATGTAAAAGCTTGTTGATATCAGCAAAACTATTGCTGAAAATCAGAACCTTTATGTACACTTAACACTTATTTTTTTAAATACAAAATATGTTAATTAAGCTGAACTTTCATAATCTAACGTTTTGGACATTAATTACTAATAAATTCACATTTTTATGCGTTCTTGCCTAACTACTTAAATAAAATTATAAAATGAAACACAATAATTTAATACAGTGCACCACAAAGAGTACATACTTCAATCCAAATTGTTGTTTAAAATAAAAATATAGACCAAAAAAGAAGTAGATTTTTCTAAGCTGAAGAAGAATTTGTGAATTATGGTAGAAGAAAAACGAGGGACTCCTAACAGTATGGATTTTGTCACAAACTGTAATAATCTTTTATGTTTAATCGAGATCATCCATAAAGCATGTGATACATTTTTTCAAAATTTTAACACCCCCCTCCTCCTTGTGATGCTTTTTCCATTAACGATTAACATGTAGTGTGATATTTTGCTGACCCCCCTAACATGCTTCATGGATGGCCCCTAATCATACAACTTATAATAAAATTATAACAAAAAAAATACTTATTACTTAACAAACAAAAATTACGCTTCTACTCTATTGAAAAAGAATGAGCGTAAATATTACCATAAATAGGATCATAAATATTACTATATGCTTACGACTCTTACATAAGTAAACCTACCCAAGTGTGACTCGGCGATTTTAGCTCGAACTTGGTAAATTACACAGGTCTACAAAATAAAAGTTTTTTTTAGATATCGGAGTAGTTTTTAATGTATTTTTGTGCGCTGAACACGATCCCGGATTTCAAAATTGCGTATCACGTCAGGATTTTGAGTAAAGTGAGGGTAAAGACCCCAAAAACCATTTTTTTAAGTTTTTAGTATTTTTTTTCTCCTTAACCTGACGTGCTAGAGACTTCTATATAGGCTTAAATTAAAGCTTAAGTCGTACACTTTAGGACCCATATGGGGTTAAAGACACCAATAAACCTTTTGTGTGTCTTTAATCGCATTTTTTTCAAAATTTCAGATTTTTTTTTATCTTGCGCATATGGGTCTTAAAACGTACGACTTAAGCTTTAATTTAAGCCTATATAGAGGTCTTTAGCAAGTCAGATTAAGGAGAAAAAAATAATGAAAACCCTCAAAAACACTGTTTTTGGGGTCTTTACCTTCACTCTACTCAAAATCCTGACTTGATATGCATTCTGATATCAAAAAAAAAAACCTTGTAGACTTGTGTTATTAGTACTTGGAAAAATAATTGATACGTATACTTTTTATATCGGCTAAAGAGAGGATTGAAATTATTCAAAAAATTTTGAAAATTCAAAATTACGGATCCAATATGGTAGATCGAATTTTCAAAAAATGACTAGCTTTTTATGGAATTTGGTATTTAGAGGTTTTTAGGGTCGCAGATTACGAATTTGTGGTCAAATTTGCAAAATTCAAAACGGAGGATCAAATATGACCATAAAAGTATAATGATTGTACATGCAGTCATAAATAGAGGCGTAATTACTGTTTCAAATTCATATTGTACTGTCACAATTATGATCGTATTTGCGCTCATACTTTTTCAATACTCTCTAATTCTGAATTAGTGAAAATGTTTACTAATTTGAATTACACAGAAAATTAAAAGGCATTAAAATAAGCTGCAAAGCTTATTATTTTAATCCAATTTTGCTTATTTTAATACCAAAATGGATTAAAATAAGCAAAATTGGATTAAAATAATAAGCGTTGCAGCTTATTCTAATGCCTTTTAATTTTCTGTGTAGTGACTCACTTTTTGTTTCTAAATTAGTTAAATTTTACTAATTATTAGTAAAATTTTACTAATTCAGAAGCAAAAAGTGAGTCACTAATTCAAATTAGTAAACATTTTTACTAATTCAGATTTAGAGAGTAGACCTCCCAGAAATCACCAATTGAACCTCCGCGTGCAATAACAACAGGTTTGGATTGTCTGTCCCAAAAGCAATATCTACTTCGAGTTACGCAGTAGAAACGAGAACGGGCCAATAAGGAGACTAGATTCTATCCCCCTCTACGCAACTCGAAGTAGATATTGCGGTTGGTACAGACAGTCCAAGCGTACCTGTTGTTATTGTACGCGGAGGCTCAATTTATAAAAATAATTACTTATTACAAAGTACCTTTAGATGATTTAAACAATATAATATAATATTTTAAAATATGTATTGAAAATTTTATAACTTAAACCATTAAATAAATAAATATCTTACAATTAGCTAATTTAACATTTTATATTTAAATATTTAGAAATGTAAATCACCGATTTCGTTTCAGATATTATTCAGTGGAACAAAAGCATAAGTCATAAGTGGAAAAAACTGGGAAGACGAAATTCAGTTCAAGATCCTCCAGAAAAAAGGGAATCTTTAATTTGGCAAAGGGGTAACTCCTTTGAAAATGTTTACATTACAAGGTCGACTCCTGTAAGTCGCGAAGCATCTCCTGTACCGAAGTCCCTACAAAGTGAATTTACTCCAAAGAAATCTATTCAAAATAGATCTTTAAGGTTACCAGGTATCAAATAAACACTCATTTATTTTTTAAAAAAAAAAACGCTTTATTTTTTACAAATACCATATTTGATTTTTTTAATTCTTCAAATTAGAAACATTCTTTTATCAGGTACGACGAATGGAATATCCGATATTCATCGCGCATTACGCAATAAATTTAGTAAATTTAACGCTGAGTTACGAAACAGGAAATCATCAGATTCATCTGACATCTTTTTACACAAAGAAAATGCTTCAAGCTTTTACGTTCCATATCCATCTTCAAATTCAGCAACTGATAATTTCACGAAAAATTTAAAACCTTTAAAATCAGACCCATTACAATCATTCACAATTCATGAACATGTGGAACCTGATCCTGTGAGCAACGACATCTCAAAAAGTAAAATTATGTGTGTAGGACAAAATTCCTATACCAACAAAAACATCTCAAAATGTCAGGTAAATTATTGTTGTATTCTAACAAAAAAAAAAAATAGATTGAACAAAAGATGACTAATAAAATTAATCGGATTGGCAATAATGATGATTATATTACAGATAAAAGCTTGATTTAATAGAAAATATACTATTCTAGGCGATGAGTTCTGAGAAATCATCAAAGCATTTGGCATCACCAAAGGCTTATTCGAATAATTATTATTCTCAACATGCTCTTGAAGGATCGATTCCTAAACAATATAATATAAATAATCAACGAAAGAGTAAAGTTGGCAGCTTTTATGAAAGCAACTATTTGGTCAAAGATGAAAGGTATATTTTCAAATGTTAAATATAATATATTTTTTAAATTACACAGGACGGCAAAATTTTGGCCTGCTTCAGAATCAAAAACCAGATTATACTTTTTCAAAGTATTTTGACTTGCTGAACTCGAATCTGACCTTAGAATTAACCCAGCACGTTAGGTTTTTGACATATTGTAACCTAAAAGTGCAGAAAAGACGTTTTTTGACCATATTTGAGGTCGTGTAACATTAAAGATATAATTTTGTTTCAAAAAGGTCGTTACATCATCTGAAATTACTATTCTTGCCCTTTAAAATGCATTTTGAAACTTTCAGAAAATCTTTATTTGCCTCTGAGTTATCGTCATTTGAATTTTCTGAGTGGTGAATGTTTCAATATTTGTGTATCAGGTAATGCTTCAAAAAATTCAAATGACAATAACTCAGAGGCAAATAAAGATTTTCTGAAAGTTTCAAAATGCATTTTAAAGGGTAAGAATAGTACTTTCAAATACTGTACCCGAGTCGAAATTTTTCCCTCTTTTCACCCTCGATTTTCTTAGCCTCTTTTCAGCCTGAAATCATGCGCTTATTTCCAAATCTGCATGTTTAGAGGTTGAAAAGAGATCTTGGAATTTTTTCTTAATTTGAATTTTTCGAAGTTTTATTCCTCCTAAAAGTTTTATAGTCATCTCTCTAGTCATCTTTAAACCCTCCTTTCAGCCTCCAATATAGCAGATATTTCCACTTTTGCAAATTCGAGGTCGAAAAGAGGGTATGAAAGTGTTGGAGAGAATAAAAGGAGGTTTTTAGAGAACTTATAGAGAGTCTAAATTTCGACTCGGGTAACGTCCTTTTTTTCTGCACTTTTAGGTTAAAATATCTCGATAATCTAACGTGCTAGGTCAATTCTGAAATCAGATTCGGATTCAACAAGTCAAAATACTTCGAAAAAGTATATAGTCTGATTCTTGGTTCTAAAGTAAGCCAAAATTTTGTATGTGTAAGGTTTTTTTTTATAAGAAATTTTATAAACGATACCATTTTTGTCCCATTTTTTAGTAGGATCTTTGCCCAATTTGATAAAGTTATTAATTAAATTATATTTGTAATTAATTTTTGAAATAACATGAATTTTAGAACTGATTTTACTTCAAGAAGCGAAGAGGAAAACAGTTACTTAATAAACTCTGATCTTTCTGAAAGCCAGAGGAAAACAGAGGATAGTCACTTATATCCAATTGGCTATCCTCATCATGATATATGCTGTGCTTGGAATACATTTGGAATGTGTAACGAAAATTTTAATAAAATTCATATACCACGAATAACTTCAAATAAAAGAAAAACACATTCCAAAATAGACGATCAAATTATGAATCAATCTTTTGAAAAAAATACAGTTAACTCGAGGAACATTCTGAATAATGTAGAATGTGGTCCTTTGAGTTTGAGAAAGGAAGAAAATTTTATTAAAAAATCAACACGTACATTAAGCAGTCAAAGTGTTGCGAATTTAAGTGCATGTTCTGAAAGTAGATTTAAACAAATACAGGTTGGTAAAAAAAAATACCTTCATTATAGAAGAAGTGTTAGTTTTAAGTTTTGAAATTAAAATTAGAAAACTATTACAAACACTGTTTATTTTTAACTGTAGATTGAAAATGAACATGATTCAGAAACAGAGGACGGTTATGAATGTTCCGATGCTACAGAGTCAAGTTTTTGTACTCTTCCGAGACCGCGTAAAGGAGGAGCATATTTTACAATTATGACAGTTAAATTCTCAAAAGGCCCTGGAAATAAAGGCTTGGGCTTTAGCATTGTTGGTGGGACCGACAGTCCCCGTGGAAGCATTGGAATTTATGTCAAAACTGTTTTTTCTCATGGACAAGCTGCAGACATGGGAACTGTTAAAGAAGGTAAAGATTTTACAACTATTCTAATAAAAAATTTTATAATTTAATTTTTACTTTGGATAAAGTTCCAAAACTTGCAAAAATTTAATTACTCTTTAAAATCCCTTGTGTATGCAATTAGCATAAAAAAAATTGTAAATAAATGAACCATTTCAGGAGATGAAATTTTATCAGTCAATTCCAAACCTTTGTATGGAATGACTCACGCTGAAGCAATTGCAGAATTCAAGAATATTAAAACTGGTAATATTATTCTACTCATTGGACGTCGAGTAACAAAAAAGAAGAGATAACATTTTTCACTTTACTGTCGGTTTTACAAACTCGATTGTCTAATTTTTCTTTTCTATTAATTTTCCACAGTAAAAGTGAAAAATTGCAAACTCTACTTTCTTAATTTAATTATAGACGAGTGATTTGAAAAGAATTAAAAACATTAATACTTTGAGAAAAATAAAAAAAGAACAGCAAAAGGAATTCTAGTTTTTTTTTAATATAATTATATGTTTGTAAAGAAATAAAGAGATATTGAAACTAACTCTAAATTACCAAATACTTTAATTCTATTTTATTCGCTAGAACTAAAAAATTTAACTTTATAAGATTTTATTATCCGTTTTTTAATCCACTCTAAAAAATATTTTTTTTTCAAATTAAAAAATACGTCATCATATGGTACGCATATGCGACGCATGACGTGAAAGTCGCACGTGTGACTGTAAAATATAATATTTGTGCATCTAAATTTTATTAATTAATATTAATAAAAATATTTAAATATTTTGGATTCTTCTTAATAAATAAAAAGTACATGAATATGAAATAAATTTGTTTATTTTTTTATAATATATAATTTTTTTTCACATATCTAACACATATAACAAAAACAACTTTGAGACAGTATATCGTCATCGATGAAAACTACTTTCTTCTAAAAAAAAAATTTATAAAATTAAAAAAAAAATTGCTAATAAATTTTACAATTCTACACTTTTTTTTAAAGAAATAGTCAATTTTTAAAATCTTTTCTTTATTTGTTATACCATAAATAACAAAAATTATTAAGTTTTTTTTATTTATTAATTGTATTAATTATTTTTAAAATCTGTTCGTAAATAAAAATTATTTATAATATTTTTATGACATATACAATTTCATCTGCGGAATCGTCAGATGATACGATTTGATTCATTTTTCTTTTCACGTAAAGTACCAAAAAAAAACTTTTAGGTTAACTGACAATCCCTATACGTCTGGATCACACGCGCTTTAAATTCTCTGCCGGTAATGTAAAACAGGGAGTCAATTACGTGACTTTTTCCGGATTCCAAATTCCAGATCCCACTCTTTACATTCCGGATTCCACTTTCAAAATTCCGTATTCCGAATCCCACATTCCGGATCCCACCTTCAAAATTCCGTATTTCATATTCCACATTCCGGATTCCACATTTCACATTCCGTATTCCAAATTCCGGATCCCACTTTTCACATTCCGTATTCCACATTTCGGATTCCATTTCCCATATACCGTATTCCGGATTCCACTTTCAAAATGTGGGATGTGGAATCCGGCATTTTGAAAGTGGAATACGGAATGTGAAAAGTGGTATCCGGAATTTGGAATACGGAATGTAAAATGTGGAATCTGAAATACAGAATTTTAAATGTGGAATTCGAAATATGTAAAATAAAAAGTAGAATCCGGAATGTGAAATCCGAAATGTGAATAGTGGAATCGGAAATGTGGGATCCGAAATAAGGAAAGTGAAATCCGGAATACGGGATTTAGAAAGTGGAATCCGGAATGAGGAATCTGAAATATGGAATTTTGAAAGTGGGATCCGGAATGTGGAAACTGGAGTACGGAATTTTGAAAGTGGAATCCGGAATGTGGGATCCGAAATACGGAATGTGGAATCTGGTAAGTGAGATCCAGAATACGGAATGTGAAATTTGGAATACGGGATATAGAAAGTGGAATCCGCAATCTGGAATACGGAATTTTAAAAGTGAAATCCGTAATCTGAAATACGGAAGTTTAGAAGTGGGATCTGGAATGTGCAATACGGAATGTGGGACCCAGAAAAAGTTACGTATTTAACCCCCAGCTTAAAAGCTTTTGCTCCCGCTGTAACTTCGACTTTCTGCTGTGAAATCGAAGCGAGAAATACATACTTTTGAACAAGGTATAAAGAAGCATAAATTTAATCAAAAATGCCAACAAATCCTATTGCATCTTTAGTTTTCTGAATCTTCTAAATCATCAATATCATACTACAATAATTGTCTCGAATTCAACAGTTGTGCGAATTATAATTAATGAAAAATGCATGAATTTATAATTAATAATAATCAATAATATAAAGAAATATGTTATAATTTACTCATGAAAATTATGTTATATTATATAAATATAATATAAATATAATAATATAAAAAGTTATTTATTAAACTCGATAAATTTTATGCTTGGAAATTTTGAATTTTTAAAGATCTGACACTTTTTCTTGTTTATTTAAAATCGTTACTTGAGTAACATGATTGCTAGTGTTCTGTTCGGACACTCAATTTGTTAAAAATATCATTTTTATATTTTCAGAAAATATTTTCGGCGCTTGTTAGTGTTACGACTCGGCATGCCTTTTTAAATGTCGTTTTAAACTGAAAGCTTGAGAAAACATTTGATTGCATTTATCACATTTATATGTCTTTGATCCATTATGAGAATTTAGATGTCTTTTTAAATGACTGGATAATTTAAATTTTTTGCCACAAAGTTGACAATGATGTTGTCGTACAGTGTCATGAGATGCTTTGTGACTTTTTAAATGACTGGATTGCGAAAACCTTTTATTGCACATATTACATTGAAATGGTTTCACTTTTGTATGAATTCTCGTATGTTCAACAAGATTACTTTTTTGAGTAAACGATTTATCACAGTATTTACATTTATGCAATTTTTTATCATCATGTGATTGTAAATGAATTTTTAAATTGTATTTTTTACTAAATTTTTTATCACAAATACTACACTCGAATAAACCTTTTCCACTGTGCAATTTAAAATGAGCATTCAAATTTTTAGCGAAACGAAATTTTTTTTTGCAAATATTACATTCAAGTCCATAAATCTTTTGTCTACCTTGCATATCGATTTGACTATTTGTTTTATGGGAATTCATATGCTCTTCTAAATAAGAAGGATAGGTAAAAATTTTGTTGCAAAATTTACATTGATAAATATTCGATTTTGTATGTAATCTTATATGTGCATTTAATTTACTTTTAGAAGCATAAGATTTTTCACATGAAAAACATTTAAAAGGACGAAGATTTGTGTGTAATAAACAGTGAGTTTCCAATTTAGATTTTTGGAAAAATTCTTGAGAACATTGTTCACATTTATAGATTTTGTTATTAGAATCTTCTAATTTATCTAAATGACATTTTTCTTTATATTTCAAAGAATTAGACTCATCAAAACATTGCTCAATCATTTTTGAATTATTTTGGGAATGAATAATTATGTCTGACTGAAATCTAGCACTATTCAATTGTGTTGTATCAGAAATAATAGAATTTTGAATTTCATTATTTTCATTCATAAACGAATGAAATGGATAATTAAAATTTGATAAAGACTTTTCCATTGTAGAATGAACTAAACTATTTGTAGATGGAATATTAAACTTGGAATTTTGTCTATTTTCAATGGTTTCTTCATTGCAAACTAAATTAATATTATTTGTGTCATGTGTTAAATTGTGATGAATAAGTTGTGTTCTATTTGTAAAAGTGTGATTACATAAGGAACAATGAAGAGCGCATGCAGCTCGATTGCTAATTAAATTATCTTCTTCTCTTAAGTATGGAATAGTTAACTTCGAAGGTTCATTAACATTATCTATATCAAGATTAGTTGAATTGACAACTGCGTGATTTAAATTCGGAAGCGAATTTTGAGATTCGGCAATACGCATATGTTGAGATGGTATATTATTTTCATGTTGTAGAGGAACATGTAACCGATTATGGAGACAAAGTTCCTGATAATTCATAAAAACTGCCCCACATTCTACGCATTTTAAAGTCTTTTGTGCATTTTGTAGTGGTACAAAGCCTTGATTTTGTTGGTAAAGTTTACATCCACTTACAGTCGTATAGGATGTCATTCCTTTTACCTGAAAATATACAGATTCGTCGAATTTCGAATACATCGCACATTCATAGTTTACGATCCGCCAGATCATGCTTTAAGTGCAACGACAGTTTTTTTTATAATTATAATAAATTATGTTTCATGCTAAAATCATACCAGATTTCTCTTCGTGTAGATCTTTAATTACATCAGGGTTGCCACGGAAAACTGATTTCAAAATTCCATGACTTTTCCAGGTTTTCCAGACCATTTTTTAAAAAATTCCAGACCCAAATATAGATTTTAAAAAATTAATTTTTAGCTAATTATGACAAAAAATACAAAATCCTTTAATTAAATTATTAATAAAATAATTTATTAGGATCAATTCAAAATTAATTATCCAATTTTTCAATCAAAAGAACTTAAATTAAATTATTATCGAAAATTTCAATTAAAATTCAATTATTTCCCAAAATTTTCAATTCAAAATGAACTGAAATTCAATTATTTCCAAATGTAAAATCAAATAAAATTTCATTATTCTCAAAAATTTGAATTCAAAATTAATTGAATTTTCAATAATTTGAATTTAAAAGCATCTAAAATTTAATTATTTCTAAAATTTTTCATCGAAAATTTTTTTTTTTAAATTTAATAATTTCAATTATAACTCTAAGGAAATTCAATTATTTTCAACTATTTTAATAATATTCTTTAAAAATTCAACTATCTGAAACCATTTTTCAATTAAAAATGATTTTCAAATTATTGTATTTTGACCGCATTTTCTAATAAATTTTTAAAGAAATCGTCTAAAATTTTAATTAAAAATCACTTAAAGTTTCAATTAATTTCATAAATCTCAATTTTAAATCTTTGAAAATTCAATTAAATTTAAAAAATGTTTTCCAAAAATTGTTTGATAAATTATTTTTAGTTCTGTAAAATTTAATAATTGTTTGAAAATTAACAATATCTTTTGAAATTTAATTATTTCTGAAAATTTCAACTTTAACCCTTCGAAAAGGATTATTATTAAAAAAAAATTTTTTATTTAAAAATCTGTAAAATATTTTTGTTAAAATAAAAAACAAATCCACTTTTTTGTGGAATATAAATCGACTAAAACGACTTTTTGTGTCTTTAAGTTGATTCGAGGCCTGTGTTTTTATAATTAATATTTAATAGGTATTTGTTGGCCCCTGGTACCTTAAAAATTAATTTTTCTCTAATTACTATCTTGTACGAAATTTCCTGGCGCATCTTTTTTCTCATCTTAAATTTTTTGTATTTGTATACAATTTTTGAATCAATATACAACTTTAAAAAAAATTTCGTTGGTAAACGAATTTTCGAATTTAGAATTTTAAAGATACTTATTCCGAAATTTGGAAACACAATTATACAACTTTGGCAAAAATGAGAAAAAGAATTGTCAAAATTTGACACGTCATAAGATTACTATTCAAAAAAACACGTAAAATCAGAAAAGGCCAACTTCAAGTTAGGACAGAAGGACAGACCAAGCATTTTATTATTATATAATTAGTTTAAATTATTTTATAACTAACACCATTTTTTACGTAATTCTTTGTATTTTTTAACATTTACATACTTCAAATTAATTTTTTCTTAAATTTTGTAAGAAATAATGACTGTTTCATATTTACCCCTAAATTTTAGCAAATTTGAAAAATTTAGGGGTAAATAGAAACAGTTGATTATTGCGAATTAATGATACCCATATTTTCTACTACCCCATAAAATTGTTCCACGGAAGTTAAATAATAACTCAATACACAAAAAAACCAAAAGTATTGCGATTTAAAAGAAAAAACTTATATTACACCGGCACACAAAAAAAAAAATTTCGAGTGCGAAGACCGCCACATGGTAGGTTCTCTTCCTTAAGATGTATCTAAAGAGAAAATCCTAGTCCGACCTCGAGTTTGGTTCTTGTTTCATTTTTACAGGCCTGGTGGGGGGGTGTAGTTTGAGAAATTAACATACATGGGAATTTAATTTCTTTTATCAACTGAAAGTGAATGTTTGCTTATTCTAACTGTGGATTTTGATTCAGTGGCTCTAATTACATGAAAATTTAATAAATACACAAATTTAAAAATGGCGGATCCAATATGGCGGACCTAAAATGGTGGATTTTTTGAAAAATTTGCTTGGATTTCCTTGAAACTTGTTACTAGGGGGTTTTTCGGGTCGCTGATTACGAATTTGATGTCAAATTTTATAAATTCAATATGGCGGATCCAATATGGCGGACCTAAAATGGTGGATTTTTGAAAAATTTGTTTGGATTTCCTTGAAACTTGTTACTAGGGGGTTTTTGGGGTCGCTGATTACGAATTTGATGTTACTTTTTCAAAATTCAAAATGGCGGATCTAATATGGCTGAAAATTTTCGAAAAATTGTTTGGTTTTTGTAAAAAATTGCTATTTTGGGCTGTTTAGGTTGCTGAATAAGATTCTGACACTTCTATTTTTTAAATTTTGCAATAGTGAATTTAATGTGGCTGACAATTAAAATTTTTTTATTTTCTCGATCGTTTACCCTGAATCTGAATTCACCAAAATTTAGTAATGGCTTGATGTAAAAGTTGTCAAAATATAACTGCCACATTAAATTCACTATTCCAAAATTTAAAAAAAAGAAGTGTCAGAATCTTATTCAGCAACCTAAACAGCCCAAAATAGCAATTTTTTACAAAAACCAAACAATTTTTCGAAAATTTTCAGCCATATTAGATCCGCCATTTTGAATTTTGAAAAACTAACATCAAATTCGTAATCAGCGACCCCAAAAACCCCCTAGCAACAAGTTTCAAGAAAATCCAAACAAATTTTTCAAAAATCCACCATTTTAGGTCCGCCATATTAGATCCGCCATTTTGAATTTTGAAAAACTAACATCAAATTCGTAATCAGCGACCCCAAAAACCCCCTAGTAACAAGTTTCAAGGAAATCCAAACAAATTTTTCAAAAATCCACCATTTTAGGTCCGCCAAATTGGATCCGCCATATTGAATTTATAAAATTTGACATCAAATTCGTAATCAGCGACCCGAAAAACCCCCTAGTAACAAGTTTCAAGGAAATCCAAGCAAATTTTTCAAAAAATCCACCATTTTAGGTCCGCCATATTGGATCCGCCATTTTTAAATTTGTGTATTTATTAAATTTTCATGTAATTAGTGCCACTGAATCAAAATCCACAGTTAGAATAAGCAAACATTCACTTTCAGTTGATAAAAGAAATTAAATTCCCATATATGTTAATTTCTCAAACTACACCCCCCCACCAGGCCTGTAAAAATGAAACAAGAACCAAACTCGAGGTCGGACTAGGATTTTCTCTTTAGATACATCTTAAGGAAGAGAACCTACCATGTGGCGGTCTTCGCACTCGAAATTTTTTTTTTTTTGTGTGCCGGTGTTATTGGTGAAACTTAGCAAATCTGTTTCTATTTACCCCAACTGACCCTAATAATTTCATATTCATACTCGATTCAAAATATTTATTTTACGTAATTTTATAAAGACAGCAACACCGTGTTACGCAAAAGAAAATATTTGACCAATAGAAACTAAGTTTTAGAAACGCCATATTGATTTCAACTCTAAGCACTAAATTTAAAATCGAAAAGTTGTAATGACAACTTGAAAAGTTGAGATTTTTCGATTCACATATTGCAAATTAAATTTTTAGAACGAGATTTTATAAAATTCCCTGACAATTCCAGGTTTTCCATGACTGAAAAAATTTCATGACAATTTCAGGTTTTCCAGGTTTTCCAGGTCCGTGGCAACCCTGTACATCTATTTTTTGAGTTAATTTTTTTATATAATTACAAAATTGAAATAGCATTTACCTTTAATAATGCTTGTCTTAGGGCTCTGTCTGCAACTCGACATTGTTCACGATATAATAAAGCAGATTCAGCACGAGTAACGCATTTATCGCACATTTTCTCTGGTAGACCATCTCCTTGACATACCTGCATTAATAATAATAATAACTACCCAGTAAAAAAAAACTAATTCAGATGAATTGAAATAAATTAACTTTTTTGGCGAGATCCAATTCGTATTTGTCGCTAAGCAAGATTCAGTGAAGCCCTTTGTATATTCAATTCAATTCGTACCAATGTCAAATTTAATTTTTTATTTTTTATAGCTGTGTAGAATTTACTGATGTAGTATTTATTTGTGTAGAATTATAAAAAAAAATTATTTTTCTAATTCTAAATCTTAATGTGTTGAGTTTATTTGTGTAGAGTTTATGGAGAAAATTTTATAGCTTATTGTATAGCGTTTTTCGATGTAGTATTTAATTGTATAGAATATATTTTCATTTTATTTTGGTGAGAATTTACTCGTGTACAGTTAGCGGTAGAGTACTTTTTTGTGTAGATTTTTCTCGTTTTAAATTTAATTATTTTCATTTAATGTGTACAGTTTATTTGTGAAGAATTAAATTATTATTATTTGATGTGTAGAATTTATAAATGTTGAGTTTAATTGTGTAGAATTTTACAAATAAGCCGAAATAAAGGAAAGGTTTTATTCATGTGTAGAATTTAATTCTGTCGAATTGAATATTTTATTTTTCAGAGCTGTGTAGAATATACTGATGTAGTATTTATTTGTGTAGAATTATAAAAAAAAAGTATTCTTATTTTTCTAATTCTAAATCTTAATGTGTTGAGTTTATGGAGAGAATTTTCTAGTTTATAGTTTATTGTGTAGGGTTTTTCGATGTAGTATTTAACTGTGTAGAATATATTTTTATTTAATTTTGTTGAGAATTTACTCGTGTACAATTAGCGGTGCAGAATTTTCTTGTGTAGAGTTTATTTGTGTTTAATTCGTATCGCCCCCTTAATTTTTATATTATTTTTTTAGTAACTTTCTCCATAAACAGTGGCGCACACTCGGCTGGAGCAGGGGGAGCGGCCGCTCCCCCTGGTCTAAGGGTGGGTGGTGTCCAGAGGGTGGATAAAAATATAAATAAAAAATTAAAATTTTACATATAAAAATGAGCTGAAACATATTGAGTTGAAAAATTGCATGAACACGCGTATTTTTAACTTTGATTAAACAATTATCAAAATGTTTTGTTTTTAGAAAAAGGGTAAAACCATTTGTAAGTTACATGGGAAATGACACTTTACGCCTTCATGCAATTTTTTTTGCTTGTCAGAATTTTTGCAGGGGGGGGGTCCCAAGAAGTTAGCGCCGCTCCCCTTCTCCGAAAACCAATGTGCGCCACTGTCCATAAAGATGAACATTTAAACCATTATTAATTTATAATTATTAAAAACTGAATATTGTCCCAGTAAGAAGCGAAAAATTAATAATAATTGAGAATTTTTAATTCTTTTGAATTCCATTTCTATCCAATTCTTTTATATTCATTTGGAGTATTTGAAAATAAGTTGAATTTAATTTTAATTTCAATACCATTTAAAATTTTATGCAGAACAAAAATTGTCGGTCCGAAGATTTGAACCTACGATTATGAAGAAACTACAGATCGAATTAAAAGGCGACGACAAAAATGTAAAACACATATTTGATGTTTTAAGATTAAAAATCCGTTGAATTTAAAATTCTAGCTAATTCTGTTTTTGAATTATTATAAAAATAGAGTTTTAAGGAGATTATGCAACAAAATATAATATTTAATATCTTAATAATATACATGTTTTTATTTATAATTATACCATTATATATAGTGACAATTTAAAACAGTTCAATCATACTTTAATATTTATTTCATATATGCATAATTTTGTTCTTTGCGATTGTCATATAGCCATCAGTATTTATTGTTATTTTTATAAAAGGTTTTTCTATCATTATTATTTATTCTATATACTTTTTCTTTCAATAAAAATAAAAATATTCCTAACCTCTAAACAAGATAAAGACCGCAGTTTTGCAGCAAGTGATGACCCAGATGGACCAACAAATAAGCACACCATTTTATCATTATCTTCTCTTAAACATGTGCGACACAGTTTACTAATATTTTCACTGTCAATCTTCTTTGTAACTATAAACATTATTGAAATGTTTACATATCATTCAAAACTGTATATTAATTCAAATGTTCATCTGTCCCTAAGGCTCAACACACACTGTTTACATTAACCAGGGTTGAGTAATTACGCATGACAAAGTTTTTCGACGACGAATTTTACTACATAAAATACGTAACATATGTAGAAAATGTATATTACCTACCCATCCCTGGTTGGAATATATTCGTGCGGTTCACATTCTTGATCATAATTTATCTATGACTAAAAATGAACAACTGTCTACTAAACATAACCTATATTTAAAAGTTTAATGTTTTTACTGTTCTCATTTTTATTAATAAACTAAAATTTTTATTTAGAATCATAAAAACTAATATTGATTTTATTTAATTGAATTTATGAGATTTTATATTTGATTTATTAAAACAACAAATTTTTTTGAGGTAAAGTCTCGATAAATAATTTTTTTATTTTTAAATAAACAATTTGAAAAATATCTTTATTTTTGAATTCATCACAGTAAAAATATACATAAAATATTAATTATATATTATACTTTTCATATTTTTTACTGAAAATTAAATATTAAATTTTTGTAATTTTAATGGTTACTCATTTTTCTTTTTTTTTAATTAAAAACTTTAGCCTTTTACGCATCAAATGAGAAGAATTTTGAGTGACATTCGGAGCGTATTTTAAATCACAATTGTTTAAAAAAAAAATGAATAACAATTAATAAATTTAATTTTACAATAATCGCTTTAAATTGGACTGTAAAATATAGACTTATAGCTTTTATTTAAAAAATCGACAAATCTTTATTTCCGAGTAATTGTTAAATGAACAATTCATTTTTTTTATTTAATTATTTAAAAACAAAATATAATAATAATTAAAAGCAGAAAAGAAGAGAATTTAATCGTAGATTGAATCTAATAGTGTGACTATGAAAACAAAAACTGCAATAACTCAGCTAATTTTTAACGAATTCTGTTCAAAAAAATCTCATTTTACACATAATTAAATACTCTTTAAAAGCATAAACAGAAAAAAATTATTCTAAATGAAATTCGTGTTTAAGTTAAAAATTTACAATTTTTTATCTTTTTTCCAATTTTTCTGACCTTATTTTAGATATAACAAAAAACACTTGTTAGGATTAAAAGGCTTTTTTCTTCAGCTTTGAAATGAAAAAAAATCCTTGAATTTGAACCAAAAATGTCAAAGTTACAAGCTATTTTATATACAAAAAGTACAAAAAAGCGGTTTTTTGCTTTAAAATTAAATTTTTTGTTTGTTTGAGTTATTTAATATTCACCATTCTTTTCAGTTTTTCAAGACGAACAAGTTAGGGTAGATCCGATTCAAAGTAATTTTTCACTATCACATAGTGTAATTTTGTACCTTGAACATTATTTTATAGAATATTGATTGTCATATTTTTATTGATGAAAAAATTTTTATTTTTAGATAAATTATTCTTTAACATGGATCAATTAGCAGATTCCGTTGTTGTAGTTAAAGCGAAACCAGTTCGTAAAGTATTCAAAGCTCCAGTCAAAGTTAATAAAATACCTCAATCACTACTTAATGATCCGTTAATTAATGCCGCCATGTCGGCTTTGCCTTCGAATTATAATTTTGAAATACATAAAACAATATGGAGAATTAAAGAAAATGGATCAAAAAGAGTTGGGCTACAAATGCCCGAAGGTCTTTTAATGTTTGCCACTACTATTAGTGACATTATAGAAGAATTTACTGATGCTGAAACTGTTATTTTAGGAGATGTAACTTATGGTAATATTGAATTATTATTTAAAATATTATACTTTCAAAAAGAGCATTTAAAAAATTTATTTTTTAATTTACAGGTGCCTGTTGCATTGATGATTTTTCTGCAAGAGCATTAGATATTGATTTTTTAATTCACTATGGACATTCTTGTTTAATTCCAATAAACCAAACTGAAAGCATAAAAGTTTTATACATATTTGTTGACATAAAAATTGATATTATTCACTGTGTTGAATGTTTAGAATCAACAATACCAATAAACAGTAAAGTAGCTCTCGTCAGTACAATACAGTTTGTTGGAAGCTTACACGCTGTTGCGACAGAATTAAAAATGAAGGGATATGAAACAATAATACCTCAATGTAAACCATTAAGTCCAGGAGAGGTATTTCTATATCTTTTTTACAGCCTTTAAAAAAATAACTATTAAATCTTGACAACTTTATTAAAATCAATTTCTATCAGATTGGATATTCAGTTGAAACTGGTTAAGAGAGAAACCTCTATAAGGGAGAGTCGTTGGCTAGTCTCGCCATTTTTACACTCAAAAATCTCTGTAAGAGAGAGTCGTTTTTCTCGCTCATCAGTGAAAACAACGAAAGTCCATGAACGAAAAAATGAAACATTTTAATTTGCCGGAATCTTCATTTTATAAAATCATAAAAAGTAATGTGCCTAAAATTCTGAACGTTCAAATGAATAAAATTCCTTTTTTTGTTGTATAAATTATTTAAAAATTCTCACAAAAAATTTAGACTCATTTTTGTTGAAGTTCATAATGAAAAATGCTAAACGACATAGAATATGGCGCCACCTACGAGGCACATTTTTGATGCATTAGGTTTTTTGAAGGATTTAACAAAGTAGTAAACATTTTTCGTTTATTTGAACGTTCAGAACTTTAGGGACGTAAAACGTAAAGATTTCTATAAAGTTAAAATGTACTGAAGGACATAGAAATGTTAAAAGAATCCGAAGTTTTTAATAAAATTTATACGCTTCAGATGGAAGTTAAAAATATTGAAACCAGGGTGTCTAACGGTCAGGGAAATGTCAGGGAATTTCAGAAAATTTCATTCAAAGTCAGGAAAATTTCTGTAAATTTCTACAAAAATTAAAATTTTTTGTGAATTTAAAAATTTTTTAATCTAAAAAAACTTGAATGGTTTTTATTACCATTTGTTACTACTATTAGAAATTAATTTATTGTTAAATATGTCAGTAACCATATTTTTATCCAAAGAAAGAAGAAATAAGGTTATTAAAAAGTCAGGGAAAAATCAAAAAATGTCAGGGAGAAGTCATGGAAAAGTCAGGGAATTTTTTTCTCAATCCTTGTTAGACACCCTGTGAAACAAAAAAACAAACAAAAATCACAGATTTTCTTAAATGTAAATAAATAATATTTTATAGTCTAATTCATACATTATAAACAAACAAAAAGAATCTTTTTTAGTCAAATATTGCATATTAAAGTAATTTTAAAAAAAAATAATAAACCTCTGTAAGTGAGAGAAAATTGCCAGTTCCTTGAACTCTCTTATCCAGGTTCGATTGTATATCAATATCTCCTAAATCCATTTATATCATTTATTTTAACTCAATATCAAAATAAAATATTTTCATAATATAAATTTATAAAATTATAACATATGATTGAATTGTAGATTTTAGGATGTACATCACCAAGGATTGGTTGTGCAGATATAATTGTTTATATAGGCGATGGACGATTTCATTTGGAAGCAGTTTTAATAGCTAATCCCACGTTGAGGGCTTACAAATATGATCCGTATGAAAAAAAAGTTACTGAAGAACATTATAATCATGAATTAATGCGAAACTATCGAAAGAATGCCATTAATCAGTCAATGAATGCTGAAACATTTGGACTTTTATTGGGAACTCTTGGTCGCCAAGGAAGTAGAAGTGTTCTTTCGAATTTACAAGATCAATTAAAAGTTTTAAAAAGGCCGAATATCATTATTTTACTTTCGGAAATATTCCCAAACAAACTAAAATTATTTGTTCAAATAGATACATTTGTGCAGGTAATAATATAATAATTCATATAAATATAACGTTTTAATTTATTTCTAAGTTTAATTAATCATTTATTTTAGGTGGCTTGTCCAAGATTAAGTATAGATTGGGGTGTAACGTTCGCAAAACCACTTTTAAATCCTTATGAAGCAGCTGTAACATTAAGTATGGCTAATTTCAATGAGGATGAACCGTACCCAATGGATTTTTATGCACATGCTAGTCTTGGACCTTGGACACCAATTCATAAACCATCTGAATTAGATAAACAAATAAATTCTAGTTGTGAAAATTGTAGAAAAAGAAAATAAGAATTTTTTTAAACTATTAATTAATGTTTCATATCTTTTTATATATTATAGTTTAATTTATTTGTTATTTTATTTATTTTTATTAATTCTGTAATTATTTTCACAATGACTATTTAATTTTCATTAAAGGTCGAACGGTTTAATTCTTATTTTAATGTTTCCTTTTTCAAAATAGCATTTAATCGAATTTCACTATTTTGTATGCGACAAAAAATTTTGTCATACTTTAAATATGTTTTTTTATGAAAAATTATTTCATTGTTAGGAATTGATTTAATTTCTACAGTTTTAATAAACTTTCTATTAAACCTATTTAATAGAATCTTAAAGAAACTCTTGAAAATTCTGGATTCAGAAACAGGATTGAAATGGAAAGACTTTTTTTTCATTTCTATCCACCTTTTTAATTGTTAGGGCAGTGACTCTTTTTTGCTTACTAAGCTGTTTTGCAATAATATACATTTGGTTAATTTATATTATGTATTTATTTTGTTCGAGTACATTATCCCGCATGTAAACTGTATGAGTCATTGAACTACTTCAAACCAGTTGTACATCTTTACTGCTATGTGACGAAAATATTTTTGCCGCCTTAATAATTTATTTTTTCTAGATACAATTTGTGACCCATTTTATCCCAAAAGTTATTTGCGAATAATTAAATATAAATCAGTCTAGCAATTCTTATAATAATAATTTATCGATAGTAGTCTTTAGATTCTCCACACAATACACATACAAAAACAATTGATTCCATTTCATCGCCACTACGCAATTGTGCATCAGATGAAGCGAAAATATGTCGACAATTTGATTCTACAGGTATTTTGTATGATGACAAGTTCTCAATAATCTTATCAATTTCAAGTGATTCAGAATCGATAATCTTATTTTTCGTTTTATATTTTTTGTTGTTTTTTACATCTTCAACATTATGACCCTGCTCTACTGTTACTTGTTGATGTGTTGAGGGCAAATTGCAATCATCAACTGTAAAATTAATTTTTAGGTCACTTAAATGAAACAAAAATTAAATTTTTCAGCTACTTACTTACAAGTAGGTAAACAGTTGATATTCTTATTTTGCTGTTCTTGATTTACATTTGTAATCAAATTATTAAGTGATTCGATCTCCATTTGTCGAATATTTAATTTTGGAATTTCATCTGCATTATTAGTTGACGTTAATGTATCTAATGATTGGTTACTAGCATGTTTGATTTTTTTCTTTTTTTGACAATGTTTCTTTGTTAACGTTGAATTCACCTTCTTCCTCTCTGGATCAATTTTTCTTAACTTTTTCTCTATAAGAAACTTTTTTCTATTTTTAGATTTAGTTTCTAAAAAATCTAATTGCTTTTTGTTTTTAATGTTTTTTTTCTTAAAATCTTTTAATAATGTTTCATTTTGCAAATGTTCATTTGATAGTATATTTGCGTCATTTTTAGTTTTGATAGAAGTTTTATTGGATTTTGTATTTACCTTCTCACACTGTTTCTCGGACATTTTATTTTTCTGTTGCACAGAAAAATCGGGAATTAAGAAAAACTTATTAAAATTATCAAAGTAGCTTTGTATAGTCAATGATTGCATGCAAATACACTTTTTACAAAAAAGAGAAATGTGTAAGAGAAATTACGATGCAAAACTAAATCGGAAACAAAGTAGACGTACATTTTTATACACGACAATTTGAGTTTTAATGACAGTCAACATACTGCGACAAACATAAAAGTGTTGCACAAAAAGGAATTAAATGATAATAGCATCGACTATTTCTATCATTTTCTATAAATTTTTGTAAAAGCAAGTTTTAGACTGATTTTAATTAACAAAAAGTGCTCGAAGATTCTCTTCGGATGCAATAAAACAACCCATATAGAAAACATTATATTATTAATGCTAACATTACTAATTTTAGAAATTAAAAAAAAAATGACGTGAATTTAAGAGAAAGATCCAGAATTTTTTCTTTGCAAAAATAAATAAAAATTTCCAGAAAAATAATTTTATGGAAAATCTGCATAACCCTTGGTATTCAAGGCAGATACTGCCGTCAAGCTTTAAACTTCGTAGGTAAAGGTCCCTGGAATTTCGCTATCGCGACACTTGCCGTTGCCGATCTTTCTATATTTAATAAAGATGCAACTCACATAGCACAATATCTTTCTGAAAATTTTCTAGAAAGATTGGATATATTCAAATAGAAAATTCAAATATATTAAAAAGTACAGAATAGGATTTATTAGAAATCATTAAATTTTACATAAAATTGTCCTAAAGTACAAAGCAAGATTTTTCACAATGAAACAAAGTCTGACAAAAATAAACTATTACTTAAAAATTAATTTTCACTTTATTACAAAAAAGTAAGAGAAACTGATGAAATCCTGAAACTACATTATCGTCCAAGGTTCAAAATTTTTCCACACATAGTATCAGGATTAAATAAAAATAAATTATCATGAGGACTTTCTTTCTGAGAGACAGCCTTAATTATTTCCTGTCCCATAACACCTCCAAGGATTGCACACACTGGACTTATTTGTGCATACAAATTTCCTCTGTAAAGAAAATTTTATTTTTAATTAAATTTTTCTAAATGTTTATTCTAAGAAACATGTAAAAATTAAATTTTACTATGGAAAAAAAAATTCATGTGTTCAATGATCTCCGAAAATTTATAGAGATTAATATTCATTTTTACTTTTATATACTTACTCTAACAATGATTTTAAAGTGTCGCCAAGTTCATATGTTTCAATAACTGCTTCATATTCTTCTTTAAGGCCCTTCAAAGATGTCTGACGCGAAATAGGATCGTTACCATATTTTTCACGATAATTCAATAATACTAAAAATAAATTACATTTTTTTCATAAATACAATCATAAGTACTTTCTCTTAAAGTAGTGAAGAAAAAATATCACTTACTTTGCATTAAATAGTAAACTTTATCATCTTTTGACAATTTTTTGATATTTAAAATCTTTTCAAATGGTACATAAGTTACCACTCTTTTTACAGTTGTCGTTACACTTTCAAATTTGTCTTTAATACTAGTATCACCACCTTCTGGTACGTGTACTTTTTTCATCTGCACAATATCTCTGAAAATCGGACAATATTTAATTATAAATAAAAGTTGGCGATAAAAAAAAAACGATAAAACTCATTGTTCTTGATCAGACTTGACGATAGCTAAATCAAACTTCGAAAATAAAAATAATATTATGGGAAAAATTGGCCCAGAAACTTACTCAACGAATTCGTGTGTTCCTAAATCAGCGAATGTGTAACCAAACATGCCCCAAACATCTCCAACAAAGAACTTAATATTTTGTTTTCTCGAGATTTTATTCAAACGTTTAATTTGAGTCACACTGCATTCCGAAGCACATATTACATCGAAATCCTCGAAGAACTCATCAGGCTTATCATCAACTTTACTTGTATCTGCACTAACTAATACCATTGGATTTAAGTTCTGTGCTCTTTGTAATGATGCCTCAGCTCTCTAAAAAATTATAAATATTTTAAAAATATAATACTACTGTCCGAAATTACCACTATGGCTTGAGCGAGTACTATTCAAAACACACCCTTATTAAATCATGTTGTCTAAAATCAAAGATACTTAATCACCAGGAGTTTTCATGCTAGTTAAACACGAATTTGACATCAATTATTATTTAACAAATCTTTAACTAAAATTCTTCTTAAAATTAATTATTTTCAATAATTTAAATGAAATTCTTCACAAATTCAATTATCTTAAACTATTTTTGAATTAAAAATTTCATGAAATTCAAATAATTGTTTAAATTAAAAAAAAATAAGCAAATAAAATTACCAAAAATTTCATTTCAAAATCATTTGAAATTCAATTATTTTCAAAAATTTTAATTTAATAATTTCTAAAATTTAATTATTTAAACTATAACTATTTCGAAATTCAATTTTTGTTTGTAATTTCTAATAAATTCTTTAGCAACAGAAATCATCGAAAATTTCAATTAAAAATCACTTGAAGTTCAATTATTTTCAAAAATTTTAATTTTAAATTTTTGAAAATTCTATTGTTTTAAAAAAAAATTTTATCTAACATTATTTAATAAATGTGACGCGATCTGAAGAAAGGGACCTTAGAAGCAAATGAATTATAGGTTATCATTAAGACAGTTTTACTTGAACTAAAAGTTTATTTTTGTTTTTTTTAAACGTAAATTAGTATTTATTAAATATTTTGAAGTTAATGAAGACCTAAATATCATTAATTTGCATTACGAGTTGAACGTTTTTGTGTATTTTCACTTTAAAATTTCCAAACGTAACCTATAATTTTTTGCTTCTAAGGTCCCTTTCTTCAGATCGCGTCACAAATTATTTTCAATTCTGTACTTAATTATTGTCTGAAATTTAACAAAATCTTTTAGAATTTAATTATTTCTAAAAATTTCAATTATAACTCTTCCAAAATCCAATTATTTTTAATAATTTTAATATTTCTTCGAATACCTATTCAATTATTTAAAAAAGTTTATAATAAAAACTTTAAAATTGAATTGTAGTTAAAAATGTATTTAAAAAACTACAGCAGTTTAAATTTGCAGAAAATTTATTTTAAATTTAAAATCTTTTGCAATTCAATTATTTAAAAAAATAATAATTTTAAAATATATAAAATTTAATTACATATTGTTGGAAATTTTTTTGCTTATTTAAACTGAAAACTATACCAAAATTTTAAATTTCAATAAATTGATTAAATTAAACTTCAACAAATTTTCATAATGTAACTAATAATTTTTTTTTAGAAATATGTATGTCCGACTTAATTGAAATTTTGTCTTAGTTTCGATTCTGAAATATTCAAAATAAATTTTCTTGATAATATTCTTACAGAATTATTCTTATTAAGGAATTAATAAAATGAATTAAATATCTAATAACATTAGTTATTTAAAGTAAAATATTTATAAAATTAAGTAATTAAAATTAATTAGGTAGCTGAATAATAACGAAAACATTCGTTAATATAATATAACATATTACAATATAAAAATTTCTATAACATTGGAGAACAATAGAAGTTGGAGTCAATTACAAGTAAACAAATAAAACCCAGTTTACATACCAAAAAAATTATTTTTTAAATTAAATAAATAAATAATTAAAACAACTAATTTATACAGGAATGTTAACTTCTGTCCAATGTTACTTGGTGAAATCTCTATTTATACATTTGACGAATTATTATTTTATGATGAATTTTATTCGACTAATGATTTATAATTTTTTACGTAATTTATTCCTAATTTTTCACTACCTGAAGAGGAAATCATTTCGATTTCAAAACGTTGGAAATAAAAGATTGAATTTAATGAACAAAATTATCCACCTACCTAATTGAAATTAAATTTAATTAAATTAAAATACTATTGTTTTCGTTAAATTATTATGCAATGCTCTTTGTATGTGGCAAACCGGGAACATCTTTTCAATGTGGAAGATGAACAATACGGCCCTAGTGTAGCCGATTGAGTCGTAAGTTTCTCCAATCATGTTTTATTCAATCATTTATGTTTAAACACGTTTTGATAAAACTCGTGTTTTTCAAACATTCTACTAAGGCTTTGACTAAAAGTTTTTGGTCAATCGAAGCGGTTTTTTTTTATAAATTGTTCAGCGAACATTTCTCTAGGACAGAACACAAGCTTTTTCGAAAATATTATATTGCTCTTTACAATAATAAATTGTGCTGTATGGGTTATGTTACGATAAAAAAAATTAAAACGTTAAAATATTGAAATGTGTAATATTGCTAAAATAAAATTTATAATGTAATATACTTTTTATATAGTGACTTACATTTTCTCCAATTTGATCTACAGACAATAGAAATTGGGAACATCTATCTATCTGAGTAACAGATCTATGATCCAAAAATGTTATAGATTTTATACCAGCAAGTATTATATTCTTTGCTACTTCAGCACCAAAACCATTTAATCCAATTAATAGAATTTTTGCAGCACGCAAGCTGTAAAAGAAAATTTATATATTAACATAAATGAAAATCAAAAAAGGGATTTCAAAAATGAGTTCTGAAAGAACAATTATTTACCGCTTTTGTGATTCAAGACCCCAAAGACGAATTTGACGGTCATATAATTCCGCCTCTGCATCTGTTAATTCTGAGTTATTTGGAATTTTAACAAACATTTTTAATGCAATATTTATAATTATCACTCAAAATAGAAACGATTGAAAGAGGTTATAGGCCGGTAACGCTAAACCATGATATTATGAACAGGTCCGGCTACCAAGGTTGGATAGTTTGTATGGAACAAAGTGCTCATAAAGGTGAAATCACATGAAGGCGTTTAAATTTGTAACTAATAAGTGCGAAAAGGACAAACATATATCTTTATCTCTCTCATACTCATTATCTAGTTACAAAATTTTACGTTTTACGCTTCCATGTAAAGACTTTCGCGGATTTATTGTGCTTAGGCCCTTAACAATCACACATGGTAAAGGCCTAAGCAGAATAGATTCTTGAACGGGAACGCAATCGTGAACGGAAACGTAAGAATGGGTGAGAGAAGAATAAAGATATTTGCTATCCTTCTCTTACACATTCTTACGTTTCCGTTTACGATTGCGTTCCCGTTCAAGAATCTATTCTGCTTAGGCCTTAAACATGCAGGTTAAATGACTAGTTATCAGAATGACAACAAATATAATACTTTAAAAAATTTTATTTTCAACAATAGTGTTTGAATTAAGAAGATACAGTGAGTCCATATGTATAATAATATATTTATGTGTAGCTGTAAAATAAAAACTTACGTTTAAAAGTTGAATTAAATCATTAATTACAGGTTAGAATTACTCTAAATAAAATAAATTATTTTTTAAATAATTATTTATTCAATTGTTAATGTGACTGACAATGATCACTGACATAATAATTAACTAAATTCTATAACTATATAAATGTTTTAAGTAATTATGAAATTTCGTGCTGATATATAACCTATAAAATGTTAACAAATTTAATTAAATAATATTACAGATGTATTGATAATGACATACATATACGTTAAATGTCGAAACGTTTACCTATGTTAATTCAAACCACAAAATTAACTACTAAAAGAATATATTGACTTATTAAATTAAAACTAAGACTTTAGTCATTAACATCTTATACCAAATAATTTTCTAATAATATTACTTTGAATTTAATACTCGGCGGGATATTTAATAATTAAGATGATAATATCGATCACTCCGAATCAGAATTAAAAAATAATTCTTTTACGTTTCAGAAACTAAAACTTTATTACAAAAAATCACTTTTAAAAAAATTACACAGCAATAAGTTATAAACAATATAAATAACGGTTTTCACTTTAAATAAAAATAATAATAATAAAAAATAAAACATTTGAAATAAAATTAAGATATTTTAAAATTTTGTGAGATTATAAAACGTCTAGATCCGTACAACATCTAGATCGATATTATCTTAATTATTTTTGACATATTTAAACTTTTTAAACAATAAACAGCAAAGTTAACGATCACTCAAAGTCAAGGAAATTAAAAACATTAAATATCACAAAAAATCGGACAAGTGCGAGTTGCACTCGCACTAATTCGAGGGTTCCGTACACCGACAATAATAACCTCTTTTTTATATAGAAATAAATTATAAATAACTGGACAGGGTCATTTTATGTAATTTTTTCGAAAAAAAACCGATCTCGGATTATACGACTTTTTCCGACTTTTTTCAAAAATACGACTTTTATCGACTTATTTTAATAAAATGCGACATTTTTTTTACATTTCAAAAAAATGTAAATAAAATACATTTTTTAGTATAAAATGTAGATCTTCTTCAGATTTTCTTCAATTCAATTATTTAACAAATTTTGAACTAAAATGATTCTTCACTAAATTAATTATTTTTAATAATTTTAATGAAATACATCACAAATTCAATTATATCAAAATTATTTGTCAATTAAAATTTTTATGAAATTTAACAATTGTTTATAATTTAAAAAAAAATATCACAATAAAATTGAATTATTTTTTAAAAATTTCAATTCAAAATAAACTAAAATTCAATTATTACCCGAAATTTTAATTCAAAATCAATTAAAAATCCAATAATTATCTAAAATTTTCAATTTAAAATTTAATTATTATTTACCAAGTTTTCAATTTAAAATTAAATAAAATTCAATTATTTTCTAAAATTTCTATTCAAAATTAATTATCCAAATTTTCAATCAAAAATGAACTTAAATTAAATTATTATCCAAAATTTCAATTAAAATTCAATTATTTCCCAAAATTTTCAATTCAAAATGAACTGAAATTCAATTATTGTCCAAATTTAAAATCAAATAAAATTTCATTATTCTCAAAAATTTGAATTCAAAATTAATTGAATTTTCAATAATTTGAATTAAAAGCATCTAAAATTTAATTATTTCCAAAATTTGGATTCAAAATTAATTGAATTTTCAATAATTTCAATTATAACTCTAAGGAAATTCAATTATTTTTAACTATTTTAATAATATTCTTTGAAAATTCAACTATCTGAAACCATTTTTCAATTAAAAATGATTTTCAAATTATTGTATTTTGTCCGCATTTTCTAATAAATTTTTAGTTAAATCATCTAAAATTTTAATTACAAAACACTTAAAGTTTCAATTAATTTCAAAAATCTCAATTTTAAATCTTTGAAAATTCAATTAAATTTAAAAAATGTTTTCCAAAAATTGTTTGATAAATTATTTTTAATTCTGTAAAATTTAATAATTGTTTGAAAATTAACAATATCTGTTGAAATTTAATTATTTCTAAAAATTTCAACTTTAACCCTTCGAAAAGGATTATTATTAAAAAAAAAATTTTTTATTTAAAAATCTGTAAAATATTTTTGTTAATATAAAAAACAAATCCACTTTTTTTGGAATATAAATCGACTAAAACGACTTTTTTGTGTCTTCAAGTTGATTCGAGGCCTGTGTTTTTATAATTAATATTTAATAGGTATTCGTTGGCCCCTGGTACCTTAAAAATAAATTTTTTTTAAATTACTATCTTGTACGAAATTTCCTGGCGCATCTTTTTTCTCATCATAAATTTTTTGTATTTGTATACAATTTTTGAATCAATATACAACTTTAAAAAAAAATTTCGTTGGTAAACGTTGTGTACTTCAGCTTCGTGAATTGAATTTTCGAATTTGGAATTTTAAAGAAACTTATTCCGAAATTTGGAAACACAATTATACAACTTTGGCAAAAATGAAAAAAAGAATTGTCAAAATTTGACACATCATAAGATTACTATTCAAAAAAACACGTGAAATCAGAAAAGGCCAACTTCAAGTTAGGACAGAAGGACAGACCAAGCATTTTATTATTATATAATGTTGAGAAACGCATTTGCTCTATAGAACCTAATCCACAAAGGAACAATGAAAATTTAGTTTACAAAATATTATCAAAATTTTTTTTGTCCTTTTTTCCTATTCTTTAAGAAAAAAAAAAACTTCTTCCATTCTAAACAATTATAACATTTTAACTATCCCAACCAAAAACGAAAATATGAATCATAATTTAATAATAATAAAAAGAAAAGATAAAAGTAAAAAAAAATCCGAAAGTACAAATTCAATGTACGAAACAAGTAGCAAAAATTGTTCACGTACAATTTATTTTTTAGAATTATATTATTTTCTGTAGAATTTTAAATTCAGTTGATTTTTATTCTAAAACAATTCACGAACATCTTTATCAACTTCGTTTGTGGTGAAATATTTGCACAAAATTTTATTCATCACCTTAAATTTTTATTTTTTACCAATTTTTTTAAGGAACTAACAGAATATATTTTTATACTGTTTTACACCTATTTCAGACAATTGGTATAACTTTTGTTTATTTGACTTTAGATTCATATGATTTTGTACAGTTGATGCATACTATCGTTTAATATTTTTTATTAATGAAAATTTTCACAGTTTAAATATTTTAGGTTCAAGCAGTATACAATCAAGATTAACTGTTTCAGCAGAAAAAAGCAGTGTATATCGAAAAATAGTAGACTTGCAAATGCTGAGATGAAAGGAAACAAAGAGATTTATTCTCAAAACTTTTTGATGTACGTTACTATACAATAATGTTTAAAAACAATATTTATTATTTTATTCTCCTTCGTTTAGTCGGTCAAAAAAAAATCGATTTTTTTTTGTTTAAAAATATTTTTGAACACGTGGAGAATGCTCTCTCGAAATTGTAGTTGAAAGATAATTAAATATTGTTAAAAGCGATGCACCACTTATTTTACAAACTTAAAAGAAAATTGATTTATTTTTTCTTATCTGTTAATATTTAGAGCCGAACAACTTTTACAAAATAGAGGAATTCGTTATAATACTGTGGATGAATATGAGAGATATTCAAATCTCCTTCCAAAAACTGGAAAAAAGCTTTTTGAACCTAAATGTTCATGGTTGGAGTGTAAACAATTGGAGAAAGGTTTACAATATAGAAGTGATTTATTAGTTATTGAAAGAGTTGAAAGAAAATCACAAATAGCGGTCGGAGAATGGTTACCCGATGAAGAAAAAGTACGAGTAATCAAAAAATCTGGACAAGAATGGGCAAATTTTGGCACCGAAGTAAATTCGGTTCTTCTTTTGAATCCTGAGGAAGCATTGTCGTTACTTGAAATGGTATTTTAATTTAAATACTTACGATCAATGAAAATAAATAAATATATTTCAAAAATATTACCTCTTTTTTCAGAACTCTATAGAGCTTCTTTGGGAGAAAGTCCCAATGTCTATACAACAGGCATATGATATTTTGCTGAATTTTGATAAATTTGGCTGTTCTTTAGAAAACTATAAAGTTTACAATCAATTTGTTAGGTATGGATATCGTCTTCTTCGTCATTGTGGTAATAAATCAACAACACCAAGAGGAATAAATAAACAGTCATTGTTCAGACTAAAACCAGTAGTTATTTCGCCTCATAATGGCCTTCGAAAATTTACTGAATCTTTAGAAATAAATCTTAAAGGAAATACAAGCAATACTGATAGATCTAAGAAACAAAATTCAGAAATCTCTGACAATAATGAGAATATGATTGACGATTGTGTACAAGAAGTGATGGAAAATATTGTCATTCATTTGGAGTCACAAAAAGGATCCGAAAATAATTCTTCAATAAATTCTTTGAATAAAAATAATGAATTTGAAGAAATTCCCAATTCCACAGGATCAAAAAAGAGGAAAGTTTTTAAAAATGTCAATAGACTAGATACCAATAATCAAAATAAAAGAAAGAAGATAGAAGTTAATATTAATGATAATGAGAAACAAGGACAAGAGGTAAATTATATATTTATAATTATATTGGAAATTTGTTAACTTAATATAATAGAAGACTTTTAAATTGTTCACAGGTGATTTATCTTTCTGATGATGAAATTGAAGAAATATGTAAACCTATAACACGGCTAGAAGTGTTAAATCAGTTACCAGATTTGGCTTCTCAATCACTGAAAATAACATCTCGAAATATGAAAAAATACTTACCAAGTAGTATAAACTTACAGAAGGATGTTTATTACTTTGATAAAATAAAAGGTCCAAATATAAATAGAACAGATAAGAGTAATAATACATCTCAAAATATATCTTCTAAGAGAAATTTTTATTCAAGAAAGCAAAATTATGCAAATCAATGTGCAATATGGAATTCAAATGCACAATTTAAAAACAAATCTGTTTTACATCAAATAAACAGTCAAATGAGATTTCATACAACACTGCAACGAACAAATACGTTTTCAGAATTTCGATATTTACAGTATTATAATAATTATTTTTCCGTCAACAAGTGTAATCGAAACGCAATCGAACTGATGAATTGGTATTTAATGAGAAATATTTTTCCATCTAATTATAGACCTAATTTTTGTAATCCAACTATTGTTCCTAGTTCAAATTTATCTAATAATAGGGCTTGCACTAGACAATGCCAAACAAAAGTTAGTTCTGTAAATAATGATAGTAATTATAATCGTGGTTCAGTGATTGATAATAAAAAGGAACCTTCAACTTGGCATCAATTTAAAGAAAAAATGCAAGACGAACAGACCATAACCATTGATGATGAAAATTGTAATGAAAAAAAAGTTGACGGACAAAATAATCATCATAAGAATATGAAACCTTTGATACATGTGAAAAGAAGTGCTTATGCGTTTGATGTTAATGATAAAATAAATTTGATTAAACCTTTTTCAAAAAAATCTCATCAGAAAAAGAGTTATGACTCTAAGATATCATTCAACATCTATTCCAATAATGCTAATTACAAAAAGTCGAATCCTGGTTCTCCAAATTGTCAGCTTCTTGTCGTAAAGTATGTTTACTTGTTATTATTGTTCTATTATCTTTATTTTTAAAAATACATGATTTAATAATGTCTAAATTTATTCGTTTTATGCTGACAAAATTATTTATATTTTTTATCATATTTTGGAAAAGCCATTTTGATGTGTTAAGGGATTTTCTTTTAAAAAGTAAAAAGTATTTTTTTTTAATAATATTTCTTTGTATTTTGTACATAATTCGAATATTTCTTTTTATTTCAGAGAACACCTTGGACATTATTTAAATTCAGAGGAAGTGCATTATTCTCTAATTGCAAAGGATAAAACTCTTGTTCTTGCTTATGTCACGAAAACATCTATATCGTACATACATTTCGGAAATGTAGAAATTCCAGTTTTAATTTAGAAAACACACAATATATCATGTAATTTCGTAAGTATAGAAATTCTGGATTTTAGTTACAAAAAATTATATTTTATAAATAATTTAATGTATGTTATAACAAATTTTATTACATTTCTTTATTAATACCAAAGCTTTGTATGTTGAATTCTAATTAATCAAATACGTAAACCTACGTAAAAAAAAAAGTTTAAAAGTTGTAAAAAATAGAAATTATTTTAAAAACTGAAAATTTGAAAATGCAAAATAAAATTTTTTTCTGTTTTTTCTAATTTTACATAGAAATGGAACATTTTTTCTCCCAACATTTTTTTTTAAACCAACTGTTCTTAATATGAATTTTTAAAAATGATGGTTTTTTTTAAACAAAAAAAATAACTTCGTCAAAAATTGTCGTAAATTTCTGAACTTTAGTTTCTTTTCACCTCAAGTACTTTGATTTTACAGGAGGATTTCTGAATATTTAGCAATTTCTATTCTTTACTTAAATATTCACGAATATGAGTCATTAATAAATCCAAGCCTTCCTGATTTCTGAAATTATATCGACAGTTTTCAATCTTCTTTAATAGTAATTCTGGATGCACTTTACTTAGGTCCATTAGAGCTTCTAAAAAATTAAATAATAGAAAATTATTATTTAACAAGACGCCGCTGGGATTTTTTTAAATTATTAACTTCGCCACCTACCTTAACCTACTTTACTTTGTAACAAGAAGTATTTTTATAATAAATAAATTTATAAATTAATTATCAATCTACAGTCCTGGTGGTTTAAACCCAGCAGCGCCAGGTGAACTTAGTTTTCAATAAAATTATTAAATTTTGTTAAATTAAAAAATTGCTTGTCTTATAATGATAAATTATCATACCTAGTATTAGATCTTGAAATTTTTTTTCTGGATCATCTAAATGTACTAAAACGCTGGTGTACAGAATGTCAACGTGACTTCTGCATGAATTCAAATCATAGTCTTTTGGCAAAGCTTTCCACACTTCTTTAAGAGCTTTTATGGCAGTGCAACGAACATCATCATCACCATCGTCTAATCTTTTCAATACAACATAGCAAATTTTATTCATATCTTCTTCCATAACATATCCTAATTCAAAACCAATGCTCATTGCAAGCGAAATTGCTTCAAGAGAATATAGTCTTGTTTGCTTCGAATTATCGTCTATCAACGTTATCAAAATTGGTATAATTTTCTTTAAATGTTCGGAAAAGTTTTCATTGTTAACATGCGATTTCAGAGGTTCGATAGTCGTTTCTTCATTATTGTTTGCTATATTAACATCTTTGAAATGGATATCGTTTTGTATTTTATAAAATAATGAACAAATGCAGCACACGGACGCTGTTCTTATTGCTTCTGCTGTTCGTCCAACAGACCAAACTAATCCTGGTACTATTATTTTTGTAAAAAGTAAATCGATAAAATGGATGAATTCTTTCTCACAAATTACAATTTCATTTCTTTGGTTACAAAGATACTCAGAAAGTAAAATAAATTGTTTCAATCTCACTTCGGCATCTGCAGTTTCGTTCATAGTTACTTCAAAGATTGGATAAACGAGATTTAAAAAATGTTGAATAGCAGTTACTGCGTGTAAGAAACATCCTCGAAAAATATTAAATTCTGGAGTATAAATATTCCAAAATTCGCAGCCACTTCTCAAATCATTTAAAATTACTTTAATATAACGTAAAAATAGCTCATCCAAATTTTCTAAATTATCCACTTTTACCAATTTTTCTAATAATTCTTTCGCCTCATTTTCCAAGACGCTTTTTGTTGTTAAGGACAGAACAGTAAATATTGTTCGAAATAAATTATTTGTAATAACAGTACAATCCTTAAAAAAAAAAAAAATTATTATTTTCCCATGGCGGATTTAAAGCAATTTTATATTCTCAACAAGGACATCGTAAAATTTCGGAAAAATACCACTCATGTATTGCTAATTAGGAAAACAAATGTCTTACTTCTTTACAAACTATCAGCAGTGATTCACAGCAAAATAATATTTGTTGTTGATATATTGTATTTCTTCTCTGACAAACGTGTTTTTGTTGTAAAAAGTTTCCCAATTTTTCCAAATGCGGCACTAGAGTTTTTTGGTGACTACCTAGCAAAATTGAACCAAAAACTCTGATGTGACCAACAGTTAAATTGTCTTCAAAAAATTGTAGTATTAATTCACAATAAATATCAGGTGGTACAAAGTATCCTATGTATTCTGCAGCTTTTTGAACATTTTCTACAACTCTATTGTCTTCATCATTGCAAGCTCTAAAACAATTTTTATTTTTGAAAATTAATTAATTGATTTTTGAAATTAATATTCAGAAAGTAACTGTAATCAAGTTACAAAGTTCTTAGAAAGAATTCTTTTTTATCATCTTAATTTTGTGGATCTTTGCATTCTACTTTACATTTAAAAAAAAATGTTCTTCAGGATATAAACCTGAAAAAATTTTGATTCTATCGGAAAGGTAGAAATATATTCTAAATTCCCAAAAATATGTTGGACTTCAAATAGTACAGTCTATTTTGGCACGGTGCGCCAGAAGGTGGTTTAAATAAAAATGAATTGGCACGTAAAAATTCTTTTTGATTATAATTCTTAGATGAATAAAAAACATTTCTCAATAGTTTTTAAAATCAGTTTACGTGCCCTATTTTAAAAAAATTGAGTTTCTATATAAAAAACAGTAATTTTATGGGGAATCAGAAATTATTTAATCTAATAAATACTGTAATAAATGATAAAATAATTTCTTATTTTTAATTTTACATTATAAATAATTATATTGCTGTAGCGTTTGTTTCCGATTTTAAAAAATTAAATTATAATGTTAAAAGAACTATTTTAAGAGGGACAAAATTTATTTAAGAGAGTCGAATGGTCTCTGAAATTATTTGGAAAGAAGAGACCTTTAATTATCGCCCTATAAAAACGGCACTAAACGTGAAAATGATAAACATTAATTTTAAAATACTTTTTTCTCGAAAGACGGACACTTTTTTACAAAAACAGCTAGAGATTCTTATCTTATATAAATTTCCTAAATCCGAAAGATTATAAGAATCCATACAAAAACACGATTGCAAAACGAAAAGTAATATAATGACAGGTTCATTACCTCCTGCCGCCGTCAGATGGCAGCAGCATGCAGGATTACTTTTCTACTTTTTGTTTTGCAACCATGTTTTTCTATTGATTCGTACCGTCTTTTGGATTTAGGAAATTTATAAGATGAGGATTTTGGCTGATTTTGTTAAAAGTGTTCGTGTTTCGAGAAAAATTTATTTTAAAATGAATACTATTTCACTTTGAGAGCGATAATTAAAGCTCTCTTCTTGCTAAAGAATTTCAGATACCGTTCGACACTCTTAATGCATAAATATAAAAACAAAACAAGAAAATAACTTCAATGTTAATAAATTTATATGAACCCAAATCTAAAACATCTATTATCTATACGCATATAAGTATACATTAAATAAATTCTGGTTCCTCATAAAACACTATTTTTATATATTTAAAACTCAATTTTTTTTAAATTTGGCACGTAAGTTGATTTTAAAACCTATTGAAAAATGGTTTTTATTTATTTAAGAGCTATAATCAAAAAGAATTTTTAAGTGCCAACTCATTTTTATTTAAATTTCCTTCTGGCGCACCGTGTTGGGTCTCCTGATACTTATTTTCATTGCTGTTAAGTATAGTTATTTGAAATTACCGAAACATTGATGGAAGTAATTTTTCAATGTGCTGAGTAACATGATGCTCTACATGTAGTAAAAGTTCACAAAGTAATTGAGCGGAACGAACTCTTATATCCGCTAACCAGTCCTCCAGCTCTCTTCCTAAGGCTCCAACTAATTTACACAAATTTTGTTGCGATATAACTCTACAACCTAAGTTTGGTCTTACAACTGAAAATATTAACATTATTAACTTCATTAAATAAAATTACATTTTTATTAAGTCAAGAAAATTTGTTTTCTTGAATTAAAAAATTCCTTTCAAAAATAGATGATGATTCTTAATTTATGAAATAATTACGTCTTCTTTTTTTGTTGCTAATTTTTGTAGATCATTGTAGATATCCTTTCGGATCGAAAACTATGAATGTGCAACAAATTCGTCGCACATTCATTGTGAGTAGAAATAATGTGGAAAATGAATGAAAATTATTGTTGAATTGAACAAATGAACTATTCAATGATTGATTTTTGCATTTTTTATGTTCGAATGTGCAATGTATTCGTCGCACATTCATAGTTTTCAATCCGCCAGAGTTATTTGCGGGTATAAATAAAATTTTTGAAAATAAATTCTTATAAACTTACTGTTTGGTGGATAATGTTCAGGATGTTCCGTTAAAAAATCCATTTTATCTTTGAATTTATCATCGGATTCATTTTCCTGCATATATTGTTTACCAGCTTTATCCCAAAATTCTGCTCCTTTTACTCTTGTCTCTAGAATTTCATCATGTAATCCAGTCATAATTAATGGAAGAATTTTATGCATCCATGAGTATCTGTCTCTTAATTCCAACATCCAACAACCCGCCACTTCTACCACAGCTAAAGATTAAAAAAAAAAAAAACAAATCAAGTCAATATAAGAAAATACTAAAAATAATTGACTCTAATGCAGAAATTCAGTTTTTCCAAAACAAAAAAATTATTAAAAATTCATTTACCTAATCTAACAGCTGGACTTTGATCGAATAGTCTTTCAGCTAAAGGCGTTGCTACTTCTTCCATAGATTTGCTGTTACCATATAATAAAACGTCTCCTATGGTCTTTACAGAAATGACTCTTACTTTATAATGCTGGTGTGAAAAATTGCTCAAAATTGGTTTCACAAAACTTTCAGAGCAATGATAAAAATGTATTGGAACATTTTTAGCTAAAATCGATATACAAGAACAACTTTCTTTTTTTATTTTTGGATAATTGTCTGTAACAGTTTTCATTAAAATTGTTACTAAATTTTCAAAGTAAGGGGGCAAAATATCTTTATATATGGGGATAATAATTGATAAAAGAGCAACACTTTTCAGTCTAACTTCTTCTGATGATTCAATTAATTCTTGAGAACCCAAACGATTTGTTAGAATTGGAATTGTATAAATGACATGTTTGTCAGCTGGAGATAATGAAATTAAAAACAATTTTAAAATATCAAGTGCAATATCTCGACATGCTTCTGATGGATCATTTAAAATATGTACCAAAGGTCTGTGTACATTCTCCCAAATTTCTATCAATTCAGAATCCTTCAAATATATTTCTCTTTTGGACATGATTTTTAAAAATTCTTCTAGAGCTCTTCTTTTCTGAAATTTGTCATCCGCTTCCAAAAACGAACAAAACTTGCTCAATTGTAATTCCTCTACTGTCGACATGTTTTTAAAAATTATACTGCTTAATGTGCGAAGTCTTTTCTCTGTTTTTTCGTATTAAACACTAAATTACGTTTCACGTAACCTTGCATAAGAATCCAACATGTAAACACTTCCAATAGTTTCTATGACAACGTAACATACTGAGTAACGATTAATATCTTTTTTATAATAATAATTACTATTTGCTTTTTGTTCATTATAATTACTTAATTTTAATAATTGATTGATTTTAATAATTCAAATCAAATTATTTAGTTCTGTAACTATTGATTTTAACTGAATATACAAATTAAAATAATTTAATTTATATAATTAATTTTGTAATTAATAATAGATTAAATATTCAATTTTAATTATTAACAATATATTGAAAAATAATGGAACGCCAAATTTAACAATCGATAAAAAAATATATTGTGGAATAAATCCTTTTTCAAAGAAATTAAAACATAATCTTCGAATCTGTAGTCAGATTTAAAAATGGCAGATACAATATGGCGGACGCAAAAGTAAACAAGGAGGGGGTCCTTTATGTTTATTTCATAAACATTTTGCTTCCTCATTGTGTGAAGCAAAAAATTTGCTTCCTCGTGGGAGAAGCTATGAATTTCTCCAATTCAATTGATTGATTTAAAAAATTTCGAGTTGAAAACTGTTTTAAATTAATTAAATTTTTTGAAAAGTTAAGAAAATTTTAATTAATTTTGGGTAACATATACTTTATATATACTTGTTACTAACGAGGTTTTGTGGTCTCTGATTACGAAAAATTTACCTTAGAAACAGGTTTTCGTTGCTCGGGCCCAAAACCTTGTAAACTTGTGTAATTATTTAATGTGAACGTTTGAAAATCCTACGCCGAGGTTTCAAGTTTGTTCGCTAGATCAAAAAATGTCTCCCTTAATTATTTATTTACTTTTTAGCAATAATAATATTTGCTTTTTGTTAATACCGTATTATTCTATTAGAAAATTATTTTTAACATAAAATATTTATTAATACTTTAGAGATTTTTTTTTGAGATATTTGATATTATTAGAAGTTATAAATTCTATAAATATTTCAAATTAAGGAGGCAAACACAGAAATGAATTTTAAAAAAATTTTGTATTACATTACATAAAGTACATGTCAGAAATTTTCTCACAAAGTTTCGAATCAATTTGTGCAAAATTGAAATAGACAGAGCACCTTTAACCCTTTCTGACAACAAGTAGTGCCTGCTACTTATGTGAGCTCGAAGCTCATTGTTTCATAAAAAATTACACTCTTTTACCAAAAAAAAAATCATCTTTTTTTGCTTTTTCTTTTAATAAATATGAATCGCAGGTATTATCATATTCTGTCGACCTACACAAAAACCACACAAACAGTAGAAATCAATCAAAAGCTAAATACAAAAAATTTAACTGTGTAATATGAAAAAAATAAATTATTAAATGTACAATTTATTTATCTCCGTACAGTTAATAACAAAAAATAAGTATGTGTTTTAAAGGAAATAACTTCAAAGAATAATTGTTTTTAGTACAAATCAAGTTTCAAGAATGATGTCAGTTTACATACAGCTTAAAATACATTTCAAAAAGTATATTTATGTTTTTTTTTAAATTATCTGTTAATTCACTGATTCTTTACTCTAAATCTATAATCATAAGTTCTGGAGAATCACTAGTACTGCTGATTGCATTGTGAATAGAAGATTGAACCTTTTGTGGCGAGGACGAAGGGGCAACTTTCTTATGTGATACTGGGGAATGAGAATCACTTTCATCGTCGTCACTGTCTGAGATTAAGTCTATTACAACAGCTCGCTTCTTTTCCTTCGGCGTTTGTGTTGAAGGATTTGATTCGTCTGCAAAAAGAAAATTATTGTGTTTTCAGCACGCGGGACAATTATTTACTTTTTTCCCTTGTGTTGCAAAATATAGAGTCGGTTTTTCACCGTGTGGGGTAAATTTTATCTCCGCGCCGGTTAAAGGAACAATTTGCGTCTGCGCAGAACACTCGTCAATCTTCGTAAATGTTCGTACTCATGTGTTCGAAGATTTACGAAGGCTGACTAATGTTCTGCGCAGACGCAAATTGTTCCTTTAATCGGCGCGGAGATAAAATTTAACACATACGGTGAATCCATTTTAAAAAAACTTACCTAAATCTACAGTATCCACATTAACTTTATGTTTTACACTCATTTCTATTTTTTCAGCTTTATCCTTCTCTTTTTCTTTTTTGGGAACTAAATTCTCCCACGAACCATCTTGCAATAATTGAATTTCATTAACTTCTGATAAAAGCTTGCTAGAACTAAGAACTTCTTGAAAGTAGCCATCGATTACAAGATTATCATATAATGCTGCTTTATCACAAACAGGACAATTCCATGTTGGCTTGCGTTCATTCATTAGTAAAAATAGTGACGCATCGAAGCATTGTAAATGTGAACACGTTGAAGCTCGACAGGGCGTACTCATTCGCATTTTTCCCAAAGGACATGCTAAAGATACTCTGAGAGATGTGGTTGCTATTTCACTGTCTGCATCTTCGTTCAATTTTTCCTTTACTAAAATGGAAAATATTGTTTAATACAATAAAAAAAATTGATATTAAAAAGGTGACTATTTTATATTCCATACTTCTCAAAAATCGAAAAAGTAATTTAATATTTATCAATATTTGATTACACTTACTTAGTCCTCTGGTATAATCGGAATGTCTAACACCTCGATTTTTTAGCCTCGTTAATAATTCCGAACTTGACAATTTCTTTACCAAATAAACGGCTATTGCATATCTTCTGCTATAATCCGCAGACCATGTGACGTGAATTTGATTACCGACTGTAGGTGATAATTTTACTAAAGGACTAATATTAACAGGTCTTGGAGGTCTTTTGGCTTCTACTCCGGGTTTATTGGTTGGTATTGGATTCTGAAAAAAATTATTGTAATAAGCTATCTTCTTCTCTTTTAGTTTAGATAAATAAGTTTGAGCACCATTCGATAGAATTCTTCTTCAGACATAAGGAATGTCTTTTGCGAAATTTTTATCATAGCGTTTAAATCTTGGAAAATGACCTCAAAGATCAAGTAAAAATTTTGTACTTTCCGGCGCGAATGGGTTAATGTAAAATATTAAAAATTAAACATTTCAAATAATGTAAAGATAACTTACTGGTAAAGGGCATATTTTTCCATTCACTTTTACGGCTATGTTAGGTGGAAAATTATCCTCTTGTTCACACGATGTTTCTTGCAAACAAAACCGCATCTGTACCTATAAAAAAAGTTATTAGCGAATCTCCACAATTAAAAAGGATAACTCGAAAAACCTCTCAAAAAAACACGAGAATTAGATACTAAACTAAAAAAAGATCTTTAAATAAAAATTCTTACTTGCACTGTGTAATCCATTTTACTTCCTTGGCGGCAATCACGTGAACTGGCTATATCAGTCGACTGTTGTGGAGTTAAATGAAATAAAAATGTGTTTTCCTGCATTCTCATTGTTCCTTGTGGTGTGAGACTAGAAGGTTTCAGTAATTCTCCGAGAAGATCGAAAAACGGCAACTTTCTAAACTTCACATCTGGGTGTACTGGATATTGATTTGGCTGTTGCAGTTGTATAGATGATTGCAGAGGTAACACTTTTTGAGGATAAGGATACGGGTAAACAGCTCCTGTCGTTCGTTGCTGTAGAAAAATAAAATATGGAATTTTTAATTATATTAAATGAAACAAACAACCACAAACTAGAAACTTGTTTCAAGACTAAACTCAGAAAAAAAAGACACCAGATCCGTGGATTTCGGTTACGAGCTCGATAGCTAGTAAACGAATCCGTGAGAATTTCGGATACGAGAACTTTTTGGTATCCGAAATGATCATAAGCTTGTAAACGCAATGAAACGGACGACTTTTGTAGGGCTTTTCGATTTTTCAATTTCAAAAGCAATCTAAAATTATTCAATTCATAGGGGGAAAGAAAATTAAAAATGAGCACTGTATTATGTTTAATAATATTTTAATAATTTTGGATTGATTTTGAAATTGAAAAATCGAAAAACCCGCATTAAATTAATATCCAGTGTCGGTAAGGTAGAAAACCATATTTTCCAAATTGAAAAAAAAATTACAAACAGTACACTGTTTAAACAATGTTTTTAATGCAGAGGTTAGAATTGGTAATAATAATTGTTTTTGTTTAAATGTACGTTTCTTTAATAAATAATCATTCAGTTTTATTTCTAATTTAATTTTCCGTCGTTTCTGCATCTATTTAATTGCTTTTTCTTAATTAAAAGCCCTACAAAAGTAGTCCATTTCAGTACGTTTATAACCTTATGATCATTTTGGATACAAAAAAGTGCTCGTTCCGAAATTCTTACGGATTTATTTACCAGCTATTGAGCTCGTAACTGGAATCCGCGCTTCTAATCTAATCTAAAACGAGCTTATACCGAAGTCCCCTAGCTAGTACGATTGTTGCCAATTAAGGCGCAAGACCCATTGCACTTAACCCTGGCAAGCTCGAACCCACTCTTCCTCCCTAGAGTTCTGTCCTATTCGAAAAATCCAGTAACTCTTCTACTGAGAGGTTCCGAATCCAATCTGGGTCTAGAAAGGCATGACCCCAGCATTGATGTGTCACTGCAGCATAAGCTGGACAGTGACGAAAAATATGAGTCGAAGATTCCTCTTCTGCATCACACAATCTGCACCTAGGTGAGACGTTTCTACCTATCTGATAATAGTTTAGGAGGCCATGTTCTATGAGCAACCTAACTACTACTCTAACTCTGTTTTTGTTGAGTTTCAGAAGAGAATTAGCAAAGCCCCTGTTGAGTTTTAATCCCAACAGAACCTTGTCTACAGTAGTCTCCGCCAACTCTCTAGTCGGATTAGGGTCAATCCATTATATTTCGACTGAAGTCGTCGCTGACTAATTTTTAAAAATTATAATACTTTGCAGGAATGATTTTGAAGTTATCAAGATCACGAAATGAAAAGAATTTTATTAAAATTTTAATTATTTATTGCAAAATATGAATTTAAAGTTTATGAGGTGCTGAAAACTGTCAATTTTTTAGCCATTAGAAAATATGCAAAAATACGTAGAATTCACCATAAAAATAAAAATTTTTTTTGTAATTTACTAAGAATGAATAAATTTATCATTATCAATTGATGTAATTATTTAAATATGTGAAATAATATATAAAATATGATTTTCAAGTTCGCCTGTCAAATAACCTAAATTTGCAAATTTCATCTATTAAATGTGAGAAAGAGAAGTCATTAAATTGAAAAAAACCTTACCAAATATAAAGTACCTGTGACTAACTTTTAGTTTTTCTTAGCACTTTTTTCCTTTTTTCTTCATAAATGTGAAATAAAAAGCAATAAAAATTGTCACTTTGCTTATTTTCACTATTTTCAAATGTAAATAACTTTCTTGGAGAAAACTGAAAAATTACAAAACTTGGGCAATATCTAATTGATCACTAACTACACACACTGGAAAAAAATTCCCTTTGGTCCCGAAGATACTTTTTGAGATAATTATGTTTAAATTTTTCACAATTTTTATCAGGTTAATGCATGTGATTTTTATAAAATTGAAGTTAGCTCAAAATGTTTAACTAATAAAACCTAACTTCACCTTAAAAAACTACATGTATTAACCTGATAAAAATTGTGAAAAGTTTAAACTTAATTATCTCAAAAAGTATCTTCGGGACCAAAGGGAATTTTTTTCCAGTGTGTGTAGTTAGTGATCAATTAGATATTGCCCAAGTTTTGTAATTTTTCAGTTTTCTCCAAGAAAGTTATTTACATTTGAAAATAGTGAAAATAAGCAAAGTGCCAATTTTTATTGCTTTTTATTTCACATTTATGAAGAAAAAAGGAAAAAAGTGCTAAGAAAAACTAAAAGTTAGTCACAGGTACTTTATATTTGGTAAGGTTTTTTTCAATTTAATGACTTCTCTTTCTCACATTTAATAGATGAAATTTGCAAATTTAGGTTATTTGACAGGCGAACTTGAAAATCATATTTTATATATTATTTCACATATTTAAATAATTACATCAATTGATAATGATAAATTTATTCATTCTTAGTAAATTACAAAAAAAATTTTTATTTTTATGGTGAATTCTACGTATTTTTGCATATTTTCTAATGGCTAAAAAATTGACAGTTTTCAGCACCTCATAAACTTTAAATTCATATTTTGCAATAAATAATTAAAATTTTAATAAAATTCTTTTCATTTCGTGATCTTGATAACTTCAAAATCATTCCTGCAAAGTATTATAATTTTTAAAAATTAGTCAGCGACGACTTCAGTCGAAATATAATGGATTGACCCATTAGTCAAGGCATTTTTGACCCCAAGATGATCCAATTGTCATCCTGCAAACCCAAAAAGTAGTGCTAAACCTACTACATATATTGATACTCTAAGTTCTTTCTCCAGATCAGCTTCTTGTCCAGAATTACTCCTAGATATTTAACTGAATCGGAAAAAGGCATTTCTTTACCATAAAATACAGATTTCCTCGCAATGAGAACCTTGTATTTCCTAGTCCGCGGTTCTGGTATGTTTTATTTTTTACTGAAAAGTGTAGAATTGTGTCTACCATTCGCTGTTCTGGTGCTTGCGAGCTTAATGCAAATGGATCATTTCGATGCGAGCATCAAGTCAAAACTGATTAAAATTTGTTTTGGAGGAATACCACCGTATTAAAAAGAGGAGTGAATGAACTCATAGGTAAATAGTATACAAAGAAGGATACCTTCACGATTCTGTTATGAATTCAGTCTTCTAATAAGAGAGAAATACGCTTTATTAAGAAAACAACTATCCTTCTTCTTATTATAAAAAACGCTCCAGTTCCGAAATGATTCATACTTTAATGAATCATTTCGGAACTGGAGCGTTTTTTATAATTTGTTCCACGATCAAGTATAATGGTATTCTTCCAATCGAAGTCATGTTTGAAATTTAGTTGATGTGCACGAACTACAATCGGAAGGGAATGAATGTTATATGGTTTAATAATTTTACCTGAGGTGTGACACTTGTGTAACCAGTTGGTTGATATACAGGATTAGACCTCGATACGACTTGAGACTGTGGTAGAGATGCTTGATGTGCAGGAGGTAACTCTTTTCCTGAATTCACAGAGGCCTGTTGTTGACCCATAGCCTGGGCATGGCCTTGTCTAAAATACATAAAACATAAACATAAAGCAATAAAGAAAATTATAATCAAATTAGAAATTGAACAAGAAAAAATGCCAATTAGCCGTTAAACTACAAGAATATTTTTAAGGTAATTATTACGACATAGAGGTTAGGTTAATAAAATTAATGTGAGGTAAAATAATAATCTTAATAATTAATATTTTAATATTGATGACAATGTTATAAACAAACAATGTAATTCGATAGAAAAAATTTCGATTTAATGGAAATTATGAAATTAGAATTTGAAAAATAATCAAAGCTTCTGCTCTAATGTTACTAATTTTCAGAGCACCTTTTCCTTTTAATTTAAATGTATATTTTTTCATTAAGAGGGATAATTTTTAGTAGAGAAAAAAAATCTTTCAAATTAAGATGACATCTTAATGATACCATTAGAGGAAAATTATTTTCAATTTTACTTACCTAGTATAATAATTACGGGAATGCATGGTTTGATCGACTGAATTTTCTGTTGATCCACCACTTGGATTATATGTTTGATTTATTTGATCAGCTCTACAAAAAAATGTTATCAACATTTAATATTCAATAGAAATTTATAAAATACTTAAATTTAAAAAGAAGACAAATTTTTAAATCTGGATTCAAAAATTTAAAGGATAAGGTTTATGTACACAAAAATAAAAATCTTAAAAAAATGTTAATAATCATTATTAAGAATTTGAATGAAATGGCCTTTTTAAAATATGAATACTGTCTGAAATTATAACACCAATAACTTATATTTTAAAATATAAATACATATATATTTAAGTATAAAATAGAAACAAATATACTTTGAATCATTGCGGAAGAAATTATAAAAGTGTTAAAATGTAAAATAATAAATAAAAAACAATAAAATTTTGTAATACTTAAATCGCTGGAGTGCAATTTAAATATTTTTTTAAATGTATTTTTCGGATCATACAAAAAAACATTGAAGAATGCTTATTATTAAAAATTGTAACGTATATAATTTGAGAGGGGTTTTCTTGCTTTTTTAAATGTTGTAAACATATTTATTAAAAAAAATTTTAATTTAACCATTTTAATGATTAGTCATAGGTTAGCTAATAATTTTGATCGATTGTATTGTAACGAATAATTCGATAGGCACTAGATGCGAATTTAACGCAGTCAGAGCATCATCGATTCCTGCGTGTAAATCACAGGCGTCGCGGAGCGAAACAAATCATCACCCATTAGCGGGATAAGTTCAAATATTTTGTGGATTCAGCGGATTTTATCATATGAATAGACATACTTTAAGAATAAAATATTGACTTTTGCATTACTTGAAAATATAAAATTTGTTAAAAATATGCCATGAAAATGAAGGTAAATTAACGCACCAATCACAGATATCTATCGTTCTAACTGGCCAAAATCTGTCAGATGTATACATTCAATTATGGTTAGGATCCCGGACAAAAAATACCAGTATTTGAGTCAGAAACAAAATTTGAATTGTGTTTGATGTGTCTAGCCACCCCAGTTACTACTTCTAGGGTTAATAATATACGAATAAATGACATGCCATTGTACACCTAAACTGGATTTAAATCAAAAATCAAAAGTATTTTTAATCCAAAAACTAAAATAATCCGCGGAGGGCTTTTCAAGAAAAGTGACTTTGAATATTTTCACATTTGAAATGTATATGTTAAGGTAAAAGTACGAAGTCCAGTAAATTTGCAGATTTACCGGGCAAGTTGGTCATTCTAATCTAAAAACGAGCTACTACCGAAGTCCCCTAGTATGAGTGTTGGCACTTAAGTCGTAAGACCCATTGCACCTAACCCAGGCAAGCTCGAACCCAATGTCTCTCCCTAGAGTCCTCTCCTATTCCAAAAGTGAGACGCTTCTACCTATTTTGTGCTGATGATAGTTCAGGAGGCCATGTCCTGTGAGCAACGTAACCATTGCTGTAACTCTGATCTTGTTGAGTTTCAGAAGCTCCTGTTGACTTTTAATCCCAACAGAAACTTGGCCTGTCTACCATAGTCATCTCAGACCCTCTACGGGCTCAGATATCCGCTTCCTCATTTCCTCTGATTCCCGAGTGTCCTTCTGGCATTTCCAAACTAGTTTTGATTCTATAATCGGATTATTCAAGGCGTTTAAAGCCGCCTAACTATCGACACAAATATTAATTCTTTTGCCTGATTTCCCTTTTCCAAGACAAAACATTGCGCAAGTCATTACAGCGCAGACCTCCGCCTGACAGACCGTGGTGTAATTGCCTAAAGATAATGTCATTTTAGTGGTACTAGACTTACAGTACACACCTGAACCTGTACCTCTTTCCATCTTGGATCCATCTGTTTACCATACTTCACCTCCAAGTGAACAGCCTTTTTCCCAATCCTTTCTCAAAGGAATAATGGACTTAAAGCGAGCTTTGAATTTCACTCTTTTAACAATTCTATCTTGTCCCATACTAATTTCTGGAATCTTCAGTATAGAGGCTGGGAGTTTTGTGTGTTTTCCCCTAGCTCTCCATTTTCCTTGTGCTTGAAGTCTACTCATAGTAAGAGCAGCCTTCTTGACCGTTAAGATGTGTAGAGGTTCTTCTGCCAGCAAGAAACACAACGCAAAAGTTGACGTGGTTCTCATTGCGCCAGTAATCCCTCTAAACACCATTGACTGTAGTTGTTCTACTTTCAATTTCACCGTTTTCAACTGGCTTCTAATCCACCAAACAACTGATGCATGCAGAAAGTGAAGTGAAGAATAATTGATTCAATTAAAAAAATCCGTATATTTACCAAGAAAATTGGTAAATGTAGATATGTTGGTTTGTTTTTACTTCAGTTAGATAGTAATCAGATTTCTATAGAGAAAGTAGAATTAGAAACGTAGAGTAAGAGTAAGCAAAAATCCGTATGGTAACACGGTCCAACAAATCGGATGATGCAAACAAGTGGGAACAGTTTTTGTAACTGCGTGTGCACTAACTAAGGTATAAACAGTGTTATCTTCAGCTAAGTTTTTGCACAGTAAAAGAATAAAAATATCAGCTAAGTATACTTTTCGAATGTGAAAATATTCAAAGTCACTTTTCTCGAAAAGCCCGCTGCGGATTATTTTAGTTTTTGGATTTTATTGATTAGGGAACACTACTAATTGAAAATTAAGAAGAAATTTTTATTTGTAAAGACTTTTGATTTAAATCAAGTTCAGGCACACCTTGATGCTATATATTTTAATTCAATTATAATTAAAATAATAAAGTCATATAATATATTAATATGCAATTACATGGTGTATTTCTTTTATTTTATTTTTATTTATACACTCGTCTTTTGACTATTAACCAGCTTTACAAGTGTTTCGCCGTAGAAATTCTTAATGACTAATCTTATTAACTACTGCGGGCTACAGACCGACTTGAATTAGGAGAACTGACATTTGCCTAGACCACCCGAACATGGGTTTTCTTAACATAGGAAAGGGAAACCTTTTCTGACTACAACTGGTTTATCAATAGTCCAGTTCTAATGTAGTGTACTGGACAATAATCGACAGTACACATCATTAAACCTCGACGTCAAACCTTCCGCTTGATATATTTCGATTGTAGTAAAAACACTATGGCATGATCACCTATCCAAGTACTACACTGAAAAAAAATCCCAACCAATTCCTTGTCATAATAACTAGAAATCCTAGTTAATGTGACTCTGATTTTTAGTGGGTTCCTCTCGTGACTAAGAGCATAGCTAAATCGCCTAGGAATTTTTTTCAGTGTAACCGTACTCAAGAGAACTTAACCTCGACAGGGTGTCTAACATGGATTGAGAAAAAAATTCCCTGACTTTTCTCTAACTCCTCCCTAACATTTTTTAATTTTTCTCTCACTTTTTAATAACCTTATTTCTGCTTTGACAAATGGTAATAAAAACAATTCAAGTTTTTTTAGATTAAAAAATTTTTAAACACACAAAAAATTTTAATTTTTATAGAAATTTACAGAAATTTCGCTGACTTTGAATGAAATTTTCTGAAATTTCCTGACCGTTAGACACCCTACTCGATGATCGCAAGCCCCAGAATTTCACCAACCGAGCTATATCATCGGTAAGATTACATGGTGTAAAAAAAATAAATTAAATATAAAAACTGTTTCCTTGGTATTCATACATCTTCATATCAAGAGGACCCCGTTGGCTGGGACTTATACTCTAACCATGGTGTTTACAGTTTCTGTGAGAATAGAGCCTTCAACTGATGGGAGCAGGCGCCTAAACGCGCTCGACCAAGGAAAGGTATTAAGATCTGTGTCGTTTGTCTATACTGAAAAATTCTTAGGCTAAGAGAGCTTCTAAAAACTCAAATGACCACAATCAAATTTATTATTTCATTTCCAATTATTGTCTAACTACCTTTTTTATATATAAACACAACAATTATTTTTACATATTGTACAGCCTTTTTGTACAAAGCTGAAATTTCTGGGCTTTTTTACAGAATTTTCTGTATTGAGCTAGCTGGGTACATTGTTTTTCGTACGTATAGTCTTCGATACTGGCACGAGTGCGATTTAAATGATATATATTTAAATCAATCATTATTCGTAATTCTCCTACGTTCGGAAATATTCCCTATTAAATATTCTCTGTCGAATACTTGAAAGCAACTGACATGCATAAAATAGATTTCTTCACAACCATAAATCCTGATAGCTGATCATCCTTACCCGAACCAGATGTAAAAATATTTCCAGATCGAGAAAATAATTCAAAGATCATATACTTATTTATGGATACCCCCACAGAACCCAAACTTTCCTAAAGATTTCCTAAAGATTTATTTGAAATGTTCGGAATATTTAATTGCAATGTTTAGTAAAAATTGTGTAAAGATTTAAATGTCCCACTTGAATAAATGTTTAGCGTGAAACTTTCCTGAAAATTTTAATGAAATTTTCGCCTAATTATAATTATAATTAAACATTTAAATAAATAATAATAATAATAAATTTAACATTTAAATCTTTACACAATTTTTACTAAACATTGCAATTAAATATTTCGAGCATTTCAAATAAATCTTTAGGAAAGTTTTGGTGCTGTGGGGGTACCCGGTAAGAAGAGGTTCCAAACATTTTAATCTGTTTTAATTCCTTATGATTAAAACTTAGAAACCTAACCTAACTGCGAACGCATGATACGAATTATTTACCAAAAAAAAAAAACTTTCTTTTTCACATTTAAAATAATAAATAAATAATATATTCAAATCGAATGACAAACTGTTTAATATTAGACATTTAAACTTACCAAAAGAATAAATTATACTTAAGTCTGCAAACCTAAAAATGATAGAATTATTATAAAAACATTATTTTTTAAAATAAAAATTGCACTTGAAAATTTATTACTATCTAAAATTTGATAATAATTCGAAGTTTGCAAAATTTTTTTGGGACCTTCTTCAAATTTGAAGTTGCAGATAAATAAATATTAAAGTAATTTATTTGTCACGATAAAACTTATATTTTTCTATAATTCAAATACTAGATAAAACTAGAAATTTTCTGATTCCGACAACTGAAAATGATTTTTCATCTTTTAAGACAATAAAACTTTTTTTCATCCCACTGGCACAAAAATGGCATTTTTAAACATCTGAAGGTAAAGTCTAAAGATATTCATTTCTTCGACCGATCGAAAATGACATTGTTTTCACGAGGAAGAAGTTTTTCATCTTGAGGGGAAATGACCTTATCTTCGTTCGGTTGAAAATATGAATAGCTAACACTGTCTTCAAATATTCTGAAATTGACATTTTTATACCTTTGGACTCGTAAGCGATACGGCAAAAGTCAGCTTAATTTATTTGCGTTGATGTTTGTACACGGAAAAATTTTGTTCAAGAAATATTTTAAATTTATTCAAAAGCTGAGGATATGAGAATAATTAGAGTTTTATTAGTATTTGTGTAAATAATTCTAAACTGTATTGCTAAAAGAATTGCAGAGGAATTTAAAACAATTTTCTAAATTTGACACAAAAATTCTTGAAGCCATGTTGGAATGAATTTTTAACGTATGGGTACTCGAACTCAATATTTTGAGGCGCCTTTTAGCTGCAAAGGCAAATTACGGTATTATAGGTTAAAAACTTATTTGACGCAACTAATCGCTTTTTAGCGCTAAGTCAGTGTACTACGTTTTTTAAAACAGTTCGGTGATTTTTCGGAATTCAGTGACTGAGATCTTTTGAGCATAGCTTTAACAAGTCTTTCAATCTCGTTATAAAAATACTTGAATTTTTTTTAATGATTTTTTAATATTTCTGTAAGTCTCACTAACTTTTTTCTATATCCTTATCTGTTGAATTAATTTAGAAACATTTTTTGAACAAATTATTTCCGTGTAGCAATCGACCACCATTCGTGCCACAAACATCAACGTATAAATAAATGTTTAATAACTGTCTTTGGTCCCTTGTTACTAAACATACTATTTAAAAATCACATTCGAAAGCTTTCTACATGCAATTTCCTTTTAAGTATTAAACAACTTCAGATTTTGTATGCAATTTTATAAAATTTAAAAATAATCTTAATAATTCTAAATCTATGTATTTAACTATGTAATAGCAAATACTGACTATATTATTCCTAAGATCTAGTAAGAAATTTACCTTAAATTACTTTAAAATTGTGGAATAAACTTTATGAAATCAAAAGAATATTAGAAAAAGGCCATTTCATTCAAATTTTTAATGAGAATATTAAATTTTTCTCTTTCCGTGCAGAACCTTAATTCAGTGAGCGAACAATTAGTGTGAAAGGCTCAGAAAGATTGTATGTTGTAAATTCTTCCATTCCGACTCTCAATTGAAAAAATAAAAATATCGAATCCGCATTGTGTATTGCGTCTCTAGTTAGCCACCCAGTAATAATGAAAAATCAAAGAAGTTTTGCTCTTACTGTATGGTTTTATAAAGTTCTCGTATTTTTAGTTGAACTGGATGTGATCTTAGTCTCAAAAGTTCCAAGGCACGTGTTTGTAATTCATTTTTGCGGCCTGATTTGTTTCGCCCGGCGAATCCCAATAGCATCTGCAGTTCAGATACTCGAAAACTTAACACCATATTCTACAACAAAATTATCCAAAGAACAATCTCCGTTAATCTCTTTAGGATGACATTCTCCGAACTTTCAAATTATAAAAAAAATAAAATTTATTATTAATATTATATTAATAAAAAACACACTATGTATAGAAATTAAAGTCAAAGGATTTTAAAAAAGAAAGAGAAAAAATATTCAATTAATCTTTCCTGACGGATCGCAAACTATAATGTGTGACAAATTCGTCGCACATTCGTTGAACATTCATAATGAGTGAAAATAATGTGGTAAATGAATGGAAATTGATGAAAGTTGTTGTTGAATTAAATAAATGAACTAATCAATAATTGATTTTTGCATTTTTTGTGTTAAATTAAGTTACTTTGATTATCAATAATTTAACAATTTAATAATTGCAACTTAATTTAATACAAAAAATGCAAAAATCAATAATTTAGTAGTTCATTTATTCAATTCAACAGTAATTTTCATTTGTTTTCCACATTATTTCCACTCACTATAAATGTGCAACAAATTGATTGCACATTCATAGTTTGTGATCCGCCAGGTTTACTAATAAAATCTAAAATAAATTAATTTGTATACGTCATTAAAATTTTAAAAATTCCGGAATATGACCTGTTATCGAATGGTTAAAATTTGCAAAAATTGTTAAAATAATTTGTCAAAAAAGTATTGCAATATTATATGGACATGTCTCTAGAACTTTTAAACTTTATGTTATCGCACATGTTTAATTTATCTTCTAAATATTAATATAACATTGAAATCTCTACTGTTATATTATTAAAAGGATACAGGGAAATCTTTAACTTCTACACTTTCCATGGAAAGTATATATACATAATGAAGAACATGAAAATCTATATTGTCACACATATTATGCTTTACGAAGAAAATAAATCAATAAATTGACGGATTTCTATAACATTTGTATTTCTTCAGGTTTTCGAGGACTTTGATTAAACATCTGAAGTAAATTTTCAAAAATGTTGAATGGCGGATCAAATATGGTACAAGTCAACTTTTCTTACATTTTTTTTGACGATATCTTATATTTTTTCGGATTGTGCTAAATGAAGAAAATTTAAAACAGAATCTTTAAAAATGTCTAATTGAATTAGCATGGCGATCAGAATTTTATGTGTTGTTTTACTTTCTTTACTTTACTTTTATGTTTTTTTACTATATATATTAACATTTTGAAAAAGTTTAACCAAATGTGATTTGTAACTAGTGAAATGTAATTTGTAAGCATTGATATTTTTAACAAATATTTATGATCCCCCCTTTATAAAAAAATATGCGTCTTATGTTCGTTTAAAATAATAAAAGTTAATTAATTGTCAACATAAAGTCTTGTTAAATTATTAAACTTGTTTTAAATATTATTTTGACTTTAAATTTTAAACCTATCTGCGTGTGGTAAATGTATACCGTTACGTTAAAAAATTAAGTTTTTTAATATCTGAAAGTTTAAAAGTTCTAAAGATATACCCATTTATTATTATAAATCATAATACATTCCAATGAAGAAAACAAACAATAAAGTGCTTCTCAATTTGAGAAAACATAATTTTATTCAAATATATAAATTACTTTTAAATGTGAATTTCTCAAAAATATTGTGGTCTACTACAACATACGTGAAAATAAATTGGCACTCGACAAATAAAAAGTAACTTTTCAAATTAAAAAAATATGACTACTTACACTGTTAGAAATATTCTTAAATTTCCATCAAAATTAATATTTAAAAACGTATAAATTTTCTAACTAGACGTAACTAAAGCAGTAATCAATTATTTTTAAATAATGTTACTGAACACTTTGAAATTCCGAAGTATAAATTTATTACATTGCAACTTAAAATTTAAAAATATTTTAGAATAAAACTGGAAATATATAGGTGTAAAAATACGAAAGTGTAACTGAAACATAAGTTACATTGCTTCGTGTGAAAATGTGAAACATTAAAAAAATTTTTTAACAAAATCATTGTGGTTTTGATATTTGAGGTTAAAATATATGTAAAGTAATTAAAAAATAGGAAAAAAAAATAAAGAAAATTTTAAACTATAATTTTAAAACTCAGTTCTGATGATTAATATTAAAAACTGAGAGATCAATCGAATAATTTAAATATGTACTTGAGAAATAAGAGACAAGGAAAAAGTAAAATGTCTTCAACCCATTTAAATAGATTACTTTAATGCCGTCATTTTCTATATTTATAAAAATACTATAAAGTACCCGAGTGCAAACTAATCCATCCTTCTAATCTTGTTTTTCGGCAATAATCTATACACAATTAAATGAAAATTCTTTCGTTCATTTAAACGTTTAGAACTTCAGGCACATAGTAAAATCACTTTGGCGACAAAATCGTGTATTCTTCCCGCTCACACAAATTAATTTATTGTTAGAGGGTTAAAATTTGGTACAAATATGTATTTTCGGATGTAGATTACAGTACAGTAGTAGTACTATAGAGTACAGTACATCCTACCTGATAAATTCAAAACAATTTTGCACCCACTTTTGATTAAAATCAGTATAGTATCATAAGGATCATTATGCTAATTCGACTTTATTGTGGTTTTGCTTGACCAATACGATAAGAAAGTAATTTTAAGTTGATTTTGAACCAGGTCAGTCTGATGGTTTCTACTATGCTATTTACAACCGTCACTTTTTTCATAAATAACGATTTGCATGAAACTTTACGTTAGACTTCAAATCAGATGCAACATATTTTTCTTACAAGTTAAAGTATTTTGGATGTTAGTTCATCATGTTCAAGCCGGACTGACAACAAAAGTGTATAGATTCATGCTAACCAGGTAGAGACCGTGTTGACCCTGTTTGCTGATAAATATCAGTTTAACCCGTAAGAAACTATGTTGAATCCGAATTAACTGCAGTTTTCTAAGGCTCTCAAATTGAGACCATAAACAGCATCAAAACGTTGCATTATCAACAATTTGATACACTTTATGGTCTCAATTTGAGATCCTCAGAAAAACTGTGAGCTAAATAGGAGATTAATGCCAAGCGATTAACTATAATAGTTCATTTTTAATCTTACTAAAATTCAATGTTATCCCAATTATATACCTGAAGCGGTGGTAGTTCCTGGACAGGGAAATATATTTTAGAAGGGATAAGAAATGTTCTTTTTATGCGATTAATATAATAAAGGGGAAATGTCACATCACTTTGATCCACCTGTCGGTATGGGTTTCAGTAAGAGAGGCATAATTTTCGGTGCTACTTGTGAAGGTCTTGAGGGGTGATGAAAATTGCAATTATATTAATAACTAAATATCTTCACACCTTGATATCACAGAAAATTAAAAGGCATTAAAATAAGCTGCAACGCTTATTTTAATACCTTATAATTTTCTGTGATCAGCTAAACCTTTTGTCATATAAAAAAAAGCAAAAAGGATCTAAATTGACCGCTTAAAGGAAGGACATATTACGTTAAATTTATACATTAAGGAAACCTTGCGTAAATAGTCTAATGTATATATCAAAGAAATAATTTATTGTTTTGCCTAAATTCGGTTTAGTCATTTAGATTAACTTAAAATAACTGAGCAACTTTCAAAAATAAAAATCCATCAACAGAAATTACAAACAAAAATTAGAATCAAATAATTTTTAATGTAGACTTGGAATAAAATTTTCCTATATTTACCGCTTGAATTTATAAAATTTCTGCATATCGGTCCCAAAAAAATTTTCTCTCAATGTCAGAAAAATTTTCTTAATTTAAAAAAACATTTATCATTAAGTAGGTATACATAATCTTAATTAAATTTCCAATAAAAAAATTGAACATATCCTATTAATTTAACAAGTATGATATAAACAGTCTGTCATACAAAAAATGTGTTTTTTTTATACATACTGAATTCGCAAATTCTTTCAACTACCTTTGATTTAAATTTAACGACTCAAATTATGTGAGACTGACTAATCCAATTCGCGAGACAAACATATTTAGGAGTTAAGTTAAATATAGTAAATTAATAACACGAGTCGAACTTTTGAACCTGATTATCTCATAAAAAGTATATTTAAGCCCGTGGAAATAATTTATGGTCTATTTTCACTTGCCTATAAGTGAACACTCCGACCAGTCGGATAAATTCAAAAAATTTAAAACTCACACTTCAACATTATAGTAGTAGATATTCCTCAGAATTTACCTCGCACGACACGCAAATTTTAAGGGAGAACGTATACATAATTTTATTTAAATAATTTGAAGAAGCATCTTACAAATGAGTCAACGAACGTTAAAAAATGTTAACTATTTGCGGATAGAAAAAATGTTTTATTAAATTAAAAAAAAAAATTGAAATTACACATTCTCTTTAAAAGATATACCTGAGTGTGATACTGTACTATCTCACAGTGAAGGTTAATATCGTGCTTCAAGTAACACTGTATACCGTACTATCTCAAATTTCACAGTTTTGCATACAAGTAAAATTTTTGCTCTATTTCTACAAAAAAGTAGAGCAAAAATTAAAATGGCGCCGTTTTTATTCTAATTTTATAAAAATTAGAGCAGAAATTAAAAGTACACCATTGTAATTTGGCGCCATTTTAATTTCTGCTCTAATTTTACTATAAAATTGAGCAAAAATGGCGCCATTTTAATATCTGGTCTTTATTTATTAAAAACTAGAGCAGAAATCAAATTGGTGCCGTTTTTGCTCTATTTAAAAAATTTTTTTTTAAATTCCAGAAATTTATTGAAATTTCAGGACTTTTCCATACGAAAAATCCATTCCATGACTTTTCCCTGACCTGGAGTGTTTCCCTGACTGTTAGACACCCTGATATATCTGTATTTTCTAAAATTACTTCACGGAGAAAAAATGGAAAAATGAATAAAGTAACTTTTACTACTTTAAACTGTAAAAGTAAAACCGGAACTGTCCGCAGTTTCATCGAATTTCTGTCAATTTTTACTCCAGAAATAGTAAAATTTACTATTTCAGGAGTAAATTTTACTATTTTTGAAGTAAAAATTGCCAGAAATGCGCAGAAACTGAGGACAGTTCAGGTTTTACTTTTAAAGAAGTAAAAGTTACTTTATTTGTTTTTCCATTTTTCTCCGTGTTGAAACTAATTTAGTGATAGTTTTAACCTTGATTAAACCACCATTTTTAACTATATAAAATGAAAAGATTTTTTATCAATATAAGTTATAAAAAATATTAATAAATTTTTGGACTTATGTTGTTTTTCTAAAAAATAAAATGTGAAACCCAAAAAATTTATCAGATTCGTTCGAAACTTGTTACTTTGGGGGGCTTTGGAGTCGTTGATTATAAATAAGGTATTAAATTTTCAAAATTCAAGATGGCGGATCCAATATGGAGGAATTTTTTAAAAATATGATTAGATTCCTTGAAACTTGTAAGTGCGGGGTTTCCGGAGCGAATTTAATACCAAATTAGTAATTAGCAACTCCAAAAACCCCTAAATAATGAATTTTGAGCGAATTCTATCAATTACTCAAAATTCTTCAATCATATTGTATCCGACATTTTGAATTTCTGAAATATGATGCCATATTCATAATCATCGATCACAAAAATCTCCCTAACTTAGCGAATCTGATCAATTTTTATATTTTTTTTTTATAAACATCATTATACCAATTAGAGGGTTATAAATTTAGTAAGCTCTATAATATTTTACCAGATTGTGGGGCTTAATTTAAAAAAATTTTTCAATAAAAAAGTGATTTTCGAAAACAATGGACTTATACTGTTTCTGAACCAACAGATTCAATTTGAGGTTATGTTACATTCGCCATCTTCCTTAACCGAATTTTAATTTATCAAAATTGTCATTTAATAGAACTTAAATTTAAAAATTGCTTTACATTCATCAAAAAATAAAATGCGTACAATTTCTTCCAGTAGCAAACGTTGCTCCTAAGAAAAATTAAAACTAAAAATTTAGTTACTTAGAAAAATTCAGAAAAAGACATAAGTGGGCCTAATTAGGCCATTTAATCCAAAATAATAATGTAATCCAAAATTTAATCCCGTTGCTATTCAAATTAATTTAAAACTGATTGTTTTTAAAAAAAAAACTTGTAGGAAAGAAAAATAACTCCTAAAGAGTTTATGTAAAAAAAAAATATAATATATATATATTCCCTTCAGTCTTTCCCTTAACACCTCCCCACCCCCACTTTTTCATCCGAAGCCGTGTATTCATTAAACCGGTATTTTAGAAATTAAACTAAATTTTTTTCTTCTTTATTAAAAAAAACCAGTTAGTAGAATTACTTTTACTTGCATCCCGAATTTAAAAATGTGACATGAAACTACATTGTTACAAAATAATTAGTTTGCATAATAAATTCGCTATTAATTCCAAAGCTGAACGAATTATTTTGACCGTTTATATGTTCAGATAACGACACATAAATATTGCATTACATTAAAATATACTCTACTATTTCTTACTTTTTAAAAGTTATTTCTTAAACATATAATAGTTTATAAAAAGAGGCTTTATGAGTAACCTCAAACACTTCCTATTATTAAATAAAACACAAAATCTTTAATTTTATATGAATATATACTTACATGTTTTGTTTGTGAATAATTCAATATAAAATACAAGGTACTTTGAATTTTACCTACCTCTAATTCCTCCGTTTCTTGCATCTTCTTAGACTTTCTTAGAGGCGCCGTTTTGATGGATTATAAATGTTCTTGCACAAAATATTTATTGTTAGAATTTTTAATAAACCGCTAAAACTATAGTCGATATTTGTAAACTGAATGGCGAGTTCAAATGATGACACTCGTGCAAAATATACTTTATTCCAAACTATATAATTATTAATTAAAACAATAGTTACTACAGCACTACAAAAGTAAAGAAAAACTATAAAATTTAAACAACTCAGTGTTTCCTCCAAAAGAAATGAATTTAGGAAGATGGCTGCTAGCTACAGTTTATTGCAGTAGGCTTAAAGATAAATTCATACGGTTTAGAGACGTTAAGGTGAAATCACATGGTGGCATAAAGCTGCTTCTACAATAACTTTTTTCATCTGTTTGTGTCGACGTGTCACTGTTAAGCTACTTTTACAAAAAACTTTTTTCTTCGAGATAAACAAAATGCACTGTCGAAACCATGAGCACGTATCTTTTTAACAGTGAATTTTGTTTGCGCTGACAACAAACAATTTGGATTTTTACGGTCGTATCGCTAAATTTAATTGAATATACAATATATTCCATTTTTCTGTTTTCTAAAGATTAGAACTGTAAAAATGGAATCTTTAGTACAGCCAATCAAATGAATATGCCGGAGGTAGAAAGGAGATTCCACAACAACTTGCTTAAGTTTTTGACTTGCTTTATTATGTCAAACCCGCGCACAACCCGTAAAATTGTCCATAATTTCAATTTCCTTAAAAGCACCTTTACGCTCATGGTCTAGTTAAAATACGTGTCAGCACTTACAAACAGGTCGTGACATTGTAAACCCAACATAAGGTTGGGTCCACAATAGATCAAAAACATGATCGTGAACGAAACGTATCCAGTTAAAGCTGAGGCTACATTGAGCACGTCGCATACTAAAGACCTAAGCAGAATAGATTCTTGAACGGGAACGCAATCGTGAACGGAAACGTAAGAATGGGTGAGAGAAGAATAAAGATATTTGCTATCCTTCTCTTACACATTCTTACGTTTCCGTTTACGATTGCGTTCCCGTTCAAGAATCTATTCTGCTTAGGCCTTAACATGCCAAATGTAGACTCAGCTTAGGCTGGTTGTACAATGTGCTCGAAGCAAGGTAAACGTAGCGTTGACGCGACGCATCCCAATGCTAATCAAATGGGGATGCGTCGCGTCAACGCTGCGTTTACCTTGCGTCGAGCTCATTGTGGAACCAGCCTTCTCCAGAATTGAGCCAAACGCAACGCAGACGCGACGACACATCGCAATGCTAAGCAAATGGGGATGTGTCGCGTCTGTGTTGCGTTTAGCTCCATTCTGGAAAAGGCCATAAGTTGGTTCTACAATAAGCGCGTCGAACGTGGACGTGAATGTGTACCTTCTTTCCTTTCCTTTTAAATGACTTTTGGCTAAGCCGAATGTCAGAACTGTAATAAGGAGAAGAATTATATAATCCAATTATATAATCCAGTCAGACAAGATTGTGAGTGCATTAGAACCACTATGCTTTAGGGTATATTTTCACCATAGTCGTGACATCTCTCTCTGTCTCTGCCAAGTGCTCAAAGGCGGTGGGGTCCCTCTTTTCTCGTAAAGTCGCATGTGATAGGGAAAAAAGGGCAGGTGCGAGGAGAGATGTCCGTACAAGAAGGTCAAAAAAATCAAAATTAAACAAAAATTACGAGCAAAGTCGAATCTGTCATTACTGGCAATAGGTCAAAAACAAATAAAAAAAAAGAACTGTACAATTGTTGTGTCGTCTGAAAGTCACATTAGAGAGTCAGACTGGTTGACCACCCTGACATAAAAATGCTCCAATCTCTCTCACAAACTCGTTATCCGGAGAGAAAACCAGCTCTTCAAGCGAGACGTCAGTGGGATCTCTACTGGGAAATATCCTGGCAAGAAATTCACGAAACCTAGCTCTGGCTGAAGCCAGTCTAGGATATTGATTTAAAACGTGAATAAGGGTTCTCCACGCCGCAACCGCAGCTCACCCGCGTGTTCCATCTCAACCTCTCAAAAAGATCCTGCGTAAAAGTATGACCAGTTCTCAATCTGGTTACTGTATGATGGAGCGGTTACACCTCGCCTGCAGGAGCGGTTGTCATGGGCAACTGCTCCTGCAGCCGAGGTGTGACCGCTCCATTAATCCTGCTCTTGGGGAGAGTCATTTCAGCAAACCAGGGTCTGATAGTTCTATATGACACCCTTGAGAAGTATCTGTGCCTCTCCAGATCCCGATCCGTAAACGGCCAAAGTCGTGCAAAACTGGCAGATCTGTCGGGGATCAGGACATGTTTCTTGCTGTCATCCACAGGGAGACCAAAGAAAACCCTTCCCGAACATTTATTTACTTCACGGCAGACAGAGTCAATATATTCATTCCCTTAAAGGGTACGGTCACACTATCTCATGCATGCACTGTGCATGCATGCAGAAACATTTGGTCGGTCACACTTCAACGAAATCTAGTGAATGTTTAGTAACTTTCTAGTAATTTTCCAAAAACTTCAGTTGTAACTAGAAAGTTACTAAACATTCACTAGATTTCGTTGAAGTGTAACCGGCCAAATGTTTCTGCATGCATGCACAGTGCATACATGAGATAGTGTGACCGTACCCTATACTTGGTGGCTTTGTCCGCAATATATTTGATATGTGGGGACCAATTCAGTTTCCGATCCAGAACGATGCCTAAATGTTTCATCGTGGATTCACACAAAATATGAGTATTGCCGATATTTATATTAAGATTATCCAAACTTTTTCGGGATCTAGAGAAGACACAACAAGTTGTTTTGGTAGGAGCAACGTCCATACCAAACCTTTTCAACCAAGAAATCAGTCTGATGAGAGTGTCATTCACCAAGGGAGAAATGTGTTCGTTGTTTTTGAATTTAATGTATAAGAGTAAATCGTTCGCGTACATCACCAAAATAGATGTATCTTTTGTTTGTTATAAAATTTATAAAATTTATTGAACACGGGTGAAAACCCAATTTTATCAATTCACTATTCCTGGCCTCACGTTATTGAAGGCGCCCTTAATATCAGTAGATAGAGCTAAGGTATTAAGGGAATTCATAAAACCTGTTGAGGTATCCGCGTCGAAGGCAGCCACACAATCAACCGCCGAACGACCCTTGCGAAATTCTTACTATTGAGAAGGAATCAAGTTCTTTCACTCCACTTCGTGCTCTAATCTCCTCTGTACTAATCTTTCGAACAATTTGGAAAGGACAGAGGTCAAGGCGATTGGTCTATATCCCTTGCCGGCAGGTTTTGGAAGGGCGATGACTCTCGTTTTCCTCCAAGATTCCCGAAAAGAGAAACTCAAAAACATTCTGTTAAAAATAATCAGGAGCAACTCACAAGCTATTGGGGCCAGATGCTTGAGGACCTTACCAGTAATCCCGTCAAGTCCAGGAGAGGACTTAGCCTGGCATAACGAAAGGGCCGATATGAATTCGTTAATTGTAAAAGGAGGGAAGTCAGAGTTGTTAAGAGTTGTAGGCGTTGTTGATAACGGGATATTCTCCGGGGGGACACTCTCTTGAATAAGATCATCTCTGAATTTTATCATTTCAGGTGTGGAAGGGTCTGTAGAAATATTAGTGTTAAGACGTAAGGAGCAGACTGAGAGTGCTATAAGGGTATGCCCTAAAGTGGAAATGCCCTTAGCAGGAGAGATGTTTTAACAAAAGTCTCCGAAGGCGAGAATCTTCTGCTCGTTCAGAGCCCTTTTTATCACTGCCTCTCTTCTTTTAAACTCTATTGGGATTGGCGGTCTAGTGACTTTTACCTACTTCGTCAGACATTTTAGTTTTTATTTCTCTTTCTATCGTGTTAATTAAAGAAAGATGAAAAAGGAAAATGGTTGTCCGAAGTAGGTACACACCAGATGGCGTATTGAAGTTTAGCCAATCCCAATTCTGTTTTCTAAGGATTGATTATTTTCATACCATCTGTAGTTTTCGCGTCTTTCCGCTAGTAGTTCGTCACATTTTGCATTCCTCCAAAGTGGCTTGGAGAAGGGTCGAATAGGGCCAGATCCATACCAGACCTAAAGTCACCCGAATTGATCGTTTTTAGACAAAAATTTCTTGAAGATGGAGAGACAAGACCTGGGGTGATATCGGATCTAAGAATTACGGGAAAATGGTCTGAAGCGAAATAGTCATACGCCACCTCTACCACAAAGGTTCGAAGGATGGCAGGGGAACCGAAAATCAAGTCAAGAATACTTCCCCGAACGTTAGCATCCCTGCATCTGGTTGGCTGTTGTTATTGGTAATAAAAAGATCTTGTAATGTATTCGTTCGTTTATTTCCGTCTGTCTTCGTGTTTGAGTTTAGTTGGCAACACTGTCTTCGTGAGAAGACGCAGAATTGCTCTAACGAGCCAAGCGAATAGTCGTTTTATGTACACTAAAATTTCATCCAGTTTTATGTATCAATTTATTAATAATCTCAATTCTTAACAGTTCTCTCTCCAAGATAAAAGTCAATAGGGACGAGCCCCACATGTTTGTATCTTGTTCTCCCCAACAGGAGTGGTGTGCATTGAAGTCACCACATAAAATGTGATTCACATGTTGCGGGAGCTGATCGAAAATATCTATTCATGTTTGGTGGAGGATATCTCCACCAGGGGGGCACAAAGATAGATGATCTAAGTTTAGCCAAATAAGGACTGTATGTCTATAGAGATTATGTCAATTGAAATATTTCTTAAATTATATGTAAGCGAAATAGAAACTCTGAATGAGATTTCCCTGCGAACCAGCACTAGTACTCCTCCTCCCCTACCATTAGGGTGATCCTGTCTAATTGAGATATAATTAGGGATCTTAAAAGTACTCCTAGATGATAACCATGATTCGGTGATACAAACTATGTCCGGGTTGAATTTCCACAGAAGAATATCCAATTCAGGTCTCTTCGGAATTATGCTCCTTGCATTCCAAAGGATCAGAGTAAGAGTTTTGTGGATAGGTCTAGATTCTCCCATTTGGAAACACTAAGTACGCAGTCAATTAAAAGAGTTGTAAAGAAATTTGAATAGATTGAATAGATGATTTGTAGCTAAAGGTATCAAAACAAGGAAGAACAGATCGAGGTCCTGCTTTGCGAATAGATGTAGACAAAATTAAATAAAGTAGACAAACAGCTAAATATGAACACAAATAAACGACTTAGTAAACAAATAAATAAAACAAAGATAGTTAGAATTACCAACCGATAAATAAGTTAGTTAGTAATTATTGTTCCCAACTAGTATTACACTTAACCAGATTTAGTTCTATTAATCTCGACATCATTGACCGACATATCACCACTCTGAGACGACAGAAGGCTGTCTGAAGAGTTGGAAACATTATTGGAGTCCAGAATGGTTTCCCATGTTAACGGACTGAAAGGAATCACTCCGAGTACAGGAAGAAGATGGGGCCAAGGTCGGAGACTCCTCCCCCAATAGACGAGGAGCACCCGACCCATCCCCACTCTCCTCTCCCACCGTACCTCGACAAATTACCTCATAACCCGGACGAGCTATCCCCTGATTTGACAACAAGGATTCAGTCTCCTCGTATCCAACATTTTCCTCCAGTCTACATCTCATTATCTCAAATTCATACTTGTAATACGGGCATTCTCTTGCCGAGGCCGCATGTATTCACGGTTAAAATACGTAGACTTGCATTAATTAGAGATTGAACGTGCACCTACAGTTGGTTCTACAATAAGCGCGTCGGACGTGAACGTGTACCTAATGAGAGAGAGGAGTATAGATGTATATCTCCGTACTCCTCTTTCTCATTAGGTACACGTCCACGTCCGACGCGCTTATTGTAGAACCAACTTTCGGACCTGTCCAGAATACACGAAAAACATGAACGTAAACTTAACGTTTCAATGTCTACAATAAACGGGTCGGACACGCGTCGGACGTGGACGTGCTGACGTCACAATGTTAGGCTGGTTCCACAATGGACTCGACGCAAGGTAAACGCAGCGTTGACGCGACGCATCCCCTTTTGAAGTCGGCTCTACAATCCATTACGGAAGCTCCTATGCGCCACCATGCCGTCTCACTCGTGTTGTGAAGCACCCTAAGAGGAACAGGCCTGTTCGTGTGTTCCTCGGTGCGTTCCTCGGTACGTTCCTCGCAGTGTTCCTGATTGCATTGAATTTCATTGTAGAAACAGAATGAAAACTTTGATTTATTTATTATTTTAATCATGAAAATTTGAATAAACGTAAGTAAAATTGATATTAATAATTAATTACTTATTAATTAGATAATTAGGATATATAATTTCAATTATATCAACTTGTGAAAAGTCAAAATTTTTATTATTTACAATCATCATGAAATTTAAATTATTTAAATTTTTATTAATCTAATTAAGTATAAAAATTATATTGTTTCATTTGTATTGTTTTAAGTCTTTTGTTATTGGATCATATTATTATATAGAGCGCTGGAAAAAGTCATAAAATTTATAGTTCAATACATTGACATAACCTCAAACTAAATTATTTTTATTTACAATTATTTTTGACAAATAATAATTATTTATTTCGTATTTTTTCATGATATTTAAATAAACGTAAGTAAAATTGATATTAATAATTAATTACTTGACTGATTAGATAATTAATAATTATAATTTAAATTGTATCAAATTACCTCAAACTAATTTACTTTTATTTACAATTATTAATGATAAATAATTATTTTATAATTATAACCTACAGATAATGTGTTATTCAAGTTTTTAATAAAATTGTCAAAATTTTGTATAAAATTTATTATGCATTATTATTATTATAAATTTGAATTAGAATCTTTATATTATAACATTATACAGCTTAAATGCAAAAATTATTATCGCTTTTATAAATAATGCAGTACAATTTTATTATTTATCTTATTATTCATTTTATTATTTATCAAAATATTACCTGTAGTATGTATCATTTAACAAAATCTAAGAAAAATAATAATAAAAAAATTTTAAAGCGATTTAAATGCATCACTTTTTTAATTGACAGAAAGGTAATAATATTAAATAATCATTAATTTACTGAAAGTAATCTATTTTTTTACTTAAGTACCAATTTATACAATTTATATTTTTATGTTACTTACATTAACTAAAAGGTTTTAAAATATTTAAATCCCTTTAATATTTAAAATTACATATATAACCTCTTGATTTATGAATAATAATAATTTTCAGATGAATCCTGCTGACGCTACCATTAGTCGAACGATTAAATTATTGTACAATAATTTTTTTTTTTGAATGTCCATTTGACATAAATATGTAAATTATATTAATAAAAGACAAGAGAGATTACTTTTAGTAAATTAACGATTATTTAATACTATTCCCTTTCTCTTAATTAAAAAGAATGATAAATTTAAATCGCTTTAAAATATTTTTTATTATTCTTTTTGTTTGATTTTGTTAAGTGACACATACTAAAGTTAATTTAGATAAATATAGAAAAAATTGTAATGAATTATTTATAAAACATAATGACTTTTAGATTCAAGCAAATATACATATGTCCCATTTAAAATTAACAATAACAGTAAAGGATAATAAATTGTATAAAAATTTTGACAATTATAATAAAAAATTTTTTAAATAAATTTGAATAATAAATTATCTAGATTATAATTTTAAAATAATTATTATTCGTCAAAAATAATTTAGTTTGAGGTTATGTCAATGTATTGAACTATAAATTTTCTGAATTTTTCCAGCGATCTATATAATAATATGATCCAATAACAAAAGACTTAAAACAATACAAATGAAACAATATAATTTTTATACTTAATTAGATTAATAAAAATTTAAATAATTTAAATTTCATGATGATTGTAAATAATAAAAATTTTGACTTTTCACAAGTTGATATAATTGAAATTATATATCCTAATTATCTAATTAATAAGTAATTAATTATTAATATCAATTTTACTTACGTTTATTCAAATTTTCATGATTAAAATAATAAATAAATCAAAGTTTTCATTCTGTTTCTACAATGAAATTCAATGCAATCAGGAACACTGCGAGGAACGTACCGAGGAACGCACCGAGGAACACACGAACAGGCCTGTTCCTCTTAGGGTGCTTCACAACACGAGTGAGACGGCATGGTGGCGCATAGGAGCTTCCGTAATCCATGGTACGCGACGCGAATGTGAACGCGACGTGCTGACGTCACCCATTTGAAGGCCTTTCTCCAATAGGAACCTAAACTTTTGCGTTGCGTGACTGACGCGTTGATTTTAGCATTGGTTGCCAATAGCAACCGACGCAATGCATACGCAACGCAAGAGTTTAGGATCCTATTGGAGAAAGGCCTTCATTAACATTGTGACGTCAGCGCGTCGCGTTCACGTCAAGCCCATTGTAGAACCATCCTGATTAGCATTGGGATGCGTCGCGTCAACGCTGCGTTTACCTTGCTTCGAGCCCATTGTGGAACCAGCCTTATTCAAATGGGTGACGTCAAACGCGCTTATTGTAGACCCTGCTTCAGGGCGCTTCCACAATCACATGCATTTTCATTTTGCTCTTTGCATTTTGCTCTTGCTTTCTGCGCGCGCAACCTACTTATCAGTCGTCAAAATTAATTAAGTAATTAATTACTAATTAATTATATGTAATTAAGTAGTAATAATTTTATACATTAAACAAATTAATTGATTACTACTTAATTACATGTAATTAATTTGTAATTAATTACTTAATTAATTTTGACGACTGATAAGTAGGTTGCGCGCGCAGAAAGCAAGAGCAAAATGCAAAGAGCAAAATGAAAATGCATGTGATTGTGGAAGCGCCCTCAAATATAGGAAGTGTCACGGAAAAGCAGACCGCTCGCACATTTTTAGATGAGTGTGGAATCAGCATAACATACATAAAGTAGGTTATCTACCCATCCCTGGGTAGAAGTTAGAGTAAGATGTTCAAATTTGAATTTTCTCACTCTGTTCCTCTTGTATATACGTTACCATGACAACTGACAGGCGGGCAAATAGGCTACAGAGCTGTGACCGCTCCTTAATACAATAATATTTGTATCATTTGTTAATTAACAAGATTTGATTTTTTTTAATTATCATATTACTGAAGACAAATGGAATAATTATTTAAGTTAGCGTTTAATAATGCCAGTAGATGAAATTCAATATTCCGAAAAGTATAACGATGATAGGTATGAATACAGGTTAGTATTTATAAAGTATAAAATGTTTTTCTGTATAATTAACAAATTTGTGTCGTATCAGCATAATTTGTAAATTTATGAATTTTTCTCAATATGTCAATATTTGTATTTGTCAACAAAAACGATTGGATCATCTCCTGCTTTACTTGAAGAAGATATGACAATTTCATTAAATTCTTTAAATCGCATTATTTAAGACAGATATATCATTATCTAGAGTTTAACTAAAAGCATAATAATAAAAATGAAATTACAAATGATGACAGAACGTCAGAAATGGTGACAAATGCAGGGAATCGAACTCGAACTAACAAACACACGATCTAAAATTAAATAAATTTAATTTTTTTTTAAATATTGACAAATAAACTTATAAATAATATTCAAAACATATTTTTCAGTTAAATTATCAAAAAAAAAATTCTAAATATAAATATTAAATTAACTCTAATTCCACAAAAATATAATAATAAAATCGGTAGTAAATTAAATTTTCTTTATTAAAAATTTATAGCAATTTAAAAACTGTAATCTCATAATTAAAAATACATTTTATACCAGAGTCGCAATCTCTTATTGCGTTTCTTACTTATCATTGTGTTTTTTAAATTTAATTTAATTTTAATAATAATATAATAATAAATTTAACAGAATCATTTGTCCATGACCAGACCAAGTTTAAAATTTTTGTAAAAGGAAGAAAATAGTTATTTTGAAAATTTAAAAAAAAAATTGAACGCTACATAAAATTTAAAAAAATGAAATTTTAATTTTGAAATTTCAAAAAATATAGTAAATTATTTAAAAATTGATGCGTTTTTGAGGAAGTTATGAGCATTCAAAAGTAAATCATTAAAATTCTGAAATTTTTAAAAATTCATATCTTGCGGGTTGTGTTTCAATAAATAAATCTTGTTAAAAAAAATGTTTTTAAATCATGAAAGTTAGTCTCAATAAATACTAAAAGAAAAAAATGTTTCAAATAAATCCAAGCATTTTTCTCCGTATATTATATTACATTATAATTATTTAAAAATATATTCTTTATAAAGGCATGTCATTCTACCCGTGGATTTGGCGAAACATGTTCCTAAATCACATTTAATGACAGAAACCGAATGGCGGAACTTAGGCGTTCAGCAAAGTCCTCACTGGATGCACTACATGATGCATGGACCAGGTATATTTTAGTATTTTATGTTTTGAGAAACACTAACGTTTAATCATGACTAAGAGAAATTAATAATAAATAAATTTTATTTAAAATAATCTACTTGTTTCGCTTGTTATTGTTTTTTTAATTCTACACTGAAAAAAAATTAAAAAAAAAAATTTAAGCTGTAATAATTTTTTGTAATTAATTATTTTTAGAGCCGCATGTGCTGCTGTTTCGGAGGTTGCGAGCCGTTTGTCCGTAATAACTGGATAGAATTATTGTGAATTGTAAATTATTGAGACGATTTTAATTTGGTATACCTTTGTCTTCTGACAGTATTTAAATGATTAATCAGAACACATAAGTAAAAAAAAACACATTTTAATAAACGTACTGTACAGCCTGATTGTATAAGTTTAGAATATACAAAATAAATTTATTTAAATAAAATATTCGTTTCTAAACTTCATGTCCTATGTCTACTAACAAATTTTCCTTTTTTTAATATCGCACATAGAATAGTAATAAAGTGTAAGTAGAAAATGAAATAAAAGAAAACTTTTTTAAGAATATAAAAAAGGAATTTTTAACGAATTACAAATTTCGAATTTAGATTCATTTGCATTTTACGTTCATATTAGAAAAAAAGTGCAATTCATGTTTTAGACATTTAGTACTATAACTAGAGATTTTTTTAGTTTTTTATAACTTTAATAATAATATATAAAAAAAATCATAAGTCTTGTTCTTAATAAAAAATTAACGCATTTTGATGTACTGGAAATTTAACTAATCGTCAGTTTCTTAACTAAAAAAAACATTCCAAGACCGTGACGAATATTCCAGGACATTTTATACTGAAAAAAAATTTATTTGATTCAAATAATCGATTAGTTGACTATTATTAAATAATTATTATTTGCGTGAATTAAATGGTATTTGTTTCAAATACAAAAATTAATGGCTCAAATACAGTTTATTTAATTCAAATAAAAATTATTTGGTTCAAGCAAATATTTATTTGATAATAGTCAAGTAACCGATTATTTGAATCGAATAAATTTTTTTTCAGTGTATTACAGGTAAACAAATTTCAAGGCTTATGGAGATTTGTAGGCCATTGAATTTGAAGTAAATTCTATAATAAAATTTATATTTTCGACTAAAAAATAAAACATCAATGAATAAAATCTAATAAGGTGTAATAACGTCATGTATAGCATATTTCCAAGTCCATAACCTTGCCACTTCTTCGAATTTTTCCTTATCGTTCATGTACATTTCTCCTAATTCGGGTTCCATACAGACCTAAAAAAAAGAGTAACAAGTAATAATAAAACAGATATTGAATTGACAATTTAATTGTTTAATTTTAAATACACTGAACTGAAAACAGTGAAATTATCCAAATGGTTTTTTGATCGGTTCCTATCAATTTTTTGCTACAAGAGGAGTCTTTGAATTAAACGAATAATTAATCGTATAACTTTAAAAAAGAATGATAACAAATATAATTTATATTTGCTCAAAACTAGGTTGTGACAAATTTTTGACTTTGGAAACCTGTAACTTATATAATCGTATTAGGAGTGATTTAAATACTCACTTGGCAGTATGGATCGGTGAGCAAACTTTGGACGCTTATAAGAACTTTTGATATAGTTAAAGCTAAAGACCAATTGTGATGTATAGAGTCAATTCCAACATCTCCATGTCTCGAAACATTAGGATGTAGTATTTTTGTAAGAAATCTAACAACTGGTGGTCGCATTGGATAACTGAAAATAATATTGACAATTACTGTATAAAAATTTTAAAAAATGAAGCATTTAGAAATGTTAACATAGTTCGCAAACATTTAAGAATAGAGGTCAAAATTTTCTGTTCTGACATTATTTCTTTCATCGCATCTTATGTCAGTTCAGTTGTCATTTCCGAAAGGTTCCTACGTAAAAATTATCAACAATAGTTTTTGTCTGGCAAGGAACGACCACAAAATTTTCATTATAACTTTCCCTGACTTCCAAACAATATTTTATGTTTTTCCCTGACATTTTCGAATTTTATTCTTTTTTATCAAATGTGAATTATAATAAAAAAAATTGTGATAAATGAAAATTCTATCAAATGAAAATTATGTTAAACAAACATTGTATAAAGAACAATTCAAATTCTTAAAAAAAATTCCAATTACATATTTTCACAAGTTTTAATGAAATTCTTTTATAAAATTCAATTATTTTATAAGCTTCCAATCATATTTACAAAATTTCAATTACTTACAATTCCTTTAATTCAGTATATACGAAAATTCAATTATTTTCAAAAATATAATTTTAATTATTATTATTAAAAAAAAACTGAATTATTTTATAATTTTGAATAAATTCTTTGATTATTGAATTATTTTTGAAATTTTTAATTTAAAATCTTTTAAAAATAAAAATGTAAAAACTTTTCATTGCAACTCTTTCAATATTGATTTATTTCTAGAAAAGATCAATTTATTCGTTTACTGTAAATTTTTTACGTTTTACAATTATTATTCCCCATCACCTTCTTTTAGATTAATTTCTATTAAATTCTATATATAATATAATTCTATATATTCTAAGTTAATAAAAAAAAAGTTAACTAAAACACTTTGTAAATTTTATCATTCTCAAAAAATTGAATAAACTTCTTCAATAATTTAATTATTTAAGAAATTACCAGAATAAAATTATTGCTTTTAACACATTAATTTTAATTTCCACAAAATTTATTTATTTGTAAAAAAGATATTTTCAAAAATTTCATTATATTATTAAAAACTTAGATTGCAGGGATTTAAAAAAAGCAATTTTAGCTCTTCAAAATATCAATTATTTCCAAATATCGAAATTAAATTTTTACTACAAATTTGTACCTATAAAGCTGTTTATACTTTGAAATATTTTCCAAATTTTCAATTGAAAATCATTTTAAAATTTAATCATTAATAATAAATTTCAATTTGCAAATTTTTTTTTTTTAATTCTTTAAAACTCTATGAAAATTTGTAAAAAAAAATCTTTAGCAATTTAAATTTACAAAAAATTCCAATTTCAAATTTTCTGTAATTTAATTAATTCTAAAAATCTTAATAGAAACTAGTCAAAAATCTTTACATGACTTTTTATTTAAAAGAATTTTAATTTAACAAAATTCTCATTCAATCGAATTTTATGTGATTCGAATTTTTTTTAAATTGACAGAAATTCCAATTCACCGAATTTTAATTTGTACGGATTTTTAAGACGCCGAACTTTTATTTGTCCGAAATTACAAATGGCCGAATAAACAATCGACAGAAGGATTTCGGCGCAATTTTTAAAATTAACCAATCTCGATTTTCTTGATAATTTTCTTAAATAAAAAGTCATGTAAATTGAATGACAATAAAATATAAATTCTGCCAAACAAAAATTTGGTATTTAAAGGATTTGTTAAGTAAAAATCCGTATAAAAAGAAAACTCTGTAAAATTTTAATTCGAAAAATGAAAATTCGTCTAAAAAATAACTATTTCTAATAAAGTTCTTTAAAATAAAAATTCTATTAATAATTTTTATGTGATAATTTGCCCTGAAATTTTCCTGACTTGTGACAACCCTGTCTGATATTTAAAGGAATTAAGAAAAAAATGTCTTAAAATTAAAAATTATAAAATCCCACCTGTATGGAACTTGTAGGTACAAGAAGAAAAGTCCACCTTCATAAGGACTTCCAGTAGGTCCTGTAATAGTCGCTTGCCAATGACAACACATTTGATCTAGAGGTGTAGCCTCAATACCCTCCGGAGGATCCATTCTTAAACTTTTTAATTCACTGCGTAATCTATTCCGACGCCAGGAATTTTCTTCCATTCTCGGAAGCTTTGTTTGTAATGATGTTTGGATTAAACATGTTCGACATGGAGTTGATGATGCAAGTAAATCGTATACCTTATACCAATCAGCAACGGAACTGACAGGTTTATACAAAGGCCAACGTAATTTGACATATTGTTGCCACTGTGTAGAAGTCAAATGTGTCGATAATAATCCACACCACCTTCGACACACATTCATTGCAGACCATAAACTTAAATCATCTAAATACGAAAATATTGTTAATAATACTTCAGGTGGTAATCTTTCTATAACACCAGGTTCGCTAACAGGTTCATGTTCAATATGTTTATGATTAGTTAAAATCTCTAATCTTTCTGATAAATTTTTTGGTCTCGATGGTCCTGCTACTTCGGATGTTATGCGAAAATTCGATGAATCCTGTACGAGGTCTTTAATATTTTTCACACCTGTTAACGTTAGAAAATCATGTTCCAAAATTTCATTTGTTGGAAAATGAAAATCTTGAGTACAAGTTGTATTTTTTTTAGTAGCATTTTCTGGATTTATATTTTCACCGGTAATGCTTGGATGATTGTGCGTGGATGTTATGTTTTGAAAAGCAGTAACATTACTAGTATTAACTTTATGACGATCATTGTCCTGCGAAAGTTTTTGCAAATTAAGAAAATATTGTTGTGGTAATAAGTGATCTTTCATAAGTTGCTGACGTAATTCTTGATTTGAAGCAAAATTGTTGGAAATTTGTGACGAACCATGTTGGTGCTGACCCGATCTTCGATCACTATTGTAGCACAAATCAGTTGGTTCATCATTTCCTGAATCTTCATCATCAGTTTTCTAAAAAATAAAAAAATCAGGTAAATTTCTCAAATAATACACACTTTGCGGCACCTATTAATGAACACTGATACGATTTGGGATTTTATAATTACAAAGTCAAATTTAAAAAAGATATTTTTGTAATCGCATGATATCATTTAAACTTTAGAAGATTTTTAGGTATATTTAGTAAAAAAAATGTGTGTTTTTTAATTATTCAATTAATTATTATTATTATTATTATTATTATTATTATTATTATTATTCATTAATTTATTGAATGTGTTTTTAATTTTTAAGGAATATTTTTAAAATCATTCTTTACACGACTTTTATTGTTTAAATTAGCTTATGGGTTTCAGATTGTACGATTTTTTCTTCTTATTTTAATAAGATGCGACTTTTTCGACTTTTTTTTTACAAAATATTTAAATAAAATACGAATTTTTTTAGTATACATTGCAGTTGATACAAAATTTAATTATTTAACAAATTTTTAAATAAAAATCTTCGCTAAATTTACTATTTTCAATAATTTAAATAAAATTTTTCAAAACTTCAAATATATGAATTTTTTATTTTCTTTTTTTGTAAACCCGTACCTACTTTTTGATTAAATAAATAAGTAAATAAATATATTTTTCAATTGAATAGATATTCAAAAAAATTCAATAATAGCTTGAAATTTAAAAAAAAAAAAAAAAAACTATTTCAGCAAATAAAATAAATAAAGGCAACAGCCTTTTTAGATTATTAAATTTTTATTTCAAATATTATCAAATTATTATTCAAATTATCAATTATTATTATTTATTAAAACATTTTTTTATTAAAACTTCTGTAAAATTTAATTATTCACAGAAATTAAAAAAATCTTCAGCAATTAAAATTTTCAAAAATTTAAATTTGAAATTCGCAATTCAATTATTTCTACAAATTTTAAATTTAAAACCTTCTAAAATTTAATTACTTCTAGAATTTTCAATATAATACTCTCTGAAACTAAATTATTTTTAAAAAAATTCAATTGCAACTCTTTCAAAATTCAATTATTTAAAAAAAATTTAACATTAAATTAATTGTTAAATTATTGTCAAACAATAATTTTCATCAAATTCTTCGAAAATTTAATTATTTAAAACACTTTTAATTAAAAATTCTGTAAAATTAAATTATTGTCTGAAATTAAAAAAAAAATACTAAAACAGTAAAATTTTTGAAAAATTAAAATTTCTTGAAATTCAATTATTTCTAAATTTTTCAATTTTGTCACTTCCAAAATTCAATTATTTGAATTAATTTTTTTTAATTCAATTATTTAAAAAAGTTTGAAATAAAAACTTTGAAAATCAACAGAAATCACCGAAAATTTCAATTAAAAATCACTTAAAATTCAAAATTCAAGTTAAAAAATAACTACAGCAATTCACATTTGCAAAAATTTATTTGAATTTAAAATCTTCTGAAATTCAATTATATAAAAAAAATTTCAATTAAAAACTCTCTAAAATTTAATTATAATCCAAAATTTTGTGTTCATTAAAACTAAAAACTGCCAAATTTTTATTTCGAATAAAGTGGTTACATCAGACTTAAAAAATTTTTTAAAATGGAACTTTCATAATTTTTATTAGAAATTTGTCCTATCTAATTAAAATTTTGGAAAATTTGTCTTGCTTCGATTTTGAAATATTCGAAATAAATTTTCTCTATATAATTTTTTTAGATTCATTCTTATTTAGGAATTAATAAAATGAATTTAATATCTATAAACTTTAGTTATTTAACCATAGAGGGAATAATTATAATCGTAAAAAAATAATCATTCATAAAATATATTTAATATTTTTTCAATTACCTCACTTATTACTTGAAGTTGTAACATTCCAATATTATCTGGGAATAAAAATGAATGGCATGTAGTGCAAACAGGTTCTTCAAAGCATGGTCCGTAGTATCCATTGCAAAAAAAACAGGAAGCTCTCTGTAAGATTAACAATATTAATTAATTAATTTAATGAAAAAGAGATGCGTGAAGAATAAAAAGAATTTACTTTTAACAAGTTGTAAATTTTATGTCAAATACTTTCTACCCTAGGTGATTTTTTGTTTACAAGCAAATTTCTTTTATTCATGTTTCTTTATAATAAATACTTGTTTTCTATTTCCTTTTCAAAATATTTTTATTCATTTTTTTCATAATGATTAATTTATTAACTTTCAATATTCCGTGAATTCGATCTTGTAAGATCAAGCAGAAATAGTAACTTCGAAGATCTGTTAAAATCATTTTAATTTCAACTTTTTAAAAAAAAATTTTTTCAGGAACATTACGAAATTTATTTTCGACACAATCAGTTTTTATCAATACGAAACTTTTGTCAGTGAAAATAAAAATTTTTTTTATTATTTTTTAAACAAAATCTATTTTTATACATGAAACATAAACTGATAAACAATCACTATGAATTTCTCTTTATTTACCAAACAAATAAACATTCAAATGATAAATATTTTTTCGAATTTGGTTTATAGAATCTTGTAAACAAATATCAAAACTAGAGGAAAATATTATCAAAAGTGCTTGACAAAATTCTCTGCGAATCAAAATGATCCTGTCACAGCAAAATTGACTGTACAAATATATAAATCCGCAAAATAATAATGAAATTAACTTACTGGAAACTCAAACTCTGGACAAGGCTTGTGCTCATTTTCATTTGAATGATTATAATCGATGTCACTAGGTTTTGAATCTTCAACATTACTATTTTCTAACTTATTCATTTTGAAACTTTCTTCTTGTAAAATGACTGTCAATTGTTATTAAAAACATACAGCAAACAAAGTGTCAAAAACAATGTTTTTCATTCAACACATGGTTGGGAAACGAAAGGGTCAACGCACAATAATTTCTTCGTCTGCGAACAAGGACAGGGTTGCGCTTGCGCAGTTACGCGTAACTCGAACGTATGTTACGTTAACCTTCGTATGTTATACCTACCCATCCTTGTGAATATTCCTGATGTAAAGTAGGGTCCACAATAATATTTTCGTAAGGGATGAAACAATAGGGGTTTCAATGTGATCGATTTAGAAGATCGATTGTAAACGTCACCCACGCAGTTGCTTACTCAATAACAAAACAACCTGCCACATATTTTTTCACTACTATAATACATATTTTATTATAAATTTACCTAAATAAATATCTTGTTGTTTGATTAAGTTTTATGCCAACATTATCACAACGAATCATATTTATAGGTTATGTTATAGATTTTTGTAAAAAAAGAAATATCTTCTAAAATAACAAAAATCTTAACTTAAAATTATGTTTACGAGAAAATTTAGTTTCCAATGATAACAAGTACATAAGATTAATTTTAGTGTTTCAAATGTTCCACATAAAATAAATACTAAAATGTGTGTTCGATAATTTGAAGAGAATGACGCAACTATTGTTACTCGTTGAACTCGACAATGTTATTGACAATTTAATTGTTCTCTGAAAAAAAAACGTAGTGTCAAGTTTTGACAAATGCAAAATTATAATTGTATGGAGAATATTGTGGTTTGGAGTGTTGTGGTACTTAAAGGGGGAACATATAACCTAACAACATTAAAAGTTTAACAAAGAAAAATGAGAAATATAATTTTCGAAATGTTTCCAAAAATTTATCCATCTGTTTTTATGCTTTTTTTCATTTTCGGCGCATTAGCAAATCAACAAACATCAGAGGTAATTTGTTTTTATTTAGTATTTATATATATATGTGAATGACAAATAATGATAATTTAATTGTTATGTTAGATGTTTAAATTTTTATATAATTTATATTTATTTAAATCATAAGAATTTATTCTGTTCTTTTTATTTGTTTTTATTTAGTTTGTATATATATATATAAATGACACATATAACAGGCCTCGGATTTATACGACTTTTCTTATATTTTTTTTTTTTTTACCAAATTTTTAAATAAAATACATCTTTTTTAGAATACATATAAAATCTGTTTTATATCAATTATTTAACAAATTTTTAAATACAATTTTTTCTAAATTAATTATTTTTAATAACTTTAATGAAATTCTTCACAAATTCAATTATCTTAACCCTCCTACGATTTTATTAAATTGCAGAAATCGATACCAAAACGTTTCATTTAATCCTGCATAGAAAATTTTATATTTCAACATTGGTTAATAGTTTTTTGGGTCGCTGATTACGAATCCAAGGTTCGTTTTTGAAAATTCAAAATGTCGGATCCAATATGGCGGATGTCAGTTATCAAAAATTAAAAATTGTTAAAATTATTTAAAAAATTTAAAAAATGTCCGACATATTGGATTCGCCATTTTGAATTTTTAAAAACTGACATCAGATTTGTAATCAGCGACCTCAAAATTAAATATTTTTCAATTAAATATGAAATTGAACAGTTATTTAAAATTTAAAAAAAAAACAAAATAAAAAATACAAAAAATTTCAATTTAAAACGTTTTATATTTATTATTTTTAAAATTTTCCATCTACAACTTTTTTAAATTTAATAATTTCAATTAGGGTCAGTTGGGGTAAATGGGAACAAAATCGCTATTTTTTACAAATTACGTAAGTTTGTTCCTTTAAAAGGTAATATTTGCGGGTTTATTTTTTTTTAAGTTGTTATTTACGTTCCCAGGATTAATTTTATACAGCAGAAAAAATTTAGATATGCTTTAAACGCATGAAACTGACTGTCCCCTTTAACCCCAAAATTTAGAAAATTTCATAAAATTTGGGGTAAATGGGAACATCATAGTTTCTAAAAAAGTTTCCTTAAGTATATTACTGTATTAAGGGATGAAAAAACTTGAAAAAAATTTGTAGTAGATATATAATAGTTGAACCAATCGAAATTTTTTTATTTTTTTTATTTTTTTTTTATTTCAGTATTTTGTCGAGCATTTCAAAGAAAACAGACTTCAAAATCATACCAAATTTTTTTTTTATTTCTTATGACTCCCATAACAGAAATTCACTTGAATTTTTTATTTTTGTTAATTTGGTTAATAATGACAAAAATCAAAAATTCAAGTGAATTTCTGTTATAGGAGTCATAAGGAATAAAAGAAAAATTTTGTATGATTTTTAAGTCTGTTTTCTTTGAAATGCTTGACAAAATACTGAAACAGTTTGACTTTGATTTTCAAGTTTTTATGCATTGAGCGATAACTTTTTTTATCTTGTTGCCAATTGTCAAGATAAAAGCTTGACAATACTCAAAACCTCTTGCAGGTGATCTGAGATTAAAATATTGACGTTGAACTTAATTTTAAAACTGTAAATTAAGCTCCAACACCTCTTGTCCCCATTTACCCCAACTGACCCTATAACTCTTCCGAAATTGAATTATTTTGAATGATTTTTAATATTCTTCAAAAATTCCATTAACTAAAAGCATTTTTAACTTAAAAAATTTTAATTCTCAAATTTTGCTTTTAATTTTTAATAAATTTTTGAATTTACTTGAATTTAATTATTTTCAAAAATTTCAATTTATAACCTTCTAAAATTGAATGACTTTTAAAAAACGTTATCTAAAATTATTTGATATAGTATTTTCAATTCTTTATATTTTAATTATTAAATAAGTAAAAGATGTTTGTTGTTGTTTGTCCTAATAGCTGTTTAATAATAAATTTAAGTCTGTATAAAATGACGCGTTTAAACACATTTTCGTGTCCTCATCAGAAATAAGTTTGTCAAAATGGATTATACGAAATCGATTTTTTTAAAAGAGTATAAATTTGTTAATATTAACAGTAATAATAATTAAATTTAATTATTGTCTGAAATTTAATAAAATCTTTTTAAATTTTATTATTTCTAAAAATTTCAACTATAACTCTTTCAAAGTTCAATTGTTTTAAAGAAATCATAATATTTCTTTAAAAAATGAATTATTTAAAAAAGTTTCAAATAAAAACTCTAAAATTGAATTGTCAAAAATTTATTTTTACACGGGCTATAAGCCCGTTGAATCATTAAATAAATAAATAAATTTGTCCTACTTAATTAAAATTTTTAAAATTTATGTCTTCGATTCTGAAATATTCGAAATAAATTTTCTTGATAATTTCCCGATAGAATTATTATTAAGGAATTAATAAAATGGATTTAATATCTAATAACATTAATTATTTAAAGTAAAAAACTTATTAACTAATTAAATTTAATTAAAATAAAAAAATGACTTTTTTTAAAATTTAAATCGACTAAAACGACTTTTTTTGCGCCTTAATGTCGATCAGAGGCCTGATATAATAATAGTATTAATATAATAATAATAATAATAATAATAATTTAGTTGATAAAAAGTCTTACTATGTTAAATGTTTAAATTTCTATAAATTTATTTGTATTTAAATTAAAAATTTATTCTTACATTAATGTTTATAGAATCATAGCACAGAATTGACTTCAGAACATGACCCTCTTCTAATATTTTCCACTCTTAGTGGATCATTTATTGGAGTTGGGCAAAGATCTGGTGAAATTCGATGGCGTCAGGATGATGGTAAAAATACATTTCTGATATTTATAATTCTGTATTTACAAATAGTAAATTAAATAATATTATTTCTATATTACAGAACCTGCTGTAAAAGTACCACATAGTATTACCGAAACCTCGATGTAAGTTTATTATAACAATTTTATATTTATTTTTCTTATTTATTTATTAGTAGTACACACCTTTCGGTTTTGGACGAATTTTTGGTTTTTATATTCAAATTATGATTATTAATCATTAAATTAATTTCTAAATATTTTATAAATTATTTTTTTTATACTAAATGATAGTAAATAAAAAAAAAAAATTTTTGCAGGCCAATGTTTTTACCTGACCCTAAGGATGGTACATTATATCTTTTTGGTGCTGATTCTGAAGTATTAAAAAAATTGCCATTTACAATACCGCAATTAGTTGCAAGTAGTCCATGCAGAAGCAGTGATGGAATTTTATACACTGGGAGAAAAATTGATACTTGGTTTAGTGTTGATCCACAAACAGGTGAAAGGGAACAAGTTTTAGGTTTTAATAAAGTCAAAAACACCTGTCCCTTAGAAACGCAGGATGTAATTTACGTTGGACGTACAGAGTACAATATTATTATGATTGATAGTAAGCACAAAAATCGAAAATGGAATGTAACTTTCTACGATTATTCAGCTGCAAAAATGGAATCGGACTCTATTGAAAATTATGGTATTTTAATTGTTTTTCTTTAATAAAATTATTATCAGTTATTGATTTCTATTTATTATTTTCTAAAAAAAATATTTGATTTAAATGTAATCTTACTTACAGATTTAGTACATTTCACCACGAGTTCAACTGGTAGAGTTGTAACAATGAATAGAAGATTGTTGAAAGTTTTATGGGATGTTGATTTAGGAAGTCCTGTAATAGCTGTTTACACTGTTAGTAAAGATGGTTTAACTGCGGTGCCATTTACAAGTGTCGCTGAAGAGGCTTTGGATAGATTACTCGATCAGGCGACTGCGAATCTTAATCAAGTTCAATTGTCGTACGTACAAAAAAACCAAAAATCTTTTTTTTATCACAGGCTTCACAGTGTTTCCCCTATTTTTCCTCTATTTTAAAAAATTCCCTTTTTTCACTCATTTCTCCTATTTTATGTTGAAACTCGAATAAAAATCCAAATTTGAACCAAAAAATTTCAAATAAATTTCCCCTATTCTCCCTTTTTTTTTAGCAAATTTTATGCTGTGAAGCCTATTATCAATAACTTGAACTATAATTTGTATAATTTTGGTAATTTTTAATTTTTTGTTTAATTCTTTTGCAGACAAACTCTTTATATTGGAGAACATACTCATGGTTTATATGCTCTTCCTTCGTTTGCTGATTCATCAACAGTAACAATATCGAGCATGTCAACTCATTTGCTTTTAGAGGGACCTCTTATTACATCTTATATTTCGAATAATAACGATATTCCTCTTCCTGGTGATCATGTGTCTACAACGAAAATCGAGACATCTGAGGATGATTTTCAAAGCATCAATCCTGAGAAAAATATTATTATGTTAGGTAAGAAAATTTTCAATTATAAATTTAATCAATATTTTAAAGAGTTGACACAAATCAAGGAAATCAGAAAATTTAAGGAAATCTCAGGGAAAAATTTTATTGTCAGGAAAGTTAGGGAATTTAAAAAAATGTGCTGGAAAAATGTAGTTATTATATTTGCTATTGTAAGGTAGGTAACACGTTCATGTGTTAAAAAAGTGTCTAGCGTTCCTTAAAAATATTGAATTCTCCTTGAATTTATTTTTTACCTTGAAAATATTTAAATAACTGAATTTTAAAACAGAACCTTGAATTATTAAAATTTTATAAAATAATATTTTATAGTTTAAAATATTATAAAAATCTCAGTTTAAGATAAACTATCAAAATTCAAACATTACATTACATTACTAAATTTTTCATTTCCAAAACAAATTGTCATATTTTTGTACAATTATTAGCACACAATAGTATATACAAAATTTTTGAAAATGTTTCAAAATAATTAAATTTTTGAAGATTAACAGGTTATATATTTAAAATTAATTGAATTTTAGAATATTTGAAATTGTAATTTTTTGTAAATTTGAATTGCTAAACATTTTTTTACAAATTTTTGACAATAATTGAGTTTTATAGAATTTTTGCAAATAATTAAAATTTTGTAGAATTTTTGTTAAAATTTTAGTAATTAATGAAATTTTCCAATATTTGTTTATATTTCTATTTCGAATATTTTTTCCAATATTTGCTTTGGAAATTATTGGGGTCATTTAAGTATTACGTAAGCATATTTTCAAGGGTTTTGGTACCTCCCTCAAATAACCATGTTGTAGTGGAAAAAATAAGAATTTCGTATGTCCCTCCTCCTTAGATGCTTACGTAATACTTGAATGACCCCATTGGTAAAATTTTTATTTTTTCAAAAAATAATTTTCGTCACAATATATTAGAAGTAAAAATACAGTAAAGGTATTAATTTTTTTATATAGAAACAAGAGTGTTTCTGTTAAAACTTTTCGCAAATAATTTAAAAAAAAAAATTTAATTTTCTTTTACACTTGTTGCCATGTAGGCCATAAAAAATATTTGTTAATGTTTTAAATCAAATCTTTGGTATTCCTATGCAATTTTTACAGAAAAAAAAAATTTTTAGTAGTTTTAATACTAATTTAAAATTATATGTGATAAAATCTCAATTCAACTGTCGAAAAATTTATTCAAAATTATGGAGTAATTATTTTTTTCTAAATAATAATAATTTAAATTATATTTTTGAAAATATTTAAATTTTCGAATATATTGAATTAAGGAAATTGTAAGTAATTGAAATTTTGTAAAAAAATTCGAAATTATCAGGGTAAAACAAAAAATATTGTCTGAAAGTCAGGGAAAATTATAATGAAAATTTTGTGTCAATCCTGTTAATGGTTTTTGCTTTTTTCTTTCCAGGACACTATAATGTACCTGCTGAATATAAACCGCAGAATTCGCCACTTCAAATCGCAGGACCAACTCAAGCTGTAATTCCAGTAAGTTTACCTTTACAAAATTTCACCAAAACAATCGAGGACGCTAATAAGGAATTTATAAACACCACAAATGAGCATAAAAATTGGCGTAGAACCATTGCGGCAAGTTACAATGCAGGAAAAAAATGGCTTAATCAACAAGAGAGTAAGGGATTAAAATTGACGCTGATAATTTTGGTTGGATGTATAATTACCATGTTTTGGTATTTGAATGCTCAATTCAAGGAGTTTCAACAGTTGTCTCAGGTAATTGAAATTTATTTTCAAGTATATTATTGATTTCTCCCATTTTATTACAATTTAACTTGACAAAATTAAAGAGACATATTAAAAAATAAGAGAAATCAAGTTCAATTTTCGATTAACAAAACGAATTTCGTCTTGTTAATCGAAAATTAAAAAAATTAAAGAATGAGAATTTTTCTACGCTCTAACATTAGCAATTTGACCAGGGTTCACGTGACAGTAGTCGCACTGGTAGCAATGGAAAAAATGGGGATGTCTACATTCCTGAAGAAATTGGAGAAGGATTAGTTAGAGTTGGGAAAATTACTTTTAATACAAGTGAAGTTTTAGGTAAAGGATGTGAAGGAACTTTTGTCTACAAGTATGTATTTACCTTGTTTTTTTATTGTTATTTTTTCATTTATATTTGTTTAGTAAAAACAAAAAAAATATCTTTAAACAGAGGAGAATTTGATGGTCGACCTGTAGCGGTGAAACGTCTTCTTCCCGATTGTTTTACATTCGCCGATCGAGAAGTGGCACTATTACGAGAATCCGATGCACATGCAAATGTCGTTCGTTATTTTTGTACAGAACATGATCGAATGTTTCGCTACATTGCTTTGGAATTGGCAGAAGCGACACTGCAAGATTATGTTGCTGGAAGATATAATCGGGGGAAAATATCAATAAAGAATATTTTAAAGCAAGCAACAGCTGGACTTTCACATTTACATTTCTTGGATATAGGTGAGTTTCTATGATTTCTTTTAATATTTCGGTAAATAATATTTATGCCTAAGGAATAAAAAAATATATTTTGTCTATTCAGTTCACAGAGATATAAAACCACACAATGTATTGCTGTCAGTACCAGGACCTAGAGGAGAAGTGAGAGCAATGATTTCTGACTTTGGTCTTTGTAAAAAATTACAATTAGGTCGAATGTCCTTTTCAAGAAGATCAGGTGTGACTGGAACTGACGGTTGGATCGCACCAGAAATGTTAAACGGTGAAAGAACAACTTGTGCTGTTGATGTTTTTTCCCTTGGTTGTGTATTTTATTATGTTTTATCCGGAGGAAAACATCCATTTGGTGATCAATTGAGAAGACAGGCAAATATTCTTTGTAAGTTTTCATTTTAATTTAAAATTTACATTTGTAGTTTTAATTAAAAGACAATTTGCAAATAATGTTCCTAAATTAATGTTTCATTCACACAGGCGGTGAGAGTGATTTGGCGGGACTTCAAGAAATTTCAGAAAACGACAAAGAAGTTGCTCTTATTTTAATTAAATCGATGATAAATAGTAATCCAACAGATCGACCACCGGCAAGTGCAGTTCAAAATTTTCCCATTTTCTGGGACTCGGCACAAATTCTTAATTTCTTTCAGGTAATTAATTTTTTTCAACATAAAACATACATAAATTCAAATTAAAAATTAAATTAATTTTCAAATATTTAATTTATTTATTCGTTTTTTTTCGAACAGGATATTAGTGATCGAGTTGAAAAAGACGAACTTAGCAGTCCCGCTTTAAGATCATTAGAAACAAATAATAACAAAGTAGTGAGAAGTGATTGGAGATCTCACATTGACGTTGAAGTTGCCACTGATTTACGTAAATATAGAAGCTATCGAGGGGAAAGTGTTAGAGATTTACTCAGAGCACTTAGAAATAAGGTACACAATTGTAGTTATTAAAAATATTCTTCTAATTCTAATTTTTTTATAACGGGGCGCATGATTATCCCATAAAAATTATTAATTGAGCTGCCGGATCAAAGAAGGGCACTTAACTCATTTGAATTACATTGGTTATGTGTCCTTCTTTGATCCGGTAGCTCAATTACAATTTTTATTTTAAAGAATTTCATTAGAAATAATTATTTTTTTAGACGAATTTTCATTCTTTGAATTAGCATTTAATAGAATTTCTTTGAATACGAATTTTTACTTAACAAAATTTTTGACTACCGAATTTTTATTTTACAGTCATTTTCTTTACATAACTTTTTGTTTAGTAAAATTTTTATTTTACATTCATTTTCTTTACATGACTTTTTATTTAAAAGAATTTTTAATTTAACTGAATTCTTATTAAATCGAATTTTATGTGATTAGAATTTTTAAATTGACAGAAATTCCAATTCATCGAATTTTAATTTCAGTGGCGGCGAATTTTCATTTGTCCAAAATTACAAATGACCGAAAAAAAAATCGACAGAAAGATTTCGGCGCAATTTTTGAAAATTTAGCAATCACAATTTTCTTGATAATTTCGAATTGGTCAATTTTCAAAAATTGCACCGAAATCTTTCTGTCGATTGTTTGTTCCGACAAATGAAAATTCGGCATCTTAAAAATTCGGATAAATTAAAATTCAGTGAATTGGAATTTTTGTCAATTTAAAAATTCGAATCACATAAAAATCGATTGAATGAGAATTCTGTTAAATTAAAATTCTCTTAAATAAAAAGTCATGTAAATTAAAAGACAATAAAATAAAAATTCTGCCAAACAAATATTCGGTAGCTAAAAATTTTGTTAAGTAAAAATTCGAATAAAAAGAAAATCTATTAAATTTTAATTCGAAAATTGAAAATTTATCTAAAAAATAATTGTTTCTAATAAAAAAGTTTTTTAAAAAAATTCAAATTAATGATTTTTATGAGAAATTCTTTATAACCCATATTAATATTATTATTTTCTGATTCTTTTTTTTGTAGAAACACCATTACAGAGAATTAACACCTGAAGCACAATCAAGTTTAGGTGAAATTCCAGAAAAATTTACCGAATATTGGCTTTCTCGATTTCCATGTTTATTGCCACATGTATGGTGTGCTATGCAAAAATTTCGATTGGAACCGAATCTCAAAACATATTATGATGAGAGTTATGAATTTCCATTTGAATTAGATGAAAAATATTTTAGTGCAATTCCAAAAGTTGAAACATTACCGACAACACAGTGGAGAACACAAAATTCTGTTGATTGGAGTCCAAATAGAATGAGGTTTAGAGGACAAAGAAAAAAATATGATGATCGAAGAAGAAAAGTTGAAGAACCAATAAAATGGACATTACCACCTTCAAGTTAAGGTAAATATTATTTTATCTTAATTTGAAATTAAAAATCTGATTTTTAAGTCATAAATCGACTAATTTAATTTAATTTCTATTTGAAAAATTTTAATTTATGAATAACAAAAAACAAAAGCCAAATTCGGTGATGAAAGTCAACACTCTGATTAAAAAAAAATATGTTCATATTTGTATATAAATGTATTATACAAGAGATCACTTATATTATTTATAAGTTATTAGTGAGTGAAAAAAGTTTATGCAATATACATATTTTTGCATATTGTGTGTTTATTAAATAAGGTTGTATTATACATTCCAAATACAATCCTGCAGTGATTTATGTATTTATTACATGTATTGTATAAAAAATCAGATGAAAATATCAAAAAAAGAAAGATAATATATTTTTTAGAGTTATCAAAAAAAAAAAAAACTGTTTGTGATACATTAGAAGTAAGTTTTAATTGCAAAATATGGATTTCAAATGATTATGTATATTTATATCGTGAGCGTTATTTATATTGTGAAGGCAAAGAATTTTTTCACCAGTTTTTTGAAAATCTATTTTTAGAATTCTAAGACAAGTTTCTATTGCAACAATGTTTTAAAATAAATTTACTTTTTTTGCACAATTTTTAATTATCTTCTAGATATATATTTATATTCATTATAAAGTTGTTTTTGAAAAGTGTACGGAATGAAAAATTTAATTTTAGACAAATTATAAAATATTGTTTTTAATTTATTCAATGATATAGGAAAAAAAACCAACAAATCTTTTAATACTTTTTATTTTATGTGTGAGAATTGTGTGCTATTACAAAAGAAAAAAAATTGTATTATTTGCGTGAAAGTGTAAATACAAAAAAATAGATTGTTAGTAATAGAAGGTGTTCTGCTTAACAACATATTGTTAAGTGAAAAATAAATTTTACATTACTTTCTATATTCATATACAAATGTTAATTTTGTATAAAAAAATAAATTAAATATATTACTATTAAAAAATAATTTAAACGATTTTTTTTATTAACAAATACTTAATTTAAAATTTATGAAACAAATATATTAAGACCTTTACTTTACATATTACAACATTCTTTAACTGATAAAATAAAATTGTTAGTCATTCGCATATAGAATTTCTGAAAACTATTTTTTTCATTAATAAAACTAGAAATGTTAATTAAACATTTAATTGTAAAAAGCTGCAATTTTAAATTTACGATATTTAGCAAATAAATCACTTGATGCGAGTGACAAAAAGTTTACAATAGGAAATCTATTTTTTATGTACATAGGTATATATATATATTCAGGCATTTTTTTTCATTATTTTCTACTAATTTGACTTTGGCACTTTTTTTTATCCCATTAAGTTTAAATTTATTGGCAAAATATTTTCTTTAAATGTTTGTGAAATTAAATAATAATTGAAAGAGTATTTATCGTAAGTAATTTTCTTTAAGAATTTTAATAATATTTGGCGAAGTCGAAGATGTGAATAGATTATCATCATTTGATATTTTGTTCTCAGCCTCTTCCAATGGCGTTACTGCTTGACAATTTTTACTCTGTGCATTTGCTCCATGTCGAAGTAATAATTCAGCTATTTTTGAATTTTCATTTCTTATCATAAGATGTAATGGCGTATCTCCAAAATTATCTTTAGCATTAATATTACAATTGCCACAATTTAATAGTAATTTTATCACTTTTGTGTGATTATTTAAACACGCTAAATGTAATGGTGTTTGTCCTTGAATTTTATTTATGACATTTACATTGGCTCCGGCGTCTAATAATAGTTGGACAATTTCAACATGTCCATTATCACAAGCAATGTGTAATGCCGTTTGTCCTTGGCTGTTACATGTATTTATTCCTAAATGAGATTTTTTGTCTTCTTTATCGAAAATCTCTTCGGCAGATGCACATTTCTCGCAGGTACAAAGTGGATGACAGAAATTTGATTTTTGTTCGAGAATATTTTTAAGCGGTCCATCCAATCCTAGATAGTAGGAAACTAAACAAAGATCTCCCTCTGCAACACTTGAAAGTAGTTTATTGATCTTGTGATTCTCGTCAGTGGTGAATTCCGCAAAATTCTGTAAATTAATTATTTGTCATAAAATATAAATTATATTATGTAATAAATAATTAAACAGGGTTGCAACAAAATTTTCATTATAATTTTCTCTTCCCAGACAATATTATGTTTTTTTTTTTGACATTTTTGAATTTTGTTCTTTTTCATCAAATTCATTTATTTATTTATTCAATGTCAAATGAGAATTCTATTTTAAAAAATTGTGATAAATGAAAATTCGATCAAATGAAAATTATGTTAAACAAATATTGTATAAATAATTTAAATTAAATTTTTACAAAAAATTTGTACCTAGGTATAAAGTTTTCCATACTTATAAATAATTTCCAAATTTTCAATTGAAAATCTTTTAAAATTTCATCATTAACAAAAAATGTAAAGGTTAAACTTCAAAAATTTAATTAATTACTAAAATTTTAACAAAAATTCTTCAAAATTCCAATTATTTGCAAAAATTGTTAATTAAAAATTCTCTAAAACTCAATTATTGTTAAAAATTTGTAAACAAAATCTTCAGCAATTCAAATTTACAAAAAATTCTAATTTAAAATCTTTTGAAATTCAGTTAATTCTAAAAAAAAATCTTAATAGAAACCATTCGAATATTTAAGTATTTATAAATTTTTATCTAAAATTATTTGATAAATCATTAATTTTTAATAATTATAATAGTTTTTCTAAAATTTAATTATTTAAAAAAATATTTAATAAAAATTTTGTAAAATTAAATTATTGTTTGCTTGTATAAAAAAATTCAGAAGTATGAATTTACAAAAAAATTTCAATTTAAAATCGCCTGAAATTCAATTATTTCTAAAAATATAAGCTGTTAATTTTTAAAAAATTAAATTATTTTGATACATTTTCAAATATTTTGTACGTATCTGTGTGATAATAATTGCAAAAAAAAATTTGTTAATTTGTTGTTGGAAATTAGAAATTTATTAACGTAATTGTATGAATTTGAAAGAACTTTGACGATGAAAAATTTGTTTACATCACATTTAATTCTTTGGATTTGAATTTTTTCTCTTAATTTTGAATTTTAAATCTTAAACTGAAATTTTTATAGTATTTTAAATATTATAAATATTATTTTATAAAATTTTAATAATTCAAGGTTTTATTTTAAAATTCAAAGTAATTTAAATACTTTGAAGGTAAAAAAAATAAATTCAAGGGGAATTCAATGTTTTTAACGGCACGGTAGGCTTGAATCTGATTTAACCCAAAGGTCTTTGAACCTGGGACTTTCTTCTTGATTTTTATTCTAAAATGTAAACAGATGATTTTGCAACAAAAATTTATATAATCACCCAAATAATCACCGGAGCTCTTTTTGAGAAATATCGTTTTTTCTTTTTAAAATAACGAAAATGAAAATATTTATCAGATTCAAGAAATATGTATTAAAAATTTTACTTTGACAAAAGCAAATTACTTTGACAATTTCCCGACTTGAATCCTGATTATATTAAGCGTAATATATAATTAATGATTATTTACTTACCACTTGTTTTTTGACTTCTTGCTTCAAAGAAGACTTTCTTGATTCTATGGATTGTTTTCTAATAAAACTTAAATCGTGACTATCAGTCTTTTGCAACATTCTTGATACATATGTACTGTGAGAAACTGTAAGTGGCGTTAAACCTCTTCTATTTATTGCCTTTGAATTTGCTCCGTGATCTAGTAAAATTTCAACAATTTCACCATATCCCCATTTCGAGGCAAAATGTAATGGTGTATCACCATTAAAATTAGCAGCATTAACATCAATTATCAGTCTTATTTGTTCGGCAAAATAAAGAAGAGCTTTCACACAACCATCATGACCATAATCAGTTGCAAGATGCAATGGTGTATTTCCTCTCGTGTCAGTTATATTCAAATCTGCCTCGGCGTGCAACAACAAAAGTAACGTATTTTGATAACCTCTCGATGAAGCACAATGCAATGGAGTCACACCATCAGCATCAGCGTCATTCACGTTTGCGCCGAGTCTAATGAGAAAATCAACAATAGCAACTTGACCATAGAGACTCGCAATATGAAGAGCAGTTAATCCTCTATCATCCCTTGAATTTAAAGTCGGCCAATTTGAATGCGATGTTCTTGCAACAATTCTCTCACACGATTCACAAGTACAAAGTGGATGACAAAGTTTATTTTCATCATCATTCGTTTTCTCTTTCGTCTTTGACAATATTCTCTTTATTTCCAATAAATCGCCTTTCTTTATACGATTAAATAAATAACTCAATGTCACTTTATCTTCTTCAGTCACTTCATAACCCACTTCTTCTTCTTCCTCTCTATCTGCCTCAGGTTCAGACGAACCAGTTAAAATTCCCGACTTAACATGTTCAACTGCAGCTTCCAATGATGTTATTAAAAATCCCGCTTCATCTGCTTCATAAACAGAATTAGCGGAAAATCGAAAATGTTTCATAAACATTATTTGTGCCATCCAATTTGGTAATCCTGATTTAATAACTAAAAATATTAAAACAGGTAGAAGATCATCGGAGGAAACTGATTTTTCACCTTGTGAAATGAATTTAATTGCTCTTCGGAGACAACCAATTTTTCCTAAAACAGTGTTGAAAATATCAAGACGCGATAATTCTAATTTACCTCTTGAAATACCATCATAAAGATCTGAACGTACACCAAGATCTTTTACTTGTAGTTCATGTAAATTTTTAATAATTTTATTTAAATTTGCATCCTCAAATGCAGTACTGGTGGAAATTGATTGAGGTAGAATATTTCGAAGACTATGGAGAATATATGTTTCGGCGGCTATTTTAATTGTTTGAAGAAAATAACGACTGCCTGTTGTTCTTTCACGTAATCTTGTGTCTTTTAGGAGAATTCTTAAACTCTTTGCATAAAGTGCACCAACTGTGTCTCTTTGCAATTGTAAAGATTTACGATCGAGGTCGTCTTGAGTACGATTAAATTCCTCAATTTCAGCATCTAAATCTTGTAATAATGTTTTATCTAAAACTTCCGTCCAAAGCAAATCTTTTGATTCTCTTAAATTTGTTACAACTGGTACATGATCTCTGGATGTACCAGCAGCTTGTTCCAAAGGATGTTCTATACACCTTAAAATATAATAAAACCAATTAAAATATAATATAATTAAAATATAAAACAAATTAAATAGAAAAGAAAGAAAAAATGACATATTTTGTATGGATGTTATTAATTACCATATAACATATTTGCGAAGATTTTCAGTATAGAATGTCTCCTCGAAAAGCATATGCAGTGAACATGGTTTTGAAATATCATACTCAATTGTTAAAACTCGATTACACAGTTTTACCTCCCTTCCAGTAAGAGTGTGAAAAGATGTTCCTGAATAAAATAAAAAGAAACAAATACAAATATCAGGCCTCGGATTGAAAAAGTCGATTTTTTTATTTTAAATAAATTTAATTAGTTAATAAATAATTTACTTTAAATAACTATTGTTATTAAATATTAAATTCATTTTATTAATTCTTTAATAAAGATAATTCAAGAATTATCAAGATCAATTATCAAGAAAATTTATTTCGAATATTTTGGCATAGTTTTTAGATTTAATAGTCAAAAAAAAATTTCGGACAATAATTAAGTTTTACCAAATTTTTTACATTAAATTTTGTTTAAAAAATTGAATTGCAGAAGATTTTTAATTTTGAAATAAATTTTCTACAAAATTTAAACTGCTGTAGTTAAAATAATTTAATTTTCAAAGATTTACAATTTAAATTTTTGAAAATAATTGAAAGTCAACTTATTTTAAATTGAAATTATTTGTGATTTCTGTTGATGAAAAAATTATTAGAAATTATAGACAAAAATTAAATTAATTAAAGTTCTAGATGAAAAATTGTCGAATGATTTAAATTGAAATTTTTGATAATAATTGAATTACAGAAAATTTTTAATTTGAAAAATTTTTTGGCAAATTTAATTGCACTAGTTTTTTGTATAAATTTTTGATAACTATTCAATTAGAGAGTTTTTTATTTGCAACTTTTTTTAACAATTAAATTTTTAAAGAAATACTAAAATTATTAGAAATAATTGAATTTTGGAAGAGTTACAATTCAAATTTTTAAAAATTATTGAATTTAAAAAAATTTTGTTGAATTTCTAACAATAATTAAATTTAACAAAATTGAAAATAATTTATTAACTAATATTATTTATATAATCTTTTTTAAAATTAATTGAATTTTCGAAAATTTATAATTCAGATTGTTGTAAATAATTGAACTTTAAATGAAATTTAATTAAACTTTTCGGTAATTTGTGTTGCTGAAGAATTTATTAGAAATTACAGACAAAAATTGAACCTTAAACGTTATTAATTGAAAAATGCTTCCAGATAATTGAATTTTTAAAGAATATTATATAAATCATTGAAAATAATTGAATTTAGAAAGAGTTACAGTTGAAATTTTTAGAAATAAATAAATTTTAACGTAATTAAGGGTTGTTACGACTTCTCTCGAACAAAATTCCATGAATTTTCCAGGTTCTCTAGAATATAATTTTATATTTTTCAATACTTCATAAAAAAAATGGTTTATATAAAAAATAGTTATTAAATATACAAAATTTATTAAAATAAAGTAAAGTTTATTATTATAATAAATAGGTTTTAAAAATTAATTTACTTTTAATATTCTTTCGTTAATAATAATAAATTAATTAAAATTTGAAAAATTTGGCAACACTTATATTATTTCTTTGACAAGAATATTTAATGAACTTAATTTAGGATATTAAATCGTAAAAAGTTCAGTTTATTAAAAAAATATTTTTATATTTTAAAAAGAATATAAAAATAATTAAATTCATAAAAATACAAAAATTTACTTATATTTTTAAATTCTCATCATACTGAGAAAGTTTTTGATTTGTGCGAGATTTTTTAATATTATTTTTGAATATTTCTTACAAAAATTGAACTTTATAAGTTTTTAATTGAAGAAGGTTTTGACATAATTGAATTTTCGAAGAATATTATAAAAATCATTAAAAATAATTGAATTTCGGAAGAGTTATTGTTGAAATTATTAAATTTCAGAAAGTTTTAGATAGACAAACTTTAGAAGATTTTTATTGAAATTTTTTAAAATAATTGAATTTCAAGTGATTTTAAATTGAAATTTTTGTTAATGTAAATTGCTGATTTCTTTTTAAATTTGAAAAAATAATTGAATTTCAAGTGATTTTAAATTAAAATTTTTGTTAATATAATTTGCTGATTTTTTTTTTAATTTTTAAACAATTATTCAATTTCATCAAATTTTTAATTGAAAAATAGTTTAAAATAATTGAATTTGTGAAGAATTTAATTAAAATTATTGAAAATAATTAATTTAGAGAAGAATTTCAGGTAAAAATTTATTTAATAATTTAAATAAAAAAGATCTGAAGAAGATCTGCATTGTATATACTAAAAAAGATGTATTTTGTTTACAAATTTTGTAAAAAAAAATGTAAAAAAAGTCGAAAAATCCGCATAATCCAATGCCTGAAATATTAGTAATTTTAAAAGTTAAAACCTAAGAACATTTCTTTGAGTAATAAAATACCTGGTTTCTCTTCATTTGGTATTAGAATATGACTAAGAAAATCATCTTCTAAAAGTGATCCCCTTGTAAAACTACCACAACGAGGAACACAAATAATCCATCCTTCATTTATTGCTTTTTCAAACGTTGAACGATGCTCAGTTTGAAGTTCTTGAAAGAAAGGATTTTCAGACAAATTTTCATCATAATTTGCCTCCATAACTTTTTCATCCCAACATGAATTTTCGTTGATATTATAATTTATCGAATTAATTACTGAATGTGTGACAGAATAATAATTTGTCGCACCAAATAGGCACGAAAAAATAATTTTCACATCACGACACATGGAGAAAAAATAGTTAAAAACGCAATACATTTGTTATCACCAGACAAATTATTACTATAAGTATAAGACATTATTTTTCTTTATCAACAATAATTATTAACCTTATATATATAGGTATTAGGCATAATAGGTGTGTATGTACACATATATTCAGTTTATATAAAGTAATACATTAGAGCCAGAAAAACATAACATAACCTTTAGTAAAAAAAATATATAAAACTGATAACTAATGTTTTTGATATGAAAACATTGTATTGAATATTTTTGATAAGGGTACTATATATGTGAATATTTTTAAATGTATGTGTGTAACATACGCACCTGCGCAAAAGTTCTTATTTGCCGCCAATCAAATGATGGCGCGAATTTTAAAATGTTACCGATTTAAAATTCGCGCCACTATTGATTGGCGAACAAAATTAAACGATTCTACGCAAACGCGGCTTTTGGGCGTTGTACAGGATTTGACAAAGGATTAAAGTGTGAAAGCACCCTAATGCTATTTACAATAATTTTTAACTTCTGTTTTATAAAAATAAAATAAAAAACGTTGTTAGATATATATTTTTCTAACTGATGTATTTGTTTACTTTCAATTATTTTAAAGCAGTATTTTAAATAAATGAAAAATATACAACAATTTAAACCCGCATTATAGTTGCATTTTTACCCGACAGAGTTTGGAATATTGTTTCCAAGATTTCTCTTCTTGACGTCAGAAACTGTCTCGATGTCTCGTGACTATGGTTAGGTATTGATCATCTGATAGGTGTGTATAGTATTGTTTAAATATTTGGTACCATTCTTTTTTTTTTATTACATGTCAGTAATTTTTTCATGAAAAATAAATAATAGTATAATTCCAGATTAAACGGATTGTGTGTTTTTTCTTCCTAAGAGAGAGAAAAACAAACTGATGATCACTGCTTCGGTCTATTTAACTTGATGTAAGTTTTATTTTTTAATTCCAATATTTTTCCATATAAAAATCTCTAAATTTTGCCTATAACTTTTTTTTTCTATTATTTTTCATTTCAATTTATCAATTTTATGCCATTATTTTTACTTTATGAGGATGTATATATGTATTTAGTTCTTTTACACTGGAACCATATGATTTTTTTGAAGGGAACGTACTTGTCACAAAAATTTCCAAGGTCAAGATTTCATGGTCAAATTTCATTTTATTTATCTTAAATCATTTTTGAAATTATGATAACAATGAGATTATTTTTAGTATTGAAAAAATAGAATATATTTATTTCAGGAAAGACAACAAATTACAATATATAGTAATAAACATAACATAAAAACACTTAAACCATCAGTAAAAACAATCATTCAATAAAATAACGAATGAAAACAAAATTAAAATCAATAACATTCAAAATGATAATTCAATTTAATAAACGTCACAATTGGGAAAAAAATTATTTTTTTTTTACCAAAAATGTTTATAAATAAATTGAATTTTAATTACAGAAATTTTTAAATGAATTCGTAACTATGGAGAACATAATGAGAATTTTATTTCTGTTGAGATAATGAAATATTTTCAGTAAAATACAATCAAAAATTAACAAAAAAAAGTGAAAATATTAAATTGCAGAATAGTTTAAAAGGTGTCTTGTAAAAAAAATAATATGCAAAAGATTAATTAATAATAATAAAATTAAAATTATTCTTTAAATTAATTATTTTCAATAATTTGAATGAAATTCTTTACAAACTTAATTATCTTAAACTATTTTCAATTCAATTATTTAAAAAAAAGTTATCTAAAATTACTTTAATAAATTATTTTCAATTCTGTACAATTTTTACAAAAATTTTTTGAAATTCAATTATTTCTAAAAATTTCAACTGTAACTCTTCAAAAATTAAATTATTATTTTAAATAATCTTAATATTTCTTTAAAAATTCAATTATTTAAAAAAGTTTCAACTTAATTATTTTCCTGACATTTTTTTTACCATTAAAACTAAAAACTATGCAAATAAATTCTAATTATTTGCTTAAATCACACTTTAAAATTTTTTTTAAAACTTAAAAAAAATTTTTTTAGAAATTGTTCTATTTAATTAAAATTTTGTCTTAGTTTGGTTTTTTAAATATTCGAAATAAATTTTCTTGATAATATTCTGGTAGAATTATTTTTATTAAGAAATGAAAAAAATAAATTAAATAATATACAGTAACATTAGATATTTAAAGTAAAATATTTATTAACTAAATTTAATTAAATCAAAAAATCGATTTTTTTTTGCAATGTAAATCAACTAAAAAGACTTTTTTTGTGCCGTAAAGTCAATCCGAGGTACAGTAGTCCAGAAATGAATTTCCGCGGACATTTAATAAATTTTTTTTAATATTTAATCATAATTTTTAATTTTTTATGTTACTTTTGCTCACATAATGCTGTGCGTCAATATTCATAGAGTTAACTCAGGCTTCGAAGTGACACACTTTTTTACTTTTTTGATATTTTTTTTTCGACAAGGCTACTTTTTTACTACTAATTTTGGCCAAAATCCACTAAATGCTACTTTTTTCAAAAAATAATTTTAAAAATGACAGAATTTAAAATTTTTAAATTTTTCCAAATTTTTTGATTTTTAAAAGCTTGCAAAGTTGATAATTTATTATTGACCGCGTGTATTACTGCTTTATATAATTAATTTTTCTACAAATTTTCATTTTTCAAAATAGCATTTAACATAATTTGTCAAATTTTTTTTAACATAATTTTTATTTTACAAAATCAAAATTTTTAATAATAATTGAATTTCAGGAGATTTTGAATTAAAATTTTTTGTAAATTAAAATTGCTGAAAATTATTAACAAATTTTCAAACAGTAATTGAATTTTACAGAATTTTTAATTAAAAAATGTTTTATTTAATTGAATTTTTGAATAATTGGATTGAAATTATTAATTTAGCAAAGAATTTTAGATAGTAATTTAAGAAATAATTGAATTTTTAAAGATTTTTAATTAAAATTGTTGTTTTAAAATACTAAATATTTTATATATATGTAATTTTTCGATTCCAAGTTCTAGGGTTTAAAAATTCGAATTATTTAAAATTCTTCTGAATAAGAATTCTAATAAATAAAAATTAATATAATAATAAAAATAGGTTAAATTAGAATTTTTTTCAAGAAATAGGTAGTTGGGTAAAGAGAAATTTTTTAAAATAAAAATTCTGTCAAACAAAAATTCAGTACTTTGAAAATTCCGTTGAGTAAACATTCGTTTAAAAAAAAATTCTGTATTAAATGCTATTTTGTAAAATAAAAATTTATGTGAAAAATCATTTTTATGGAATAATCATACGCTCCTACTGTTGTGCCAAAAACAAAAAGTTAATCGAAATTTAACAATAGATTGTTTTATTTTTTTTTTTAATAATGATGAGAAAAATGATGTTAATTTTATTCCTTAAAATTTTTCTTTAAATTTTTTTAGACAAGAAAATATTTACACTTTAACGTCAAACTTAGAACAACAAAAAATGGTACTTTTTCATACTTTTCTTAGTCTCTTACTATGCTTCGAAGTTTGTTGACTGTATATTAAAAAATCAAATCATTTTTCATACTCTGAAAGAAATTGAGTTTACAAAAAATAGAAATTGCGCACCGCTTTAATTTTAATTAATTAGAATTTTCATGATGTGAAATTTTTTGTTTTACTCAACAAGGAACCGTTTTAGAAATTCTGTAATTCCAAATTAATTTTTTTTTTAAACACCTATTTGAAATATTTAAAAGAATTTTTTTTTTTTTTGCAGCCCTGGTATTAATTCCAAAAAAGATTTAATCATCCATCAAGATGGGATCATTATTCAGAAGTGAGGAAATGACATTATGTCAGCTCTTTTTACAAAGTGAAGCTGCATACGCTTGTGTATCGGAACTGGGTGAATTGGGACTTGTACAATTTCGAGATCTCAATCCAGATGTTAATGCATTCCAACGTAAATTTGTCAACGAAGTACGTCGCTGCGATGAAATGGAACGTAAACTTCGTTATTTAGAAAAGGAAATAAAAAAAGATGGCATTCCAATGCTTGATACAGGTGACAATCCAGAAGCACCTCAACCACGTGAAATGATTGATTTAGAGGCGACATTTGAAAAACTCGAAAATGAATTACGTGAAGTTAATCAGAATGCAGAGGCACTTAAACGTAATTTTCTCGAATTAACTGAATTAAAGCATATATTACGTAAAACACAAGTCTTCTTTGATGAACAAGAACACGCTGGTTTAAATTCCACTGAATCAATGACACGTGCTTTAATAAGCGATGATAATATTGCACGTCAATCAACACTTGGTCCTGTTCAATTGGGTTTTGTCGCCGGTGTTATTCTTCGCGAACGTATTCCAGCATTTGAAAGAATGTTATGGCGTGCATGTCGAGGAAATGTATTTCTTCGTCAGGCAGAAATTGAAACACCACTTGAGGATCCAACAACTGGCGATAAAGTTTACAAATCGGTTTTTATTATTTTCTTTCAAGGCGATCAGCTGAAGACACGTGTGAAAAAAATTTGCGAAGGTTTTCGTGCAACACTCTATCCATGTCCTGAAGCGCCTACAGATCGACGGGAAATGGCAATGGGTGTAATGACAAGAATTGAGGATTTAAATACCGTTTTGGGTCAAACGCAAGATCATCGTCATCGTGTTCTCGTTGCAGCTGCGAAAAATCTTAAAAATTGGTTCATCAAAGTTCGTAAGATCAAGGCAATTTATCATACATTGAATCTCTTTAATTTGGATGTTACACAAAAATGTTTAATTGCCGAATGTTGGGTGCCATTGCTCGATATTGAGAGTATTCAACTTGCATTACGTCGTGGTACTGAACGTAGCGGTAGTTCAGTGCCACCGATATTAAATCGAATGGATACATTTGAAGATCCACCAACTTATAATCGTACAAATAAATTTACAAGCGGATTTCAAGCATTAATCGATGCATATGGAGTTGCTTCTTATAGAGAAATGAATCCTGCACCCTATACAATAATAACATTTCCATTTTTATTCGCTATTATGTTTGGTGACACGGGCCATGGTCTTATAATGTTTTTATTTGGAGCATGGATGGTTTTAAAGGAGAAGCCATTGGCGGCAAAAAAATCTGATAATGAAATTTGGAATATATTCTTTGCTGGACGTTATATTATATTTTTAATGGGTTTATTTTCCATGTACACGGGATTAATATATAATGATATATTTTCCAAATCATTGAATATATTTGGATCATATTGGCGTGTTAATTATGATTTAAAAGAACTTCAAAAAAATCCATTATTACAATTAGATCCAAATTCAACGGATTATTATCGATATCCCTATCCATTGGGAATGGATCCAATATGGCAATTGGCGGATAATAAAATTATATTTTTGAATTCGTATAAAATGAAAATTTCAATTATATTTGGTGTAATTCATATGTTCTTTGGAATTATGGTTGGTTTTTGGAATCATATGTATTTCAAAAGGAAAATTAATGTCATTTGTGAATTTATACCGCAAATTATTTTCTTATTATTTTTGTTTTTCTATATGGTTTTGTTGATGTTTATTAAATGGATCAAATATTCACCGTATGGTGATGAACAGGAGGGACCGTATTGTGCACCATCGGTTCTGATTACTTTCATCAATATGGTTCTTTTTAAGACAAATCCAGTTCGAAGTCCATGTGATGATGGTTATATGTATTCTGGACAACAGGGCTTTCAAAAATTCTTGGTAGTCATTGCTCTTCTTTGCATTCCATGGATGTTGTTTGCAAAACCATTTATGATGATTCAGGAGAGAAAGAAACATCATTATCAACTTAATAATCATGGAACGGAAAATGGTGATGTTGAAGGTGCAATGGGAAATCAACAACAAAATGTACAAATGCAAAATGTTCATAAAAATGAAGAAGAAGATATGACAGAGGTTTTTATTCATCAGGGTATTCATACCATTGAATATGTACTTGGTAGTGTTTCTCACACTGCATCGTATCTTCGATTGTGGGCATTGTCATTGGCTCATGCACAACTTTCCGAAGTATTATGGAATATGGTGATGAAGAATGGATTAATTAAGGAAGGTTGGATTGGAGGATTTTTCTTATGGGCAATTTTTGCCTTTTGGGCAGTTTTAACTGTTGGTATTTTAGTTTTAATGGAAGGTTTATCTGCCTTTCTTCATACACTCAGGCTTCATTGGGTGGAATTTCAGAGTAAATTTTACTCTGGCACAGGTTACAGCTTCCAACCTTTTTCATTTGAATTAATTCTTGACTCTGCTCAAGCAACAGGGGAAGAATAAATGAATTTTTTTTTTTTATTTAAATAAAAATTAATATTGTATAAATACTTAATAGTATGTGATTTATTTACCGAAAATGAACATATTAAGCATTTTAATTTTAATTCATGTTATATTGTATACTAGATATGTTCTCCGAAAATTGAAAATAAAAACCATTCTGATATACTGAAGAATTGGTATTTCATTTACTGACCATTTTTTAAAAAATATTTTTATGTATATATAATAAAAAATAAATATAGTAGTAGATAATTTGTGTAGTAATATATACAAAATTATAAAGGGTAATAAATAAATATACACAATAAATCTGTCATTTTTATTTAAAAATAATAATAATGATAATTTTTTTTTAATAATGCATATAATTTCCATAAAACTATTTTATGTTTACAATTTTAAATATTATTTCACCAAAAGACAAATATTGACAGAATATTTTATAAAGCCATTACGAAAGGCAACGTAACTTAATTGAACATGTGACGTCCCTGAGGAACTCGTGACAGATTAACGCCATCGTTTCGACAGGAAAGCTGTATAGGGAGCCAGTTTTGAAAATGGCTGACGTTGGCGATGTTTCGAATACTACTTCTGGAAAAGAAAGAAGAAATACGGTTACTGATGGACCCGTTACTGATCCAGCAGTTGCTACAAAGGTAAATTTCGCATGTTTTTTTTTAAATTCTAACCTTAAAAATTTTTTAATAGAAATTTTATACGTGTTTTGTTTAAATTATTCTTACGTCAGAACCCCGTGACTATAATTTGACAATCTCCTTTTTTTTCTTTTTTTTTTGATTGTCTCTATTTCATTGTTATTTTATTTGAGATTGACCCAGAAAAAAATAATTGAAAATATAAATTCAACTTAATTGTAAATTGCGTCGCACTTGTATTGTCTATTAAATATCATTTTCATTTATAAATTATAAAATGTCATTAACGCTTCAAAATTCAATATGCTCCATTTTTCTTTATTATTGTTATTATTAAACCTTTTCTATAAAAAACATTACCAAAATATTATGTTATAAATAATCAAATTTCACGACTAATTAATATTGAGTTATATTAAACATAAATCTGTATCATATAATTGTTTTATTGTTTAACTTATCAAAACTACAGGTCTTAACAATTAATTCAAATTTAAATTTAAAACAGGGATTAAAATATATATTTATATAACCAAAAATGAAATGATTAATATTAATGATAGTTTTACTGTTAAATTTAAAGTATAGGTAAATAATTCCCATTGACTAATAAATATTAATTTTAGGAATTTTCAAGTAAATTATGTGTAATATTTACTGAAGAGTCTTGAAATATTTTTTTATTTATGATACTAATCAAGTGCTTGCATTGTCTTTTAATAACGTGTAATAAAAAAAACATCATTTATGTTTCTCTACTAACACTATCAGTATAAAATTACATTATAATAATACCAAAGGTTTTCTTTTTTTAAATTATATATCATTTAAAAGTAGGAAATTATTCCTATACATAATGTGTATAATACTATAAATATTTGCATGACATTTAATATTATAATCTATAATAGTTTACAGTATAATGAATAACAGTGCTTATATTATTTTATAGATCAGAATTATTTCACTCATAGTTTGTAAAACATCTAGTAATACATCTTTGTCGTGACATCTTTTTTTTAAACTAAAAAATCTTAACCAACTAATATATAAAAACTCATGAAAAAAATTAACCTACATAATACTATATTTTTATTATTTTCTACATAAATATTACAGTATTTTTATATTTTATTTATTTTATATATTTTTAAATTCTTTTTTTATATGTAAAAAAACACTTGGAATGATTTTTATTGTTTTTATTTTTGATGAATTAACACGAATTAATGAAAATAATAGTTTGCTGTATTATTTCTGTGGATATATGATAAAAATATAATACATTTAAATTATGAAAATGGTGGTTGTGATTTCAGAGCCTAGAGGCATCAAATAATGCCTTTCACGGCCCGAGAACAAAATTAGTAAGTAAGAACATATGTGAATCGCCAAATAAATTTTTGTAGCCGTTTGCTATAACAATATATTCTATATACTTCTATAATACACCTTTCATTATCATTTTTGCTTTCAATTTTTTTTTTTTTTAATGTGAAGCACAAAGCGTTTTACAAAATTTTAATCCAAATGATTTTTTGTATTACGAAAATACGAAAATACATTTCCCTTTTTTATTATAATAAATCATTATGTTCTGGATCTTCTAAAATTATTTTTTTTTTTTTGAATAATTTTTTTTAACATAAATAATAAAAATTGATTTTAATGTCAGGAACATAATGATATATATTTTACGAAAAAAAGAAAATTTTATACAGAAATTATCTGTATAATTTTAGTCAGAGTTTAATCATATCATAAATAGTCCCATTAATTTTGTTTTATTTGTAGTTTATTTACACTATTTGCAATAGATGAACTGTGTATAATATTTATATTAATTGATTGTATATTTTAATAACATTTAAAATATTGATAGGAAAGCAAATCAGGAGCTTTAAAGAAATCCAGTCGTTATCGTAGTCGTTCCTTGTCTGCAAGCAGCACTGACAGTTACAGTTCCGGTAAGAAAAGAAAAATTGTTTAAAAATTTTAATAGTTTTTCATCCTCTAACATATAAAATATTTGAATACATCCAGGCTTCATAGTGATGCTAAAAAATATTTTAAAGTAAATAGGGGACTGAAAATTTAAAAATAGGGAACTTTTAAGGTACTATAATAAGGAATTTTAATATAAAATCTATCAAATAAATCGTTTTAGTAAATTTACATAGAAAAAAAGTTGATTTTTTATTTTTAATAAATTTAATTATTTAACAAATATTTTATTATTAGCAATTAAATGAATTATATTTATTTTTTAATAAAAATGTTTCATAGAAATATTTTCAAAAATTTTTTATTTAGAATACATTTTATAATAGCATTTAGGAAAATTTTCAAGATTTCAATTTAATAAAAGAAATATTTGAAAAAATTATTTAGTTACTTTTTTTTTAAAGAAAATTTAAGTTTAATTTATAAAAATTATTCGAATTCAGAATTTCGACAAATATTTTAAAATAGTAATGAAATTTTTAAAAAATTATAATTAAGATAATTTAATTACTGAAAAAAGTGATGAAAGTTATTGAAATAATTAACTTACCAAAAAATTTTAGAAATATTTGAATTTCATGAGATTTTTAATTAAAATTTTCGTAAATATGAATTACAGCAGTTTTTTTTATAAGCATCAGACAATAATTGAATTTTAGACAATTTTTTAATTGAAAAAATGATTTAAATAATTTAATTTACAAAGAACTTGATTATAGTTATTAGAAATAATAAATTTAACAATGAATTTTTGATAACATTTTTAGAAATAATTCAATTTTGAAAAATTTTCAGTTAAAATTTGTAGAAGTAATTAAATTTCTGGAGATTTTTTATTCAAATTATTGTAAATTAGAGTTAATGAAAATTATTAACAAAATTTTAAACAATAATTGAATTTTAGAGAATTTTAAATTGAAATTTTTTTAAAATAATTAATTTTGTGAATTATTCCAATTAATATTTTTTTGAATAATTCAAATTTTCAAAAATGATTATATTTTATACTGAAAAAAGTCGTATTTATCTAAAAAAATATTTTTAAAAGTCAAAGAAGTGACACTATTAAAATAAGTCGAAATTAGTCGCATTCAGTGGAAAAAAGTCGAAAAAGTCGTGCAATCTGAGGTTTACAAAATATAATTTTATAGTAATTCTATCAAAACTTTTTGATAAGTATTAAATTTTCCTTTGGATAGGCTTTGATGGATTTGAATCGAAATTGATGTGTTAGATATTTATTTGACAAATAATCATTCTATCCAAATATTTGTTATTCATTAAATTTTTGGTAGAAAATTAATATTTTTAATAATATTCTAATTAATATTTCAAAAATTATTGTCATAAAAATTAAAGCTCTATACCAATTTTTTTTTAAAAAATCGGGGAAAATTTTTTAAATAGGGAAAATGGGGATTTTTAGAGAAAATAGGGGCCGACTATGAAGCCTGTACATCTGTAATGTAAGTGAAATGTAATGATTAACAATATAAAAATTTCTTTAAAAAAAAAAATACGAATGGTAATAGAAAAATAGCAGTCTTAATTCCATCTAAAAAAAAGTTTGTTGTGACACTAACATCCAATTGTTTTTGATGCGCCGTTCTACTTTAGCATCTTATACAGGAAGTTCCTCTGATGAAGATGACGTTTCACCACGTGAAAAAATTCAAAAAACGGAAAAAGGATTTTCTGACTTTTGCGTTAGAAATATTAATCAACATGCATTTGGTCGAAGAGAAATTGAAATTGCAGAACAAGAAATGCCTGGAATTATGGCTCTTCGAAAACGTGCTTCCGATGATAAGGTATTATATTTTAGTTAGGATTTAATGTTTTTAAATAAATTTAAAAAAAAAATTTTTTTCTTTTATTTAGCCCCTGAAGAATGCTAAAATTGTAGGATGTACTCATATAAATGCTCAAACGGCAGTTTTGATTGAGACTTTAGTTGAACTTGGTGCTCAAGTTAGATGGGCTGCTTGTAATATTTATTCAACTCAAAATGAAGTAGCTGCAGCATTAGCTCACGCTGGCTATCCAGTTTTTGCATGGAGAGGTGAAACTGAAGAAGATTTTTGGTGGTGCATAGACAAATGTATAGCGGCGGAAAATTGGCAGCCTAATATGATTTTAGATGATGGAGGAGATGCAACTCATTTGATGTTAAAAAAATATAACGCCATGTTTAAAATGATTCAAGGTAAATTTAAATTCGAGAATTCGAAAAATCGAAACTATTATAAATATAGTTGAATAATAAATAAGTTTCAAATAATTTTATCTTTTGCTTCCTCGTGGAGGAAGCTATGTAGTCCTTTCGTTTATAAACTTTTTAAAAATGGTGAAAACAAATTTTCCTCTATATAGAAACATGTTATATGAGATCCTGATCAATTGTCCGGATGTATGTGTGTGTGTGTGTGTATGTGTGTGTGGATCGTTTTTGTGAACACGATATCTTTAACAGGTTTTAATGGATTTGGATAAAATTTGGTAGGCTTATTTAACACATTAATCTCTCAAAAATGACAAAAGGATTTTTAAAAATACCCAAAAAAAAAATTTTATCGTCTTTTTTCCAAAAATTTTTTTTTAATTGAAAAATTTTTTAAATCGAAAAATTTAAGGTAATATATAATATAATCGTCTTCTTTATGTCAAGATGAATCGATTGATATATATAAAGTATAGATTTGATTGAAATTTAAAGAATTAAAGAAAGTTAAAAAATCAAAAATTCTCATTTTAGCTAAAAAATGATGTGTTTATTTAAATTCATGTTTATATATGAAATAATTTTATACCCTGCATTGAAACGAATTGGTTGGTATATATAAAGTATAGATTTGATTTAAAATTTGAGAATTAATAAAAATTGAAAAATCGAAAATTCATATTTTAGCTAAAAAATTTTGTGTTTTTTTTAAATTCAAGTTGATGAATAAAATAATTGTATTCCTTGCATTAAAACGAATCGATTCGTATATATAAAGTTTAAGTTCACTCAAAATTAATTAAAATTTTCTTTATTTTTCAAAAAATTTAATTAATTTAAAACATTTTTAACTCGAAATTTTTTAAATCAATCAATTGAATTGGACAAATTCATTGCTTCCTTCACGAGGAAGCGAATTTTTTGCTTCACACAATGAGGAAGCATAATGTTTATGAAATAAACATAAAGGACCCCCTCCTTGTTAATTTTGTTTTTTTTAAATGTTATTTTACAGGAATCGTTGAGGAAAGTGTAACAGGTGTACATAGATTATATCAATTATCAAAAGCTGGCAAACTTTCCGTCCCCGCAATGAATGTTAATGATAGTGTGACCAAAACCAAATTCGACAATCTTTATAGTTGCCGAGAGAGTATTCTTGATAGGTATATATCAAAAATTATTTGCAATTTAATTATAAATTTTTATATGAGAAAAATAATAAACCAAATTTTTTTTCCAAAGCCTTAAAAGGTCCACTGATGTTATGTTTGGAGGAAAACAAGTCGTTATTTGTGGATATGGTGAAGTTGGAAAAGGTTGTTGTCAAGCTTTAAAAGGACTTGGTTGTATCGTGTATATTACTGAAATTGATCCTATTTGTGCCCTACAAGCCAGGTAAGTTTTCTATATTAACGAAAAATAAAATACGCAGGCCTCAGATCGACTTTAGGCGCAAAGAATTAGTTAATGAATATTTTACTTCAAATAACTAATGTTATTAGATATTAAATTAATTTAATTCGCGAATAAAAATAATTCTATAAGAATATTATCAAGCAAATTTATTTTTAATATTTTAGAACCGAACTAAATTAAATAATTAATCTTTTAATTAAGTAGGACAAATTTCTAAAAAATAAATTCTTAACCATTTCAGGACCAAATTTTTTCTTAAAAAAAGGAACTTTAATTTTTAAACATGTTTTTCTAGAAAACTAATTAAAGTTTTCTAGAAAAACCAGAGTTTGAAATGTGAAATTTAATAGATTAAATAAAATACTTTGTTTCAATATTCATTTTTAAAATTTAAAAATGTTAATCATGAGTTAACAAAAAATGTTAACGTCGCTTTAAAGCAACATTGGTCCTCAAAAGGATTTTAAATTTGAAATAAATTTTCGGCAAATTTAAACTGCTATAGTTTTATTTAATTTTGACAATTTAATGTTAGAATTTTTATTTGAAACTTTTTTAAATAATTGAATTTTAAAGAAATATTAAAATTATTAAAATTAATTGAATTTTGGAGCAGTTACAGTTGACAATTTTAATAATAATAATATTTATAATTGATTAGATTAGATTAGATTTATTCTCTTAATTGTACACTTTTAAGTTTTACAATATAATTCTCCCCATCAATTTCCCTTAATAATAATAATTGAATTTCAAAAGATATTGTTAAGTTTCAGACAATAATTAAATTTTACAGAATTGAAAATAATTTATCAAATAATTTTAGATAACCTTTTTTTTAAAAAAAAAATTGTATTTTCGAGGATTTAAGATCCAGTTTTTTGAAAATAATTGAATTTAAAGTGATTTTTAATAAAAAATTTTGGTAATTTCTGTTAATGAAGAATTTATTAGAAATTACAGACAAAAATTGAATTTTCTAAGAATATTATAAAAATGACTAAAAATAATTGAATTTTCGAAGAATATTATAAAAATGATTAAAAATAATTGAATTTCGGAAGAGTTATAGTTGAAATTATTAAATTTCAGAAAATTTTAGAAGGTTTTAAATTGAAATTTTTTTAAATAATTGAATTGCAGAATATTTTTTATTTGGAATAAATTTTTTGCAAATTAAAACTGCTGTAGTTTTTTGTTTAAATTTCTAACAAAAATTTAATTTTAGATTTTTTTGTTTGAAACTTTTTTGAAAAATTGAATTTTTATAGAAATATTCAAATTATTAAAAATAATTGAATTTTAAGTGATTTTGAAATGGAATTTTTGGTAATTTTATTTGCTGATTGTTTTTAAAATTTTAAACAATTATTACATTTCATAAAATTTTTAATCGAAAAATAATTTAAGATAACTGAATTTGTGAAGAATTTTATTACAATTATTTAAAATAATTAATTTCATGTAAAAATTTATGAAATAATTGAAATAAAGAAGATCTGAATAGAATCTCCATTTTATACTAAAAAAGACATATTTTATTTAAAAATTTTGTAAAAAAAAAAAAAAGTCGAAAAAGTCGCATAATCCGAGGGCTAAATAAGTAAAAAAAATATGAATTTAAATGATTATCAAATAAGAAATAATTTCTTTTCAGCATGGATGGATACAGAGTGATGAAATTGAATGAGGTGATTAGGAACGTGGACATCGTGATAACAGCCACTGGGAATAAAAATGTCGTAACACGTGAGCATATGGATAAGATGAAAAATGGTTGTGTAGTTTGCAACATGGGCCATAGCAATACAGAAATAGATATTGTACGTTTCTATAAAAAAAATATTTCAAGATGTCATTTGTGTCATTGACATCTGATTCGAAAAAATTTCTTCCCATTTGACAGAATAGTTTACGTACTCCTGATTTGACATGGGAAAAAGTTAGATCACAAGTGGATCATGTGATTTGGCCAGATGGAAGACGAATAGTACTTTTAGCTGAAGGTCGTTTGGTCAATCTCTCGTGTTCCAGCATTCCGTCCTTTGTCGTGTCAATCACGGCCGCCACACAAGCATTGGCTCTAATTGAACTTTTTAATGCTCCATCGGGACGTTACAAAAGCGACGTTTATTTACTGCCTAAGAAGATGGGTTTGTAGTTCCTTTTTTTAAATTTCAACTATAATTAATTAATTTTTTCAAAAATAAATTTTAGATACCCATCGACTGAACAACAACTGAACAACGACAATTCATCAAAAAAAAAATACTTGTAACATAATACAATTTAATATAACTTTTTTTCCAGATGAATATGTAGCATCCTTGCATTTGCCCACATTTGATGCACATTTAACAGAGCTTACCGATGAACAGGCGAAATATATGGGCCTCAATAAGGCTGGTCCTTTCAAGCCTAATTATTATCGGTCAGTAAAAAAATATTTTAAAAATTCTTCTTAATTATCAAATTTTTTTCTATAAATTGCAATTTTTAACATTTTTCAGATACTGAAATCGACTGGAATATGAAGAATTAATAAAAAAATGAGAAATTTTGTTTTCTCCATTAACATCACATTTCCGTGTTATTTATAACAAAAAACAAACAAACATAGAGGTAATTTTTAAACAATATATTTTATAGAGCCTTATCTTGTGAAATTTATAGTCATCATCAGTAAAGTCACAGAAAAAAAAAATTAATAAATTGTTATTCAATTTCCCCTTTTTGCATTGAAAATTATAATCACAATTTTTAGTAAAAGAAAATTTTTTATTTCAATGCACAAAAATTTATACTATAAAGAAAATTTAACATAAATTAACTTTGAAAATATAATCATATATATTTTAGACACACCATTCAACTGTAGAAAATGAGTTTAATTCAGTGATCACTTCTTCTCGTTTTTCAATAATATTTTAGAGAATTTTAAATATTTGATGTTTACAAATAATTTTAGTGAATTTTAATTTTTAAACAAAGCTTATTTCACTATATAGTTTCATGGTATCGCTACTTAAAAATGTTATTAGATAATTTCAATTTAAATGAAAATTGGTAGAAAAATTTATAATACATTCACCATTGTCAATAATATAAAAAACAAAAAAAAAAAAAAATAGAAAAATAAAAATAATTGATGCTCTTTCAGTGAGGAAAGGTGAATTTAGTTTTTCACATTGTAGTTTATCCGATCGATGAAATATAATTCCTTTTGTTACCTTGCTCACCGATCGAGCATCTATTGTAATAGTTTCTTTTTAAATGTCGTTTTACGAAAAATAACCAAAGTGCAATAAGAGCACTCGAATAAAATTTTTTTAGTACCGACAACCAAAATATAGTATCAAATACAGCGTTATTTGTATATTCATAAAAAATATAGAAAATACCAATTTTTTAATTCAGTGATAAAGAAAAAATTATCCGATTTATATAGAGAACATTTTAATAACTTTTTACAAGCACTAAAAAAACTTTTTTTTCATTTAAAATTAAATCCTTTCTGTAAACCTCAATAAAGGCCTAACATAAATTAATTTTTCAAATTTTTGTTTAAAGAATTTAAATTAAACATTTTTTTGAAAGTATAAATGGAATTATTTTTTGAAAACTACTTTCTCGAAAATTGAAATAAACTTTTGTTCTCCATATTTTATATTAATAAAAATAAAATATCTTTATGTTATTGAGTAAGATAACTGATATTAATAAACAATGATTAAATTTTTTGATTTGCAATGTAACTGTTATTATTATTGTCGTATAACAAAATAAAAATGTATAGCAGTGTTCACAGAAAAATGTCTCGAATCATTTGATTAAAAATTGTTACAAAAGAAAAATTAACGAAATGCACTGTTAAATTCAATACACTAAAGCAATAAAAAAAAAAAACTTATGTTATTAATATTTTTGTAACATAAAACCGTAAATAAAATACCATTTACCGAGTGCTCAATATAATTCTCGTTCTTTTATTTTAAATTCCCTTTTTAAAATAATGACACTTTGATTTTTAATTTATTATATTTAATTGTAAAGTGGAAAAATATTTACGGAGAAAAATGTAAAATACCTTAAGATTATTATTTTTTTTTTTATCTATTTTCACTAGATTCTTCCTCATCAGCTATGCGTTGAGTTTCAACTTCCTGTTAAGATTAAAAATTATTTTGAACAATAAAATCATTATAAATTAGGGTGGCCACCCAACCGGGGAAAAACCGGTAAAAATTTCAGGATTTCTTCAAATTTTTTCATCAAACCGTTTCCGAGATATGAATTTTACAAAATTTAAGAATTCAAATGATTTTTTATTTTTGAATGCTCATAACTTTCTTATAAATGCATCAATTTTAAGTTTTTTTTTTCAAAATGTGTGTTTTTAACTAAACTTTTCAAAAATTTCATGTAAAAATTTACTATATTTTTTTGTAATTTAAACGTTAAAATCTTGTTTTTAAAACTGTTTGTATTCTTCAATTTTTTTTAATTTTCAAAAAAACTACTTCCTTTTACAAAAATTTTATGCCTGATCTGGTCGTGAGTTTTAAAAATTTCAAAAATATTGAAAAAAATCGTTTTCTCACGACCGGATTAGGCTTAAAATTTAATTTAAATCCATTTTATTAATTCTTCAATTTTAATTAAGAAGGACAAATTTCTAAAATAAAATTTTTGAAAACAATTCAATTTTAGAGTTTTTATTTGAAACTTTTTTAAATAATTAAATTTTTAAAGAAATATTAAAATTATTAAAAATAATTAAACTTTGGAAGAGTTATAATTGAAATTTTTAGAATTAATTAAATTTCAGACAATAATGAAATTTTACAGAATTGAAAATAATTTATCAAATAATTGTAAATAACATTTTTCAAAAGTAATTAAATTTTCAAAGGTTTACAATATTCATATTTTTGAATTTTAAACTTCAAGTGATTTTTAATTGAAATATTTTGTGATTTCTGTTGATAAAGAATTTATTGAAAATTACAGAGAAAAATTGAATTTCAAAAGTTTTCAATTGAAAAATGCTTCAAAGTAATTGAATTTTTGAAGAATATTGTAAAAATCATTTAAAATAATTATATTTCAAAACAGTTATAGTTGAAATTATTAAATTTCAGAAAGTTTTAGATGAAAAATTTAAAAAATAATTAAATTTAAAAAAGTTTTTAAATTAAAAATTTTAAATTTCATAAAATTTTTAATTGAAAAATAGTTTAAAATAACTGAATTTGTGAAGAATTTTATTAAAATTATTTAAAATAATTTAAAGAAAAATTGTATTTTATTTAAAAATTTTGTAAAAAAAAAGTCGAATAAGTCGCATCTTATTAAAATAAGCAAAAAAAAGTCGTATTTTCGAAAAAGTCAGAAAAAGTTGAAAAATTATAATCTGAGGCCTGAAATATGGTAAATTTTAATTTTATATTTTTTTGCATTAAATTTTTGAAAAGTTCAGTTAAATTGATAAATATGGTTGGATGAAAAAATTTGAAAAAAATTATGAAGATCTTTTTTGAAGGGTACAAAACGGTAATTTTGAAACGGTCCTTTTGAAATCAAAATATATTAATTTTCATAGTGCTTTTGGACCAATTTCTATCATTTACAACTGCATATTACATAAAAATAATGTTTTGCTCACAATTAAATTGTAACTAAAAACCAGGAGAAATCGCTCATTTTTACCGGTAGACAAAGAGTCTAAAAATAGTGGCCACCCTAAAAATATAATCGATAACTTTGTAGACGATAATCTTACCGCTCTAAGAGTATCTATTATTGACATTTCTCCTCTTGATTGAAAAAAATCATTTATTTCCTGAGGTACACAGACATGTTGAATTTTTTTCGGTTGAACACCAACTTCTTCGGCGATAAATCTAAATTCGGGTGTAATTTCTATTTCATTTAACAATTCCTGATACGTAAATAAAGTTTCATTTGTCACTGTTTCATTCATTGGACCAAAATCAATTATTTTTACTTTATCCTTTTTGTAACGTATAACATCAAATGAATCTGTAAAATAATTTTTAATTTTTAAATTTAATTTCAAAATCCTCTCGTCACTGATAAATTATAAATAAACAAATCTTACAATTTTGTAATTTAAATCTATCCTTGATGCGCTCATTAAATAAAGTTGTGATATCTTTTTGAATATTATACTTTTCATATTCTATGTGTTTGTAGTATTGTGAAACATCTCTTTGGCATATTCCTTAAATTATATATTAGATTAATATAAAAATGTTATTAATAATTTTTAAATAATTCTAATTATTTTTTTATTTGCTTACCAACTAATTCACCGTTAATTACAAAACAACGAAATTCAGTACAAGGATTAATTTCTCTCCATTTTTTTAGTACTAAACAAAAGTTGAGAGAATTTTTATTATCAGTACAATTTTTTACTTTACTTAAATCTTTCGATATTCTATCAGAACTTTTAAGTAGCAAATAAACATCTTCTAGAGAAGTACACTTTAATGTTTTTGTAGGTGCAACCCACGTGGCATCCTAAATATTTTTTAAATATTTAATAATTTTTATTTCTAAATTAAAATAATAAAAAAATTGAGAAATAATTCTTACACTAGGTGTACTCCAGTTAGATTTAATAAAAACAGCTTCAAATTCATCAATAGCTTGTTGAATTTTTTGACTGAATTCCGGAAAATTTGGTGGTATACTCTCAGGATCCTTTGGAGTAAATTATTTTAAAATTTCTAAATATTAAATTTTCATATTATGACATAATTACCTCTGAAATGTCTTCAGTGACTAATGAACCATCAGACCATTCTGTATTACATTTAATACTCGTTGTTGCTTCTATTGGAAGAACAAATGTATCATGTTCTAAATATTTCAAAATTTCAGGAGGCAAAGGAAGAATAATTGCTTCTAAAGAATCTTTTGAAAAAATTGGATACCATTTGGTAAATGAACATTCTGCTTCTACATTATTCACCATATTTTCTTAACAATTAATCCTAATTATATTCTTTAATTCTAACCTCAAATTATCAACATTCAAATTTCATTCTTTTTTATAATTTCTTTAAATCATTTAACTGATTTTTTTCACTTTCTCTTTACTGATAATAATTGATAACAAGATAAGGTAACAATTAAACTAAATCGATTATTGTACATAAACACAAAACATTCCTAAATGTGAAACTTTTTATAAGGACTTTCGCGAGAGGGGAAAATACCGCATGTGAAATCCAGCTTTCACTGAATTTTTCCCGTGATGGAGGGGAGTAAAAATAGGGGAAATTGCATTGAATAGACGTTTCACATTTTGGATGTTCTATACTAACTACTGCATTTTGTGTACAGTACAAACCTCTGTGCAGTTTCAAATATGGCGGACATTGAGTGGCATTATTGACATATTGATATATATGTATATATATACAACATATATTTTACAGTAGTTTGTGCAGTTTTAAATATGTGCAAATATGGCGGAGATTGTGTATGATATGTGAGAAATAGACGGAAGTTTTTTTCTTATATACGACTCAATCGTAAGAGTCTCTATGGTCCTTTGAAATAATTATGTTCTATACAAAATTCTTGTGTGTATGATTCAGTGCCGAAATATTTTATATAGTATGCGATGGTTAGTGAGAAAAATCTATAATTTTGCAACAAGTAAGTAATAGAATTTGCTTTAAGATTTAATTTAGAATTTCTGTTATAAACAATTTTCAATTATTATAAAAATATAGATAAAAATTAGATGTAAATGTTTTCTATTCATTGTAATTTTTATTTTATATGTATTCTTAAAAAAAGGTGCTCATTTCTAAAGTAGAGAAAAATATGCAAATGAAACATATGTGGACTATGATTATGAATTACTCTTTTTCCCATCATTTATTATATATGTACTTTGAACAGGATGCATGGGACTTGTGCACCTGCTTTCTGATTTTTTTTTCTCAACGTATATGTGACATTTTAGATTCTAACAATTTTTATTTCGGTTTTTATATTTTATTTACTAATTTTTAAAGTGAATTTTAGAAATGTTAAAATAATTGCATGGATATTTGTTTAACAAGTGTAAAAAAAAAAAATTAGGTAAAATTTCTATATACTAATACTTATTCGCTATGTTGTGTCTCTGATAATAGATCTCCAGTAATTTACTAGTTTGACCAGGTGGTAAACTGGTCTCGGCTCATACCTTTCGTTTAGTTAGAAGTACAGTTTAACAGTCAGAAGCAAGTGCATCTTTTTTATTGTCACAAATGGAGTTCCTCTCGCTTTCGATGTTTCATCGACACAGTTTTCTCTTTATTTCCAATAAATTTATATTAAATGTACATTTATATTTATACGTTAAAAACTACTATTTTTGAAAAAAAAAAATTAATTTTCTAAGATTTTTTTTTTTCAAAATTAAAAAAATATAATTTTTATTTCAGAATACTAGAAGTTATGCAAATGTTTCCAAAAATGGCAACTAAGACTGATAATTCGAAACCTATTGACAAGCAAAATGAAGGTGTGTAAAATAATTTTGTTTTTTTTTTTTTTTAAGTCAGTTGTAATAAATATTTTTCTTTGTTAGAAAACAATATGGATAAAGAAATATTGACACTTGGTGGTCCAGAAAATACTGGTCGTTGTGTTCCACCGAATTATTTATACAGTACAGGATCGGAACAGGGACCAGGTGGTTTGGATCATGAACTTAGAAATCGGGCTCGTAATAATGCAACTGAAGATCAATTAGGACCTCTTCCGTCTAATTGGGAAAAGGCTTATACAGATTCTGGAGAAATTTATTTTATAGAGTAAGTACTTTCCTTTTTTTTTTACAAAAATACGAATTTCGTTAAATAATTAAAAAAAAATTTACTTTGCAGTCATAATACAGGAACTTCTCACTGGCTTGATCCACGTTTATCGAAATTTCAAAAACAATCTCTCGAAGAGTGCCTTGATGATGAACTGCCTTATGGTTGGGAAAAAATTGACGATACACTATATGGTACTTATTTTATTGATCATGTAAATCGTCGAACTCAATATGAAAATCCAGTGTTGCAAGCAAAACGTGCTCAACAAAATTTATCAGAAAGAAAAAGTCCAAATTTCACACGTAATCCGGAGAAATTAAAAGGACAAAAAATTCGTACATCACTTATTAAAAGTTCACGTGGCCTTGGTTTTACAATTGTTGGTGGCGATGATTCTGTGGAGGAATTTTTACAAATAAAAAGCGTTGTACCAAATGGACCCGCATGGCTTGATGGAAAATTACAAACTGGTAAAATAATTCTTGTCATTTAAGAAAAATATTTGTGATATAATATAATTTTTCTAAACATAATTTTTTTATTTAATTTGCAGGTGATGTACTGGTGTATGTTAATGACACTTGTGTATTAGGATTTACACACAATGAAATGGTGAATGTATTTAAATCAATTAGCACTGGAGACACAGTTTCATTGGAAGTTTGCCGAGGATATCCTTTGCCCTTTGATCCTAATGATCCTAACACAGAAGTTGTTACTACCATCGCTGTAAATGCACCAGGTAAGAAAAAAAAAACACTACCTCTTATTTTCTCGCAAGAAAGGTTTTTTATGATAAATTTTGTTCTATTGTTTCTGTTGAATACAAATTTTTTTTAAGACGTTTAAGGTGCAATCACTGATTGTCATTTATATTTATTTATAAACAAATATTTTCTCGCAAAAAGAATTATTACCATAAATTTTTTAAATTTGATTCAGCAGATCTTTCAAGTGAAGATCCTGGAATGTACATGGACCTAGATCCAGGAATGCAATCAGTAGGTCGTTTTAATTTCATGGACACTTCATTTCTTCCCGTGAACAATATGCAAAATGGTGAAAATTTAGCAACAACTTCAGTAAATTCAATGCCTGATCTTTGTATTTCCGATAAAATTAATACAATTAAACGACCAAGTAGCACGGATATTCTTTTATCCGAAACTGGAGATTTAAGCGATCGTAAAGAATCTCCATTGCCATCAAAACCAGAATTTCTCACCATTCCGGTAGTTAAAGGTGTGATGGGTTTTGGATTTACAATAGCCGATTCAGCACAGGGTCAAAAAGTGAAAAAAATTTTAGATGGACTTCGTTGTAAACGATTAATGGAGGGCGATATTCTTGTTAATATAAATGATATTAATGTGAGAAATATGTGCCATTCAGAGGTGGTTAATGTTCTAAAAGATTGTCCACGTAATCAAGAAGCATTAATTTACGTTCAACGAATATTATCAACAAAATCAAAGGAGAAAAAAGAAAAAAATCCACACGATTTTTTTAGAAGTAAAACACCAACTGCCGATATTTATAGTACACAAACGAAAACAGTAATACCAACACGGCCAAAAACACCATTAATTGATACAAGAACACATCTTAAATCACCCGACGATATGAGAAGAGAAAATTGGAATGAACTGCCAAATGAAAATGATATGAATCCACTTGATAATAGATTTAAATATTCAGATTATAATCATGGCGTTTATTATACAGATCCATATAAATCGAATATAAGTAGTTTGGCTGATAATTTTACAACAATGACTAATTTGGATGATGAGAGAAATGCAATGAAACGAGAATGGGTAGCAGCTAATAAATTTAATATAAGCAATGAAGTTTATTCCGTTAATTCGCCACACGTTGAAAATATTAAACAAAATGGTGGTGATTATTACAAGGATCTCTATGCTGTTCAAACACATTCCCAATATAGTGAACAGGATTTTAATTCATATGCAATTGGACAAGAACAAAATGTCGATACTGGGGAAATTTGGGATAAGAGAAAAGAGACTACAAGTTTTGAACACGAACAACCACATTCCAGTTCTATACCACGGTTAGTAATTACTATTATTTTTTTTTTTATTAATAATATATAGATTTAGGTTTATACTTCTTCGACTTTTTCCAACTGTTTTTCGAAAATACAACTTTTTTCGACTTATTTTAATAAAATGCGACTTTTTTTACATTTTTTTTACAAAACTTAAAAAAATACGTTTTTTTTAGTAGATTAGATTAGATTTATTTTCTCCATTGTGTACTTTTACAAAATTTTACAATTTTTTTTCCCCGCAAGCTTAAAAATTAAAATAATAAAATAATTGTAAATGAAAGTGAAACAAACAAAGTTGAGATACAAAACTAAAATCCTTTTTTTTAGTATAAAATGCAAATGTTCTTCAGATCTTCTTTATTACAATTATTTAACAAATTTTTAACAAAATTCTTCTATAAATTAATTATTTTCAATAATTTGAATAAAATTCTTCACAAATTAAATTATCTTAAACTATTTTTCAAATTAAAATTTTTATGAAATTTAATAATTGTTTAAAATAATAAAAAATATCAGCAAATTAAAATCACCAAAAAATTCAATTCATGATCACTTGAAATTTAATTATTTCAAAAATTTAAATTTAAAACCTAAAATTTTCTAATTTTATTTGAAAAATTTAGATATAATTATTTTGAATTTTTTTAAATTCAATTATTTTTAAAAATTTCAACTGTAACTCTTCCGAAATTCAATTATTTTGAATGATTTTTATAATATTGATTGAAAATTCAATTATATTTCAATTAAAAATGTTTAAAGTTCAATTTTTTTCTGTAATTTTTAATAAATTCTTTAGCTACAAAAATCAGCAACAATTTCAATTAAAAATCACTTGAAGTTCAATTATTTTTAAAAATCTGACTTGTAAATTTTCAATTTAAAACTTTTAAAATTGAATTTTTGTCTGTAATTTCCAATAAATTCTTCAACGGAAATCACAAAAAATTTAAATTAAAAATCACTTGAAGCTCAATTATTTTTAAAAATCTGAATTGCAATTTTCTTAAAAAAGGTTATCTAGAATTATATCTGATAAATTATTTTCAATTCCGTAAAATTTAATTATTGTCTGAAACTTGACAAAATCTTTAATAATTAAACTTTAAGTGATTTTAAACAATTATAAAATTTTATAAAATTTTTAATTGAAAAATAGAATTAAATTTCTAACAATCTTTGAAAATCCAATTATTTTTAAAACAGGTTATCTAATTTTATTTGAAAAATTTAGATATAATTATTTTGAATTTTTTTAAATTCAATTATTTTTAAAAATTTCAACTATAACTCTTCCAAAATTCAATTATTTTTAATAATTTTTATAACATTTTTCAAAAATTCAATTATCTAAAAGCATTTTTCAATTAGAAACTTGAAAAATTCAATTTTTGTCTGTAATTGAGGCTCCCAATTCAAGAACCGGTCGTGCACACTGTTTTAGCCATAGCGAGCGACCGATTCTTGAATTTGAAGCCTCAATTTCTAATAAATTCTTCATCAAAAGAAATCACCAAAATTTCAATTGAAAATTTTTCAAAAATCTGAATTGTAAATCTTTGTTAATTAAATTACTTTTAAAAAATGTTATCTAAAATTATATTTGATAAATTATTTTCAATTCCGTAACATTTAATTATTGTCTGAAACTTGACAAAATATTTTGAAATTCAATTATTTCTAAAAATTTCAACTGTAACTCTTCCAAAATTCAGTTATTATTTTTAATAATTTTAATATTTCTTTAAAAATTCAATTATTTAAAAAAGTTGCAAATAAAAAGTCTATAACTGAATTGTCAGAAATTTAAAAAAAAACACATTAGTTTAAATTTACAGAAAATTTATTTCAAAATTAAAATCTGCAATTCAATTATTTAAAAAAGAATTAATTTAAAAATTTGTAAAACTTTATTATTGTTCAAAATTTTGTTAACCATTAAAACTATAGACCATGCTATAATATTTAATTCAAATAAATTGCTTAAATCAGACTTAAAAAATTAAAATAATGGAACTTGTAAAATTTTTTTAGAAATTTTTCCGACTGAGAAAAATGTTGAATATTTATCTTAGTTCGATTCTGAAAAATTCGAAATAACTTTTCTTGATAATATTCTTATAAAAATTATTCTTATTAAGGAATTTATAAAATTAGTTTAATACCTAATAATATTAGTTATTTAAAGTAAAATATTTATTAACTAATTAAATTTAGTTAAAATAAAAAAATTGACTTTTTCGACTTTTTTTGGAATGTAAAACGACTGAAATGACTTTTTTTGCGCCTTAAATTCGATCTAAGGCCTGAATTTATCTAAAAATATGTGTTTTTTTAAAGGTATCCACAATATAATAGTGATGTGGTGTGTCCGACAATACCAGATATTGAATGGATTGAGACACTAGTGACTTTAGTTAGACAAGACACTGGCTTTGGATTTAGAATAGTTGGAGGTACTGAAGAAGGATCTCAGGTTAGTCTCTTAAGTAAACGTTTAATTATATTCAAATAAAAATTTAATTTCCTTCAAACTTAAAGGGTCGTTCAAGTATCACGTAAGCATATTTTTAAGGGTTTTGTAGTAAAAAAATAAGCATGTTGTAATAGAAAAAATAAGAATATTGTATAACGCTTAAGCAACAGAAGACCTTCCCCTTAGATGCTTACGTAATACTTGAATGACTCCTTAAATTTAATTTATATTTAAAAAGATTTCACCTCAATTTATTATTATGTAAATATTTTATTTGAATAAATTTTCTCACAATACATTGACAACAATAGCTTTATAGACAGTAACAATATGCGATAAAAATAAAACGCTCAGCAGGTTTCCGTTGGTCACATTGTACCGGGAGGTGCAGCTGATTTAGACAATCGACTAAACACCGGTGATTTAATAATGTCTGTCGATGGTGAAAGTGTGATGAATTCATCACATCGTCACGTAGTTCAATTAATGATAGCCGCTGCACAAAATGGTGTTGTCACATTGGGTATACGGCGACGTATCAATATTCAAGAACATTTACGTGATAATTTACAATCATCATATGGAGGACAAATGAATCAGCAATATCCTTACGATGTCACTGTGAATAGAATGGAAAATGAAGGTTTTGGTTTTGTGATAATTTCATCAGTCAATAAAGCTGGTTCAACAATTGGTAGAATTATTGAAGGTTCACCAGCTGAAAGATGTGGAAGATTAAATATTGGCGATCATATACTTGCCGTTAATCATGTTGATATTACCAATGTCTGTCATAAGGATATTGTCAATTTAATTAAAGATTCGGGATATTCAGTAACATTGACTATTGGTTATCCATTGGATGATTGTTGCGTTAGTCCATCTCCTCTTAAGGTTCGTATAGTATTTTCTATTAAAAATTCGCAGGCTTCATAGTCGTACCCCATTTTCTCTAAAAGTTCCCTTTTTCCCGATTTGTCCCTAAAAGTACACTATTTGAAAAATTTTCCTCTATTTTTCACAAAAAAATTGGTATAAAGCACGACTTTTTCGACTTTTATCGTCTATTTTCCATGAATGCGACTAATTTCGACTCATATTAATAAAATGTGACTTCATCGACTTTTAAAAACATTTTTTAGATAAATACGACTTTTTTTTAGCATCAAATATAATCATTTTTGCAAATTTGAATTATTCAAAAAAATATTAACTGGAATACTCCACAAAATTAATTATTTTGAAAACAAAATTTGAAAATTACATTATTTAAAAAAAAATTTAATTTAAAATTCTCTAAAATTCAATTATTGTTTAAAATTTTGTTAATAATATTCATTAACTTTAATTTACAATAATCTCAATAAAAATTCTCAAAAAATGCAATTAGGGGCCATTCAAGTATTACGTAAGCATAATTTCAAGGGTTTTAGACCCTCCCCCTCCCCCAAATAAGCATATTGTAATGTAAAAAAAAAGAATTTTGTATGGTGCGTAAGCAACTGAGGAACCCCCCTCCCCCTTAAATGCTTACGTAATACTTGAATGACCCTTTATTTCTAAAAAATTTAACTGAACATTTTTCAAAATTGAATTATTTCTAAAAATTATAAAAAAATTCTTTGTTAAATTTATCATTTCCAATAATTAAAATTAAATTTAAATTCTTTGTTGAATTAATTATTTCTAAAAACTAATCTAGTTTTTCAAAAATTCAATTATTTAAAACAATTTCTTATTTAAAAATTTACTAAAATTCCATTACTATTTAAAATATTTTTCGAAATTCTTAATTCGAATTATTGTTATAAATTAGACTTAAATTTTCTATTAAAAAAAGTTACTAAATTATATTTTCACAATTTTGTCCTATTGAATTGAAATTTTGAAAAATTGTCTCAATTGAATTTTAAATTTATACTAAATAAAAAAATTTTGAAAATATTTCCATTAAACATTTTTATTAAAAAAAAAAAAATTTCTAATAATAAAATATTTGTTTACTAATTAAATTTATTAAAAATAAAAAATCGAGTTTTTTTCTATGTAAATCGACTTATTTGATAGATTTTGTATTAAAATTTTTTATAAAATTTGATAAACTAATTTTAGAAAAATTGTTAGAAATGATTTTGTAAAATACTTGCAGAAGATTTTTAATTAAAAATATAATTTTATATACAAAATATGTTTCTGAAACTTTTGATTCAGGAAATGGATTAAATTTAATAAAAAAAATTTCTATATTAAATATTTTAAGTTAACTATAAATTAATTTGAAAATTAAAATTCTATTAAGAAAGAGATTCTTCAAATAATTTGTCTCTAAGAGTTAACAAATGAAAGTGATAATGGCGATATTAATTAAATTAAGAAACTTTTGTTTCACTAATTTGTGAATGAAAAATTATAAAATATGTTTTTGCAAAACAAAAATACCTCAAAGCTGTACTAAATTTGTGGTTTAGCCTATAAATTAACCCTTTATCTTTACTTATGTAATTTTCATAGTACCCTAAAAAGTCCCTTTTGTTAAAATTTTGAATTTATTTTTTATTTCCCTATTTTCCCTAAAATATTTTTTAGGATCACTATGAAGCCTGTATATTCTATTAAAAATTCGTGTAATTATTATTTTTTCATTTCCATAGGATGAATCTGCAGCTGATGGAGATGGAGGACAATATCATGCCGTCGAATTAACTAGAGGAACACGAGGTTTTGGTTTTAGTATTCGTGGAGGACGCGAATTTCAAAATATGCCATTATTTGTTTTACAAATCGCAGAGAATGGTCCAGCATCTGTAGACAACAGACTCAGAGTATTAATTTTTCAATTATCTTTTTCATTAATTTCAAAAATAAGAAAAGAAAATGCATTTTTTTTTTAATTTTGTGATAGTAAAAATTTTTTTTTTTTTCAAAAAGGTTGGCGATCAAATTATTGAAATCAATGGCATCAATACTAAAAATATGACGCACACTGAAGCAATTGAAATTATACGAAATGGTGGTCCATCTGTTCGTCTATTGGTTCGTCGTGGTTGTCAAATGCCTTCCGTGGTGGGTGCTTCTTCTCATCTTTACGATATGAATATTTGAAGGTAAAATAATATTTTTTTTTTGAAATTATAATCACACCATCGTTAAATTCTTTTACTACTTAAAGAATAATAAATCCTCGATAAAATCTTGGTGCTGAGGAATATATATATATATATATTTTAAAAATAACACGTTTTCCATAAAAATAATATTAATAATTACAATATTAATCAATATTTTTAATTATTATTCTTATTGAAAAATAACTTATTTAATAACTTGTTATTTTAACCATATTATAATAATGTTAAATCAATATAGGTAAAAATTTGTTATCGATCAAAATGCAAATCTCATTGTCATTAAAATTAAATATAGAGTAGATAAAAGCGAAGAGAAAAAAAAATCACAATACTTTTTCTATAAAGTAATAATAATTTATTGTACATTGAAGTTTGTTTACAAAAAATATTTCTTACGGTATCAAATTTGATATTTATAAAGAAAGAAAAAGTTTTTCTTTTCGCTGCGTAGTCTACTCTATCTAATATGATAGCGTAAAATTTTGCGACATATTTGCGATAAGCGAATATTATTTATAATTAATAATCTGCGCAGTAATTTTCTATATCTATATGTGAAAGAAATTTTTAATAATCTATCCTAGTGAGTTGGTAATAATTTGTGAGAAAATAAAAATATCAAGAACATCGCAAATTTGTCGCAATATTTTTGCTATTCTGATTGGTATTAAAATATCGTTCAATTAAAAAACGATTTTTTAAAAAAAATGGTATTGCTCAAAGGTCTGAAATACTAATAAAAATAAGTAGGTAATTCAACTTTTATAATTTTATACAGATTTTTAAATCACATCAGCTTTTAAAAAACTTCTTTTTCAATATTTATAATAGGCACAATTTTTATCAGCCAACTATTTAATAATCTTATATACATTTTTAAATATTTAATTCCATAAATAACCAAATATAGACAATAAAAATAATCGTCTGATGAAAAAAAAAAAAAAAAATTATTAGCTAATTGAACGTATTTTGAAATTTAATGTCTTTCAACGTATATATAATAATTTAAAAATAATTTTAAATTAGATGACACTTTCTTTACGCTTGCTTTGACAATGCTTATATAGATTATAATGTTTTTAATTCATCAATTTGGTGAGCTTTGTATATTATTTACCGTAACAGTCAAATTAACCTTTTTTTGAACAAAAAAAAAAAAAAATGTGATAGAGAAACAGGCAAATAATACAAAACATAGTGCCTTGCACGTGTTCAATATTTTTTAAGAGAAAAAAAATGCATTTTTGAGGCTGTAAGAACAATTTTTGAATTTTTTATATTTTAAAATTTTTTGTCTGTGGTACAAAGCTGAACCATTCCATGAATGATTTTAATACTCATGTGAGAATAATAATTTCTCAATTTTTTTTTTATTTTTGATTTGCATTACTTTTAAGTTATATACTTATTTTTTTTTATTAATATGAGATAATGCGTTAAATAATTATTTTCATTGAAATTCGAAGCCGTTCAAGTATTATATATAACTCGCTTTTTAGGGAAAAGGGGACATAATAATAATAATGGAACATTTTTTTTTTTTAAATGCACGACGTGTTCCATATGTCAGTGTTACGAATATTAAAATGTCACTTAAAAGGGGATCAATTTTTTATTATTATAATATAGTAAGTAACGCAATGCTTGAATGTCTTCTTATTGATTTAATAAAAATAATAATATTAATAAAAATAGATAATAATACAAATAACAATAATAATAAACTAAATATAAGAATAACAATAATACACGTTCTCCAAAGCAAATTATACGTATAAATATTCGATATAGAATTCTCATTTTTTAATAATTAACATTTTTTTTAGAAATAAGACTAAGATTTTAAATTAGTTAAACCTTTTTCCGATATTTATTTTAAATCAACGAATTAGTTTTTTTTTAATCTTTAGAGATATAGAAAAATTTTTTATCAGAAAACTCATTGACTATATAAATTTTAATTTTTTTTTTTATTTACAAAATTTATTTAAGAAAAAAAAGTTCTCAAAAAGGTGTTACTTTCTTCCAATATAAAAAAGGTATTCCTAATTTAAAATCCAAATTAGAAGCATACTTAAAATAAAAAAAAGTAAATTGCATATTTAAATAATAGTTCAAGTCAAGTTAAAAAAAAAATAATACTAAAGTACTTTTCATAATGTATATTTTAGTGTATTATTATAATATAGTTATCATTTATTTTTTATAAGGTGAAATGTATTATTTTTTTCCTCTAGATTTATTAATTAAAATCTTGTTAAAACGCTCATAAACGCATTCTCGTTGAATCGTTTAGTAAATATATAATATAAAAATCAAGCTCAATTTCGTCGCTTTTCTCATTAATCAATTTCACTAGAGTTTACTCTAGTAAAACATCTTTTTCTCACTATTAATTATAGAGATTAATTAGAGCTGTGCAAAAGTTCGAATTTTGTATGGGCTCTGATCGAATATTCGATTCGAGCCCATGTTAATTCTTATGGAGCGGTTCGAATTTTAAAAACTTGCACAGCTCTAAGATTAATAGTAAATTTTGTATAAACATAAATAATTGGATAGTTTTTATTTTTAACACAAATAAAACAAAAATCAAAACAAAAGTCAAATAATTAAATACATAATTTAAAACTACTTTTAATTATTTTAAGCTTCAATATAGAATATTATAAAATTTGGATTATTTTTTTTTGTATTCATATAAAAAGCCTATTTCTTTTTTATACTAAAAAAAAATATTGAATCTTATTCCGTTTTTGTTGTTCATTTACAGAGTAAAAAAAATGTATTGTAATTATTATTATGTAGATGCTTAAATTAAGTGCTGTAACGACCAAAGATGTGCCCTTCAGCAGCTTAATATAAATATGTAATTATAAATTTTTGAGACTTAAATAGCTTAACAACGCAAATAAAAAATTGCTTTACTTATACTTTAAAACGAGAAGAGTGACTCAAAGAGCTTTTTTTTTTTAGCAATATAAGCTCGTACTCCTAATAATTGTACGATCACGTGTGATAATTAATAAAAAAAAAAAAAAAAAAAAACTTAAAGGTTTGCATGAAAGTAAGAATCTCGATTAAAAAATATAAAGACTCTTCCTGACTTGATATACATATATAAAGTGTCAAAGAGTATTTAGGTATTTTGAACAAACCTATTTTTATAATATAATACTAGTCTAGTGTATTATTATATATATACTTTCGACAAATGACGAAATTATTGAAAAAGTGATTTTTAAAAATTTTTTCAATTTCAAATAAAATAGAACAATTTGAAAATTTTCGTTATTGTCGAAAGTATATTTATAAAATTTATAACTAATTAAACATTTTTATTTTACATTTATAGTAAACATTATTTTTTTATAAAAACTTGTCATAGGTACACGCGAACTAAATATGTGCCTAAAATAACGAGATTCTTGTTTTAAAATAATTTTTAGATTATAAGATTTGTTTTATGTTAGAAATCGTCGAAACATGATATCGTTATTCATATTAATTGTGAATAAATTAATAATTAACATTGATTTATATTAGGAAAAAAAATTAAATTCTCGTTATTTCTTGCCTGTAATTATTTAATCAATAAAATTAGAATTTTTTTTTTCTATTTTGATTAACTTTTTTTTTTATTGTAATTTAATACATTATAAAATGTATTTTTTAAACGGAAAACATCATAACAATGACAGTAAAAATTCAAAATTAAGAAATGAAAATAAAAAATAGTCTGGTAAAAGATTTTTTAATAATTAAAAATAAAAACACATGTAATTTATAGTATATATGTTTAATTTGCATCGTAGTTTTTATTAAAAATGAACAGAAAATCATTGCATTCATCTCAATTTTAGATTGTTGCGTATATTTATTGTAATTGAAAAGCTACTTGTATATTGTAAATGTTTTTAATGAGCTGTTATAGGAAATATCATTTATTATGTAAAACGTCGCAAAATAAATTTATAATGATACATTGTTACTTTTAATTGTATACAGCTGCTGAACTGTTGTTAACGTACTTTTTAAAATAATAAATAAAAGCATTTAATAATTAATCTATTTTTTTCTTCCTGCAATATAGAGAATTTGAATTTGGCGCTTCTAGTGAAATGCCTGATTATTTATCCCTAAAAAAAAATATGTTAATAAATCACGATCGAAATCAAAATCAGTCATGATTATCGTTCTTTACTTACACATAATCCGTAAATAGATAATTTGTTTCTCTATTTATATACATATAAATATATTTTTTTTATTGATATTTTAATTGGACTTTAGAGGTTAATATTATTTACCGTTAAACGCTTAGTTTTCTATATGCAAATAACAAAAAAAAAATACTGTCGGTAATAAAGGTAATCAAATAAATAATAATTTAATGTCAAAACAATATAGTTTATCTTGAAAAAAACAAAATCTAGATTGTTACCATTTACTTTTTTTATGTTTTTTTTATTCTCGCGCTTACATGCAAGGAAAATCATAATTAATGTACTGCGCAAACTCAGACAGAAGCGCGATCTGGCAGCTCTGCCCACAATCTTATGTCTTTTCCAAGAATAGCTGCTTTACGTCAGAGATTCGATACCAATGTTTAAAAAACAAAATCACTACATACTGTTAATTTATTTTAATCAAAGAACCCTATTTTTGCATTTACTTATTAAAATTTTGCTTTACTTTTAACATTAAGAGGATAAAGAATCTAATTTTGTTGAAAAATGTATCAAGTATTTTTAATATTTATATTAAGTGCCGATGTCTATGTTGGCAGCACTGGCGATTGATCGTGAGTATACTGCCTAGAATGTGTATCATTATATTTATTCTTAGTCCCTCTGGTTGAATGTAAACAGAATTTTTCTGAAATATGATGTGGCACAGGTTAATTTACGCGGTGCGACTTTAGTCGAACGTGTGTTCAGTGATATAATATTAATGAATCTATTGATTTGGGATAATGAAAATTGATTAAACTGTGTTTTAAGACCCAAGAGTGAAACGGGTTTTTGTGCGCGGCTCTCTCTCTCTTTCTCTCTCTGTATAGTCAGTACAGTGTAGTGAAGACGGTCTTTTCCTAGAAGTGCAATGAGACACCTTTGGAAAATCAACGTTTCCTTATCGAGAGTAAGTGTTTTTTCAATTTTATTATGTTTTTCGAGTTTTTCATAACATATAGAATTAAAATGCATTTTGTTTGAATGGCTAAATTCAAATTATAGCCATATTCAAGCGATTGAAATTTTTTCCTGGTAGATGATCGGAGCATGTTTTTTCATTTGCCATGAGGCTCGTAGTATGGTGTACATGTTCCTCGTAAAACGCACACACGTGCACAATACGTGCGAATGCATACAGCCCTGTGCTTAAACGCAACCGAATGGTTGTGTATTCGACTATTCAACATTGTATTAGATGATATTATCGTATATTCTGTAAGCGCGAGACACACGCATACGCGTGCATTTTTTACGCATACTTTGTTGAGAGTAAGCATAAGAGAGAACAAGCTCGCGAGTTGAAATCGAGGAAAGACTAATAAATCAAAATTCCTTGGCTTTTCTCGATCCATAACATTAATGTTTGTGGCGAACAGCTATTTTATCGCTATTTTTTCTTTTTTTTCCTCATATACATAATATATCTGCTTTCAAGCTTTCAATTCTTTGAAATTATTCTTAAGTGCTTTGTTTGTTCTTCGACTTAAATATTTACTTGTCGATTAATCGATTTTTTTTATATACTTTTCTATAAAAAAAAAATGTTCTTTCAAAAAATAAATGATGCGTATGTATTTTACTTTAAATTATCAATTAAAATCTGTTTTTAATCAATTATATAAGATTTTTGTTATTTAAAAGATCGATGATAATAGGGATTAAGAAAAAGTAATTGAATATAGAATTAAAAGAAAAATTATAATTTTTTCTTATAAATTTCTTTATTTATTTTTAAAACGAAAGCTTCGTTGATCATTAACAAAAGATTTCCAGTTCTTCGATTTTTGTATTATGTACTAAGGACATAATAATAGATTTTAGTTGTAAGTTGAGATTTTCTAAGATGCATGGATCAGCAATATGAATTATTATTTTTCGATATTGAACATATCACTTATTTCACTATTACTAAAAAACAATGAAAGCATTTTTTTTTTTTTTTTTTTCAATATATTTCTTGTAAGTTAACAAAGCTGCATTCCGGAGTAAATACTAAGAAGTCATTTAATATTATTCCAAGTAGCTTTAATTGATCACTAAACAGTTTTAAGCTTTTACTTCCTGCTATTATTTCTAATTTTCCCCAAAAAATTTTAATTTTTTGAAATCATTTAAATTAATAAGTTAATAATAAAACGGTGTTTACAATTTAAATATTTCTTACATTAAGTGCATATTTGTAATTTGTTTTCTTATTTATAAGAAAGAAGTACAAATAAAAAGTGCGTAACTTTCGCACTTTTTTTGATGTATCAGCATTCGATAAATTATTTATTTCTTCGTGGAAAAAATATTTTATGCGTTCAATTTTGAAATTCAGTTAACTAAAGTTAATGAAGATTTTTTATTTTTTGTTATTTCAAAGTATTAGGATAATTATTATTTATTTTAGAATTTTATTCTTCATATATCAATTGGAAAGTTAATAAAGAGAACAAAAAAATGAGAAGTTATTAAACTTCTTGTTTTTCATAATATTAAAAATTAAATTTATTTACAGAAGGGCAAACGCCAATAATATTCGCATAATATATATATAAATAAATGTCGAAATATGCTGACATTTTTTTGCAATTCCCTTTTAAATTTACGATACATGGTGATGATGTTTTTGTGCGTGTATATGTATCTTTGTGTATATTGATGTCTACGTGCGTGTGTGCGTTATGAATAATTCATCCAGTAATTTCTTATTCCACTGAAATATCTCTCTGATTTTGTTCTGTTTCTTTACTCTCCGTGTGTGGTGTGTGTATACATATATGTTTTAACTACAGGATAATAGATAACAGTTCTATTTTCCTGTTGACTATTTTTTTTTTTTTCTAAACTATATAATTTTAATTGTACAAGGAATTCCCCTTTTTTCATAATTTTCAAAAATAAAATATAAAAAAAAAATCAATTCTTAAAATCAGTTAAAAAATTTATTTTGTATAGAAAAGAAAAGAAAAATGTGATTCAAAATTTAGGTAAGGTTTAGATGCATCTTTTTAAAGGCCGGGATTTTTTTCCACACACAGATATTTGAAGAGAGAGAGAGAGAGAAGGGTGGCAGGTTTAGAAAAAGAATTTCGTGGTATAAGGAAAAGGAGATAAATGTTGTAGAGGGAGGCTGAATGGTTGTGGGTCATTCAGGCAAACAACCTGCAGCTCTGTTTGGTTCGGGACGAAGCGATGGAACCATTCTGTGATTCACATATAATATTTTCCGTTACGTTGATGAAAAAAAAAAATAAATAATATGTGGATATTTTCCCCTAGATTATAGTTATTTTTTATTGATTCAAGGTATATTCCTTAGTTTTGTTATTTATAAAATTCACTTATAATATTCAGTGTCTCAAAATAATTAACGAGTATAATAAAATTTGTCAACTCTACCTGACAGATTCTTTGAAGTAATCCTTATTCGTGCGAATTAAATCTGATTACCATTTTAACTGATCGAAGTTAAAGAATTTATGGTCAAAGGAATTTAACATGATAAATCCATTATAGTTTTTTTTTTTTACTATTATGGCGAATAAAAATAAATTTAATATTTTTACAAATATTTTACTATTATTCTAATCTTTGTTTCAGTGATGGGAAGAAGATAGCATCCAAAATGCATCAACGAAAACCATCTCAAAAGATGCATAGACTGCCGTATATTTCAGGAATTACTTTATTAAATAATGATACAAATAAAAAGAAATCAGATTTTAGTAGCATGTCGGAATCTCATGTGAAATTGTGTAATAATAATAATAATAATAATAATAATGAATCGTCGAATAGATGTTGTGAAAGTAATAATATATTATTAAATGGTGATTTGCCATTTGGAAGAAATTTTCATGATGAAGAAAAAGAAGGACACATATTTTTGACAAAAAATTGTCAAGAAATTCCAAGTGTTAATTGTCAATGTACATCGTATCGGCAAAATGAATATTTTATAAACGATGTTAAAAGTGTTAATAGTGATATGAACAATCATAAGGGACAATATCAAAAGTGGAAACACCGTTTAACAACTAGTGAACTTTTATCTCACACTCGACTTGTAGAAAAAAATGACATCATATTGGAAAAATCACCTTGCCGACGTTCTAACACTATCGAAAGATTACACATGTGGAGGATTCTTTTGGCCATCTGTATTGCCATTCTTTGTACAACATGCAATGCAGATCCCAGTGAATGTGCTAAAGGCATTAACACTCCTGGCTGTAAGTTTTGGCACATATTTTTTTTATACATTTTTTCTCAATTTATTCTTTGGAAAAAAACATTTATATAATCTTCTTATTTTACGTTACTGAAGTATATACAATGTTTACGATCAACGATTAGAAAACAAATTATTTTTTAAGATGAAAAATTGTAAAATTTTATTTCAAAAAATGTTTTCTATAATTTTTTTTTTTTCATTAAACATAATTTTGAGAGGAAAATTCATAAAATATTTCAATAGAAAAAAATATTTAAAAATCGTTGATTATAAACGTTATGTTATAAACATTTTTACTTATTTTTAAAATTTTTAGTTACAAAATTTACAGGCCTCGGATTATACGACTTTTTCTGACTTTTTTTTTGAAAATATGACTATTTTCGATGTATTTAAAAAGGATACGAATTTTTTTGACTTTTTATACATTTTTTTTTTAGAAAATTTTTAAACAAAATACGTCTTTTTTTAGCAATACAGATATTCTTCAGATCTTCATTAATTCAATTATTTAACAAATTTTTAACTAAAATTTTTCTCTAAATTAATTATTTTCAATAATTTTAATGAAATTCCTCACAAATTCAATTATTTTAAACTATATTTTTCAATTAAAAATTGTATGAAATTTAACAATTTACAATTTAAAAATAAATCAAATAAAATTATCAAAATTTTCAATTTAAAACCTTTTAAAATTGAATTATTTTTTAAATTTTTGCATCTAAAACTTTATAAAATTTAATAATTTTAATTAGAACTCTTCCGAAATTCAATTGATTTAAATGATTTTTATAATATTCTTCGAAAATTTAATAATCTAAAAGCATTTTTCAATTACAAACGTTTAAAGTTCAATTTTTGTCTTTAATTTCTAATAAATTCTTCCGCAACAGAAATCACCAAAAAATTTCTATTCAAAATCACTTGAATTCAATTATTTTCAAAAATTTCAATTTCAAATCTTCTAAATTTTAATTATTTCTAAAAATTTCAACTGTAACTCTCCTAAAATTTAATGATTTTAAATGATTTTTATACGTATTCTTTAAAAATTTAATTATTTGAAAGTATTTTTTCAATTAAAAAACTTTTGAAATTCAATTTTTGTCTGCAATTTGTAATAAATTCTTCATCACCAAAAATTTCAATTAAAAATCATCTATTTTTAATCATTTTTATAATATTAATCGAAAATTCAATTATCTGAACACCTCATTAAAATTAAAAAATTTTAAAGTTCAATTTTTGTCTGTGATTTCTAATAAATTATTTAGCAACATAAATCACGAAAAATTTCAATCAAAAATCACTTGAAGTTCAATTATTTTTGAAAATCTGAATTATAAATCTTTGAAAATTCAATTACTTTTTAAAAATGTTATCTAAATTGATAAATTATTTTCAATTCCTCAAAAAGTTTATTATTGTCTAAAATTTAACAAAATATTTTGGAATTTAATTATTTTTAAATATTCAACTGTAATTCTTTCAAAATTCAATGATTTATAATCATTTTTTAAATAATCTTCAAAAAATCATTTATTCAAAAAAATTTTCAAATAAAAACTCTAAAAATGAATTACCTATCTTTAAAAATTAAAAAAAACTACAACACTTTCAATTTGCAGAAAATTTATTTCAAATTTTTAATCTTTTGCAATTTTAATTATTTAAATAATTTCAATTTAAAACCTTTTTAAATTTGCCATCTAAAACTTTCTGAAATTTAATAATTTCAACTATAACTCTTCCGCAATTTAATAATTTTTAATAATTTTTATAATATTCTTCGATAATTCAATTATTTTTCTATTAAAAAATTTTAAAACTCAATTTTTTCATTTAATTTTTTTTTAATTTTATTAAATTGACTTGGAATTTAATTATTTTCAAAAATCTGAATTTTAAATCTTTGAAAATTCAATTATTTTTAAAAAATGTTATCTGAAATTATGTATTCGATAAATTATTTTCAATTCTATAAAATTTAATTATTTAAAAAAGTTTCAAATAAAAACTATAAAATTGAATTGTCAGAATTTCTTTTTTTTAGAAATTTGTCTAAATTAATTAAAATTTTTAAAATTTACGTCTTCGATTCTGAAATATTCGAAATAAATTTTTTTGATAATATTCTTATAGAATTATTCTTATTAAAGAATTAATAAAATAAATTTAGTACCTATAATAATAATAATAATAGTTATTTGAATTAAAATATTTATTAACTAATTAAATTTATTAGAAATAAAAAATCGAATTTTTTTTTACTTTTTCTTAATGTAAATTGACTAAAACGACTTTTCTGCGCCTTAAAGTCAATCTGAGGCCTGAATTTAGCTTTACTTATTTATTGTGATTCTAAATAATTGATGTATCATTAAATAAAAAGTTGCTATTACCTTTATAAAATAGATCAATGACAAATGCATTAAGATAATTTGACACTAATTGGATTTTTAATTTTAACTTTTACAACAACTATAGAAAATTGTTCAGTAAATATACTTTTATTTTGATAATTAATTAATACAAAAGAACCCTTAAATATTATCTTTGGATACCATCTGACATATACCTGCAACCTCAATAAACACATTTCATTATTTACTGATGAAATCCTTAATCCGCCCTACGTTTGACGGCAACTGAGAAAACTAAGGGATTAAAATATAAAAGGGTTATATTCCATTAAATATTTCACCGAAAATATATTTTTAGATTTTGATAGTTTGTTGGAATGACTTGGAATTTTTATTTTCAAGTCGTAAGGAAAAACCAGTTATTTTGACAGATGAATAATTATAATAATTATAAATGTAGTATTGTTAAGCGTAACTTCCGGTTTTACTATAATATTGATAATTTATTCAAAAATAATTTTTTGTTTATTTTTTTTTCAATTTGATGGAACTTTTTTTTTTTTAATACAGGGACAATTCCATCGGGAGATATTGTACTTGAATATGGAAAGCCTTTAAGAATACAATGTATTTTGAATCAAACAATGCTGGATGCCAATTATCCTGGAAAAAATGTATCTGACGTGGTCTTCTTTCGCAATAACAAAGAAATAGAACCAGAATATACTTCAGTTATCAATGAAACTATACTCGAAATGTATATCGAGAAACCACCTCCTTCGGATGACATGTATTATTGTAAATTAAGAATAACTGACGAACATCAAAAAACAACGCATCTTGCTGTCTGCTTAAACAAAGTCGTTATAGGATGTAAGTAATTATAATTTTTTTTTTCATATATTTTCAAATAGAACTTCTCTTTTAATAATTAATACAATTTCTGGAATTGAAATAGATTATAAGTTTTCTAAATTTATTTTTAAAGAATTGTATGAAACTGAGAATTGTATTAAAATTCAATGCTTCTATTATATGTATATAAAAAATTGTCTGAATAGGAATTAATTATTAGCGTAGTAAGGAATTTTCTCTAAAATAGCATCATTCATTCGTTTTTATCATATATAGGTCAAAAGGTGTTTGCCTTATAGTGTCCTTCGTAACATTCATCCATTCATTCAAATTCCTTTAAAGTAATAATCTTAAAAATTTATTTAAAAAAAAAAAAAAAAACATTTTTAAAATAGTTTTTGGTTTTTTTTTAATTAGTCCAACCGCAAAAACCATCAAATTTCAACTGTATCTCATACAATTGGGAAAATATGGTATGTACATGGGTTCCAATTCACAACTACATAACGACAAAGTACAGTATATTTTTCAAAATACCTGGACGTGCTGGAAGAGGAAAATTATACCCCTGTCCTCAAGAAGAGCGTTATAATAATTCTTGCACCTGGGATATATCCACAAATCCACTTTACAGACAGACTTATGAATATTACATTTTTATACTTACTGGTGAAAATGTACTGGGAAATTTAAGCACGACATACAAGATTCATCATTTCGCTCAAGGTTAGTTTATTTTTTTATAGTGTTATAAAAATGAAGCGCATGAATTTCCCATAAAAATAATTAATTTTCGAATTAAAATTTGATAGATTTTCTTTTTATTCGAATTTTTACTTAACAAATTTTTTTGCTACCGAATATTTGTTTGGTAGAATTTTTATTTTATTGTCATTTAATTTACATCATTTTTAATTTAAGAGAATTTTAATTTAACAGAATTCTCATTCAATCGAATTTTATGTGATTTGAATTTTGAAATCGACAGAAATTCCAATTTACCGAATTTTTGTTTGTCCAAATTTTTAATTGATAGAATTTTTAAGACGCCGAATTTTCATTTGTCCGAAATTACAAATGACCGGAAAAAACATTCGAGAAAAAGATTTCGGCGCAATTTTTTAAATTGACAGGCTTTGTATTATACGACTTTTTCGGACTTTTTTCGAAAATACGACTACTTTCGACATATTTAAATAAGATGCGACTTTTTTTTTACTTTTTATACATTTTTTTTCAGAAAATTTTTAAACAAAATACGTCTTTTTTAGTACACACTACAAATGTTCTTCGGATATTTTTTATTTAAATTATTTAACAAATTTTTAACTAAAATTCTTCTCAAAATTAATTATTTTCAATAATTTTAATGAAATTCCTCACAAATTCAATTATTTTAAACTATATTTTTCAATTTAAAAATTTTATGAAAATTCAATAATTGTTTAAAATTAAAAAAAAATTATCAATTAAAATTACCAAAAATTTCAATTTAAAATCACTTGAAATTCAATTATTTTCAAAATTTTCAATTTAAACCTTTTCTAATTTAATTATTTCTAAAAAAAATTCCATCTAATTTATTGAAAAATATTTTACAGAAGTTTCAATTCTGTAAAATTTAATTATTGCCTGAATTTAACAAAATATTTTGAAATTCAATTATTTAAAAAAGTTTCAAATAAAAACTCTAAAATTGAATTGTTATTAGAAATTAGAAAAAAAACTACAGCAATTTAAATTTGCAGAAAATTTATTTCAAAAAAATCTTTTGCAATTTAATTATTTAAAAATCTGAAAAACTTAATTATTGTCCGAAATTTGTTTGATTATTAAAACTAAAAACTGTACCAAAACTTTTAATTCGAATAAATTGCTTACATACGACTTCAAAAAATTAAAAAAATTGAAATTAAAGAATATTTTTTAGAAATTTATTCTACTTAATTAAAATTTTGAAAATTTGTCTTTGTTCGATTCTGAAATATTCGAAATAAATTTTCTTGGTAATATTCTTATTAAGGAATTAATATAATGATTTTAATATCTAGTAAAATTAGTTATTTGCAGTAAAATATTTATTAACTAATTAAATTAAAATAAAAAAATCGACTTTTTTTGATAATGTAAATCAACTAAAACAACTTTTTTTGTACCTTAAAGTCGATCCGAGGTCTGAATTGACCAATCACGATTTTCTTGATAATTTCGAATTGTCGTCTTAAAAATTATATCCATTAAAAATTTATACAAATAAAAATTCAGACAAATTAAATTTCGATGAATTGGAATTTCTGACAATTTAAAAATTCTATTGAATGAGAATTTTGTTAAATTAAAATTCTTTTAAATAAAAAAGATGAAAGGGAAATAAGCAGGAGATTGATATGAAAAAATTTGTTAGTCAAAACGCTTAAAAGAGATATTGAAGAAGAAATCTGCGAATATGTCAAAATAGTCGAGAAAAAAGTAAAGAACGGAATATTTGTTTGTAATTCGAAGGCGAAAAGTTTTTAAGAACTCTATATTGAGTATACAATGAAATAAATTATTATTCTTTTAAATAAAAATTCTGCCAAACAAAAATTCAATAGTTAATAATTTTTTTAATTAAAAATTCGTATAAAAAAAATTCTCTTAAATGCTAAAATGAAATTTCTAATTAATGATTTTTATAGGATAATCATGTATCCCTATAAAAATTAATATTAAGTTTTTATTATATTTTGTGAAATTTTCAGTTATCCCAGCGAAACCGGCAAATTTTACATTGCTTAATAAAACATCAGAAAGCGTATTCTTATATTGGAGTGCACCATTTCCGGTGAACAATTTCCCAAGTGGACTGCATTATAGACTGACTTATCAAAATCAATGGGATAGCCAAAAGTCTTGGCAAGTGATTAATTTCACTGATCAAGTTCAATTAAAACAAAAATACTACAATTTGACCGGATTAAAATATGCCAACTCGGTTTATGATGTTCGTGTTTATGCAAAAAGTTCACTGGCAGAGGACAATATGTGGAGTAATTTTAGTGATGTTACATTTAGAACGTTGCCAAAATGTAAGTTTATTTTTTAATTCTCAATTATTGAAAATTAAAAATTTTTAATTTTTTTTATTTTATTAAACTATTTTTTCAGTGCCGGAACTTCCTCCAAAAACTGACATTGGCAGTTTTGAATTAATGGAAAACAACGGATATAGAGATGTTTATCTATACTGGCAAACGATTCCGCCTTATCTAGAAAATGGCGATAACTTCCGATATCAAATATTACGCGTGGATGCTGACGGTCGTAAAGTCTCCATTCAACCTAGTGAAACAACGAGAACTTATGCAAAATTCAAAGGAATCACAACTGGCAGTTATCGTTTTGAAATTGTCACGACAAACGTTGTGGGAGATAGTAAAAATACGTCAAAAATATTTGTACCCAGCCGCTCAGAATGTAAGTATCTTGAAATTAAGCTACTTTATTAATTTTCTTTTATGATAATAACATTATTATGGTAATAACCTTGATTTGCTATTACCTATAAAGTATCTATAATGTTTCTATGTTAAAAATCAAAGTGTTCAGCGACCTTTAAATTTTATTTAGAATTTATTTTCTTTTACCTTGAAAATATTTAAATCACTTTTAATTCTAAAACAAAACCATGAATTATTAAAATTTTGAAAAATAATATTTGTAGTTCAAAATACTATAAAAATCTCAGTTTAAAATTTAAGATTCGAAATTAAGAGGAAAAATTCAAATCCAAATAATTAAATGTGTTGTAAAAAAATTTTTCATCGTCAAAATTCATACAATTACATTACTAAATTTCTGATTTTTAACAAAAAATCGACACATTTTTGTACAATTATTAGCAAACAAATGCGTAAAAAATTTTTGAAAATGTGTAAAAATAATTTAATTTTTGAAAATTAACAGGTTATATTTTTTTTAAAATAATTGAATTTCAGACGATTTTTTAATTGTAACTTTTTGTAAACTCATACTCCTGAATTTTTTTTATACTAATTTCACGCTGAAAAAAAATAAAAGCAGAATGTGCTTTTTACTTTGTCAATTTCTGCCATAATTCAAAGCAATTCACGAATAGCAATATTTCCTTTGAAAAAAAGCTTTTATTTTTTTTTCAGTACAGACAATAATTAATAATAATTATACAATAATTATAATGAAAATTTTGTGGCAATAAATTATTGTTAATCTCTTTTTTTTTGCAGTACCACGTGAACCGGTTACTTTTACAAAAATAGCTTTCGATGGTGGTACATATGAATTGTCTTGGAAATATCCGGAAGATGCGAAAAAAGATATAATAAACTATACAATTTATTGGTGCGACAATGAACGTGATCGTCCATATCAGTGCACTGTAAGTTTAAATAATTAATTAAATTCAATTAATTTACCATTGTTAAAAATCTAGTTTTTTTTAATAATAAAAAATTTAAAAATTTTTCAGGGCTACCTCGATTGGGTACATGTTTCAAAGAATACATTTGTTTATAATATGACAGTTCCTGATCCCAAGAAAGTCTATCAATTTGCAATTTCCGCAAATACATTATTTGCTAGCAGCGGAATGGTATGGGCTTCATGTACAGTGATACACAATAAAGTTGCAAGTAAAATGAAATCAGTATGGATAAACAAAATTGGTTCCGATTATATTGAAGTTGGTTGGAAATTGGATTGTTCAGATCGTGTTGGAATTGTCGAGGGTTTCAATATTTATTATTGTCCAATTATTGCGCCCTATAATCGAAATTGTAAAGAGGCAAAATTAAATACAACAATAAAAGCCGATACAACAACTATTCATGGAGTGATACAGTCACTTAAACCTTATACAACGTATAAAGTGACAATTGCAGTTTTAACAAAACATGGAGAAGGATTACACAGTGATCCACTTTATAATACAACATTGGAAGCCGCTCCAAGTACACCGCCACAGAATGTTGAAATAATTAATTATACAAATACAACAATAACAGTCACATGGAAACCGCCAACGGCAATGAATGGTGTTTTACGCTACTATGAAGTTTATTATAATTGTTCGAAGAAAATTCTTAAGAAAAGAGTTGATGAAACAAATCATTTGGAATTGGAAGGTTTTAATGCACAACGTAATCATAGTATTCAAATTGAGCTTACTAATTTATATGCTCATGAGGAATATACAATTGAAGTTGAAGCGTGTACAGTTGCTTGTAGCGCAAAATCGAAATTAATAACGAGAAAAACTAAAATTGGTACACCTGGTGTTATAATGATTCCTCTTGTTAGATTTGTCAATTCGAGTCAAGTTAGAGTTACTTGGAATAATCCGGAAATTTCAGCTGGAAAATTGGAATATTATCAAATATCTTCTAATGATGGAGATATACAAAACAGTTCAAAAAGAGGTAAATAGAATTATATCAATTGAAAATAATTATTTAATTTATAATTAATAATTATAATTAATATTTGTCTTCTTTTTATCCAGAAATTTTCCTTCCTATTACTGATTGTAAACGGGGAGGCCAAGAAAAAATGTATCAATTTCGTGTTCGAGCTGTTAATATTGCTGATAATGATAAGCATCTAACTGGTCCATGGTCAAATACTGGGGAAGGCAATTGTTACAGTAGCAGTGAGTTCATCAAACGATTTTATATTCTATTATCTTTTTGCTAATTTTTAAAACAGTTAATTTTTGAAATTAATTTCCAAGATTAAGTCTAAACGACATTTTTTTTTCTAGGTCCTCCATTAGCTGTGTGGATTATAATTTGGGTAATAGGCATTCTGAGTTCATTTGCTCTATTACTTTGTCTCTTCTACACGTCCAAGAGGTTTGTTTCTTTTTTGTTTATTTATAATTCTTAGAGATTTTACAAGTGTTTATAATAATTTCTCGTTTGTTTTTTTATTTTCTTTTTAGAACGTGGCTGAAATGCATGTACATGCGAGATGTTGATGTAAAACTTCCACATGGAATTGAGCCAAACATGGTGAGTTTTTAAAATTATAGATAAATTTATTAATAAAAATGTAATACTTTCTTAATTGATGAATTTTGTATTTTTCTTTATAGAAACTATTGCAAAAGTTTGCTGAACAACACACGAGACAATCGTCAGCTGATTCAAGTGGATGTTCAAGTGGTCAAGAATCAGTGACCTCATCGTTGACGTCCGATTCTCATGTTTCGAGTGACAGTGGCGCTGACGTTGATCCAATTGCCGTGTCTCCAAATAAATTACTTGAAATTCCAACTTCTTGGAATCCCACAAGTCTGAGACAGCGTAACGTTGGAAATGCACGACCTGCAGGTGTCACTGATTCAGCACGTTGGGATTCTTATGTGAAAGTGACAAAATCCGGAGATTCAAGTTTAACGGACACACAATCAATAGCACGTTCGACGCCAAATTTAAGTGACAGTACAAGTTCCACAACATCACAGCACACATGGTCTTCTACTGGTTACATGAGTATGCCATCCTCGGAGGAAATTTCCAATAATCCAAGTCCAATTCCTCACAAGGATGTGAAAAATCAAGGTTACAGTGTCGTGGGAATGAATCCAAAAATGGAAAATCAAGAAGAAAATAAAGTACTTTCGACAATAGATGTAAAACCAACAAATCCCTATGTAAGTCTAGCGTCATTGGAACAAAAACCAAAAATCTTGAATCCAATGGATCCTCTAATGGAACTCGAGGATATTGCCTTCCCAGAAATTGAGGAATCAATAAATCAAGAGTCTTTCGCTGACAAAGTGTCAAAACCTTATGTTCAAAGTGGTTTCACTGAAGTGAGCGAGAAACCAAATGTAACTTTCATACCAACATTGCTCACAAATAAGCCAATTGTTTCTTCCACGACAAATTCACCGACAGCCGTACATTTTACAGACATAACATCAAAGCCCTACGTTACAGTTGCTTCAATTTCAGATTTAAGAAATCCCAACAAAATTCCCGAAACATCATCTAAACCCTATGTTTCACCGTCTTCAGTCTTTCAAATGTTACAACAACAGAAAATCAAAGCACAGACTGATTTTGTTGTTGAAGACAGTGAAGAGGGCACCTGGGAGCCTGAGGAGGAATTAAAAAAACCAAAATCCATGGGCTATGTAACAATATCGGAAAATCCAAAACACGAGCAGCCGACATTGCAGAATCAACGATTAAATAGTAATCAGTCCGAGGAACAATATAGTAAAGTAACACTAGCACCGAATACAATGCAGTGATTAAAAAAAAAAAAAAAAACTTTAAAGCTTTGTTTAACAACAAGGCGTGTTTGATCTCTCGAGGCATTGTTCTCTAAAAGTGGAATCTTACACGATTTTGGTGAGTGTGCACGACTGATAGTAAGTACGTCCTAGTTATTTTTTTTTTTTGTACCCTATTCAGAATTCGGTTTCATTTTCTTAAGACCGAAATGCGATTTGAAATCGTATTGAACTGAGTTTATGCTTGACCGAGCACGCTGTACTCTTATAATTGTGTCCTCTCTTTTATTATGGAAATATGTACAAATCACTTCTGTATCATAAAAACCGCGTTTACGTGACAAGATATTATATAGGGAAAATTGTAGCCATATGAAGAATTAATGTAAAATTTTAACTACAAGGCACATTTCGCCAGGTTAATGATTCTCAAAAGAATAAGGCATAATTTAAAAAAAAAAAACAAATATTCAAAACTTTCTTCTAAAAAGTATACTGTTTTTACATTTTTAAATGTAAAAAATGTTATTTCAATTTCTCGATTGAAATATTTAGAAAAAAATGGTTGTATTTTTAACAAAAGTTGATTTGTTATCGTTACACTGAGAAAAAAAATTTATTTGATTCAAATAATCGGTTACTTGACTATTATCAAATAAATATTTACTTGAACCAAACAATTTTTGTTTGAATCAAATAAACTGTATTTGAACCAATAATTTCTGTATTTGAAAAAAATACCATTTAATTGATTCAAATAATAATTATTTGATACAAATAAATATTTATTTGATAAGAGTCAAGTAATCGATTATTTGAATCAAATAAAATTTTTTTTTTCACTATATGTACTAAATTTTATCTTAAAAAGAAAAATCAAGACACTATCGTCGGGAATTATGCGACCTCTGCTTAAAAAATCTTTAAAAAAAAAGTAAATCTAAAATTCTTTAATTTTTATTTTCTAAAAACTAATAAAATTCTGAATGGCACCTTAATTTTTCGATTAGATATCTGAGAAAAACACAATTTTCATTGTTTTTACTTTTTTTTATTTTACTTCTCTGGCGAAAATTAATATTTTTCAACGTTCTTGGACTCATTGGAATTGTATATATATTTTTTAATACAATTTATATTATTTAAAACAATTCATGTGCACGTTTTTCTTTAACGTATGCAAGTCATGAAATTAAAATTCAATCCTAAATCAAAATCAAGTCAATAGATAATTAAACTTCTCTGATTAATTTAAGTAAATTTAGAATTTATTACACATTTTACTGATCATTTTTTGTCATTTAAATATTAATAATAATTTTTCGACTTTTTTTATTACACAATTTTGATGAGCCCAAGAACAAAAATTAAATATTTTTTTTTTTTTTGTAAAAATACTAAAAAAAAGAACATTAAAAAATATTAATTTTTGACAAAAAATTTAAAAAAATAGTAAAGACACTGAAAAGAGGAACATTAAAAAATATTAATTTTTGACACAGAATTAAAAAGAATAGTAAAAACACTGAAAATTGATTTTTTTTTAGATATCTGAAAAATTAACGTATTCTCTTTGTCAAAGTGCAATTTCATACAGTTTACAATGTTTACAATCAACGATGTAAAAAAAAATATTTTTATATGCAATTATAATTTTTTATCTAAAAAAATTTTTGCAACGTTTCTCGATCAACAATTTTTAGAAAAAAAAAAAATTTTTGTAAATAATTATTTTTTGAGTATTTTTATTTTCAATCATTGTAAACTTCCCCGATTTCATTTCTTTCAGAATTTTATTAGTTTTTAGAAAATAAAAAGGAAAAATTTATATATATTTTTTTTAAAAGATTTACGCCGTTTTACAGTCATTGAAAAAGTAGAGGTCGTATAATTCTCAAAAATAGTACAGATATTTATTTTTGTTAAAAAAGATAGAAACTTTTTTCTCAACAAAGTGTAACAAAATACAAAATGTATTTTAAAAATTCAAATTACATTATTTTGCTAGTTCATTTGAAAAAAAGACAGTATATTTTTTTATGTATTACATATTTTACTAATTTCAGTCAATATCTGATCATATTTGGTATCAATTTACAATCCAAGTTAAATCAACATTACGTAGACAACATTTTCGTTTATCTTTCTTTAAGGTATGAAAGATAAATAAAAAAAAAATGTTTACGCGATTCTAAAATTGCATTGTAAATTCTGCCAAAAAAAAATTAGAACCAATATTAGAAATGAAGTCATAAACACGAAATACAAACTTTAATGATTTGGGATTTTTTTTCTATCCCTGTGTTATAGAAACCAAATACTTGAATTAAAGTACTTTCACGTTTCATAGCTTCATTTTGTTTGATTTGAAATTTTTTGAAATATGTAAAAGCACAATGGAGAAAAAAAAATAAACTTGAATATAAATTTTTCAATTAATTTATAAAACTATTTTTTACATGTTATAGAAAAATCTTGATCTCTAAAACTGAAATAGATTTAGAGAGTAATTGAGAACTTAAATTATAAATCGAGAATCTTTTTACAGATGTACTTAATATTTAAAAGAGAAAATGAAAAATGACGTACATAAATTTTTCACTATTTTGAAATATTCAAATTTGAATAATTATAAATAAATCGTGTTTTTTAAAATTAACAATAGTTTCGTAAAAAATTTTAAAAAAGACTCGTTAATTTGAATAAAAAGTAACTAAATTAACTAAAATATTGTATACAGAGTGGATAATATAAATATTATGCCTCATTCAAATTTCTAAGCCTGTCGCAGTGCCATTTGTACAAATGATTCTATGCGCTCAATAATTGCTGAACAACAAGCTTTTGAAACGAATAAAAAAAACAACGGAATAAATATAATTCCGCTGTTTTGTAATGAGATTATTAATTCGCACAGGTTGATTTAATTTTTATAACTTCGTTGTGTTGTTGTATGGTTGCCAGAATTAATTTTTTGAAAAAAAAAAAAAAAAAATAGAATAAAAGTTAATGAGCTACGAATGTTGGACCGAAAAGAAAAAAAATGGATGGAAATTGTTAAATGTTTATTAGTATATATGTATTTAAGAACATATTTTAATTTTAATCGTACAGTTATACAAAAAGTAAAAAAACAAATAGTCGGAAAAAGTTTTCAAGTGAAAATTTAGCTTTTTTTTTAATAAATTGCATTAATGGCGAAAACAAGAATATATATATGAATGCATAATATCTTAAAGCTAGTCATTTGAGAGGATTAATAAATCTTTACATCAAGCTCCTTTTTTTTCATATTATATCGCAATTATAAAATGCTTCAATATATTCGACTTATATTTTTGTTCTCACCATTTAAATAATATTTTTAAAAAAAGTTTGTCGACTAATATGACTGACTTGCATATATTTCTTTTTTTTATTAATATGAAAGTTTCCGTTGTTCAATGTTCATACGTAAATTTAATGTAGAAATTTTTAATAGTAAATAGTATTTCAGACAAAAAATGTATTTTTTAAAAAAACTTTTTTATATGAAATTTATTTTTCAAGAAAAATTAATTTTCAATTTAAATATTTTACATGTGTTAAAATACATTTTTTTCAAATTTTTATACATTGTTATTTTTTTTTTTTTTGTATACAAACTATACATAAAAATATTATGCTGCCAGTAATAATGCAGTCAATTTAGTAAATATTATCGAAAAAAAATTTTTTTCTGAAATATTTAAAAATGTCAAGTGTATTTTTTTTTAAAAAAATAATTTTTTTCTACAGTAAATAGTTATGACATTGATTTAATAAACGGAAAAAATATTTTTTAATAAATTTTTATGTTGGAATTTTCAAAATTTTGTTTTGACTCAATTTAAAAAATCAATAACCATCCTAACGTTTTTTTTTAATCGGCAAAACGAGCTTATAATTTTTAGTGTTAATTGGAAAGAAAATTGAAATAAAATCAAGAGATTTTTTTTAATAAAAAAAAAAAAAAATGAGTAAAATTTATTAATAGGATATTGACGAATGAAAGAAGAAGTTAATTAGTAAGTGATTTATATAATAGTGAATTTGGTAGCTTATGCAATTTTATTATTATTATTATATTTTGTATCCTATTTGTCACAGTATAATTTTTCAAAAAAAGAAAAAAAACGAAGCATGCTCATTTAAACATTGTATATGTAAAAAAAAAACAATTTTCCAAGCAAAACTTTTCAGACTATATATAAATTTGTCTATTTTTAAGATTTTATATATCTTCTCCATTGTAAATAGAACCTACTCTATTATCTATTTTTGTTATATATATTATATATATATATATATTTATAAATGAAAAAGTACTTCATTGCACATGAAATAATAGCTTAAGTGTAATTTTTAAGCGAAAATTTTGATTAAAAAAAAAAAAAAAAATGAAAAAAAAACCTCGACTATTAAATAAGATAGCCAATGATTTATGTATATGTACGTGAAAATGAGGTTTATTTCAATAATAATAATAATAACAGGTTTTTATAGAAATAGTTACAATATTAACTATAACTTTGCTTTAAGCTTTTACATTCATATTTTTATGTAATCAAACTTTGTATAATTTAGTGGAAATAGGTGATAGGTTTTTAAGACGCCTTATAAAAATTAATCATTTTTTTTTTTTTTTAGTTTGTCGCCATATTCGCAGGGAGTTCAAATGAAAAATTTTTGTGATAGGTACTATGTACGGCTTTCGGCATTTTTAAAACCGGAATGAATCGAATAATTGAATGTGATATCACTTCTGAATTTTCAAAAATAGTAATTTTTTCATTTTCCTTTTAATAATAATTTTTTATATTATTGTTATGGCAATATTAGTGCAATGACTGAAAAGAAAAGGATTTGATTTCTATTAAATTTTTCATAGTAAGAAAAAATTAGACTGTGATTGTTAAATATCTTTTCAGAAATGTGACTCTTTAGTCTAACTAAATTAAAACGTATGAAAATTTCTAGATACTTTTGTATCATTATCGAACAATTAAATCGAAAAGAAATGTATTCCAGTGAGGAAAAAAAATATTTTTTTTTTCATTTTTAATAAACTGGAATTGAATATTTATAAAATTTGAACTCCTTGTGTTAAATGGTTGGAATAACGACGAGCCATTCTTCCAAATGTTTTTGTCCCTTTTTACAAATTTTTTGTAAAAAAAATTATGCTCCATAATATATCGCTGTTTTGTTTTGAAGATAACGTTATATCAATATGCTAATGATAGCTATACTAATCGAGATCTTGTACAGAGTATTGTAAAATATATTTTTACTACTTTCTTGTTTCGTTTTTATTATTTATTTCAGTATTCTTATATATATATTATTATTATTATTTCTGATTCACTGACCATTATGTGCCATGAATCCTTGCCATTTTTTATGCGTAAAGAACAATTTATTTTCAATACTCATACACGTATCAATTCTGTATTATTTAAAAAGAAAAAAAAACAATAGTAAACATTCTATTTTATCTCTAAAATATAGGTATCGACTCAGTGCGCAATGGCCTTTACTTTATGATGGTGATTATTATACTGAAATATATAATATTTGTATCAATTTAATGTGTCTACAATTTTCTTTTGTCACATTTTCAAATTTACATATATATAAGGAGCAATTTTTCAAAACCTGATAGGGTCTATCTAAATGTATATTTTACCTAACCAAAATGCTTTAAAGTTGTTTTAATTTACACTATCGGTGAAAATTTTGAGACCACCCATTTTCTTGATGAATAAAAAACATCTTAAAACATTGAAAGTATAGAAACCAAAATGTTTTTTCCAAATTTTTAAAAAGATGATAAATTTATATAGTATAGTAATTAATTTTTTTTTTTAATGACATTTTCAATTTTTTATAAAAATTTGAATTGCATACATCTAATAAACGGTTTTTATTTTTTAAACATATTTTAAAATTAATTTTCCACAGAATGAAAATAACCTCTAAACTAATTTTTTCCTTGAAAAATACAAGAAATTTTTTATTTTATCAAACCGAAAACCGTCTTGTAAAATATACAAAACTTGATTTTATTAATATTTTTCAAAGAAACTGAAATTTTTAATTTTTTAAAAATTAAAAAAATTAATTTTCTGTTAAAAAATTTCCAATTTTCCTAATTCAAGTCTCGGATTGACTTTAGAAAGAGAAAGAAGTAGTTTTAGTCGATTTTCATTATAACAAAAAACTCACATTTTATAAAAATAAGTCGAAATAGTCGTATTCATTGAAAAAAGTCGAAAAAGAAAAATGTTAGTGAAAAAAAGGGTAATTTATTAAAATGGAGGAAAAATAGGGGAAACACTGTGAAGCCTGATATTAAAAAATGAATAGTATCTTTAAGATAATAAAAAACCATTTTATTTATTAGCATTATAAATTTTGTCTTACACCGAAAAATTTAAAAAATTCATAAAAATGTTCATTTCTTGCAAATTTTTAAATAGTCCTTCGACTTTTAAGATATTAAGGACATTACCAATCGATCTGTCAAAGTTGAATTTAAAGACCTCGAAAAAGTTGATTTTTTTTATTTTAATTAAATTAGTTACTAAATATTTTACATTAAATAACTAATGTTACTAGATATTAAATTCATTATATTAATTCCTTAATAAGAATATTATCAAGAAAATTTATTTCGAATATTTTAGAATCGAACTAAAACAAATTTTCAAAATTTTAATTAAATAGATTAAATTTCTAAAAAATATTCTTAAAGTTTAATTTTTTTAAAATTTTTTGAAGCTGTATTTAAGCAATTTATTCGCATTAAAAGTTTTGGCACAGTTTTTAGTTTTAATGATCAAACAAATTTCGGACAATAATTAAGTTTTGCAAATTTTCAAATAATTAAATTGCAAAATATTTTAAATTTGAAATAAATTTCCTGCGAATTTAAATTGTTGTAGTTTTTTTCTAATTTTAGACTTTTTATTTGAAACTTTTTTAAATAATTGAATTTCAAAATATTTTGTTAAATTTCAGACAATAATTAAATTTTACAGAATTAAAACTTCTGTAAAATACTTTAAAAATATTTTTCAATAAATTAGATGGAAATTTTGTAGAAATAATTAAATTTTAAAAGGTTTTAAATTGAAATTTTTGAAAATAATTCAATTTCAAGTGATTTTGAAATTAAATTTTTGATAATTTTAAATGATTTTTTTTTAAATTTTAAACAATTATTGAATTTTCATAAAATTTTTATATTGAAAAATAGTTTAAGATAATTGAATTTGTGAAAAATTTCATTAAAATTATTGAAAATAATTAATTTAGAGAAGAATTTTAGTTAAAAATTTGTTAAATAATTAAAATAAAAAATATCTGAAGATCTGTATTGTATACTAGAAAAAGTACTTTGTTTAAAAATATTGTAAAGTTTTTTTTAAAAAAAAGTCGAAAAAAGTCGCATCTTATCAAAAGAAGTCGTATTTTAGAAAAAAAGGCGAAAAAGTCGTATAATTCTAGGCCTGAATTTAAGAAAAAAAAATTTATTATCAAAGAATTTTCAATTTTTTTATAACATTTGGGCCTAACCTGGATGATTTGTAATTTTTATGTTTTTATTGGAGAAAATAATCAAAACCTCTAAATTACCTAATTATAATGGACTTTAATCACAAACAAAACGTCTTAAATCCAAAAAAAACATTCAAATTGAAATAATTTATTAAAATTTTTTACAATCAAATTAACTTTAATGGTTATGTGAGAAATGTCATTTGTTTAAATTTCTCGAAATGACAAAATATGGATTTATCAGCTTTTGAAAAATTGCTCCTTTTGTATTTTTTTAAGAGAGGGAAAGAAATTTACAAAAATATTTCTGTAATAAATTTATTAATTCTTTTATTTTTTTTATAAATTAACATTAGTACTTATTCTAAGAAATTAATACTAATTAAGTGTAATTTAAATTAAAATAATAAATATTTTAATAATTATTAAAAAATTTTAAATTCAGAAATTAAAAAAAAATCCAACTTACATAAACTTACCTCCAGCAGGCTAGTTGACTGATGATAGACGATTTGAATGATTTTGCTCTCCAAAGTTTTCCACCCAAACGGAATACCAGAAATTAATGAAAACGAAAGACAACAATTAATACAAGAAAAAAATAAATCAAATGTTACATTTATTTTGTGATTTTATATGCAATATTCATCTTCTTTTTTTTATAAATAAAAAATAAATTTATAGTAAAAAATAGAAAAAAAAATTAGAATAATGCAAATAATGAAAATTTTATTACCGAAAAGTAATGAAAATTTTCATATTTTAAAAATACTGTGCAAAGATAAATCTCTTTTAACATTTTTTTAATTCCAGTGTATATTTTCCCTTTTATCAATTTTTTTCATAGCTCATACTTTGAAGAGGGAAATATCCTATACGCATAAATGACCTAATAAAAATTATTCCTTTTTTTTTTAAATTCTAAACAAATAAAATTCAAAATAAATTTGTTTTATCGTTATAAAAGGGGTTTTTCATTGTCGGAAATTCTTTAAATATCCTAGTAATTTTTCAAGTACACGTATTTAATAATGTCCCTCACTTTATAAATGACTAGTAAAAAAAAAAAAAAAAATTAAAAAATTAAAATTCTTTCTCAATAGTAATTTTAGTAAAAAGAAAAAATTGACCCTAAATTAAAAGAATACTAAACTTCATGCATATAAATAGTGTAAATATATAACTATCAACGATATTTATATTAATCTCGTACGTCGAAAAACAGAATCTAAGAATCCTACCTTTGACTGGTCTAACTAGAATCCTATAGCAAGGTCTAGTTTGATGATGAGGATATAGTCCCTCCGTTCTGCTACCTGCCTGTTAATAGTTTCTTCTGGCAAAATACGGCTAATATTGTTTCGATTCAATATCGCTAAATAATATCAACTAATTTTTTAAAAAAAACTAACTAAAAATTTTGTTTGAATTGCAGCTATAAATTTAATATTTTTTTTAATTTAAAAAAAAATTTAACAAGTGTGGAAGGGTCATTTTCCAAATAATGCCTTCGACACGTGTTTATTTAATTTGAAAAAAAATTCGTGCACCTTAGTGTAAAAGTGGCCATTATTTTAAATATTGATTTCAAATAAAAATGAAAAATACAATACCTACACTACATAAAAATAAATGTATTCCATTATTTAATTTCTTTTTTTTTTTTTTAATAACTTACAAACTGAAAATTACAAACTTTACCCTTATTTTAAAAAAAAAATCTACTTTTTTTTAGTCATACAATAATTATTTTCCAATTCTAAGAAAATGTTGACTTCTACCAACCTAAAATTGGCTCCTGTATTTTTATCTACATAAATAAATCTTTGAATTGAAAAGTATCGTTGAGAAGGTTATGGTCTGTTTTTATTATCTAACTGTAGTATTACAACTTAAAAATAAATTGATTAACCTAGACGAACTACAAAATAGTCTGCCTATACATTTGATATCAAGTTTTACTTTTCCTGACATATCTTATTTATTTTTTTTTTTTTTTATTATTCTTTAGTCTACATAAGAATCGACTTTTTTTGTATATTGAAAGCTAGATTCTTATATGGACCGGGTCGTCAAAAAATTACTTCTTTTTCACTCCTAACACTAAAACTTAATTCAGATTTCTGAATTTTGAAATGGCATGAATTTGAAAACTAATTTTTTTTTTTGGTAAATTAGGATTGAAACGCGCGACAGTAAAACTTTTTTTTTCTTTTTTTTAAATAAATATTTAAGAAAAATAAAACAAGCGGATCATCGGCTTAAGAGTCAATTGAATGAAGATGAAAAAAAAAATGCCAAATAGTTTTTATATTCGATAAGAATATAGATTTTTTCTATTATTTTAGAATCCTATATCGATTACTGCCTTTCATGCCTATTAAATAATATAAATACACGTGACACAAGAGGGTGCGAGCATTGTCTATAAAACTGTGGTACAACTCTTTCTTTCTTTCTTTCATTTTTTTCACAATATTTTGGGACGAAAGTGTAACTGATGCAGTAGGTGCTAGGTACCAAATGTAATACAGAAATAAGCCTCCCTCACAGCAATCTAACAGATGACGCTTCTCTGTCCTGAATCCTGATTGTCCTGCCTGGTCTTGTCTCTAGCCTTTTAGACCTGCCTGCTCCAAACTAAACAGTACAGAAAGTACTGATGACTAGAAGACAAGTAGGGGTCACCTGAGGTTTAAAAGTCACAAAATAAGTTAGTGAAGTTACTTAACGATGCCCAGCAAAAAAAAAAAGGTCCATCTCCTTTCAAAAACTACCTAATATCCTACAACGTCCAGGGTTGGACATAAATCATGACTCATTCCATTTAAATATCTTTTTTTTTTTTTTTTTTTTTTTTATTTCATATAAACTTGTCCCGAAAACCCTGAATCTCAAACTAATTTTAATTAATTTTTATATAATTTGGAACTAAGCTGGTTTTTCAAAACTAACAATTAAAAACCTAATTTAAATTCAATTACGTACCATGATTTAAATCATGTCAACCCTGATTGCTTTCTACATTTCATTTCAACGCAAAAATATAAGTTAAAATTTCTCCTTATTCTAAATAATTCAATTTTTTTTTTTTTTAAAGTAAATGTTGTAGATTTCTTCAAATCTAGATCGCGATCTACATGTGATTTTTAGTGTGTTTTTTCTTTTTAAATTTCATCAATTTTTTTTGATTTGAAATTGAATTCCTAAAAAAAAAAAATTGATAAAAATATTCTCACCAATTGAAGAAATCCAGGATTATTTAGTATCTTCTTCCACCACCACCGCCGCCTCCTCCCATATTTCCTCCTCCAACGTTATTTCCATATCCGCCTTGATTACCTCCTCCATAACCACCGCCTCCACCACCGCCACCACCACCTCCGCCACCGCCGCTGTTTCCTCCCATTTGACCTGTGAAAATTAAAAGCAAAATTTGAAAATAAGAGATAAAAATAAAAACAATTTAAAATTGTTTAATATAATAATAATATAAAATTATTTTGAAGTACAATTAATTAAAATATTTTTTTTTATTTAAGATAATTTAAAAATATTCGAGTTATAAAATTACCGTATGGTGCTGATCGACCGCCACTATTGTAATTGTTTCTCAAAGGTCCACCGCCGTAGCCTTGTTGATAGCCACCTCCAAAGTTGTCATTGCTCCAGTTTCCACCACTGTTATAGCCTCCTTGACCTCCTTGTCCTCCCCAATTACCACCACCTATGCAAATTTAAAATTTTTTATTAAAAATGGAAAAACGAATAAAGTAACTTTTACTACTTTAAAATAATAATATAAATATAATATAATATAAAAAAAATAATAATTAATAAACATTTTGTATTTTTTTTTTAAATTAGTGAATAATTCTAATTTTGTGTTTTTGTTACATAATGGTTTGTTTAAAAAATATAAAAATTAAAAATTTTATTTGTTTATTAAATTTTTCAACAAAATATTGTTAATAAAATATTCAACAAACAGAATTATAGAAAATCTTTCAAAGAACGAAATTATCTTTGGTTTGTAAGAATTGAATAAAAATTACATACTTCATCAACTTTAAACAAAAAATATAGAAAGTAAAATTATTATTTAACAAATTTTTGTGCAAAATAATTTCTTTTGAAAATCGTACAACTGAATCTTTCAAAATTTGATAAAATTAATTTCATTTATAGTTTTATTTGTTGTTAAAAACAACTTTTTAGTTTGAGGTTATGTTAATGGGCTAAGTATCCTTTAAAAGAATTTTAATTTATTATAATTTTCATTCAACAAAATTTTAAGTGATACTAATTTTTAAATGCAAACACATCTAATTCACCGCATTTTTTATTTACACTAATTTTTATTTAAAATAATTCTTGAATCTTCATTTGTCCGAAATTGCAAATGACCAAAGATTTCGGTGCAATTTTTAAAATTGACCAATCAGAAACTATATAAAGAAAATTGTGATTGGTAAATTTTAAAAACAGCTCCGAAATCTTTCTGTCGATTATTTATTCGGACATTTGCAATTTTGGATAAATGAATAAATTTAAATCAGAGTGTCTAACAAGGATTGAGAAAAAAATTCCCTGACTTTTCCCTGACATTTTTTGATTTTTCTCTGACTTTTTAATAACCTTATTTCTGCTTTCTTTGGATAAAAATATGGTTACTGACATATTTAACAATAAAATAATTTCCAATGATAGTAGTTTTTTTAGATTAAAAAATTTTAATTTTTGTAGAAATTTACAGAAATTTCCCTGACTTTGAATGTAATTTTCTGAAATTCCCTGACTTTTCCCTGACCGTTAGACACCCTGTAAATTTAAATAAACAATTTATAAAAATAAAAATTTCAACAAATTAAGATACGGTGAATTGAAAATTCTAACATCCAGCTTGCCACAAAAAATTTTATTTTTCCTTGATTTTCAATCAGAATTAAATTATTTGTTTCCTTACCCTAATGAAACTATTTCAAGAAGTTTTTTAATTATAAAACAAATTTAGACAATAATAATTAATTAATAATTTTATTTTTTAAGCTTGCGGGAAAGAAAAATTGTAAAACTTTGTAAAAGGAAAAAAATAAATCTATCTACCTGAAAATTTGTTTTAAAATTAATTTTGTCAAATGCTAATTTGAAAAATGAAAATTGTAACTAATGATTTTTTTTTTGTCGAATAATGAGGTGTTGCTTTATTAATTATTAATTTCTTAAATAAATTGTTAAAAAAAATAAAATTTATTTAAAGCCTCCTTACCTTGATTTTGATTTTCCCAGGGTCCATTACCACCTCCCCAGCCTCCTTGATTTCCGCCACCGCCGTATCCTCCTTGATTTCCACCATTATTCCAGTCATTTCCACCTCCGCCACCGCCGCCGCCACCACCTCCACGTCCACCCCAGCTTCCTCCACTTTGATTTCCTCCTCGTGGTCCTCCTCTTCCACCTTGACCACCACGTCCACCACCACCTCCACTAGTTGCTGAGGCCATTTCCGCTTTACTTAAAGCCTAAGTCAAAAATTTTCCAAAATTATAATTATTTCAATAGCAACAAAAATAGCAAAAATTTTGATAATAATTATCAAATTAAAAAAACAAAAAATTTTCTTTTTTAATATTTAAAAGTTATACCTTCTTAACATCCACATGTTTTCCGCGGATTTGATGACTCCGTTGGAGGCAAATTTTATCAACTGGATCATAATCATCAAATTCAACAAATCCAAATCCTCGTTTCTTTCCTGATTCTTTGTCCGTTACAATACTGACAGAATTAATTTGACCATAAGTTTGGAAATAAGCTCGAAGATCATCTTCCTCATGATCGTCTTTCAATCCACCGACAAATAATTTTTTCACTGTTGCACCAGCTTCGGGTCTTCCAATTTCTTGTCGTGGTACAGCTCTTTTTGGCTCAACAACACGTCCATCGACACGATGTGGCCTTGCATTTTGCGCATCATCAACCATATGAGCTCTTGAATATGTAATAAATCCAAATCCCCTTGATCGTTTTGTTTTTGGATCCTTCATTACAACAACATCCACAATATCGCCCCATTGTTCAAAATGCTTCTTTAGAGAATCGTCAGTTGTTCTATAGTCAAGTCCACCGATGAATAATTTTCTCACATGCTCTGGTTCATTTTTATTTCCATCCTATTTTGAAAATATATTTTCAATGATTTTTAAAACCATAAAAAAAAAATGCTTCCTACACTTTACATTTGAATTCAATGTTACAAATTTTCCAAAATGTCTCAAATGACACATTCAAGAATAATACAAAAAAAATTTACACGGAAAAAAAAAGAAATTGCCTACAGATGCTAACTGATGTTTCCTATCGGATCTATCAAAATTAGTAATCACAGCTAAATTTTTTCCTATAACTACGAAAAAGTTTACTACGATAAACAATCTTAATTTTTAAAAATTTACTGTCACAGCAAACTTTTTCTATGAGTATATTTTTATTTCCATCCTATTTAAAAATAATTCATCAGAATTTTAAAACGAAAAAAAATTGCCTACGCTTGCTTTTTGAATTCAATAAAAATAAATTGTACAAAACTTTTATTTCCAATATTCTTAAATTTCAACAGACGCGTTCTAGCCAAAAATAATTACATTCTTTTTTTTCAGAAACTACGAAATAAATGAAAAACTAAAAAAAAACAAATTTTATACACCGGCAGAATGAATATGGCGCAGCGTGGGTACGCCGCCATTATAAAAAAATAAAAAAAAAACTGTCAATATTAAGGGAAGCGAATTATAAATTGATACAAAATATCCATTTTTCGAAAAATAAAACTAAAAACGTAAAATAAAACTAAACACTGTTATCATAACAAAAAAAAATAAAAAAAAAAGATTACATAAGTAATAAATTGCAATTTGCGTTGTTAGCAAACGTATAACTGATAAGACGCGAATAGAACAAACAATTTTTCAAGCATTATAAAAGTAAAATGGATAATTAAAAAATTATTTTAAAAACTATTTTAAAAATTGTTTAAAAAATTTGAAAAAATTTATTAAAAAAATACAGGCATTTCTTTTCAAGCTCTTTAATACCGCTTTTTTATAAAAGAAAAAAGGAAAATTTCTACTTACATCATGATCCATCTTCACCATTTTGTCCGATTTTCTGGAATTTGGCGTCTTGTCTAAATTTCAAGACAATTATTCACAAAAAAAACACCTTCACCTTCGCTTATTTATTTTAAAATAACTTTGGGATAACACGAAATGTTTGAACTGCCGTTGTACACTAGTTGTACACGTCAACTTCACAAATCGATCAACTCCCTTGAGTCACTCGCGTGAACCCTTCTTCCGGAAATGGAGAAAATTTTCACGCATGCGCCGTTTTAAATATAAATGTTAAAAAATTACAAATTTTCATATTTTCCTTATATTTTTCACACAAAATCTATTAATTTTTAACATTTAAAAATTGTAACAAATTTTAATTAATTGAATTCAATAGTTTTATAATTAAATAAACTAAATTGAAAAAACCACCCTTATAGAAAGAAAAATAATTTATTTTTAAATTACAAATATTAAAATTATATATTAAGTAGATTAAAATAATTATTTTTATTTTATTTAAACAAAATAAGAATTAATTTTTTTATTTATAAATAAAAGAATTTTGACTTTGTCATTTCCGGAAATAAACAAACTTTTAGAAGTATGACATCTGGTGTAAAGTTTGATAATCATTGGTAGCAGACGACAGATATAAAGAATTAGTTTATAAACAATTGTTTGATTGATTGTTAGCTACTTGTATAAATATGCACAAATTGACTTCCTTGTGTTAAGTGTATAAATATTATAAATAAACAAAGAATTTATAAATTGTGGTGAATTCTATTATTAAAACTAATGAGAAATTATATGATTGTTATCTGAAATTAGTTGAAAATTTTCCACAAAGCAATATGAATAAAAAAAGTAAAGTCAGTGATGATAAAGGAAAACCTCATGGTTTTAAAAGAAAATTACAACCGGAAAAAATTATTGGCGCAACTGATTCAAGTGGAGAATTGATGTTTTTAATGAAATGGCGAGTAGAATAATTGCATCAGAATATAATATATTTTTGAAGAAATTATTTTACAATTACTTTTTTTTAGGAAGGGAACAGAAGAAACAGATTTAGTAACTGCAAAGGAAGCAAATCTTTTGTGTCCACAAACTGTTATTCAATTCTATGAGGATAGATTAACATGGAATACTACGAAACCCAAGTAAGAAAGTTTTTGTGACTATAGGAAAAATGGATTCATAGGCGTCTAGAAAATAATCATATGTATGAACGATTGTGTGATAGTTGATAATTTAAAATTTAAGTCATTTTTGATAATATAATTATTCAAATTTTCTAATAATTATCTTTCAACAAGGAATATTATTTATATATTTGTATTTTCGACTTCCTCTTTTATATTGAATATTATGTATGACGATGTTAGTATGTTTATTTTTAAATCCTCTTTTTCTGCGCTTTCTATATTTTTGATAACGACATATTGTATATATAACAATTGAGCATTGATTATAAGTACAACAAATGTAGTAGCAGATAAAAATGTGAGTTTAAGCAGTGAAATAAGCAATTTTTCAGTCAACTATTTTTTTTATAATTGCACAAAATACGTTAAAAATGCAATTACTGACATTGTATTTGTTAAAAATAGTTTATTATTACTGCTTTTTGTCAAAAAAAAAAAAATTTGATCCAATTTACTATAGTAATTTCATTTAGTTATCTTTCTCAGTAAATTCTAGTCTTCTCATTATAGAATTTATTTAAATTTATATTAAGAAGTGTGTTTAAAAATTCCAAATAACTACTTTTTTCCACAATTTATATTTTCTGAAGAACATAATAATATTTTACAATATAATGTAAAATGTCCGTAAACAATAAGTTTTATTTTCTTAAAATATTTACTAATATATAAGTAGCATATATAAATTGCTATATAATTAAAATTTGTCCTATCTGCTGCTTCCTCACATTCTTTTTTTTTCGACGAAATGATTATAGAATTAATATTTATTTTGAAAAATCATATAACTGACTAGACACGTTTAAAGTTAAATGTATGTATATTGTAATTTCTTTTTTTTATAAGTGTTTATACAATTTTGTTTACTTTAAAAATACAATTTTGACAACAAGTTTTAAAATAATTATTTTTCATGAAAGTCATGATTATTATTGAAAAAAAGGTGTGAATAAATTTTTGTGAAATAGATCTGGATGTACTACAATCAAAACATGAGTGCAAAGATACTTTAAAAGAAATATGTAGATTATGGATTGAATATGTATGTACAAAGATATGTATGGAAATTAAAATTAAACTTGTAAACTTTTATTTTATTGTCTTTATTTATTGCTTATAGTTTGACACAAAATACATTTAAAATAATTTTCATATTTTAATTTTTTAATAATTCAAAAAAGAATTTTTTTTTTATTTCAAATAAATTATTTAATTAATCTATAAAATAATATTTAATTCTTGGTACTTTTTTTTGTTATAAAAAATAAGACTAGAATCAATTCATAAAAAATATTAAATAACATTAAAGATTTTAGTTTACATTTTCTATACAAAGTTATACATAAATATCGAAACTATTTTTACTATATGAAAATATGAATTTCAATTTTTAAAATGATTTAACGTTTGATGAAATTAAATTTAAAATAATGGGTTTAAAAAAAAATTTTCATTTCTTACACGACGTTTGATGGATTTTCTGAAGTTTCACTTCCACTACTACTGTGATGAGAATATTTGACAGACGTTAAATTATTTCCATAATTTACAGGATTGCATGTATGAGTTGTAATATTTCTAGAATTATCCTTAAATAAACAAAGATTGCCATTTCCACAGATTGGAAAATTTATCAAACCAGTGGTTAATGCAAAATTTCTGAAATCAAAAAACATGTAACTTTTCAATTAATTATAAAACAATAAGATTTACAGAACTATATACAGAGTTGCCACAGTTCAGGGAAAATTTTTTTTTGTCAAAGAAATAATTTTTTAATATAATAATAATAATTTTTAATAATTTTTTGAAATAATTAAATTTTTGTAAAACTATTAAAATTATTAAAAATTATTGATTTTAATAGTTCCTACATAGATTTTTAGAATTAATTGAATTTCAGAGAATTTGAAAATTGAATTTTTTATAAATGATTATATTTTAAAAGATTTTCAATTAAAAATTGGGAAAATATTTAAAAGTATGAAAAACTCAATACATACAAATTTTTGGTAATTCGATATTTGGAAATAATTGATATTTTAAAAAGCAGCAATCAAAGTTTTAATTTTAATGCAATTTTTAAAATAGTTATAACATAATTTTTTTACAAATAATAAATTTTGTGGAAATTAAAATTAATTTATTGAAAGTAATAATTTTAATTTGGTGTTTGCTGGAATAATTAAATTAATTAATTAACAGTTTATTGAATTTTTTACAAACGATAGAATTTGAAAAAAGTTTTAATTAACTTTCTTTTATAAAGAAAATATATTTATATTGATTTAATAAAAATAAATTAATATTAAATCAGTTCAATAGTTTTTATATGACAATAATAATAATAATTTTCTTTGTTTTTGATTCATATAATTTCTTATTTATAGTACTTGTACGAATGGGTTCTACCCGTATACTTTCAATAAATAAATAAATATTGAAAGAGTTGTAATTAAAAGTTTTGAATTTTTTTTTATTTTGAAAAGATCTTAAACTAAAAATTTCAAAAATAATTAAGTTTTAGTAAATTTTTAATTAAAATTTTCTGCAAATAATTGAAATTTCGAATAATTTTTTTTGAAATTTTTTTTTTGAAAATTTAGAAAATATTTAAAAGAATGAAAAATTTTATTCGTACAATTTTTTTGTGAAATAATTTCGATATTTGGAAATAATTGATAACTCAAATAGCTGAAATTAAAATATTTAATAAAATTATAATGAAATTTTTAAAAAATTTATAATAATAATAATTTATATTTTTTTTCAAATATTTTGTGAAAATTTAAATTAATGGCTTAAAAGCAATAATTTTAATTTGGTAATTTGGTTTTAAAATATTTTAAACTAAAAATTTCAAAAATAATTCAATTATCGAAGATTTTATTCAAAAATTATGTAATATAATTAAATAATAATAATTTAAATTATATTTTTGAAAATATTTAAATATTTAAAAAGAATTTCTCTAAAACTTTTGTAAATGTGTATGTGAATTTTTGTTTAACATAATTTTCATCTGATCGAACTTTCATTTATAAAAATTTTTTAAAATAGAATTCACATTTTATATAGAAAAAATAAAATTCGAAAATGTCTGGAAAAAACACAAAATATTGTCAGAAAGTCAAGGAAACGTCAGGGAAAATTATAATGAAATTTTTGTGGCAACCCTGATATGTAGAAAAGTAAATTAATTTTTTTCAGTTTGTATTTTGATATTATTTTATGATAGATTTAATTGGCTACAAAAAAAAATTGACAATATATACTATTAGGTTTTTTTTTGTGGTGAGGGGGGAAAAAGAACAATAGATAAAAGGCTGTAATCCACTTTAAGTCTATTTATAAATGTATCGTACTCCACTTGTCAAATTTCATTCAATTGTATAGTCAACCCCTCTATAGTATTATTATTGGGTATTATTCGGCCTATAGAGTAATCACTCGAGTGCTTCAACTCATTGCTCAATAAACCATAGATAAATGCATTCCACTTGTATATATACTGACAAATTTGTATTTATTCGCGTCTCATCCAAAACAGGTGCAACTGAATTGTATTCACATCGAAACAGTCCCACGAGTGTTTAGATTTATTATCGCGCCTCTTAAAAATTATAATAAAATGTAATTTTCTTTTTCTAATTTTACCTCTTCCTTGATTACATTTTTCATAATTTGAATTTCAAACATTAAAACAAAAAATAAATATAACTGTAACATTGTATATAATTAAAAAAAAAAAACATTTTTTTTACCGATACTGTTGATCAATGTGTGCTTTCTCTATCCTCTTATCTTTGGCTCGTCGATTTTGAAACCAGATTTTTATTTGTGTTTCGGTAAGTCTTAAATTTTCAGCAAGTTCAAAACGTCGACCACGAGAAATATATTCCGATCGACGATATTCAACTTCAAGATGTAATGTTTGTTCACCACTAAATGTTGTCCTCTGTCGTCTGGGTCTTCCTTCTTTTCTTCTTCTCCTTGCAACTTTATAAATAATATTCCAAAGATTAATTGGTCCCGGTGAAATTCAGATTTAATATTAGCAATAAAAAAAAATGTGCAAAAAAAAGGGAAATTGATGATGTGTAATCAAAGTTTTGAAAATGAGTGTCTTGTTTCATCAGAACAGATTGCGTGAAGCCTCAAGCATCCTGTTTCCGGCATATCGTTTATCCGGTACCCCCTTTCAATTATCATATTGCAAGCGTTTACCTGGGCCCATTATAAAGTGACTAAAAGGTAACATTCAGATTTATGACATTTTAATTAACGCTAAAAAAACTAAATTGAATTTTAAAGAAAAGTGATACATTTTAGAGGTTATAATTTGCTAGTTTGTTTATTTACAGTGGCGTAGGAATATATTTTTTAGGGGGCAAAATCATATAGTATTTTCTTAAAAATTGGGGTCTACGCCACTGTTTATTTGCAGTAGGTAATTAGAAAACTATATTCTGTCAAGGTAAATATTTTTTTTCACTGCTATTTTTGTAATAAAAAAAAATTTTTTTTGTTAAATGGACATAATCATTCTGTGTCTCGGCTATAATAATGCTGTTCGTTGCCAGGACAGCCGCTTAAGATCAGCAACGACGACTGTTGATGTAGAAAGAGAAATGTGGGGTTGTTGGAAAGTGGAAATATAGAACTGGGGGGTGTGTATTTCACATTGAAACGCGGCCAACTGCGCCCCGTAATCTCATCACAATATCGCTGTGAGGTGGCGAGGCGAGGATAAATCCTTGCAAGTGTATATACACCATCCATGGACAACTGTATCGTTTGTTGTAATAACAAATATATATATATATATAGTTATGACAGGATTCTCAGTGTTGCATCCAGCCAGGTTATCAGAATTAATATATATAGGTATACATAAAACACGAAAAGCAGAGAGCTTTTGGTGAACAATAATATTATACGATTCTCACGCAATGCTAAACGATGAAAAATATGACGGAGAAATGCTCACATTATTGTTTTCTTGTTTTCAATATTCTTTTAATTTTTTTTTATTTTTAGTTTAAAAAAATTTTGATTTTATTTTTGATTTAAAATTTGTTTTGGGGTATTTTTTGATAATTGAAGGTTCTACAAAGCCCTATACTGGAAATTAATATTTATTATAAAAAAATTTCGAAATTTTCTCAAAATGTAAAATCTATTCATTTTTTACCGTTTACATTTTTGGAAAATTTTAAATTATTTGTATGTAAAATCTATATTTATTTTTTTACAGATGTGGAATAAAATGAAAAATAAGATAAACTTGAAGTATATAATATATTTAAAAAGAAAAAAAAACACCCAAAGAAGTTTAAAGGAATTGTGGTTGCATGTGAAATTTGAAAGCGGACTTGTGCTTTACAGGGTCCATCTTTCATATTTTCCTTATAGAACTATATTCAATGTGTATCTGTAAGTATATACAGATTATTGGATTATTTATTATATATATATAGGAATATATTATATATACGTCGATTAGATAAGAAGATCAAGTTTGGTAGATAAGGTAAGATTATTTACAATGTAAATTATAATCTTAATTTTTTAATTATCATTATAATATTATTTAGAATTTCCACTAACAATTTATTCAGCATAAGGAAAAATCTTTTATTTATAATCAAATTTCCCCCTTAATAGTTTTCAATAATTTTTTTTTTTTTTTTATTACCGAAAAGAATATTTTCTGATGAAACAAATCCTCTGACTTTCATTAAATTATTTAATTTAAATTAATTAAAAATTTCCACTTTAGTATTTCTCCACAATTTTTTTTTATCACCGGAACAAATATTTTTATATTTATTAATATTTACACTAAAAAAAATTGTATTTGAACCAATAATTTCTGTATTTTAAACAAATGCTATCTCAAATAATAATTATATAAATATTTATTTGATAATAGTCAAGTAACCGATTATTTGAATCAAATACATTTTTTTCAGTGTATTTAATTATTAATTATAAGAGTAAATTTTGCAATAATTCGATTTAAAATGTTTAGGAAAAATTTTGTTCGATTAATCGCATTTTTTTATTAACAAAATATAATTACATTTATCAAATAAATATTTATTTGTATCAAATAATTATTATTTGAGATGATATTTGTTTCAAATAGAAAAATTATATTGGTTCAAATACAATTTATTTAATTGAAATAAAAATTATTTCATAATAGTCAAGTAATCAAGTATTTGAATCAAATAAATTTTTTTTCAGTGTAATTATTTATTTAAATGAATTTTGATTGAAACAACTAATCAGCAAGTTGATAAAAAAAACAATACAGTTTATAATACAGCTTTTTGTTATTGAAAGATTTTTCAAGAGTGTTTCTTGAAAATTACAATCAAAATTTAATTTTAATTTAAATTAATTAACTATTATAATAAATAATAATATAATTTAATATAATACAACATACTAATAATATATTTTATTATTATAACTAGTATTTTATTATTATAATAAATATTAAAAAAAAAATAATTTAATTAAATTAAAAATTCCATAAATTAAATCTTTAAAAAATGTCAAATAAATTTGTAATTTTCAATTTCAGTTTTAATTGATTAAATCTTTTTTTTAAAGAGAAATTTCTAGAAAAAAAATCAAGATTAAATTATTTTAAACTTACGAAAGGCAGAAAATCCATGTAATTGATGTTGTCCATGAACTGGTAAACTATGAAAATTTTGTTGCGCTAAACTCAAAGAATTTGTTGAACTACTACCAGGAAGATATTCTTGTGAAAAAAATGGTAAACCCAGTAATGGTGGTAAATTTAAATCTCTCTCATTTCTTCGTTCATCTTCATGTGATGTTAACTTTGACCAAGTGACTTTTGGTTTACATATTAATGTATTATTTGAATGAATATCTCTCACTTCCTCATGACAATGATGATCAATTTCATCGTGTGATTCTTCATTTGATGATTTTTCACCTGACGATGGTGATTTTATCACATCTTTTTTTTCCTTTTCATTATTTGTTTCTAAATGTCCATAGAGTCTTGCAAAAAATTTTCTAGGCGACGAAGGTCTTGCCTGCAATGGTTGCAGAGGTTTTGTCTTCGATGACATTTAGAATTTCAAAAATTTTTCATTTATTTTAAATAAACAGAAAAAATTTAAGATATTTTTTTTATTTCTATTACAATTTTTTCGTCATTGTTTTCTTATGGTCATCAAGAAAAAAAATGGTTTGGTTTTTATTTTATTACACAGTAAAATATTTTCCACTGTTTTTATCAGAAATTTAGAAAAAAAAATGTTTTCTTGTAAAATTATATTTGTAATAAAATAAAAAAAATTTTGTAATTGAATTATTTTTAATAATTTGATAATTTCCGATCTCAATAGATATTTGATTGAGAGGTGCCACGCGTCTGTATCACCCTGAAAACTGTCCATTCCCTCAACGATGGTTACAGTAAGAAGAGAATGGGGGTGGGGGATTTTAGTTGGATCTCTACCCCTTCTTCATTCTTTTGATATATATATATATATATTATTATCCATCCTGAATCTCTCAATAAAAATTTAGGTTTTTTAAAAAAAAGTCAGATTCGAGCATATGAAAAAATATCATACTCCAAATAAAAAGATATCTTCAAATTTAAATAATTATGAACATATAAAAAAAAGAAATTTATATTCGATTTACGTAATCAAACACTTGATTATTTAATTATATTTATTATTATTTAATAATTTTATATTTATTAAATTTAATACATGTATTATTACAATTTATTTACAATATTTATAATATTGCTAATATTAATTTTTTATTTTATTTTTAAATATTTTTAATTATATTGTTATTTTTAATTTTTTATATTTTTTACAGGGTGGCCGCAAGTCAGAAAAAATTAGGAAATCCGGGAAAAGTTAGGGAATTTTGTTAAAAATCTTCGAAAGTCCAGGAATTTTGATCCAACGGAAAGTATTCCAAATTTTTGTGTTTTTTAATAAAAATTTTAATTTGATCTATTTTTCTTTTATTAATAAAATTGTTAATTTAAAAACAATAAAAAAATTTAAAGAATGCGCGGTTTTAAATTATTCAAAAAAATTTTAATCAAGCAAGCAAAATTAGGGGAAAAGTAAGTGAATTTTAAAAATGAGATTTTGCGGCCACCCTCTGTTTTTATTATTATTAATTTTTAATTTTATTAATTACTTTTATTTATTTTTATATTTATTAATTAAAATTTCAATTATTCTGACTGCAGATACTATTTCTCCAATGTTTAAGTGTTCATTGCTAATTTTTGTTTCATTCGCATCATTTAATAATTTTTTTTTTATTTATTTTTATTATTGTATATTATTTTATTGTTATTGTACATTAATTTATTATTTTTGTATATTGTGTTTTTTGTATATAAATTTTTGTATTTTTAAATTTATTTTATTTATTTTGCTTACTTTATTTTATAAATTTTTGTTTTTATTCTTCTTCTATTTTGTATTTTTGTTATATTCTTTAAATTTTTCTTTATTTTAATTTATATATTGTTTCATTGTTAATTTATTTGTTTTTAGTAATTTTCATCTCATATTAATTTTTTTTGTATTTTTGTTTGTTTTTAATTATACTTTTTATAATAAATAATAAATAATCGATTACTTGACTATTATCAAATATTTCTTTGTATCAAATTATTTTTATTTGAAATGGCATTTGTATCAAATACTATTTATTTAATTCAAATAAAAATTATTTCGTTCAATTAATTATATATTTGATAATAGTATAATAATAATAATAATAATAATAATAATAATAATAGATAACCGCTTATTTGAATCAAATAATTTTTTTAGTGTAAATATTAATAAATATAAAAATATTTTTTCCGGTGATAAAAGAAAATTGTGGAAAAATACTAAAATGAAAATTTTTAATTAATTTAGATTAAATAATTTAATGAAAGTCAGAGGATTTGTTTCATCAGGAAATATTCTTTTCGGTAATAAAAAAAAAAAATTATGGAAAACTATTAAGGGGGAAATTTGATTATAAATAAAAGATTTTTTCTTACGCTGAATAAATTGTTATATTGTTATATTTATTTTTCGAAAATTATTATTTATTAAATTTATTTAACATATAATAATATAATAATAATTTAACATTATAATTTATTTACAATATTTATTTTCTGAAAATTATTATTTTTATTAAATAATTAAAAATTATTTAATGTTATTATTAAATTAATAATAATTTAGTGACAATATTTATTTTTTGAAAATTATTATTTAATAATAACCATATATTTCACTGAATAATTTATTCTAAAATTAAAAATAACTCCTTGACACCTATTTATAATATTTTACTACAATTGAGTATATAAATTGAAGAATAAATTGCACTTAAATAAATGTTCTTGATTTCAGAATATAAATTATTTTTCGATATTGAGTCAAAATGTTGTTTCAGTTATCATTTGTTTTGTTTTTTTTTTTAAAGATGATCAACATCCTTAAAACGTGTTTCGTAAAGAAATATTAAAATCCATATAGATATACACATAATTAAAAAAAGGATCTTTTCAGAAAAAATATAGCTCTTCGCAATATTGCCTTGTTTATGGTCATCTGCACAAGAAGCAATCGGGGAACTTCTTCATCTCTTGATTATTATCAGAGATCTGAATTGATATATATACATTTGCAAAACCTCTTACCAATATATTATATACTGATTACGCAATTTAACTTTTAATAAATATTAATAAATACGATAAATTAAATTCTTTACAATATATATGTACAATAAAAAATGTCCAATATTCTAAACATAAATATAATCAGGGGCGTATGAATCGATTTTTTCTAGGGGGCAAATTTTGTATTAATTTTATTAAAAATTAGGGGGGGGGCAAGTGCCCCTCGGTTCCCACTATACTGATTATAAAAAAAAAAGTTATTGCACCGCATAAGATTTTAATAATTAATTATACAGAAATATATATTATTAAAAAAAAAAAAATACTAACTGTAATTTTAAAATTATTTAAATTTTGGTCCAATAAACCCATTACATTATGTTATTTGAAGTAGATTATTATCCCATTTGAAATAAGAGAAGAATAGGTGTATAGAATTGTTTTAATAACAATGATATGAAAACGCCATTACGTTTTCACGTCGAATAATCACAATCCCCTTAATAATGGGTAAATCAAATTAAGCTATTGGTGGGTGCTTCAAAAGAAGGGTAAGCGCATGTCAAACAACGTCGTTTCCCATTGGTTCTTACTAATTACATCGATTTCTTGATATACTCCCATTGGCTCATCTAAGTCCTTCCTACCTATTATATACAATCTTTTTCACATTGTAATTATTATATTTGATTTCTCGAAGTGTATAAAAAAAATATATATATATGTAATTTTTTTTTCTAAAAAATATTTTTTACACCTCATCTAAATACGCGAGAAAATTAACAGTAATTTTTTTAGAAAAGGATTTTTAGTCTCGTCGTCGGTGTAATTCATAATTATTTTTATTTTTTGAACATAAGACACCAACACTTTACCCAAAAATAATAATAATAATAAATTGAACCTAATTTTACATTACAAAATTAAAATTTCGAATTGAATGTAGTTATATTTGAATTTTCAGTGAGTTTAATGCGTTTTTCACTTTAGTAAATTATTATATTTATTTTATATTTATAATAAAAATTACATCAATAGCGAAAAAATTTAGCTCATTTATTTATTATTAGAAAAAAATTACTGCTTTTAAATTAATTGCTAAATAAATTTAGACTATGAAATTAGTAGTTTTTTTTCACTAATTAAAATTATTTTCAATTCAGGGTATGAACACTTTTATTACGTACCTGAACTTCAATCCAAAGACTCCTCTATAAGACGAATGAACTTCAAGTCCCTTTGGCGCAGAGGATAGCGCGTTGGACTTCTAATCCAAAGGTCGTGGGTTCGATCCCCACAAGGGATGATATTATTTTGTTATTTTTTTTTTAATAAAATTAATCCTAATAGTTTTGATAAAGTTAGATCGATTTTTTTTGTAAACTACTTTAAAGAAGATCAATAAATATAATACAATAGCTCTGTAATAATTTATGACTTTTTGTAACAATAAATTTGAAAATTGAAATTAATTGCTAAGATGATTTTTTGCGTCGTTATTTATGTATGATTAGTGTTCATTTGTAGTTTTTATTCGATTAACTTTCGAATTTCTATTTTCTTCTATTTTTAAAATTTATTATAAACTATATATGTTTCAGTAACATATATTTTTTAAAACTTTATTTGAAAACATGTTACAAATTTCTAAAATTCGTTTACGAAATTCAAATTTTAAATGACACTGCGCTTATTTCAAACTACTTCGACTTTATCACATGTCGATAATAGTAGAAAAAATAATAATAAGCAAAAAAAAATGTCTTCTGCTCTCACTCATTAGACAGAATAATAAAAGAAAAAGAAAACAAACGATAAATTACAATAGTGTTAATGTAAATACTATGACTTAACAAGTGTTCAGTTACGTTAAAAATAATCATATAAAAAGAATGAAAAATAATAATAGCAATACAAAGGATGCCATTTGTTTCTAAGAAAAAAATCAATTCTTCATACGCAATGTGAAATCATGTGAAAATTATAAATATATCTATAACAAATATCTATTGAAGTGAAATATATAATGATAATAATTATATTGAAGAGAATTTGTTAAGTATTTGCAATATGTAATTAAATAATTCGTTTGTATTTTTAACTTTGCAAAGTACGTAAATTTATCATATATATACGTATATAGAATATATCTATATGTATATAAATTAAAAGTCCAAGTTAATCAATCTATTGTTTAAAAGTCAAAACAGCTGTCATGGAGAAACAAAAACCACGGCAGGTGAGGTTATAATTTTAATAAATGAAAATGATTATTCAATTTTAAATATGGATTATATATTAATTTAAAAATTTATTTTTCTAATACGCAAATTCATTGTTTTTTAAAATTTAATGTTAAATGATTTATCATTTGTTTAAATTTGTGTGTCTATGTTATTAGGGGTGTTCAAAAAAATTTTTTTTTATGAATTTTGAATTGCAAAATTTCTAAAACGATTCCTTTTTAAATTATTCACAAAAATTTCAGTTACACTGAGAATGTTTAATTTCTTTTTGTACCTATATTTTTAATATTTATAGAAAAAAAAGAAAGATCGTATACGAACTTCTCATTTATCGCGTGAAATTCCTGATGCTCCAACACTGGAGGAATTTGAATGTTTACTTGGTGAATCGCCAACAAATTATCCTCGAGGTGAAGGCATTGAAAATATGGAAAGTGAATTGCATTCAGCAGCAATAGACACCGAGGTATATGAAAACGAAAATTATAAAGTTGTAATTATGGAAAATGATGAAATTCCCACTGCTGAAGCTGTCGAAGTAATTTTTATTATATTTATTTTGAACAGGGTTGCCACTGGTCAGGGAAATTAGGGAAAAATCAGGGAATTTTATCAAAGTATCAAATTTCTAAAAACAGGAATCTGATTGCAAGACTTTTTTTTGAAAATGCGACTTTTTTGAACTATTTTATAAAAATTGGACATTTTCTTGACCAAATAAGATTTTTTCATTATAAAATATAGTTTTTCCAAAATTCAATTAATTTAAAATATTTTATCTAAATTGTTTTTTTTAAATTCATGATTGTTAATATCATTAATCAAGTTCTTCGAAAAAACAGTTAATTAAAACATTTAAAAAATTTTAATTATCTAATATTCAATGATGTTTAAAAATCTTAACTGTAACTGGTTCAAAATTCAATTATTTCCAAAATTATTTTCTAACATTCTTAGTTAAATTAATTATTTTTAATGATTTTAATCGAGTTTTTTAAAAATTCAATTATTTTAAACAATATTCAATTAAAAATTTTCTGAAAATTAATTACTTTCTGAAATTCGTAGATAATTTTGAATAAAATAAATTTACAAAAATTTCAATCAAAAAAATCTTTAAAATTCAATTATTTTTGCAAATCTTAACTGTAACTCTTCGAAAATTTAATTATTTAAAACATTTTTCAATTAAAAATTTTCTATAATTTAATTAGTTTTTGAAAAATGTAAACAATTTTGATTACAAGTTTAGAAAAAATTTTAATTTATAATCTTCAGAAATTAGGTATTCAATTAAAAATTTTCTGAAAATTAATTACTTTCTGAAATTCGTAGATAATTTTGAACAAAATAAATTTACAAAAATTTCAATGAAAAAAATCTTCAAAATTCAATTATTTTTAAAATTCTTAACTCTAACTTTTTCAGAATTCAATTATTTTTAAAACTTTTTTCTAAAATTTTTAGCTAAGTTAATTATTTTCAATGATTTTAATCGAGTTTTTCAAAAATTTAATTATTTTAAACAATATTCAACTTAAAATTTTCTGAAAATCATTTATTTTTTGAAATGCGTAGATAATTTTCAACAAAATAAGTTTACAAAAATTTTAATTAATTAAATCTTCAAAATTCTATTATTTCTAAAATCTTCAAAATTCTATTTCTAAAATATTATTTTCTAAAATTCTTTTCCAAATTAATTTTTTTCAATTATTTTAATCGAGTTTTTCAAAAATTCAATTATTTTAAACATTTTTCAATTAAAAATTCTCAATAATTTAATTACTTTTTGAGAGATGTAAATATTTTGAATACAAATTTACAAAAATTCATTTACAGAAATTCATTTATTTTTGAAAATCTTATTTTTCCAAAAATTCAATTCTAAAATTTTTCGCTAAATTAATTTTGTTCAATAATATTTTAGTAAAGTTTTTTGAAAACTTAATTATTTAATAAATTTTTGAATTAAAAACCTAATTGTTTGAATTCGTATGATTTGCAAATATCTGTCTTCCATTATTTTTAAAAAACAGAAATTAAATTTTTTTTTTAGGAATCTGAATTAAAATTTTGACTTGTATTAAGCGTTTTATTACTATTTTAATTTCAGTACTTAATGACAGCTTTTAATTGAATATTAGTTTATTATTTGCATTTTAATTTCTTTGTTTTTTATTTTGAACATTGAAAATTGTTGTTTTTTTACTTTTTTTATTTTCTATATATAACATTATTTTAAATTTATTTATCAACGGGACATTTGTTAGTTATTATAAAAAATATTTTAAAAATCTATTTCACCATTGTATTAATTAAATAAATAACAAATTAAACAACTTTTTTTTATGTAATAACTTGCAACTTGAAAACAAAATTTTATGTAAAAAAAGAACAATGTGAAAAAACAAAATTTTTCAATGTTTAAAATAACAAACAAAAATTGTTTTCAATGTTAAAAAAAAAAATTATAAAAGTAAAAACATCTCATTTAAAAATAATAATATTTATGTATTGTTCAATTTAACAATTTTTTAAAAAAATTTATGCGGTTTTTGATTTTGAAAATTTTATTTCAAATTTTGACTTCTAAAAATTAGTGTTTTAATTTATAATTAATTACAAATTTCTTGACATTTTTTTCCTACAGTATCAAGGAAAAAAGTAAAAATTTTATCTGAAAATCAGAGAAAATTCAGGGAAGAAGAAAATCTAATTTATTTTGGCAACCCTGAATTTTTAATAAAATAATTTATTTGATTGAAATAATTTTTTTTTGTCTCTTTAGTGTACAGTACATTTTGTCGATGAAGTGGACACAGGAATTCCAATGGCCTCAGCGCCTTCTGAAGATGTAGAAAATTCTTCTGAATTAAATTCAAAATTAGAAGAAATGAGAAACAATATTTCGACAATTAGACTGATAGATACAATTCCATCGGCGCCAATTATCGAAAATGTCATTTCACTGCCTGCGCAAACAACAAAATTACCATCAGATAAAAATAATTTGAAAAAAGAAAAATCAAATTTAAAATCACAAACATCAACAATGGAGAAAAGTAAATTAGATGAAAAAACAATGAAACCATTTAATGAAACACAATTAGCAGCACTCTACAATAATCAAGAATTGTCACTTGTTGAAAGTTTTATTAATGAATTTGTTGATTTTCAACTACGCGGTCATAGTATTCGTCAACAGCATAGACTACAAGAACTTGTAATGAGTTATCTTCGTGTACGAAATCATTTAATTGTCAATTCACATGAATTGGAAACACTTAAAAAATCATGTAAGGATATACAAAAACAATTATGGTGTTTAGATAAAGCTGGTATCACTGAATATGGCGAATGTCAAGATGGTAATCCAGTGAGTGCAAATCATGAATATTCAGTTGCTCATTTTAATAAAAAAACTCTTGCGGCACTAACAAAAAATCTTTCGGCTATTAAAGAGTCCTTGCATAATACACACGCGTTATATTGTTACGAATCGGAAACATTGAAACTACAGATCGAGCACTACATACAGAGAGTTTGTATTTCTTGTAAGGATTTTGCTAATTTACCACAAAATGCGCCTATTAGTTTGGAACCATTTCAAATATCCTCACACACAATGCCACAATTGGTAGAACTGAGAATGTGCATATCGATATTATTTTACTTTCAACGACGTGTTTTGAAAGATGGAAAATTTGTCACCGACACTAGAGATTGGCTATCGAAATTGGTGGCAATTTTATTGAGAGTCGCAACATGGCAAGATCATTTATTTTTATTGAATCACGTTCTTCGATGTCCTGGAGGAGTTACAAATTGGGCGAAAAGTTTTATTCAAATTCCAGTTCCATCGAGAAATAGAAACCTAACGTCGCCATTAAATGATCCACATTTGGATCATATTGTATCGACACTGGCTGTTATTTTATTGCCAATAAAGGAGAGAAATCAATTTTTGGAACAAGTTCAAATATCCTTACAAGAGACGGGTAATAATAACGGTGATACAGTTTGGGTAATGTTGGACGAAGAAGGTGAAGAGGATGAAGACATTGCAAATTGTGGGGCAAATCTTTTTGAAAGTGATCTTATATCACTTCTACATCAAATTCCATTGGATAAATTATTTGAACAAGTTTTATTTATTGAACGACATAATGATAATTTTCATCAAGACGGTAATGCAGTGACGGAACATCATATTTTACGAATATTTGCATTTTCAACTGTTATTGTTCGACTTTTGAAAAAAGGACTTCAAACTTATGATTCACCACGTTATCGTCAATTGGCAAAAAGATTAAGTGCCTTAATTAGAGATACTGTACAATATTCCAGCGATTTATGGGAATTATTCGATAAAACAAAAATCACTGACAATTCAATGTTAATGAGAATACAATTGGAGTATGATTATTTTTTTTTGAGAGCAACACTTTGTATATTTTCATCACGAAGACTTGGAGCTTGGCAATATCTTGCTGCAATTCCCTATCATATTGTCTCTTCCGATATGCTTTGGAAAATATTTTATATTCTACACACTGATTCGTCAATTGCTGATCTTCCTGATTTTGAAATGTCTCAATGGGAAACGGAACTAAATTCACCAAAGATTTATAAACAATTTGAGGAGAAATTAAGTAATTTACCAGGCGATGAGTCGTATTTTTTACTAACTACTTTTGCAAATATGGCAATGGCAAGAACGGATGATTATGAATTTGTTCGTGCGACAACGATTGATCTTTTTCAAATTGGATTTCTCAGTAAAAAAACTCAGGACACTTGTTCGAAGGATGCGAGATCACTATTGTCGAATTTGACTGATAAATATTCTTCTCTTTTGTCGGATATTCTTCTAAAATTGAGAGATAATTTTGTCTCAGTGGGAAAATTGAGTTTGTATCTATTTACAGAATTGAGAATTGAAAAATGGATACCGCAGAATGGGGATTTAAATGTTATTTCAGCTTGGCTTCATCAGTATCCATTGTCATCGACTGAAAGTCATTTGGCACGTTTGGTACTCTCGCATTTTAATTGGGGACTCGGAGACGATAATAATTTACATCTTCCAATAAATGTACATCGTCGAATTGCATTATTGATGGTTGAATTATCAAAGAAATATATTTTGGAAAATCCTGTTCAAAGTGCATCACTATTGGCCGAAGGTGTAAAGCAAGTATCATCGATAGTTCGATCACAAAGTAATGAACAAGCATTTTCACAATGGGTTTGGGAAATGGTGTCAAGATTAAGACTCAATCGTCTTGAAGAATCAGATGCCGTTAGTCAGTACTCAATTATAAATCCCGGTGAAGCATTTTCTCATGTGCCTGATTTAGATTCGGATCCAAATTTGGAATCATTAGTTATTGTTCTCAATGAAAAACAACCACTCGCCGCTTTTGTTGCATTGAGAATGACACTATTGGGACATTCAATTCCATTAATTTGTTCCAAGGGCTTTGAACATTTACAAATATTACAATCCTATCATAAATATGAACAAATGTTACACGTTCTTCACAATATAATTCCTCTATTTTTAAATTGTTCGGAATATTTATTGAATAATGAAAAATTTCTAAGCTTGACAATAGCTTTGATCACTGCCGATAGAACGTACATGAAAATAGCAAAAAATCTTATTGCTCCGGAATTTCCTGGCAGTATTTTGAAACTATTTTCAAGTATGATTGAATCTCATTTGCACAATTATAAAAGGTAACTGTTAATAATATTTCTTATAAAAGTGCAGGAATAATTTTTATTTTTTTTTATAGATACTGCTTGCAAACGCCTGAACCTTTTGTAAGACTGTGGTTAAATATTCTTATACTGATACCAGACTGGAATCGGGATCAAAGTGTACTTTATTTATTAGACACTGTAATACGTGCCTCATTTTTTTACATTGACGCAAGAACAACAACGGAGATTATGTTTCAAAATCTCTTCTCTGTGAGTAATATCAATTTTTTTTGTCAATTTAGAAATTTGAATTTTTTTTTTTTATAAATATTTTCATTTTTGTTAGCTATCACTCGTGAATGGCAATGAGGTACGTTTATTAATATATATATTTTTTTTACTTTTTAAACTTTTTTTTTACAAAATTTTTAAACAAAATATGTTTTTTTTTAGTATACAATGCAAATCTTATTTATTTCAATTATTTAACAAATTTTTAACTAAAATTCTTTTCTAAATTAATTATTTTCAATAATTTTCATGAAATTTTTCACAAATTCAATTATCTTAAATTTAATTAATTAAATTATCTCAATTAAAAATTTTATGAAATTCAATAATTATTTAAAATAATAAAAAAATAGGCAAATAAAATTATCAAAAATTACAATTCACAATCACTTGAAATTGACTTATTTTCAAAAATTTAAAATTTTTAAATTCAATTTTTCAAAAATATGAATTGTAAATCTTTTAAAATTCAGTTATTTTTAAAAAATTTCTAAAATTATTTGATAAATTATTTTCAATGAGATAAATAGAGTTGCTACGATCAGAGAAAACCTGGGAAAATCAGGGAATTTAAAATAATATTGTTTCAAAGAAATGTTGTTTCCAAAGATTTTAACCAAAATAAAAAATTTTTCACTTCTAATTTGAAAAAATTTTAAAAATTAATTTTTCCATTTAGATATGCTATAAATTTGTTAATTAATAAAAAATGTTTTATTGTTAACTTCATTGAATTTTTTTATACGCATTAAGCTAAAACTTTATTATCACAATTATATATTTGATCAGGGAATTTTAAGAAAAATGACCTGCAAATCCTATAAATGTCAGGGAATTTTTTAATTTTAAAACCGTAACAACCCTGGTAAAATTTAATTATTGTCTGAAATTTAACAAAATCTTTCGAAATTCAATTATTTTTAATGATTTTTATAATATTTTTTAAAAATTCAATTATCTGAAAGCATTTTTCAATTAGAAACTTTTGAAATTCAATTAATTTTAAAAATTTCAACTGAAAATTCCTCAAAATTCAATTATTTTTAATAATTTTAATATTTATTTAAAAATTCAATTATTTTTATGAAAGTTTCAAATCGATATTTTGTTACAAATAAAATAAAATAAAAATAAAAATTTTTAAATTTAATTGTTGTTTCAAATTTTAAAAAAACAACAACAGTTTAAAGTAGAAAATTTATTTTAAATTTACAATCCTCTGCAATTCAATTATTTAAAATAATTCTTGTTTAAAACCTTGTAAAATTCAATTATTTATAAAATTTTCGATCTAAAACTTTTTTAAATTTAATAATTTCAACTACAACTTTTTTAAAAAAATTTTTTGTAAATTTTTGTCTATAATTTCAAATAAATTCTTCATCAAGAGAAATTAGCGAAAAATTCATTTAAAAATCACTTGTAATTTAATTATTTTCAAAAGTCTAAATTGTAAATTTTTGAAAATTAAATTACTTTTTAAAAATGTTAACTAAAATATAAATTATTTTTATTTATGTAAAACTTAATTATTGTCCGAAATTATTTTGAACATTAAAACTGAAAACTATGCCAATATTTTAAATTCGAATAAATTATTTAAATCAGACTTCAAAAATTAAAAAAAATGGTAATTTAAGAATTTTTGTTAGAAATTTGTCCTAATTTATTATTAAAATTTTGAAAATTTATCTTAGTTCGATTCTGAAATATTCGAAATAAATTTTCTTGATAATATTCATATAAAATTATTATTAAATCGACTCAAACGACTTTTTTTGCTCCTTAAAGTCGATCCGAGGCCTGTAATAGAAAAAATAAAAAAAATATAATAAAGAAATTTTATTTTATAGAATCTCTCATGTGGAAAAAATTCAAGTTCCTTTGGTTCCTTCTTAAATTGGGCGATGGGTTCGTCAAGTTGTCCAAGTCTTCTAGGAGGATCTATACAGTCAATTTGGGTGGCTTATATTATTTTGTACACTGAACAATATGAAAGGGAATTAAAGACAAATTTATGGAAGGAAATTTTACGAGAATTGTGCCTACAAACAAAGACTTCATTGGACTCTGCCCTCAAGGTAATAAAAAACAATTTTTTCTTTTTCTTTTTTGATAATAAAAATATATATATTTGTTTTTTTAGAAAGCTTTTGCCACTGTTAAAGTACAACCATTCAGTGCAAACAGTTTGTCCATTTATCGTTGGTCCCAACAAGCGCTTGATACACCTCTAGATCATCCTCTATTACCTCTTTTGTGGCAGAATTTTTTTTCTCTTCTCTTGGGAAGACCTCCGTCTTCAACTGGGTGAGTTTGGAATTAATTGAAATTTAATTGACGATTTATAATTTCTTTTTTATTTATTATTATTTTAAATTTAATATTTTTATTTTAATTATTTTTTTAATAATTTATTAATAATTTAGAAATTAATTTAAAAATTAATTTAATAATATTTAATTGATAATTTTCTTTATAATTTTGCAGTGTCATTGATCATGGTGGTGTAGGTGAGAAATTTTTCGAAGGAATGATAAATTTAAGCTATTTGAAAAAAGTGAAAAAACGCTTACACGATACAGTGGAATATTTTCAAATGAAAGCTGAAAATGATTTGGATAATGGAAAATTAATAACCGATGAGAGAAGAATATTTTATCTTGATATGGCAAAATTTTATAAAACAATGACATTGTGGCTTGAAGAGCCAAGATTACAGGAATCTGGCCTTTATCTTCCCGCTTTACCTCCGCAATATATGTCACAAAAATTAATGTTACTTCTACAAGGCGATAGAAATCCATGGTTAGAATATGTGGATTATTTTTCAGTACAACAAAGTCAACAGAAAGCAATACAAGAATGGCAATTTGTGACCTATCAACAAGTTGATTGTCTTAAAAAATTTTCACAAACACCAACAACACCATTAGAACCAGTGGATCCACAGCAAAGAATTTTTCGACGACTAAATAGTTATGAGCAACCTGTACCGTCGCCAGTTTTAAATCGTAATAATCCCGTTATACAGCCTATTCCAAGGGATTGTTTATACAATTCGGATTCAATTATTAAATTAATAGGACCACATTTTAAAATTATTTTGGATTATGCACAGACATTTAATTTAATGGTTTCGGAGCACACTGCGGTGGATTGTAGCTTTTTGGAATTGGTACCGACACTTTATAAAGAAGTTGAAAATTATATTACACTACATGCACTCTGTGATATAACGTCTTCAAATCAAAAACGTTCACGTTCAGGAACACCACCTATTGTTCATTGTGCTGGTCCAGCTGTTATACGAGTCAAGGTAAATAAATTTGAAATTATAGAAATTTTTTATAAAAATAATTAAAAATCAATTATTAGATTTTAGAGGCTCGTGTTAGCGATGGTGTGGATGAAATGATAAGTCAAAATAGAGCAGAATATGAAAATCTTTTGGTAAAAGCAAGTCAACCACCGCCAAGTAAAGTTACACTCGGTTGTGTTATTGCTGATCACTTAATCGCGTGAGTTTAATTAGAATTATTCTTTGATGTAATTTAACAAACAAATTAACTTTTCAAAAATTCATTTTTTTAATAATTTTAATATTTTTTTAAAAATTCAATTATTTAAAAAAGGTTTTAAAAAAACATTCTAAAATTGAATTTGTCAGAAATTAAAAAAAAATACTACAGCAGTTTAAATTTGTAGAAACCCTGTAAAAAGAAAATTCTTTTTTTCAGGCTACTTGAACACGAATTGAATCTTAATCGTACGACAGAAAATACGTCAATTTTGCGCAAAGTACAAGACAGTGGTGTTAAATTATTTTACTATCTAGTTGAACTTTACAGCGAGGAAGCTTCACTCTGTCCGCCTACAAAGCAATTAATTACAACATGCATTGAAAAATTGGGACAGGTAAAGTATTTTGCATAACTATCCCAATCAAAATACATTTTTAAAACACAAATATAATTAAATTAAATAATTATTATATTTAATTAAATAATCAAACAATTAATTAAATAATTGTAGTTGTTCATAAGTGGAGAAGAAAGTCAAGGAACAGAATTACTTAAAGCAATAATCGAACGGCCTAATCTCGGAGGACTTTTGGGTCCTCATTTTACTCCCGTTGCTGGTGGAGCTTCATCATTTTTACAAATGTACCAAATTGTGGTTGAATTGTCAACAGGTTCCAATGTTGATTTATGTTTTGTACTTCTTTCAAAGGTGAAATAAGTTTTATTTCCTATTTTCAGAATTATATAAATTCAAATTTTTTTTTATTTAAATAATATTTTAATTTTTTAGTTTGACGTTGGAAGTTGGTTGAATTATAGACGACCAAGACTGAGTGAGAGATCAACTTTCATTGAATTAGTATCGCGGGCATTATGTAACATTGGATTAAATCCAGAAGAAGATAAGCAAATATTACACGAGGTTTTTAATATTTTTCATATACCTTAATTAAAATGTAAATTAAAATTTTATATCAAAAAATTCAATTTCTCTTTGCAGTTGTTTCGAAATCATCTTCGACTTGTGTTGTTACACGAATTTCCCGAACATTATGGAGAAGTTTTGAGTGTTATTTTACGTGGAAGTGAGGGACAAAGTTTATCATTAGATGTTTGGCGCGATTTATTGGGAGTTTTGAGTGGAAGAGCAAAATCTGCACCACCGATGCATGTTTTAAAAGTTAGAGATGAAATTCGACGTTACGCTACGGAACAAAAAATACTTTCTCGACAAGAGGTTTGTTTATTTATAACTAATACAGGTCTCGCATTATACAAATTTTATTTAAAAAATACGACTTTTTTTTAACTTATTTTAATAAGATGCGAATTTTTCAATTTTTTTTTTACACTTTTTACAAAATTTTGGAACAAAATATGTCGTTTTTAATATACAATGCAGATCTTCTTCAGACCTTCATTATTTCAATTATTTAAAATATTTTCAATTAAAATTCTTCTCTAAATGAATTATTTTCAATAATTTTCATGAAATTCTTCACAAATTCAATTATCTTAAATTTAATTAATTAAATTATCTCAATTAAAAATTTTATGAATTTCAATAATTATTTAAAATAATAAAAAAAATAAGCAAATAAAATTATCAAAAATTACAATTAAAAATTCAATTATTTATAATAATTTCAGTTTAAAACCTTCTAAAATTTAATTATTTCTAAAATTTTGCATCTAAAACTTTCTGAAATTTAATAATTTCAACTGTAACTCTTCACAAATTCAATTACTTTTAATGTTTTTTAAAATATAAATTATTTTCAATTCTGTATAATTTAATTATTGTTTGAAACTTGACAAAATCTTTCGCAACTCATGTATTTCTAAAAAAAACCGAAACTTTTCCAAAATTCAATTATTATTGATCATTTTTATAATATTCTACAAAAATTCAATTATTTGAAAGAATTTTTTAATTAAAAACTTTTGAAAGTCAATTTTTGTCTATAATTTCTAATGAATTCTTCATCAACAGAAATTAATTTCAAAAATCTAAATTTTAAATAATGCTGTAAATCTTTGAAAATTCAATTAGTTTTAAAAAAGTTTATCTAAATTTATTTGATATATTATTTTCAAGTCTGTAAAATTTAATTATTGTCAGAAATTTAACAAAATCTTTTAAAAATTCTAAAATTTCCACTGTAACTTATCCAAAATTCAATTATTTTGAATGATTTCAATATTTTTTAAAAATTCAATTATTTAAAATTATTCCAGTTTAAAATCTTCTAAAATTTAATTATTTCTTAAATTTTTCATCTAAAACTTTTTGAAATTTAATAATTTCAAGTGTTACTCTTCCGAAATTCTATTATTTTTAATGATTTTTATAATAATTTTCAAAAATTCAATTACCTAAAAGCATATTTCAATTAGAAACTTTTGAAATTCAAATATTTTTATAAATTTCAGCTGTAATTTTAATTATTTTTGAAATTTTCCAGCTTAAACTTTTTGTAATTTAATAATTTTAACTGTAACTCTTCCAAAATTCAATTATTTCTAATGATTTTTATATAATTCTTCAAATATTCAATTATCTGCATGCATTTTTCAATTAGAAACTTTTAAAATTCAATTTTTGTCTATAATTTCTAATGAATTCTTCATCAAGAGAAATTACCAAAAAAATATTTCATTAAAAATCACTTGAATTCAATTATTTTCAAAAATCTGAACTGTAAATTTTTGAAAATTCAATTACTTTTTAAAAATGTTAACTAAAATTTGAAATTAAATTAAATTTAATGTAATTTAAATTATTTTTAATTATGTAAAACTTAATTATTGTCCGAAATTATTTTGAACATTAAACTACTAGATAATATTCTTATAGAGGAATTAATAAAATGAATTTAATATTTAATAACATGAGTTATTTGAAATAAAATATTTATTAATTAATTAAATTTAGTTAATATAAAAAAATCGACTTTTTTGCGCCTTAAAGTCGATCCGAGGTCTGTTAGTGCTTTTTTTCTGATAAGTATTATTCTTATTATGGAATTAATAAAATGAAATGAATATCTAATAACATTAGTTATTTAAAGTAAAATATTTATTAACTAATTACATTGAATTAAAATTAAAAAATCAAATAAAACGACTTTTTTGCATTTCAAAGTTGATTCAAGGCCTGTTAGTATTTTTTTTTTTGGTAAATAATTTGTTTATTTTTTGTCACCAGATGCACGATACGGCAGTGCTGCTGAGCAAACATTTTATGAATGAACGTTTACAATACGGATTATATGGTTTATATCCAAAATATCGTGTTTATAATGAACCGTTAACAATATTTTTGGGTATGGTGGGCCACGCTTTAGTTGTCTTGACACTACAGTCAGATAGAGGCTCATTAGCTGATCAGTGTAAGTTTTCTTCTCGAAATATTTTACTGTTCTTTTTTTTATTCTGTTTATTTATTTATTTATTTTATTTTACAGTATGTGAAAAGATTTGGCCCGTTTTGAGTGAAATGTTTGCGCCTTGGATAACGCCTTATTGGACGAGAAATTTACGTGAACCAACAGCGGCTTGGATTCAGCAATTAACTGATGATCGTTCAATTTTACTACCATGGATTATTGCCGATGGTCCATATGCAAATCGAACTGTTGCCATGTTTATCGAATGTGTACGTTTCATAACTGACACAATGCCCGCCTCAAGTAAAATACTTTGCTATCTTTGGCAATTTTATGTTACAAATTTTGCTCACGCTTCGATAAAAGATCATGTTTTAAATGTGATTCATGGTAATTTTTTATCCCTACCTTGGGAAAGATTTTCACCCGGTATCAATGATGTGGAATTTATGATTAAAGTCGTCGATCAATATTTACCAGACAGTCATTTATTTTTGGGAAGTGTCTTTACGATTATTAATTGGCCATTGTGGATCAATGAAATGCTTTCAGTTCAACCATTAACAGTTTCGGCGAGAATGCATGTTTGTTTATTGAATCTTTTGGTGAAATTATCAAATGAACCCAATGTCCGACAGGTAAGATTATTATTCACGAAATTATTAAATTAAAAAAAAAATAATAATATTAATTTTTTTCTCTTTGAAAGAATGATAAAGCTGTGAAATTAATGGAGGATGCTGAAAAATTTGCCTGGCATTTGGTGGATGCATCATCATTTGATCAAGTTATTAATTGGCATGTTATGAGTTGTGATCCACGAGTAATTCTTTCTATTGAAAATGAAATCGTTCATCCAATCGATATAGCTGTTAATAAGTAAGTTAATAAGTATGATTATCTCATAAAAATCATTAATTAGAATTTTCATTTAAAAAAATTTTATTAGAAATAATTATTGTTTAGACAAAAAAAAATTATTGAAATTCTGGAGATTATAAATTTAAATTATGTAAATTTGTATTCAAAATTATTTACATTTTTCAAAAAGTAATTAAATTATAGAGAATTTTTAATTGAAAAATGGTTTAAATAATTGAATTTTTGAAAAACTTGATTAAAGTTAATGAAAATAATTAAATTAACTAATTCTAAGAATTTAGAAATAATTAAATTTTGGAAGAGTTACAGTTAAGATTTTAAAAAAATAATTGAATTTTGAAAATTTTTTGACTGAAATTTTTGTAAATTTACATTGTTTAAAATTATTTACGAATTTCAAAAATTGTTTTTCAGAAAATTTTAAGTTGAATATTGTTTATAAGTAATGAATTTTTGAAAAACTACTAAAATCTTTGAAAATAATTAATTTAGCTAAGAATTTTTGAAAACAATTTTATAAATAATGGAATTTTGGAAAAGTTAAAGTTAAGATTTTTCAGAAAAAAAGTACGGAATTTTTGTTTGGCAGAATTTTTGATTTTACAGCCATTTTCTTTATATGACTTTTTATTTAACAGAGTTCTCATTCAATCGAATTTTATGTGATTTGAATTTTGAAATCGACAGAAATTCCAATTTACCGAATTTTTATTTGTCCAAATTTTTAATTGATAGAATTTTTATGACGCCAAATTTTCATTTGTCCGAAATTACAAATGGCCGAACAATCAATCGACAGAAAGATTTCGGTGCAATTTTTATAAGGTTGACCAATTAGAAATTATCAAGAAAATCGTTCAAAAATTGCGCCGAAATCTTTATGTCGATTGTTTTTTCGGTCATTTGTAATTTCGAACAAATGAAAATTCGGCGTCTTAAAAATTCGGTGAATTAGAATTTGTGTCATTTAAAAATTCGATCGAATGAGAATTCTGTTAAATTAAAATTCGATTAAATTAAAATTTTCTTAAATAAAAAGTCATGTAATATAAATTCTGCTAAACAAATATTCAGTAGCTAAAAATTTTGTTAAGTAAAAATTCGAATAAAAAGAAAATCTCCCAAATTTTAATTTGAAAATTGAAAATTTATCTAAAAAATAATTGTTTTAATAAAATACTTTTTAAAAAAAAATCAAATTAATGATTTTTATGGGAAATTCATGCGCCTCAGTAAGTTTGCTACTTTTTTTATTTCTAATTGGATTTATAATTTTTATTCTAATTGGAAATAATGTTTCAGTTTATTAAAAGTTGTCGCTGCTTATGATCCAACAGTGACACATTTTCATCCAACGACATTGAAAAAACGACAAATTTATGTTCGTTCTTGTATGAAATTATTGACTAATTGTACATCGAGACATAAAGCACTTTTGTCGACAAATTTACGAGCATTTACAAATGCACTTTCAAATATGCTTGATGAACTCGAAGCTGTTATTACAAGTAGTAAGTTTTCTGATAATTAACATATTTCTCAAGAAAAATTAATCTAAAAATAAAATGATTTTTTTTTAAGCTGTTTCAGAACCACAACAAACTGCAGAAGCGGGTCTTTTGGTAACTGAATTATTACTTTCGGTGAATCAAAATGGAGTTTTGGCTGATCATTTGAAAATAAGTTGGACTTCGTGGTTGTCGAAAAGAACTGGAAATAATCCAATAGTTATTGGAATTTTGAGAGTCATTGGAGTTGCAATTGCATCTCCGTCAATTTTGGGAGATATTATGGAAGCTGCTTTAGAGGCTTATTTCAGGCAAAATGGTAATTTTTTTTTTAATTACTACTATTTTCCAGGGTTGCCAGAAAAATTTGATTTTGTTTTCCAATGATTTTCGATTCGCTTATATAAATTATTATTATAGTTATTGAAGACGTTCAACCCTCCTGGGCTGCGGTGCTATCTGTTTTACAATCTCTAGTACCACGCCAACCACCAGTCGAAGGAGTTTTAGTTGCTGAGGGAAAACCTTTAGCACTTTATGCGATTCTATTAAAAAAATTACCATCTTGTAGAGATATTAGAGAGGAAGGAATGCTTCTGACAAATCTAATTGATTGGATTACTGCCATCAAACCTATGTAAAATATCATTTTATTTTTTTAAAGAATTTTAATACTATACGTGATATTGAATTTATAATTAATTTTTTCTAGGGAATCGTTTGAGAGTAAACTTCCACTTTTGTGGGCGAAAGTTTTGGAATTAATTTACAGACAATGTCAATATAGTGAAAATATGACAGTTGCAATAAGGGCCCTAAAGGGTTTAGCTCGAGCACTACTAACAATTGCAGATGATGCAGGACAAGGATGGGGAATTTTAGGAGCAATTGGTATTCGAAAAGGATCACAAATTTCAATCAGGTTAAAAAAAACTATTAATATTTTTATCATTTAAATTTGTTTAGTAGGATTGCTACGATTTCTCGTGAAAAAAATTCAATGACTTGTCCAGGTTTACCGGTACTTAAAATAATATTTTTCCATACTTCATAAAAGTATGGTTTATATAAAAATAGTTATTAAATATTCAAAATTTCATTAAAATACAGTAATATTTTTTAAAAATTAATTTACCTGTTTTTAACATTCATTCGTTAATAACAATAAATGAATTAAAATTTGAACTTTTTTTTACAACTCATAATATTTCTTTGATAGGAATATTTAATTAACTTAATTTACAGAATATTCAATCCTTGTAATAAGTGTAGTTTATTCAGGCCTCGAATCGACTTTAAGGCACAAAAAAAGTCGTTTTAGTCGATTTACATTAAAAAAAAGTCGATTTTTTTATTTTGATTAAATTTAATTAGTTAATAAGTATTTCACTTTAAATAATTAATGTTATTAGATATTAAATCCATTTTATTAATTTCTTTAATAAGAATAATTCTATAGGAATAATTTATCAAGAAAATTTATTTTGACTATTTCAGAATCGAACTAAGACAAATTTTCAAAATTTTAATTGAATAGAAAAAATTTCTAAAAAAATGAAATTTAAAGACTTGTTAAAAATAATTGATCTTTGGAATAGTTAAAGTTAAAATTTTTAGAAATAATTAAATTTCAAAAGATTTTGTTAAATTTCAGACAATAATTAAATTTTACAGAATTGAAAATAATTTATCAAATAATTTTAGATAACATTTTTTTTAAATTATTGAATTTTCAAAGATTTACAATTCAGATTTTTGAAATTAATTGAACTTCAAGTGATTTTTAATTGAAATTTTTGGTGATAAAGAATTTATTAGAAATTACAGACAAAAATTGAATTTCCAATGTTTTTAATTGAAAAATGCTTTTAAATAATTGAATTTTTGATGAATATTATAAAAAATCATTTAAGGGGGACCCTCAATTAGACGTTTAAAAAATGCATCATTTTTGGGATTTTTTTTCTCTTGTAAAATAACTTCAAACATTTTGTAATTTATAGAGTATTTTATTGCATGTCTTGACAGTGTAAAATAATTATTGAAGACTGAAAAAAAACATTTTTACTATTTAAATTTACACCGTGGCTATGGCACCTGATTTTGTCTGTGTACATTCTAGCGCTCTAAATTATTTTCTGAAACAAAAAAACCAATTTTTTTTTAACTTTAGAATAATACCTTCGATGTGACATTTCGATTTTTTTAAAAAATGTCGAAATTGATTTTTCTTACCGAGTTTTACGTTAAAAGTGATTTTTCATGCATGAAAAATTGACTTTGAAATTCCAAAAAAATATGAAAAATTTTTTTTCTCAAAAAACACTTAATGTCACATTGAAGACAATTTAATTAGCTTTAAAATGAGCTATGGTAAAGCCCGTTTGTTTCAATACAGCGTTCTCAATCGTGTACACAAAATCGAAAAATGGTGTTTCGAGAAAAACGCGTTCAAAGTTTTGAATACATAAAAATTGGATGTAAATAACCTGGCTCGTCCTGCTAAAAATTTTGTAAATCCTTCAATAATACAGATATCGATTTGAAATTTTGAAGGTATATTCTTGAATATTTGTAGAATCGATTAAAATTATTTCCAAAAAATCGATTTTTTTGACCCGATAAATGAGGTTCCCCCCTTAAAATCATTAAATTTTGGAATAATTACAGTTAAGATTTTTAAAAATAATTTAATTTTGAAAAGAATTACAATTAAGATTTTTAAAAATAATTGAATTTTGGAGTTTTTTTAAATTTAATTTTGAAAACCTTGATTAAAATTATAAAAAATAATTTATTTAGCTTAGAATTTTAGAAAACAATTTTAAAAATAATTGAATTTTGAAAATTGACAATCAAGATTTTTTAAAAATCATTAAATTTTGGAAGAGTTACAGTTGAAATTTTTAGAAATAATTAAATTTTAGAAGGTTTTAAATTGAAATTTTTGAAAATAATTGAATTCAAGTGATTTTCAAATTTTAATTTTTTTTTGTGATTTCTGTTGCTAAAGAATTTTTTAAAAATTGAACATTTCAATTTTTTAATTGAAAAATGCTTTCAAATAATTAAATTTTCGAAGAATATTATAAAAATTATTTTTAAAAAACTGAATTTCGTAAGAGTTATATCGAAAATCATTTTTTTTAAATGAATTTTATGATTTAATTTTTTTTCCTGGTGTTTTATAATTTTTCCTGACTTTTCCATGTTTTCCAGAAAGCGTAGCAACCCTGTTTAGAAAAATAAATAAATATTTTATATATAAATAATAATTTTTTGCAGATGTAAATATTTGAGTAGAGCTATAAGCGTCTATTGTTTAGCTCAAATGCCAGAATCAAAATCAGAGCAACAAGTAGTGAGATTCACACCTCATTCACCAGGTGTTGCTCCATTGAGATCAAACGATTCTGATTTAATGGAAATTCGTCCAAGCACCGATGCCGTGAAAGCAATGCAAACACTTGAAGCCCTTCTAATTAATAAACAATATCTCGAACTAAAAGGCGATATCGAACAGGCAATTAGATTAATTAGAGATTCTGCAAATTCTCTTCATAATGCCGTTGCCGTTGTTGGCACATTGACAGGTGAAATTTATAATCAAAGATATCTACACGTTTTAACAGATTAATAATATTTGCCAGGCTTTAAATCCTATTTAGGATCATCAGACTTTTTTTTTATTATTCGTATCTAGTCATCATTTTGTTATGCGATAAAAATATTTTTTAAAACAAAATATATCACACACTATTAGATATTATAAAGTATTTTGATACTTTAAAATGTTTATTTTGATAATATATATATAAATATTTACTTATTGTCAATGTTGAAAATTATTCACATATTTATTAGAAAATTGTGATAAATTGTTAAAATATTTTAATATTTGTTAATATTAAATACGACACAAGATTTAAAAAATCGATTTCTTTATATTTTGTTAAATTTTTTTAAAAGTAAAATTACATTATTATAATTCCTAAAGAAATATCTTTAGTAGACAAATAGATGTAATTATTCACCTAATTATTGAATTTCAATAATTTTCACATAAAACTAATGCACGACGATGGCTAATTGGAAAATTAATTCCTTTTTTTTATAAAATGTAAATAATTCATCAAAAATAGATTAGAATTAGTATAATGCAATGATTTTGTATGATTGCTCATTTATCTTAACAATATAATTAGATGCAAAACCTAAGAGCTCGAAAAAAAATTATTTGAACAAAAATAGGCTGTGTATAATTATTTTATAAATTGTATTATATCATGTATGAACGTTTGTTTATGTATTTATTGTCAAATATATTACATTACTGCAAAATTATTATTTCTCAATTGTCTAAAAAAAAAAAAAAGAAAATTAATTTCTAAGCACTTGTAAATCTTGACAACTACGAATTATTTCCGAAGCCTCACCAGGTGAAAAGTCAATCAACGAACATTGAAATTGATCTTGAAAAGCATTTTTAAACAAAGGAAGAACATCTTCAACTTTCACATTCATTTGCATTTCTTTACTAATGCTCGTCACACCTTTATCTTGAATTCCACATGGATCAATATGATCGAACCATGATAAATCCATATTACAATTTAATGCTAAACCATGTGTTGTTACATATCGACTTGCATGAATTCCAATGGCACAAATTTTTTTATCATCAACCCAAACACCAGTATCGGGCGATGTTTTTCCCTTAATACCAAATTCGGCGCAAAGTCGAATAATCATTTTTTCTATTTGACAAACATACCACTTGACACCGTTTTGAAAATTTTTTAAATTTATTATTGGATATGCCACTAATTGTCCAGGACCATGAAACGTTATAAGACCACCACGATTTGTTTTGAAAAATTCTGCACCCAATGATTTTAATTTATTTTCATCATCAATGGTGTAACCCTTATTTCGAATACCAACCGTATAAACGGGATTATGCTCTAACAAAAGCAGAGTATTGACGATATGACCATTTAGAGATTTATTATGATGTTGATCTGCTAATGCTTTCTGTAATCGAAGACCAGTTCCATAACTGAGGCGTTCAACCCAAAGTACTTTCACTACTCTCGATGACATTGTATATCTATATATATATATAGAGGTGATATTGAACTACTTCAATTTTTTCATTGCCACTTTCGTTAATTGAATGTTGTGCATTGAAGCTGGAATTGAATTATTTTTTATTTTTTAATCTCTGACAGTTTATATCAAATTGAAGATTTTCTCTCAATTAAAGTGAGGAAATGATAGTATCTGTAAAAAATTGATATATCAATAGAAAATAATAGTACAAAAATATTTCATTTTTCATTATCGTTAAGTCAAGAAAAAAGAACATCAAAACAAATAGAATGAAAATAAAATATATATATCAAGAATCAAATGAAAGTGAGGTTATATTGCAATATTAAGTTGAATTTATATACTGATAATTTTATTATATATTTAGAAATAAATTGTAAAAAATTTTCAAATTAATTGATTTTAAAATTTTTAAATAATAAATAATTGTAAGTTAACTTGTAATTTTTTTCACTGATCAAAATTTAACGTATATTTTATTTGTACACACAATGACAATACTAACCTTTTCAGCGAGAAGGTTGGAATACATGCAATATGATCAGCATAAGATATATGATATATATTAAACTTTATATTATTTATTTTAATTATAAAAATTAAAATAAATTATTTATATAATACAATTTTATAATTATAAAATTAATTAAAATTATTACTTAATAATTTAATATTATTATATTTATTATTACTGAATAATAACCGAAATTCTTAGAATCTTAATTATGTAATTAGCTTAAGAAGAAATAATTAATTTATTTTTTAATATATGAATGATTATACCAATTGGAAATTTTTTTTATCAGAAAATTAATTTTTTTAACTTTTTAAAAATTTAATTTAAATGAATTTAAAATTTCAGTTTCTTTGAAAAATATAAATAAAATCAAGTTTTGTATATTTTACAAGACGGTTTTCGGTTTGATAAAATAAAAAATTACTTACATTTTTCAAGAAAAAAATTAGTTTAGAAGTAATTTTCATTCTGTGAAAAATTAATTTAAAATTAAGTTTACAAAATAAAATAATAATATAATAATACAATAATAAATAATAATAATAATAAATAATAATAATAATAATACCTACAATAATAATACACTGAAAAAAAAATTTATTTGATTCAAATACCGGTGTATTTGGTTATTATCAAATAAATATTTACTTGAATCAAATATTTCTTATTTGAATCAAATATTTCAGTATTTGAAGCAAATACCATTTATTTGATTCAAATAAGAAATATTTGATTCAAGTAAATATTTATTTGATAATAACCAAATACACCGGTATTTGAATCAAATAAATTTTTTTTTCAGTGTAGAATTGTATTTTCGTAATATTTTGTTAGTTTATGGTTCTTCATGGACTACGGGGAAATATACAACAATAAAAATTATTTATTATTATAAAATAATAATTATAAAATTATAATCATAAATTATATTTTAAAAAACGGAGTGGCTATTTCGCCCGTCGCGGGCGAACTAATTCATTTCTGTTATTTCGCCCGTCGCGGGCGAAATAGATACGACTGTGTGAACTGGCTATTTCGCCCGTCGAAATGAATGTGTTTTAGAAAACGGACAAAATAAGAAAAATAGATTATTTCGCCCGTTCAAGATAAAATCGAGTATCTGGAAGACGGGCGAGTATATTATTTCGTCCGCTAAGTATAGACAGCTGTTTTTTAGATAATGAGAAAAAATAATTTTACTTTTTTTAAATATAACAAATAAGATGGATAGAAAAAAGACGTCTGAGTATAGGTCTAATATTATTTATTTATATCTTTTGGAGTATTTGGTTTAATAAAATAGAAGAAATTTAAATAAAAAAAAGTTCTTAAAAATTCTTTAAATTCTTAAAATTAATACTTAATTATTTTCTATTTTTTTTCAAAAAATTTTATTAATTAAAGTTTTGAGAATATTTGTAACATAAAATTTGTTTGTAATTATTAACTTGAAGATTTTTCAAATATTTATTTTACACGTTTTTGAGACGTGACTTTAAAGAATAATAATTATTTTATCTAAGAAATTGTATTGGAAAAAAAATTAATATATTTATAGAGGTATTAATTACTCTTATTAAATAATTAAAAAAAATTAATATTTTATAGTAATGGTAAATAAATATAATAAAAATTATAAAAAAATTAATCTAATATTAAAATTATAAATTATAATTATTAAATTTAACTAATTAAAATTACGATGTTGAAGTCGAAAACAATTAAAATTGATCGTCATCGATTTAAAAATATTAATATTTTTTCAAATAATTAATAATATTTTTTAATATTTTTTATAAATTTTTCTTTTAAAAATTGTTGACGAAAAAATTGCAAAAAATTTTTTCTTAAAAATTGAAAAAATCATTTTAAAAAATTTTTTTCATGAAAAATGAAAAAAAGAATTTTTTTAATTTTGTTTATTAAACTTTGGTAATAAAAATTGTGGATTTTAATTTTGTAATTTAAATAAGAATTCAAAAATCGACTATTTCTGAAATTTTTGTATATTTGCATCTCTAAATTCAACGAGTAAATAAAATTGAAGACAATCAAAATAAAGAATGTCATATGAACTACTTTCGATACCAAATAGATTTTCAAACAACGCACCGTCGTTTTCAATATTTAAAGAATATACTATACGGAGTATAATCTCACATTGATATATAAAACCATGATTCTGCTGAGAAAGAAATCAGAAAAACCCTTTTTTTTATCGAAACACAAAAAATTAATGAGACCATCAAATTTGTTTATCAAATATTATGATATTTAACATAAATTGCAAAATAAAAGTTAAAATAATTTTAGTTTGTAAATTGAAATTATATAAAAAGAAATATATTTCTTAACAGCTATACAGATTGAGTTAAAAAAATTGTTTTTATTAAATTAACAACAAATGTTATTAATAAAAATAGTTGAAACAGAAATTTAAATTATTTGTTAATTAATTAGACAAATATACAACATCTGTTTATACCTAGCGGGCTAAATATTGTATTTTGATTATTTCGCCCGTTTTTGTTTAAACATTTCACGGACGAAATAATATACTCGCCCGTCTTCCAGATACTCGATTTTATCTTGAACGGGCGAAATAATCTATTTTTCTTATTTTGCCCGTCTTCTAAAACACATTCATTTCGACGGGCGAAATAGCCAGTTCACACAGTCGTATCTATTTCGCCCGCGACGGGCGAAATAACAGAAATGAATTAGTTCGCCCGAGCGGGCGAAATAGAAACAGCCTTTAAAAAATTAGATTTTTAATTTTCAACCTTTTTTTTTAAAATTAAAAGCCAAATTCTAAAGATAATAAAAAAAACTATTATTCAAAAAATATTTAAAATGAAGTAAATAAAAATTTCTTTTTAATTTTTATTTTCAAAATACAAGCTATACAGCATAAAATTTGCAAAAAAAAGGGGGAATAGGGGAAATTTTGTTTGAAAAAAAGGAAAAATAGGGTAAAATCTAAATGTATATTTTCCTTAACCAAAATGCTTTAATGTTGTTTTAAATTAAACTGCCGGTGAAAATTTTGAGATCAACCATTTTCTTGATGAGTAAAAAACATCTTAAAACATAGAAAGTACAGAAACCAAAATTTTTATTCCACATTTTTTAAAAGATGATAAATTTATATAGAAAAGTGAGATTCAATGAAGAGATTTTCCTAGTACAGTAATTAATTTTTTTTTTTAATGTCATTTTCAATTTTTTATAAAAATTTGAATTACATACATCTAATTAAATAAACGCTTTTTATTTTTTAAACTTATTTTAAAATTAATTTTCCACAGAATGAAAATTACTTCTAAACTAATTTTTTTCTTGAAAAATGCAAGTAATTTTTTATTTTATCAAACCAAAAAACCGTTGAGTAAAATATACAAAACTTGATTTTATTCATATTTTTCAAAGAAACTGAAATTTTAAATATATTTAAATTAAATTAAAAAAAAAAATTTTTTAATTAATTTTCTAATAAAAAAAAATTTCCAATTTTCTTAATTCAGGTCTCGGATTGACTTTAGAAAGAGAAAGAAGTAGTTTTAGTCGATTTTCATTACAACAAAAAAGTCATATTTTATAAAAATAAGTCGAAATAGTCGCATTTATTGAAAAAAGTTGAAGAAGTCGTAGAATCCGAGGCTTGTAATTTTTTGGTTCAAATTTGGATTTTTATTTTAAAAAAGAGGGGAAAAAAGGGAAATATTCATAAAAAAAAGTGAAATTTTTTAAAATAGAAGAAAAATAGGGGAAACACTGTGAAGCCTGAAAATAGTAAAATATCAATTTTTAATTTTTATTTTCAAAATAGTATTAAAAATTTAATTTCTAATTTTTATTTTCAATACAGTATTAAAAAAATAATTTTTAATTTTTATTTTCAAAATAGTATTAAAAATTAATTTTTAACAAAAATTGGCGAGATATAATTTTTTTTTTCTCTAAAAATGAATGTTGAATTAAAATTGATTGATGATTTAAGAAAATATTATAAATGTAAATATATTTAACGTATAAACCCCACTCGTGACAAGAAATTTGGATTGTCACGGTCAGCAAGTTTCTATAAAGAAACGAACAATACAAAATAATTGCATATCCATATACATATATATATATATTTCGCGAATGTCCTAAAAATGTTATCTAGCTATACCAGGGAAAGTTTAAAACTTGAATATTAAACGATAAGTTTATTATGTGTTGGAATATATAAACCATAAAATGCAAATCTACATTATCTCTAATCTGTCACAGTTTCAGTATATTTATTATATATAGAAAAGATTTTGTTTTTTCTACACGATATTTAAAAAATTTTCCAAAGCAAAAAATTGCAATTTAGTTGATTTAATAAAAAATTATGTAAAATGAAAGATACCGTTAAAAAAAACGAAGGATATGATAAAATTATTACTTTCCGTTCAGTTTTGTCATCTGTCGCGTTAAATGTAATAATAAAAAGCTAAAATTTTCTCTTTAATTGTCAATCAGTTGTCATTTGATAAATGGTACTATAAAATACATATCATTGAAATTAATAAAATAAGGTATTATTTACTCTGAAAGTATATTATTAGTTCTGGTTAAATGTTTAGAAAAAAACCAAAACAAAATATGGTTTAAAAACCTGCTAAATTGATATATTTTTTCTCACGCAATTTTTTTTTTTTTTGTATATAAGGGTCAAAAAGTCAAGAATATATTTTAAACTGGAAACATAGAATAAATAACCCGTTACAATAACCTGAATTTAAATATAATATACAAAAAAAATCAGGATTTTAGTACTTAAAAATAATTTGTTTATAGCGTAATCAGAATTATTCTAATACTTTGTAAAGTAACAACTTTGGATTTTCACATCGAAAGTGAAAATGTAATAAAGATAATTTGAGCATTAGTTTACGAGTTAATCCCGCGTGCAGAAATTGCTCCTCTTTTTCTCTTTCACTTTTTATATTATAATATACGATATTATAAATGCATATATAATATATACAGTTTCTTGAGACTTTCCGGTCATAATATAAAATTTATATTGCCTCAAGGAAAAGTGTATATAATATATAGGTTATATTAAAAGTTCGTTTCACTTCTTTAATGAAATGCAAATAGAGGTTCTTTTTTTTTTTTAATTTCCTTTTTTTCCCTAATATTTGATCATCATTTGATTTAATAAATACCAATTATTATGCGTTTGTTTAATTATAATGAAATAAACGTACCTGAGAGAAATTTGCAGTTCATCATTTTGAAATAAATAGTGAGAGTTCTCAAGATCATTGTCGCATCTATTGTCGACTAAACCTGATTCCTAAACCTGATATTTATATTTTCTCCAAAAATATTCGTTAGTAAACTTAATTTTGAGTATCGTATGTAGTTTTTATATTGGTTATTAAAAGAAACTGCGCTATGATTGACGTAAACACATACATATATAAAAGTCTATAATCAAGATGTGGCTTGATTTTCATGCAAGATTTTAATCAGGCCCGTCCCATCGCGCGGAGCAAATATATGTGAAGAATCTGAAAATCTATTTCGAAATCAATATAGACGGGAACACTTTCCCCATTAAAAGACCATCACTATAAATATATACATTGATTTTGTATACTAGATTAAAAAATAGAATGCGATAAAAAACGAATTAAAATAGAAAGAAAAAAAGAGTAATATACTAAAACTTATTTGACTTTGAAGAAAGGACCTAAAAATTGTAGGTTATGTTTACGATAGTTTTAAATTCTTAAATAAAGAATAATTATAAACATTATAAATAAAAATTAGTTTTTACAATGTAAAATTAATTGCTATTAATTAATTAAATATCAATAATTTGTACCTGTGAGTTGATCCTCTGTGTATTTTTCATACTAATCTTGTCTTCAATAGCGCGTGTCTGTGCACTTTTTGAAGCTTTCAAATCAAGTGACGTTATTTAAAGAATTGAAAAAATTTGAAAAATGTTTAATCTTTGAAAAATAGGGTCCATATATATACATACTTAGTCATATCCCTTCTTCGATGAAACCACCATCAAATACGATCACTTTCATTGCTCTTGTAAGATCGATCGTCCGACACAAGAGCAATCATTCGCGAGAATCGCAGCGGAGCGGTGGACGTTCTTTCTTTTCTTCTCCGGTTGGAGAATCGCAGACATTCAGTCGTCGCGATATTCACTGTCGTTTATATTTCGTGAAAGTGTCGTTCGTTATTAAAATAATGTAGAATAGTCAATTTTAAGTCAATTTTTTTTTAAATATCGAAATAGAAAATTTTTAAGGTTATTAATTTGCAATGATAATTTAGTCAAATCAGCAATGATATTTCATAACGGAAATGTCAAATTTGCATTGTTCAAATTTAATTACAAAATTAATAAATAATTAATTTTTATTTTATTACGCTAGATTGATAAATTAGGAAATAATAAATAAATAATAAATGGTTACTTAAGGAAGGACATTTCCTTTCATTTAATTAGTATAAATAAAATCGGAATTGTTTACAGGTAAAATTTTAGTGATAATTTTCGAATTTGACAAAATTGGGTGATTTAGTTAATAAAGTGAAAGTTTATTGTGTCTTTTATGATAAGATCGGAGAAAAAAAAAACATGTACGAGCACCCTTAACAATTGATTGGCGCCGCACTTCGTTCTGCAATGAATCTTCGAACGGCGGAGGCTCTTGCAATCGTTCTCTTTACTTTAATAGAGATTAATTTTGCTATGATGAAAACCTTCAGGGACGATAATGCGAGTGAGTATATCAGTATATAATTTTTTTGTATTCAAATTATTTTTATATCAATTCAATATTAGATTAGATATAGTTAAACTGATTGTAAATAGTGAATTTGTTGAAACTTTGATATATAATTCAAAAATCTAAAATGATAATAACTAATAAACAATAAATAAATAGAAATAAATGAAATCTATTCAAAATTAAATAAACTTTGAAAGTAATATTAATAAATTAAAAAAGGGAGAAAAAAAGATCCCCTAAATTTGAAAATACTATTCAGCTAACTATAGATTTTTGAATTTTTTTTTGAATATGTAGTTTTGGATTAAAATAAGATCGTTATTGTAGCTTATTTATATTGTATAATATTTTATTATTGAAATATTTTGATCCCTAATTTTTAAAATTCTAGAGTTTTATATATTTTAGTAAATGAATAATAAAAATAAAGAGTTTTAATTAAAAATTGTTTTTTAATTACAATTTCATTTTTTTAACTAAACTTTAATTTTTTAAAATAATAATTCATTTTCTTAACTAAAATTTAATTTTTTAAATTAAAATTTCATTTTTTTAACTAAAATTTCATTTTTTGATTAAACTTTCATTTTTTTAAACTAAAATTTCATTTTTTAAGTTAAAATTTTATTTTTTTAACTGAAATTTAATTTTTTAAATTAAAATTTCATTTTTTGAACTAAAATTTCATTTTTTTAACTAAAATTCTATTTTTTAAATTAAAATTTCATTTTTTTTAACAAAAATTTCATTTTTTAAGTTAAAATTTAATTTTTTAAACTAAAATTTCATTTTTCAATTAACCTTTCATTTTTTAAACTAAAATTTCATTTTTTAAGTTAAAATTTTACTTTTTTAACTAAAATTTCATTTTTTAAGTTAAAATTTCATTTTTTTAACTAAAATTTAATTTTTCAATTAAACTTTCATTATTTAAGTTAAAATTTTACTTTTTTAACTAAAATTTCATTTTTTAAATTAAAATTTCATTTTTTTAACTAAAATTTCATTTTTCAATTAAACTTTCATTTTTTAAACTAAAATTTCATTTTTTAAGTTAAAATTTTACTTTTTTAACTAAAATTTCATTTTTTAAATTAAAATTCCGTTTTTTAAATTAAAATTTCATTTTTTTAAACAAAAATTTCATTTTTTTAACTAAAATTTCATTTTTCAATTAAACTTTCATTTTTTGAAATAAAATTTAATTATTTGTAAATTAAAATTTAATTTTTTTAAAAAAAATAAGAATGCGGCTGCCCAGCAATTACATTAAGAACGCCAAGATCGACAACAGGACGTCAACCAACGACAGGACGAATTTTTAATGGAAAACCCAGTAAAAAAGGATCATGGCCTTGGCAAGTGTCTTTGCAACTTCTTCATCCAAAAATGGGTTTCATAGGACACTGGTGTGGTGGAGTTTTAATTGATCAAATGTGGATTCTCACAGCAGCTCACTGTATTTCCAAGTAAAAAAAAAATAATATTCACAATTTTTTTTTTTTACAATTAGTATCGTTTTGATAAAAAAAAATCTACTTTCACAGCGAACTTTTTAACCTTCCTATTGGTGCATTATGGACAGCAGTTGTTGGCGAATGGGAATTAGACGGTGGTGGACGAGGATCTGCTCGATTACCTATTGAACGAGTCATTCTTCACGAGCGATTTAACAATTATGTTCACGATATCGGTAAGCAAACGAAAATTATTTTCATTGAAAAGAAATGCAATTCAAAAGATAAAAAAAATAAACTGTTTTACATTTAGAGAAAACAACTTTCATTGATGTTATATCAAAATTTATTCGCATATTTGAGAAATTGAGAATTAAAAATTGAAATATTGAATATGATAAAAAAAAATATTTTTGATAAGAAATTAAATTATATTAGTTATTTTATTAATAATAAATAATAATTAAAATAATATACGAAACCATACAATACAGAAAAATATTTTATTGTCGTTTATATATGAAACAAAAATATATTTGTCTCAGAGACTAATAATTTTTTATTTGTTTCAAATAAAAATTAATTTGAAATAAATAAATATTTATTTGACTCTGAGACAAATATTTATCTTTTCTCTGGATGTATATATTATGGTGAAATTGTAAATTGTTTCAGCCCTAATGAAACTAGGAAGACCGGCACCACTTTCAAAAGTCGTACGAACAATTTGCCTTCCAGAAACGGACGTTAATCTTTCTGGTGTTCATTGTGTGGCATCTGGTTGGGGACGATATGGGCCATCTCCTTCACTTTCGAATGCTCTTTTAGAGGCAACAGTTCCTTTATTAGAACCACAAGATTGTTCCGAAGCTTATGGTCAATCTGTATTGTTTAGAGATGGACACTTGTGTGCTGGTCATACAGATGGTTCATCGGGAAGTTGCGTGGTGAGTGAAATTCATAATTTCAATAATTAAACTTCTTTTTTTGTTCCATATTTAATAATTAAATTCCAGTAAATGGCAAATTTTTGGGACTAGAATAAAAAAAAAACCGTTTCGAGATTGGTACCGATCATCAGAATTTATTTATTTAAAATAATAATTACATTTCAAAGATAAGAAAAAAAGGGAAGAAAAAAAATTAAAAGAAGAAAAGAAAATATAGATCAATTATTTCTGAGTAATTAAATTTGTAAATTGATTTAAAAAATAAGTTTTTTGGATTATTATAAAATTCATAATATACATTGAAAAAAAAGTTTATTTAATTCAAATACTCAATTATTTGACTATTAACAAATAAATATTTATTTGTATTAAATAAATATTTATTAGTATCAAATAATTATTATTTGAATCAATTAAATGGAATTTATTTCAAATACAGAAATTATTGGTTCAAATACAATTTATTTAATTCAAATATAAATTATTTGGTTCAAGTTAATATTTATTTGATAATAGTCAAGTAATCGAGTGTTTGAATCAAATAATTTTTTTTCAGTATAGAACACACTGTAACAAGAAAATGTCCATTAAGACACTAAAATGTCTCCGAAATAACACATTTTTCTTTTTACAATATATATAATAAATAAATATAAATTTTATTCTTTTTCATTTTTAATTTAATAAACACTCTCAGAATAAAAATATATTTATCTCAGAGACAAATAAATATTTATTTGAAACAAATAAATTTTATTTAGTTTAATTAAACGTTATTTGATTTTAATAAAAAATTTATTTGTGCTAAATAACATTTCATTTCTGCTAAATAAATTTTTTTTATTTCAAACAAATAAAAAGTTACTAGACTCTGAGACAAATGTATTTTTATTTGATTCAAATAAATTTTATTTGTTCCAAATAAACGGAAATAAAAAATTTTTGTGTGCGGATCTAGAATAATAGAGATTTTAATTGTAGGGAGATTCCGGGGGCCCTTTGCAATGTCGACGTTCGGATGGTGCTTGGCAATTAGTTGGCGTTACATCTTTTGGTTCTGGTTGTGCGAGGCCAGGTTTTCCTGATGTTTATACAAAAATACAGTATTATCTATCCTGGATCAAAGATACTATTCAAAACGATGTCGACAGTTAAATTTAGAATATAACACACGTGTTAGTTGGAAAAAAAAATTCTATTTAATTTATAAATAATATTAAGAAACTAATTTCTACATTTATTATTTTTTTTATTGTACATAAAAATATTTTTATTTTAAATTTATTTAAAATATTTTTTTTTTGTAAATATGTAAAATTGCACAAATAATATAAAATTGTAAAAAGATAATAATTTATGTGAATTAAAAAAAATTATATTTTCGAAAAAAGTGATGTTTTTTTAATTATCCTTTTTCTAAATATTGAATTAAGTGAGCTTTTAATTAATAATCTCATCTCTATAGAAATTCATTCGAGACTACATATATATGAAAGAAACTGCTAATTGCAGCTGTATAATGTTTTTATCGTTTTATGGCAGGGAATTAATTTTAGCTTGCTCAAACTTTCACACCTGTTCGTCCAGGCGTAAAGAATTTGATCTTGATTTCTGTCGTCATTGCTATTTTTTGCAAAAAAAAAAAAAAATTGATTTTGTTTGCCCAATTTTTTTTTTATTCATACAATCAAATTTGAATAATAAATTTTTGTAAAATAATTTTGTATTTTTGTTTAAATAAAATTTTCTTCTTTTTTTTATTCATACGATAAAATTTTAAATATTAAATTTTTGTAAAATAATTTGTATTTTTGTTTAAATAAATTTTTGTATTAATAATTTGTATTTTTGTTTAAATAAGATTTAAAATTAAATTGATAATTATTGCCTGGAGTACTAAATAAAGTTTGTAATAAGTATTATATATTATATACTTCAAAAATTTTAATTATATACTTTAATGAATTCAGTTCGCCCTGGGCTGTACTTTCCAAGTTTGAAAGTAGTTAATAAACTATACTAATATATGAACTTATAAAGAAAGTCACGTATAGATGAAATCAAATGAAGAAAAAAGAATTGAATTTTTGTTGTTCCTAATTCAAAATTCATTTTATTGTAAAAAAAATCATTAAAATTCAATTTTACATAAAATTTTATTTTTGTTAATTTTCTTTTTTTTAATAAAATGAAAATTCAATTTTTATTTTATGCGTTTATAAAATTGATAGTGGGTGGTAAGGGAGAATATGCGTTTCTGACTCAGTAGCACACTTTCCTCGCGCCCATGAAAGTGAGTGTATTGCTTCTTTACAAAAGAATGAAGTACGTGCATGTGCAACACATAAATTTAAAAAAAATAAAAATAAAAGTGAGAGGGAGAGGAGAATAGTTCCGTGGAGAAAGATTTGTCAACTAGATAATCTTTTATACGCAGAAGTAAATACAAAGAGAAAAGAGGCGAAGGCATTGCTACTTTTGGCTTTGCAATTTTTTTTTTTTTATATATATATATTTTTATAAGATAAACTTTAAATACACTTTCAAACAATAAAAAAGTATGGTGACAAATTATTTCATTTCTAAATCATTTAATTGGATAAAAAAATATAAAAAAAAATAAAAACCTAGTTATACTTTGAAAAGTTGCAATAATTAATCTATAGTCGTGAATCAAGTTTCTTTCTTATCGAATAAAACGACTGCTCCTTCGACATATTATAGAAATCGAAATTAAATGCGCGCAAAACTTTCACATAATTATTCATTGTGAACATATAGTATTTATTATGCGTTAACCATTGGTTTGAAATTAAATTGTGCGTAATTGTTTTCAACATTTACAAATGAAATAATCAATATTTGATATATATTATTTTATATAATAAAAAAAATTCTAAATAATTTTTTCATTGATTTATATTCAGACAAAAATTATTACTGATTTTTAGATAAAATTCTACTTTCAGTGGAAAAATACACTGAAAAAAAATGTATTTGATTCAAATACTCGATTACTTAACTATTATCAAATAAATAATTATTTGTATCAAATATTTATTATTTGAATCAATTAAATTGTTTTCTTTTCAAATACAGAAATTATTGGTTCAAATATACAATTAATTTAATTAAATTATTTGGTTTCAAAAATTATTTGGTAAATATTTATTTGATAATAGTCAAGTAATGGAGTATTTGAATTAAATAAAAAAATTTTTTTCAGTATTTGTCTCAGGGTCAAATAAATATTCGTTTGTTTCAAATAAATTTTGAGTGAAATAAAAATTTCATTTGCGCTAAATAAAATTTTATTTGTGCTAAATAAATTTTTTTATTTAAAACAAAAAAAAGTTTTGAGATAAATATATTTTTACTTACTCCAAATAAAGTTTTGTCTCAAATAAACGCCAGTAAAATATTTCTCTATATTTGCATTTTTGAAACCTAATATTAGCATTTTTTTTTATTTTTTTTTTGTGCGAAAAATCAAAAGTATTTTCTTTTTTAAATTACAATTGTTATGAGAAGATATTTTTTTATGCGATATTTTAAAGAGGCACATTTTTCTCAAGGAAAAAAAATTCAAAAGAAACTACTTCCTGAATTCAGGACGAAAATGAAACTTTCTGGTAACTGCAATGAATGCGAAATTAGTTTTCGAATTTTTTGTACAAAAAATAAAGAATATGAAGCAAATTTAAATCTAAAGTGAATAGTCGGTGACTATTTGAAATTTTCAAAATTGAATTTTAAATTCTAAAAATTAATTTATAAAAATAAATTTTTAAAATAAACTTCTGAATTCTTTTGTTTTATTAAAATTTGTTTTTAAAAAAAGAAAACAATTTGCATCGAAATGTCAGAAATGTGTCCTTATTTTTTTTTATCTTCAAAATGCAATTTAACGTCATTTGTGTGACGATAGTTTCTTCAGAATTCTCTTTATTTCACAAAAGAAATTTTTATTTTGTTTGAAAACTAAAAAGAGACAAAAAAAATAAATATATAACCCTTTGCAAAAAAAGGGGCAAATAATTTTTAAATGAGCGCAAGCAAGAAGCAAAAAGTATGTTTACAAAACAAGAACAATTTACAAAAGAAGAAACTTGATTATTCACGATTTTTAACATTGGAAACACTTCCACCAGAACTTTTAGAAATGATAATGCGTTTTTTGCCACTACACGATGTATCTTCTATTATTCGTTTAGTTTCTAGGTATAATTTTTTTTATTTTATATTTAAAAAAAAAATGGAAATATTTTTCAAATATTTATCGATTGAAATCACTTATACTTTTTAAAATAATAATAATAATTTAAGTGAAAGTCTTGATAGATTATAATCTCGTCCTGCTTTCCAGGAGATTTTCAACAGTGGCATCAACAGTTTTAAATAGTGCTTTTCTAGCCGCTGGTATTCGATTGGAAGAAATGATGAATTATCTCGAATCAACGATATGGTTTAAAATCACCACAGAAACAGATCTTATGGCAATTAGTAAGGCATTCAATGTTTTTGAATTGATAAGAGCCCAATATAAAATGTTAAAAGCTGTCACATGGAGATATACACATCCACCAAGAAAAGAAAAATTTTCCCGCCTCTGCTTTTATGCTGGATCATTATTAGATGATTTAAATAAAATAATTAATATTGCAAAATTAAATCCCTCATCATTAGCAAATGCACATGGTCCAGACGCGAGTATTACTTCATTTATTGCACTTTGTAAAAGATTCATGAATTTTTTCGAAAAAGTCTCTGAGCGTAAAATTAACAGGTGAAAAAAAAAAATTAATTCCCAGTTATAATTTTTCGGAGGAAAAAAAAGTTTTTGAAAATTAATTTTTATTAGATCTGCATTGATATCGGGATGTAAGACAGTTGATGTTTTGGATTGTTTAGCAGAAGGTCGAGAGGTTAGAGATAATAAAAAAAAAAATTAAAATTTTTAACGAAAAAGTAATTTTTGAAATTGATTTTTTAAGCGAAATATATAAAAAAAAATTTGATAGGTATTATCTTTTCGAGTATCCTCGGGTCGTGGAAACAGAAGTAATATTGTCACAATGAAATTGAAATATGTAATGAAGAGAGCATGGTTCACGTGTTTAGAAATACCGAGTGCTGCCGATGAAAATTCATGGCGTGATGAACAACGTTTTATGTATTTACGATTACGACGTCTTGTAGGAAGTGTGAATGAACATCATTTTGAAAAATGTCACTATGATCGTGAATTGATGCTTCAAGTACCGTCAATGCCATCTCCGAGACCTCCACCAGCGTCAACGTATTCCGGTTACGGAGAATATGGCGGTCAATTTTTCTATTACGGTAAATAATTGCATAATCAGGGTTGCCACAAAATTTTTATTATAATTTTCCCTAATTTCCAAAACAATATTTTGTTTTTCCTTAACATTTTCAAAAATGTTTAATATTGTTCTGTTAATGTTATTAAGTGAATATTCTGTTAAATGAAATCAGATTAAATTAGATTAACAATTATGTTAATTAAAAATTCTCTATTATGAAAATTTTTCAGAATATAAATTCTGGTAAATAGAAATTAAAGTAAAAATTCGGTCAACTAGAAAATCTGTTTTATAAAAGTTCGACTAAATAAAAATTCCAAAATTTATGAATTCGGTTAAATAAAAATTCTTAAATATGAAAATTCAATTGAATATAAATCAAATTTTACAAAATTTTAATTACAATTCCTTTAATTCAATAAGTAAAAATTAGTGAACTCTGTGTCAATATTTTTTGAAAAGCAAAAATTATTAATTTAAAAATTTTTTAAACCTCAATTATTGTTAAAATTTATAAAAAAAAATCTTCAGCAATTTAAGTATGAAAAAAATCCAATTTCAAATCTTCTAAAATACAATTAATTTTGAAAATCTTCAGAAAAACTATTTAAAAATGTAAATATTTATAAATTTTTATTTAAAATTCTTCACCAAATCAATAATTTTTAATAATTTTAATACATAGTTTTTCAAAAATTTAATTATAAAAGTTGAAAGGATAAATTTTCTAAAATTTAATTATCGTTTGAAATTTGTATTTAAAAAAAATTCAGGTGTATGAATTTACCAAAAATTTCAATTTAAAATCGCAAGAAATTTAATGATTAATTATTAATCAATTATTAATTTAATTATTATTAAAATTTTTGACTGCAGCTCTTCGAGATATCCATTATTTCTAAATATCGAAATTAAATTAAAAAAAAAAATTTGCACTAAAAACTTTTTCATACTTTTAAATATTTTTCAAATTTTCAATGGAAAATTTTTTAAGTGTAAAACGAAAATGTAGCACTAAGAAAAATATATATTGTTTAATTCTACTATTAAAATGACAATAATTTTTTTTAAATTATAAAAAATTTTTGTTTTAAATGTGTATTTTTATGCTGCAATAATTTGAAAATTTTGAAGATTAAAAATTTGTTCTACCTAATTTTAGATCAGAAATTACTAATTATTTTGGAAAATAAAGAATTTTTAAAGCATTTCTACACTGAAAAAAAATTTTATTTCATTCAAATACTCGATTACTTGACTATTTTCAAATAAATACTTATTTTTATCAAATAATTATTATTTGAATGGGATTTATTTCATATACAAAAATTATTGGTTCAAATACAATTTATTTAATTCAAATAATTATTTGATACAAATAAATATTTATTTGATAATAGTCAAGTAATCAAGTATTTGAATCAAATAAATTTTTTTTTCAGTGTAGTACTTTTTATTTAAAAATTTGTATTTTTTAATCAATCAATTATAAAATTTGTTTTCACAACTTCTTAGTTTTTCATTTTTTTAAGAAACGGTTTGCTTTGAAGTAGGTGCTAGGTTTGCATCATTTTTCCATCACATTTTTTTTAAATCCCCTTCCATTTCCCTGACTTGCGGCAACCCTGATAATTTGAAATCAAAACAAAAAATGTATCAAAAAAATAATTTCTAAATTTTTTTCCCCTTTTTAATATATAGGAAATATGAATAAATATGCCTATGAGAATAAATTTAAATACGTGAACGAAGGAAATGAAATGGAAGACGAGGAAACCGTACAGGAAGTTAATCGAGGACCATGTTTTGATTTAGTAATTATTGTGGAATTACGATGTTCACCAGAATTAGCACCATTGGCTGTAAGAACAATTCTTAAATCAGATGACATAGAAAATATATCCAATGGAAATAGTCAAAATCCCGAATTATATTTAAAATTACACGTGACTTGTCCTGCATCTGTATCAAATAGACTACCAGGTACTTTTGTCTGGGAGCTTAGAAGTCCACGTTGAGAAATTCTTGATGAAGCATAATAAGAATTTATTTGTACATTTTTTAAACAATTTATTTTAAATGTTTAATAATTATTTGTTAAGAGCGTATATACTTTTTTTTATCGAAATACATAAAGTATTTCGCGATTATTTTTAATTTAAGAGTGCAAAAAAAAAAATTGATGGAAAAAAAAATTACCTTATATTACTCCAAAAGTTGCTCCAGGAAAAAAATGAGATGAAATTGAATGTAGCTAATAAAATTTGCATAACTGAAATGAGTACTGAAATTTTATTTACACAATCTTATTTAAAGAAAATCCAATTTATTGCAATGCAGCAGCTTCTAGCTTAACATCGTCATGTGATTCTGATTTTGATTTCCATTTCAAACTTGTATGATTCCATGTTTTAGCTCTGTTTTCTAATATTCCATATGCAAAATGATTTATCATCACACCCCTTGGTATCGCAACGCCTTGAAAACGATATAAATTTTTGCTATCTTCTTGTGATTTTAATTTATGAATAGCAGTAACTGAACAGCGACCTATTATTCCAGTGTTTCCCACCATTGGACCTTTACTAATATCAATATGATCACCTATTCGATAGAGTGTTATCATATTATCATTTTTATCGGCAATATTTGGTATTTGTTTAAATTTAAATGGATTATCTTGAAAAATATCCAATGCCACATTTGGTGATACTTTTAATCTTTCGCAAATCCATTGATTTTCAGAAACTTTTTTAAATAATGCAGACATTGCTAATAATTCAGCTTGCGTTGGTATCCATTCAGGTAGATTTATATGAACATCGTAAGTGAAATTTCCACTTTGTATAATTGGATATAAAAAACTATGTAAATGCAATTCAATTTTATCTTTAAAAGCAGAATTTGCCACATAACCAAGAACAAGTGAACAAGTTCGCCAAAATGCATTGTTCACTTCTTTTGTTTCAGGTGTGGTCATTGTTAAAATTTTTAATTCACAATCATTGATTAAAGGTTCATTCATGTCCCATGGCTTACCATCAACTAATGCCAATGCTGCAACTTTTGATACACTTGATGATATATGTTTTGTACAATCGTATGGTGTTGAAATATTTTTGTTCATCACTAATGTTGCCTCCGCCTGTGGTGATAAATATTTCACTTCTATTTTTTCGATACGTCCAATTGCGGCTCTTTGTTTCTTTTTCTCATCATTGAAGAGTACATTTCTTCTTTGTATAATTTCTGATTTTGATAATGAACTTATACACTTTGTATTTAATTGTGGCTGTGATCGAAAAGTAGCAAGACACAGAGACTTGCACCTAAAAATAAATGTTTACATTAGAATTATGTTTTTCTTTATTTTTAATTTTTATGTTTTTTTTTACATTGCAGGCCTTGGATCGACTTTAAGGCGCAAAAAAATTGATTTACATTTTTATTTTACAAAATTTTTATTAGATATAATTATTTTTCACACGAATTTTCATTTTTCGAATTAGCATTTGATAGAATTTTTTTAAACGATTTTTTGACAGAATTTCTTTTCTTATTTATAAAAATTACAATTAAGCCGAATTTAAATTTAGCAAAATTCTCATTCAACCGAATTTTATGTGATTCGAATTTTTTTGTGCCAGAATTTCAAATTCCCCAAATCTTCATTTGTTCGAATTTTTATTTTTCGTATTATTATTAAAACGCCTAATTTTTATTTGTACTTTGCAAATGAACAAAAAAACAATCGACAGAAAGATTTCGACTCGAATTTAAAAATTTACGAATCATAATTTTCTTGATAATTTCTGATTCGAAAATTTTAAAATTAACATATTTCTTTTTTGTCGATAGTTTTTTTTTTTTAGAAAATTTGGAATTTTTGACAAATAAAAATTAGACGTTTTACGAATTCTAATAAATAACAAGTTGTGTAAATAAAAATTCGAAGAATTGAAAATTCTAGCAATGAAAACTCGTTAAATTCATTTTATTAATTCCTCAATTTTAAATAAATAGGACAAATTTCTAAAAAAAAATTTTGACAACAATTCAATTTTAGAGTTTTTATTTGAAACTTTATTAAATAATTGAACTTTGGAAGAGTTTTATAGTTTAAATTTTTAGAAATAATTAAATTTCAAAAAATTTTGTTAAATTTCAGACAATAATTAAATTTTACAGAATTGAAAATAATTTATTAAATAATTTTAGATAACCAAAAGTAATTGTATTTCTAAAGATTTACAATTCAAAGTTTTGAATTGAACTTCAAGTGATTATTAATTGAAATTTTTCATGATTTCTGTTGATGAAGAATTTATTAGAAATTAAAGATAAAAATTGAATATCAAAAGTTTTTAATTGAAAAATGCTTTCAAATAATTGAATTTTTGAAAAATATTATAAAAAATCATTTAAAATCATTAAATTTTGAAAAAGTTACAGTTGACATTTTTAGAAATAATTAAATTTTAGAAGGTTTTAAAATGAAATTTTTGGTAATTTTATTTTATTATTTTTTTTTTTGAATTGTAAACAATAGTTTAATTTCATACAATTTTGAATTGAAAAATAATTTAAGATCATTGAATTTATGAAGAATTTCATTAAAATTATTAAAAATAATTAATTTAGAGAAAAATTTGTTAAATAATTGAAATAAAGATTTTAAGATCTGCATTGTATACTAAAAGAAGACATATTTTGTTTAAAAATTTTGTAAAAAAATGTAAAAAAAGTCAAAAAAGTCAGAAAAAGTCGTATAATCCGAGGCTTGCAATCGTTATTTTGTTATTAAGTGTTTTTTTTTCTAAATCGTTGATTATAAATGTTGTTAACTTCACCGACGTTATAAATTTCCCAATTATTAAAATTTACTAATATATGTTTTTTACTACATTAACAAGTTTACTTTTTATAAAATTAGATTTATTAATTTAAAAATCATTCATTTTGTAACAAATAATTTGTTTATTTATATATATATTAATAAAAACACTCCTCACCCTTGAAACATTGTGGCCTATTTGAGGTTATGAACAACCTTACATATATCAATATTATTAATTAGAATACACTTATCATTATAATATTTCAAATAAATTTTCACTTTCACGTATCACTATTTAAATTGGTTTAATACGTATCATAACATGTAGTTTATATCGTTTTTTAGTTATAAAAAAATACAAAAGCCACAAAAACAAAATGTGGAGGAGGAACTTCGCTCTCTTAATCGATTAATCGAATATTCGATTGTGCAGTATGCGGGAATGTTTAATTCGTAAATTATTTTGTTATTTTGTTAAAATATTTACTAAAATATGGATTAATTAGAAACTTTAAGAATGAAATAAGTAAAATTTTACTTTAAATTTCGATTTAAATGTCAATTGTTTATAAATTCTAAGGAGAGATAAATAATTAACCTGTCAGGTATATCGGTATGAATCTTATATGACTTGAATGTATCAGTATTTCATCATGTCACATGCGTTACAATTCTTCGTAATTAGTGTAATTAGTTAAATATTATAATTAGACAAGTGAAATAGCAGTTAAAAAGTGGTTGATCGTTTAATTCTTTTTTTCGTAAAAGTAAAATTTGTTATTTAGAAAAGTAACTATAGAAAACAGAAAAGTTTGCAAAGTTACATCATAACATAACCTATATGTTAAGGCCAATATTGTTTTTTGTTGACAAATTTTCTAAATAGGTATACGTATAAATGGTATAAATAAAAGTTGCTTAAATTTTAGATAATAAATAACAATTTTATTTTATACCTTTTATTTGAATCTTAATTTCTGATTAGTAAAAATATTTAATATAAGTAGTATAATTAAAATTATTCTTTGCAGATTTAAAAATCAATTGCAGATGAGAGTTTTTATTTTTAATACTAATTCTTTGAAACATGTTACTATTTTGTCCCAACTGTTCAAATAGAATACGTATTGAAAGTTCGGACCGTCTTCGTTTTGCTTGTAACTCTTGTCCATATATATTCAACGTTTCAAGAAAAATAAGCAATAGAACGTATCCGAAATTAAAGGAAGTTGATGACGTTTTAGGAGGAAGTGCTGCTTGGGAAAACGTTGATTCTACCGAAGAACGTTGTCCAAAGTGTTTTCATCCACGTGCATATTTTATGCAAATACAAACACGTTCTGCTGACGAACCAATGACTACATTTTATAAATGTTGCAATCCACAATGTGGACACAATTGGCGCGAGTAAAGGTTTGTATTCTAATTTTTCGAAAGTTTAAAAAAAAAAAAGATTATTATTTATTTAAATAAGATTTTATTGTTATAGAATTTACCGTTGTCATTGCAATATAATATTAAAAGAACAATGATGAATCCAGATTACATTGGTCCGTTCAAGGACAATCAGTTGGCGGCCGTAAAACAATTAAAAACCACAAATGACAAACATTGGTTTTGCGGTGGTGATAGAAGTGTTGCGATTGCAGTTCAATTAATTAGAACTTTGAAAATTTTAGCTGTACCAACAGACACTATTTATGGTTTAACAGGTCTTGCTCAAAATTCTTTCACTGTTCAAAAGCTTTACGAGATAAAACACCGAGATGAAAATAAACCCCTCGCTATTTGCTTGAGTGATATTTCGGAAATAAGTAAATGGGGTGATATCTCACATTTACCATTTGAACTTTTAGAAAAACTTTTACCCGGTCCCGTAACTATTGTTGTAAAACGAACTGAAAAATTGAATCCCGAATTAAATCCCGGTACATCGACAGTTGGTATACGAATACCGGAATCACGATTTTTACGAAATGTCGTTAAATACGTTGGTGAACCATTAGCGTTAACAAGTGCAAATGAAAGTAATTGTCCAAGTACAATACATCCAGATGAATTTAAAAGTTTATGGCCAAGTTTAGATGGAATTTTTTATGATAATATTAATATGAGAGAAGATCGAAGAAGACTTGGATCGACAATAATTGACTTGACTGAACCTGGATATTATAAACTTATTCGACCAGGTGCGGCTTGTTTTAAAACAACTCAATATTTAATAGAGTTTGGTTTCGTGAGAAAGAAAGAAAAGAAAATTAATAAGAAAAAAATACAAGTTGCTGCTTGATAAATTTTGTTATGAGAATATAAATATAATAAAACATTTTAAAATAGTATTTTTTAGATTATTTTTATTGGATATGTTGAAAATTACATATTTGAAGAATTCTACCTTAAATAGCCTACATACTTAAATACAGTGAAACGTATTATTTCATACATTATAATATAATACAATCTAAGGTCACTTAGAATTTATGTTTTATCACGTATAAATATTCAAACATGTGCGAGTGACATGTTTACATAATAATATTTTTTTTTAATAGTTTAAAGTTTTATATTTTACAAATATTCTGTTCCTTTATACAATGTTATTAAAAATTAAGCCACAGAAATTCTCACCTTATGCAACAAATACGCAATTAAATATTTATTGAAATAAACATTTTTTTTTATATTTCAGTTTATAATAAGTGAAAGAATAAAAAGTGAGTATACTAGTGCCGGTGTTTTATATATATATATACTAAATATTGTCTTCTTGACAAGATGGGTATCACATTAAATCTTGTAAAATATCATCAAAGTCTTATAAATCTATTTATTGCTTAAAATTAAATTAAAAACGCATTTAATTAATCTTGATTCTGGAACAAAGTGCAGTCGATAATGAAAAATACATTATTTTTTAAAATGATTTTTAATAGACAGACTTAATATATAAATTTTCAAACTATATATATAAAAGTGTTCATTGCTTAATAAATAATTATTTGAAAATAGCGATAATGCCCAAAAATTTAGATAAATCAAACATGATTTATTGAGACTTTTTCATCATAATAATTATTTGGAAATAGAATAAAATTAAAAATACTAGTTTCATAAATAATACCATTAAAAATTGTGTATAAAATTTTGTTTTTCATAAAAGCATATGATATCGTGAAACTTATAAAAAAGACAGGACATTTTTTTTTATTATTAGTGCCCTTAGATGACTAAATAATTTTTCGTATAAATTACTATTAAAATAGCTAAGTTATCGTTAATGATTTCTTTGATATACACAAATGACACTAAAAATTTTTTTTTTTTTCGCAAAGAAATGCGTTTAGCAAAATTTTTACACTCACAATTCGTTAAAAAATATAATTTACTCATTATTGCTTATTTGTCAAATATACTATCTTTTATTCGCTTATTTATTTATATATATATTATAAAAATCAGTCTAGTCTTCTTTTACGGAAAACATTCCCAAGTTATTATTTTTTTTAGAATCATGTTTAAAAATTCCAATGACACTGCTTCGTAACCTTGCGTAAATTTCTTTTCTCACAGTTGCTGTAAATTTTGTCGTTAAACAACCAATGGTGGCAATTGCAAATATCAAATTATAAAATAAGACCAATTTGAAATTTCCCAACCATTCAATACTTCCAAAATCACCCAATAAGTCAAAATTTGTCATACCTGAAAAATTAATAGATAATAAAATAATGTAAAATAATAAATAAAATTAAATATAGGCTTCATAGTGATCCAAAAAAAATATTTTAGAGGAAATAGGGGACTGAAAATTTTAAAATAGGGGACTTTTTAGGGTACAATGAAAATTACATAAGTAAAGATAAAGGGATAATTTATAGGCTAAAACACAAATTTAGTACAGCTTTGAGGTATTTTTGTTTTGCAAAAACATATTTCATAATTTTTCATTCACAAATTAGTGAAACAGAGGTTTCTCAATTTAATTAATATCATTATCACTTTCTTTTGTTAACTCTTAGAGGCAATTATTTGAAGAATCGCTTTGTTAATAGAATTTTAATTTTCAATTTAATTTATATTTAACTTAAAATATTTGATATAGAAAAAGTTTTTATTAAATTTAATCCATTTCCTGAATCAAAAGTTTCAGAAACATATTCTGTATATAAAATTCTATTTTTGATTAAAAATCTACTCCAAATATCTTATAAAATCATTTTTAATAATTTTTTTAAAATTAGTTCATAACGACATTAATCGAAATATAGGGAAATAATTATCTACATCAAATATTTTAAGTATTTATCAAATTTTATAAAACATTTTAATACAAAATCTATCAAATAAGTCGTATTAGTTAATTTACATCGAAAAAAAGTTGATTTTTTATTTTTAATAAATTTAATTTGTTAAAAGTATTTTATTATTGAAAATTAAAATGAATTCTTACTTAATTCTTAACAAAAATGTTTCATAGAAATATTTTCAAAAATTTTTTATTTAGAGATACCATTTTAAAATTGAATTAAGACAAATTTTCAAGATTTAAATTTAATAAGACAAATTGTAAACATTTAGTTAGATTTATTGAAAAAAAATTAAGTCTTATTTATAAAAATTATTCGAATTTAGAATTTCGACAAATATTTTAAATAGTAATGGGATTTTAGAAAAATTTAAATTAAGAAATGTTTTAAACAATTGAATTTTTGAAAAACTAGATTAGTTTTTAGAAATAATTAATTCAACAAAGAATTTAAGTTGAAAATAATTGAAATTATTCTAAATTTAAATTAATGAAACTTATTAACAAAATTTTAAATAATAATTGGGCGCGGTATCAGTTCTACCAAATTTAGTTCTATACGGGGCAACTCGATACGTTAAACTTAGCACATTTCAACTCTACACAGTGAGATTAAATTTTAAATCTCACTGTGTAGAGTTGAAATGTGCTAAGTTTAACGTATCGAGTTGCCCCGTATAGAACTAAATTTGGTAGAACTGATACCGCGCCTAATAATTGAATTTTAGAGAAGTTTGATTTGAAAAAAATGTTTTAAATAATTTAATTATTGAAAAAAATTGATAAAAGTTATTAAAATAATTAATTTACAAAAGAGTTTTAAAAACAAATTTTAGAAATAATTGAATTTCATGAGATTCTTAATTAAAATTATCGAAAATTTGAATTGCAGAAGATTTTTTTTTATAAGCTTCAGACAATAATTGAATTTTAGACAATTTTTAAATTGAAAAAATGATTTCAATAGTTGAAATTTTTTGTTGAGATTATTGTAAATTAAAGTTTATGAAATTAACGAAATTTTAAACAATAATTGAATTTTAGAGAATTAAAATTTTTTTTAAATAATGTCATTTTCAAAGTAATTTCAAATTTATTTTCTAAATAATTAATTTTGTGAAGTATATTTTATTTTTTTGAATAATTCAAATTTGCAAAACTGTTTATATTTTATACTAAAAAAAAGTCGTATTTATCTAAAAAATGTTTTTAAAAATTGAAGAATTCACATTTTATTAAAATAAGTCGAAATTAGTCGCATTCATGGAAAAAAATCGATAAGAGTCGTGCAATTTGAGGCTTGCAAAATGTTATTTGATAGAAATTTTATGAAAACTTTTTCATAAGTATTAAATTTTCCTTCGGATAGGCTTTAATGGATTTTGAATACAGATTCTTTGATTACATGTGTTTGATAAATAATTTTTCTGTCCAAACATTTTTTATAAATTCATTAAATTTTGGTAGAAAATAAATATTTTTAAAAAGTATTCTCATAAAAATGAAAGATTTAAATACTAATTTTTTGTGAAAATAGGGAAAATTTTTCAAATAGAGTACTTTTAGGGACAAATATAAAAAAAGGGGACGACTATGAAGCCTGTAAATAGAAAATAAAGTAATTATTTTTTATGTTTAAAGAAATAAAATCTTACCTATTATTCTCGAAAGAAGAGGTAATGCAGAGCTGAGGACAATCAGTAGAACGCAATTGGCTATAAGATGCGTGAGTGGAGTTGAATAATGTCGAGGACGTACCCTTTTGATACCGGGAAGTGAATATAATCCAATGGCACTGGTAGCGGCCAAATATAAAATTACAATTACCTCAATTGCCGCTCCAATGGGGCCAAGTTTCGAAAGTGAACTTATACCCAGTGTGAATTGCTAAAACGTAAAGAATAAAAAATTAATCAACAATCAAATTTAAGGAAAATAAAAAAATAAAAAATGTCTACAAACCCTAGTGCTTAGCGGTAATGCTTTGATTCCAATGAGCAATTGTAATGTATTTTGAACAGCGAGTAATGCCGTTGTTGTCGAAAGAATAAGTAAAGCTAACATAGCTAATGGATAAACGAGAGTCCTTCGAACCCACCATGTTCTTCTCTCTGTGTCAAGAATTTTTCTACGATTCTGTATATCTTTTAATCTTTGGGTGAGACCTTTTTGTAGAGCACCATTGCGGAGACTCATGAGACCTGGATTTGGACAAAGAAGTTCTTCGTCGTCATGAGCTAATACATCACACTCGGGAGGTGACATTGGTACTGGAGAAACATATGATTTTCCAGTTGCTTTAGCTTGTTCCAGTCTGTAATTTGTTAAAAAGAAAAATAAACATTTGTAAAATATCTTCGAAAAAATTTTTTTTTTTTAATTTTTCAGGGTTGTCACAAAATTTCCCTGCCTTCGAGGCAATATTTTGTATTTTTCCCTTACATTTTCGAATTTTGTTCTTTTTTATCAAATGTAAATTCTATAAAAACAAATTGTAATAAATGAAAATTATATTAAACATTGTATAAAGAACAATTCAAATTCTTTTTAAAAATTCAATTATTTTCAAAACTTTCAATCAAATTTTACAAAATTTCAAATGATCATAATTCTTTTAATCAATGAGTCAAAATTAGTGATCTATGTCAATATTTTTTGAAAAGTAGAATTTTTTTTCATGAAATTTACGTTTTTCTATTCAAAACAGTAAATCAAAATAACACAAGTTACAGAAATATTGACTCCAATATATTCAAAAATCCAATTATTTTCAAAAATATAATTAAAATTAATATTATTTAAAAAACATAATTGTTTTATAATTTTGAATAGATTCTTCAATAATTTAATTATTTTTGATATTTTTAGTTTAAAATCTTTTAAAAATAGAAAAAGTGAAAAAATTAAATTGTAACTCTTTCAATATTGATTTATTTCTATTAAATCCATATAATTATATTATTTATAAAAAAAGTTAACTAAAACTCTGAAAATTTTATCATTTTTAAAAATTTTAATAAACTTCTTCAATAATTTAAATATTTAAGCAATTACCAAATTAAAATTAATGCTTTGAACAAATTAATTTAAATTAATTTTATTTTATTTTATTATTAAAAACTTGGATTTCAGCTGTTCGATATATCAATTATTTTTAATTATAGAAATGAAATTTTTATAAAAAATTGCACCAATAAAGTTTTTAATACTTTTAAATATTTTCCAAATTTTCAATTGAAAATCTTTTAAAATTTAATAATTAACAAAAAATTTAATTGCTAAACTTTGAAAATTTAATTAAATAAAAAATGTTAACAAATTGAATTATTTTGATACATTTTCAAAAATTTGTACGTATTTGTGTGCTAAAAATTGAATTTATTTAATTGAATAATGGAATTTTAATTTAATTGAATTTGTTATTAGAAATCAGAAATTTAGTAAGGTAATTGTATGAATTTGAATGAATTTTAACGATGGAAAATTTTTCTACATCACATTTAATTCTTTGGATTTGAATTTTTCCTCTTAATTTTGAATTTTAACCATTTATCTTAAACTGAGATTTTTATTTAAATAGTATTTTAAAATATAAATATTATTTTATAAAATTTTAATAATTCAATGTTTTCTTTTTAAATTCAAAGTGATCTAATCGTTTTTAAAATAAAAAAAAATAATGTCAAGGAGCTTATAATGGCAAATCTAGGTTTACAACATTTTTCCAGCACATTTTTTTTAATTTCCTAACCTTCCTGACTTGTGGCAACTTTGTTTTTATAAAATTTTTTTTTTATCTATTTTTTTACTTACCTTCTTTTTAAACAGTCTTCTTCTAATCTGAAGGCAAAAAATTCCTCGTCAAGATTTTTTAAAAACTGCGGTTTGACTAGGAAAGAACCAACGACACCAAAGAGTCGAACAAATCCAACTGGTGTACACACTGAAAAAAATATTAATTTCAAATGAATTTATATAATATTTAATTATATTTAATTTCTTTTGTATTGTATTACTTACGTAATAACATGACTACTCCAACGAAAGAAACACATGAATATAAAAATGGTAAGTAATAAGACCATAAATCTGAAAACAAAATTAACAAATTATTTTAAATAACGAACAAATATATAAATAACAGGCTTCACAGCATAAAATTTGCTGAAAAAAGGGGAATAGGGGAAATTTTGTTTGAAAAAAGAGGAAAAATAGGGTAAAATCTAAATGTATATTTTCCTTAACCAAAATGCTTTAAAGTTGTTTTAAATTAAACTAGTATATTAATTAATTTTTTTTAATGTTTTATAAAAATTTAAATTGCATACATCTAATAAATAAACGCTTTTTATTTTTTAAACTTATTTTAAAATTAATTTTCCACAGAATGAAAATTACTTCTAAACTAATTTTTTTTCTTGAAAAATGCAAGTAATTTTTTATTTTATCAAACCAAAAGCCGTCTAGTAAAATATAGAAAACTTGATTTTATTAATATTTTTCAAAAAAACTGAAATTTTAATTTTATTTAAATTAAATTTTTAAAAAAATTTAAAAATTAATTTTCTGATAAAAAAAAATTTCCAATTTTCCTAATTTAGGCCTCGGATTGACTTTGGAAAGAGAAATAAATAGTTTTAGTCGATTTTCATTACAACAAAAAAGTTACATTTTATAAAAAATGGGAATTTTTTTTAAATAGAGAAAAAGTAGGGGGAAACACTGTGAAGCCTGAAATGTAAAAAATTTGTTTTTCAAAATACATACTGAGCAATGTGTGAAGATTTGATTTTTGGTAGTCAATTAGGGACGACATGACGTAAGTCATTCCCAACACCAACATTCCAAGTAGACATAAAACTGTCAATGTTTCATAAACTCGTGACATAATTCCCTAAAACAAGAAGTTGAATTATTGCCTTAATTTTTTTTCAATAAAAAATATAAATTACAGAAGAGAATCTAATTATATATTAATATAAATTACCTTTTTGAATCCAACGAAACCTTCCGATTCTGTGAAAAGATAGGCAAAAGGGAGGAAAACAAAAAGGGAAAGGTTGGAAAACAAAAACACATGATTCCATAATCCTGAAAAGAGAAAAAGAAAAAAATTACCATTATAAAAATAAATTGCATAGAAAAAACAGAAATTTGTAAAACTTTCTTAGTCATTACCTTGAATAAGAGAGCTGTTAAGCCACTTGACATAGTAGCTATTGGGGTAAAGAATGAGAACCTCATTGCTTGCAATGGAGAGAGGCAGCAATAATGTTGCTCCGATTGACACTGCTAAAGAGAAAGAGCAAAGCCAGAGGCTAATCCTATAGACCAGCGCTTCATCTTCATCAACTGAGAGATAGTCTTCTCTATCATTTTTCCTGAATCTTGCAATCAACGCATAGCTCGAGATGTACAACAAGAGAAAGAGGAGTAGAAATATCTGTAAATATAGATTTCTTCAGCAACTATGCATATACATATTAAATTCCTTTCAGTGCAATGACATTCTCAAAGAGTGGCAATTTTTCTCAAATATTTTCAAATACACGTTTAAATTAGAATATTTCAAACTTTTTTTATTTAATATTTTTTTTTCAACATTGATAACTTTTGTCAATAAAATTGATAACCATATTATCAATGTGAAGAAAAAAGTGCAAGAAATTGTTTGTACTTCAAATACTGATACGTATATTAAAAAAAAAAAGTACAAAGGTTATTAATTCAATTTCTTTATTCTCTATAGAATATATTTTTAGTTAATCTTTTTTTCAAATCAGATTTATTTCAAAGAATTAAAAATAATAAATATTATTGAAATCCGTGAATAATATCCTATTTTTAAATTATACGCGAAAATATAATTTAAATAAAGAAAATATTTGTGAAATTTTAGAAGAAAAAAAAAATATTTATTTCCGTAAACAATAAATATAACAAATATAACCGAAGTTTTGATCAACAGCTGGCTTCTATAATGTAATCCGCACTTGTTGGGATTTAATAAGATCTATTGTATGTAACCAACTGTTTTTAGCAGATTATACATAACAGTGTAAAAAAAAATTGTCAAGTGAATTTAAATATGTGCTCAAAACTGTATATTTAATAGAAAATTCTAGTTAGAAATTTTCAAGATGTACTAGAAAGTACATAGAGAAAGCAAAGTATAAGAATATAAATTTTTTTTTTTTTGTTGAAAATATTGATAATTGAAAAATAAATTAAAATTTTAATCAATTCAAATTCCTGTAGATAGAAAATTAATTATAAACTTAAGAAATTACTTTTTTAAAAAAAATTTGAATTTGTTTTTAAAATAATAAAGAACATTAACTCTTGAATAATAATAGTGTGACCAAGCCCATTTGTAGTGGAAAACAATAGCTATAGCAAATTACATTGTGATTGGAATGCAGTAATCTATTCTTCTAACACAATCAAAGTAATCCTTTTTTACGTATAGAGAATCGTACGCATGAAACGGATTCGTCTTTGCAATTTAGATGTCGAGGTCAGCAATCAAAAACTTGAAAGATAACGGTGCTTTTTAGAAATAGATTCTATATATTAATAATATTTTTTATTAAGTCTTAGTACCCATTGACTATATAATCAAAGTTTAAAATTGATTATTAAGAAAGGTTAAATTACGAGACACTTTTTACAAACAATTTTAAATATCTATAAATTTAAAAAAATTAAATAAACAACCTAAATAAATTTGTATATGAAATTTAATATTAAAATTAAATTTGTACTAATTAAAATTATTACAAAGTGACAGTTAAAACAAATTTTGAAAAAAGGATTCAAAGAATGACGTGTCCATAAAGCTTTTATTTTTGCAAATTCTACGAGCATAATAAAGCTTTTGGTAATCAAACTAAATAATTAAATTAAATAATTTAAAAGTACCTTCAGATAATGACAATGAAAAATTATTGACAATTATTTATGGGAAAGTTTTGACAGTAAATTTAATAAGAAATTTTATAAGTTACACTTACAATATTCTCTCTCACGGTATTATGAAACAGCTGTTCTCTGATGTCTGCTTCATCTTCCATCTTCACCTGTTTGTCAAAAAATTGTTTTCGGATGGAGTGACAACCGTTGACGACGAATTTATCAACATTTTCCCCTTGATTCAGCACCACAAAACATTACAACTCCTGTACCAGAAACACACAGCTTCAACTGACAATGTCACAGTTTGATTTAAGAGATTTTATCCAAAGGAATAATAACAACTTTTCCAAATAATAGACATAAACGTTTTACATAATATAGACATATGAAAATACACAGTTTTTTTAAAATAATGTCTATTGACAACAATTTTAGACACTCAATAATCAGTGGAACACAGCAAATGTCAGGCAAAAGAGTGAGAAATAATGGTTTAGTTAGGTTACTCCAGTAACTGCTAACAGCGCCACATAAATAGTAGTAGTGTAGAAATCTTTATTATCTATCGTAGTTAATATTTTATTTTTGTGATTTAAAAAAAAAAAAAAAAATTCAGCTGGGTTGCCAAAAAAATTTGATTTTGTTTTTCCCTAATTTCTAAGATAAAATTTTAATTTTTTCCCTCACCCTAATAAAAAAAATTCAAAAAGTTTTTAATTATAAAAATTTTTATAAATAATTGAATTTTGAAGATTTTCAAAAATAATTAAATTTCTGGAGATTATAAATTAAAATCTTTGTAAATTTATATTTAAAATTATTTACATCTTTAAAATATAATTACATTCTAGAGAATTTTTAATTGAAAAATGTTTTAAATAATTGAATTTTTGAAAAACTCGATTAAAATCATTGAAAATAATTAATTTAGTAATTTTAGAAAACAATTTTACAAATAATTGAATTTTAGAAGTGTTACAGTTAAAATTTTGAAAAATAATTTAATTTTGAAAATTTTTTTGATTGAAATTGTTGTAAATTTAATTTGTTTAAAATTATCTAAGAATTTCAAAAAATAATTGATTTTTAGAAAATTTGTAATTAAATTTTTGAAAAACTCGATTAAAATCATTGACAATAATTATTATACCTAAGAATTTTAAAAATAATTTGATTTTGGAAATTTTGTTGATTGAAATTATTGTAAATTTATTTTATTCATAATTATCTACGAATTTTTAAAAGTAATTGATTTTTAGAAAATTTTTGATTAAATATTGTTTAAAATAATTGAATTTTTTTTTTACATCTTTCAAAAAGTAATTAAATTATAGAGAATTTTTAATTGAAAAATGTTTAAAAAACTTGATTAAAGTCAAGGAAAATAATTAATTGTAACAATTTTAGAAATAATTTAATTTCAAAGATTTAAGATTTTCAAAAATAATTAAATTTTTTTGGAAGAACTTTATTAAAATCTTTGAAAATAATTAATTTAGCTAAGAATTTTAGAAAACAATTTAAGAAATAATTGAATTTTGAAAAATTTACAGTTAAAATTTTTAAAAATTATTGAATCTTAGATCATTTTTAATTTGAAAATGTTTTAAAAAAAATTTTTTTTCGAAGAACTTGATTAATGATATTAAAAATTATTAATTTAGAAAAACATTACACATTTTTATCTTTCAATCTCAAAAGTTTATTATGATGAAATACATCACATATAAGATATTTTGCACTATAATATAAATATTATAAATAATTTATTCAATTGCAGATCAAATTGTCTGCTGAAAATATCGAATCACTTTTCAAACTCTTTACAATCATTTGTATTACAATTATATAAAATTAATTGATTTTCTTTAAAAGATTTATATAAAACTTGGTTTTGCAAAAAAAAAAAAAAAAATGTTACATAATACAAAAAGATATTTTATTTAATAAACGTGCAGTGTTTGAAAAAAAGTAACAAAATATTTGTTTGTTAAATAACAGAAAAAAAAGTAATTTAATTTTATTGAAAGATTATACCTATAAAGTTGAATTTCCTAACTTATTCTCAAATTACTTGAAAATATATATAAGTAAAAAAATTAATGATTTAAAAATAGTCTAATTGAACGCGTAACAATCGAATTTTACGTTTATAAGACTACTTTTAGTAATTTAATTTCAAAAATTCATTGATTACATACATGACAATAAATGTGTACAATATTCCTATAAATAATTTACAATTACTATAAATTTTTTTTGATTTACCAAAATAAAAAATGATAGATTCAATCCTAATTATTTAAGAGATATTTATAATAATATAAATATCTTTAATAATTTATAAATTGTAGATTGCGTTTTGATATCACAAATAAAATTTTGTAAATAAATTTCGGTTTCAAATCCAAAAAAGATTTTTTTAAATTAATTAACAATTTTTTAAATTATTAAAATTGCTTTTTACAATTAAAATTAAGGCCCAAGTTTTGTTATATATATATATAAATATATATCTAGTTTTTCATCGGTAAATTAAAAAGTATTACGAGAAAACTAAATGCTGTTTGTACAAGATTCTATGATAAATTGGAACTGTTTTTTGAGTTTTATACCAATGTATTATTTTCTTTTTTTTATGCTAAGGCATTACCTCACCAAAATTGGTGTGACCTGTTTGCTTGGCATGATTAGAGGCAGCTACTTGTCCACTTAAAAAAATACCACAGTCTGAACATTTGAGCGTGAATTTTTGAACATCGGTAAATTGACGACTAGAGTTTGCTTCCTTTGCCAATTCTTCAGCCTGTTGTAATATATTATTGTCAGTGGATTGAAAAATTGTCTGATTAGCTTCTCCCTAAAAGAAAATTATTTTTTTTTATTTCTCTAAAGAAATAGATGAAAAAAAAAACTAAATTTCGTAGTTTCTAGTAAAAATCTTACTTCTCTTTCTAAATAGAGGGGATCAAAATGAATTCCATCGAACATGAGAAATACTCGAAGAGGATAATGATGATCCTCGCCAAATCTATTAATTATTGCATTTATACTATCAACAACGGCTATTTCTATTCCATAGTATTTGGAAAGAATTGATAATTCTATTGCTCCACCCCATGCATCAGGTTCCATAATCCATTTGCAATATTCAGCATTAGGCATACCAAGGATGGCTTCAGAAAATTCTTCTGGATCTTGTTCCACTGCATTTGCTACTAGGCTTCTCATATAATTAGCGCAAGCTGGTTCAACTTTACCTACAAATAAAGGAAAATTTTTTAGGTAATGTGCAATTATGACAATTCAAAGATCAAATTTTCCTGTAAATTTTACTGTTGTAGTTTGTTTTGAGTAATTTAAAACCAAAAAGACATAATCTTAAATTAAAATGTCCTTCTTAACAACGAATAAAACTGTAATTAAAATTGTTTTGATTTAATCAAATTTTAAAAGATTCAGTTGTAAATATTATTAACATTTTTGTGTATTTTGATTAAAGTTAATAAACAATTATAATTATTATAGAATGTTTAAAAACGATTGATCATTTTGCTCTTTGAAAGATTCTCTACGATTCCAGGTCTCGGATCAAAGTCGTTTTAGTCGATTTACATTAAAAAAAAGTCGAAAAAGTTAATTTTTCTATTTTAATTAAGGCATCACCCCCAATTTCGCCTCACTTAAATTTAAATTATTAAACGAGGTTACTTTAAATAATTCATGTTATTAAATATTAAATTCATTTTATTAATTCCTTAATAAGAATAATTCTATAGGAATATTACCATCAAGAAAATTTATTTCTAATATTTCAGAATCGAAGACGTAAATTTTTAAAATTTTAATTAAGTAAGACAAATTTCTAAAAAAAAAATTCAAAGAACAATTCAATTTTAGAGTTTTTATTAAAACCTTTTTTAAATAACTGAATTTTTAAAGAAATATTATAGTTATTAAAAATAATTGAACTTTGGAAGAGATATAGTTGAAATTTTTAGAAATAATTAAAGTTCAAAAGATTTTGTTAATTTTCAGGCAATAATTAAATTTTACAGAATTGAAATTAATTTATCAAATAATTTTAGACAACATTTTTTAAAAGTAATTGAATTTTCAAAGATTTACAATTCAAATTTTTGAAATTAATTGAATTTAAGTGATTTTGAATTGAAATTTTTTTGATGATTTCTGTTGCTGAAGAATTTATTAAAAATTACAGACAAAAATTGAATTTCAAAATTTTTTAATTTAAAAATGTTTTCATATAATTGAATTTTTGAAGAATATTATAAAAATCATTTAAAATAATTGAATTTTGAAAGAGTTATTATTGAAATTATTAAATTTCAAAGTTTTAGATGGAAAATTTTTAAAAGGTTTTAAATTTAAATTTTTGGTAATTTTATTTGATTTTTCTTTAAATTGTAAACAATTTTTGAATTTCATAAAATTTTTAATTGAAAAATAATTTAAGATAACTGAATTTGTGAAGAATTTCATTAAAATTATTAAAAATAATTAATTTTGAGAAAAATTTTAGTTAAAAAATTTGTTAAATAATTAAAATAAAGAAGATCTGAAGAAGATATGCATTTTATACTAAAAAAGACTATTTTGTTTAAAAATTTTGTAAAAAAAAAATGCAAAGAAAGTCGAAAAAGTCGCATCTTATTTAAATAAGTTGAAAAAAATAGTATTTTCGAAAAAAAAGACAGAAAAAGTCGTATAATCAGAGGCATGCAATTCTGTTTGTTAAATTTTGTTACAAATATTTTTTTAAAAATTTATTGAACTAATAAAATTTTTGTTTTTTACTTTTTTTAAATCAAATATTAATCAAATATTAACAAATTTTTTGGCTTAAATTAATTTTTACAGTTAATAAAAATTCGATTATCATGTAAATTTCTTGAACGCTGTCTTTTTTTGGTTTTAAATTATTCAGAAGACACTAAGGAATAAAAAGATATAAAATTTACAAGAAAATTTGAAGTTTACATACATTCAGCTTGAATTATCTACTAAACAAGGTTATCAGCATAAAAAATACAAAGACTCAATTTTCTCAAAAAAAAAAATGAAATTCACAATAAAATTTTGAAGTGCCAAAACCTTTGGGTTGAACTTTATTTCGACCAATCGTGAATTTTGATAGTTTAATAGTGATTAATTGAAATATATCAAAGTGAACATATTTACCGTTAATAACAAAGCCAATACTAGTGAAAAGACATGAATTATCACCAGGAACAACTTTTTTCAATAGCATTCCATTATTTTCACCAAATATTTCAGTATTAATCACTTCATTTCTCGGAACGTCTTCGCGTTTTAATTCACCAGGTGGTTTTTCATTAACATAAAATATATCACCATTAATGATATTACAGTCTGAAATTTTAGCATCTGCCACACTAAAATCAACAATCTCACGGGGTTTCAAATAACCTTTACTAATCACAACAGAGTCCACAAGTATACCAGCCGAGTCTGCTAATTTTTGTTTAAATTGATGCATTTCACAATTTGAATTTAAAGTCATTGTTACACAGCCATTTTTTGACATAATTTTTACTTTGATATCATGTTCACTTTGCATTTTGATGATAATGATGATGATATTTTTTAAAACAAAACTTTCAGACTTTTCTTCTCAGTTCAAATAAAATGTTTTTTGATATTTACCTTTTTTTTAATTGATCGAATAAATAGCTTCACTTATTTAAATATTAACAAATTTTATCTTTTAGAAGAAAAATATGATATCCTAAATAGAGAGCATTTAATTAAAACCATTATATCACGCAACCATATTAGGTTATGATAGGTTAGTATATATATGTCAATATATATATATACGCAATAATTTAAAAGATAAAATAAATGTTAGGTTAGAATAACTCAATAAACATGAAATTATAAAAACATTACTTAATTAATGGTTATTATTTAACAACTGTCAATTTATTTAGCAGATGCCCTATGTGATCGAACACCGAGATACTGCGCATGCTCTTCAGAAATTCAACCTCATTGGTCGTAATGCGCACTCTTTTATCTTTTTCCAGAAGTATTTCAAATAAATGCGCTCATTTTAATTTCATTAAAATCTCTTATATTTATAAACAAAAAAAATTATTTTTAAGAACAGAAGAAAAGAAATTTTTTTGGTATTTTTTTTTCAAGAAATAAATTTTTCAACAATATTGTAGGTGTTATTCTTTTCATTTTATTCTTTGTAAAATCATACAAGCAAATAAGTGTTTACAGAATGTGAAGAAGCACAATATAATAGAAATTCTCATTCGGCGCATACATATATACGAACATAATATATACCTAATAATACTTATTATAATCTAAACTCAAAAATTACAAGAAAACACAAATGGACTTGATTATCTAAAATATATGTATATTATCATTAATGTTGCATAATAATACTTTTTATACAAATAGCTCTATAAGGTATGTAAATTTGATTTATTTCACCTACTTTAGTAATAAGTTATATATATATATATATAAATTTTTTTATATATTTATATAATAGAGCTAATAAATAATTCTCAAGAAAAATAAAAGTATAAGTTAAAAATATTGTAGCAAATTATCAATATTAAATTATCAATATCAAGATTAAAAACAACAAATTTTATCTAATACTTTTATTTCTCTTTAATATATTAAACCTTATTAATTTCCACAAATTCGTTAGCTCATTAAAATTTATCAAACGTGTTTTTTTTTTTTTTTTGTAGTGTTATTAATGTACTTTAAATCCTTTATAAATTTTAACTCTTTAAACCATTAATTGCATAAATTTCTTTTTTTTTTAATATATTATTATGAAGAATTTGCGAGGATTAAGTCGCTGCCACATTCATAAAAACATTTAAATACATAGTATTTAAACGCCTGTTTTTCGTTAAAAAGAAACGTGAGTTAAATATGTACATTTTCAATATATATGTATAAAAGCTTTCGATTAAAAGCTAAGATTAAATTCTTTCAGCACATACAAAATATTGTGAATGCGGCAGGAGATTTCATAAAAAAAATAATAAAAAATAAAAAAAAAACGCTTTTATAGCTTGTTTATTCTTATATCACTAACAATGAGTTTACTGAATTTATAAATTATTGACTGAACTTATAACAATAATACGGATCATATACATATGAGATATCTGTTTTTTTTTTTTTTTTTTTGATTTTCTTTTCTCTTTATCTTAGATTGAAATGAAAAATTATACTATCAGCGATAATGTCAAATTTTACCTTACTGTAAATTAAAAATAAATAAATAATTTAATTTTTTATTTAACCAAAGATTAAAAATCGGAAAATGAAAATCTATATCATAAGCTATGATTTTACAAGTGAAATTTATTTTTTAAATCGCAAAATTTTGCTTTAAAGAAAAGATAACCAATTTTAAAAATTGTTCGAATAGTTGAATTTTATTAAAAAAAAAAAAAAAAAAATGACTAATTTTAGTTTACGAACAATTTTTCTAGGGCGCTTTTTCCATTCTCATTTTGGGTATATTTGAAAGAAATTTTTGCCAAAAAATTCTGGAAACTCGACCCTAGAATTTATCGACTTATACGACACCCGGTAACTGAACTCGACGATAACCAATTTTTCATTATTGGCTAATCGGTTATTTTTTTTTTTTTTTTTTTGGTATATCTACAAAATGTACATACAATGGCAATGGCACGACGTGATGAAAATATCCTTAAATAATTAAACTAAATTTAAGATTAAATTGGTTCAAATTTCAATTCAATTTTATATTGAATTTCATTTTTTTATGGTTTCAAAATAATCCATCGTTAGAAAATAAAAAGAATTGTGAAATTTAAAAATTGAAATGAAATTATATCCTTACAAAAGTTTAGACAATTGAAAATAAATTATTATTTTAAAAAAAGAAAAGTACTTGAACGACTCGAACATGCTTTGCCAAACGATGCTACATATCTCAGCTATTATTATAACAATGATAATGATTATTAATATTTATGTTGATGAGAGACGAACGAGTAGCGAGTACAGCAAAAATTGTTTCTCCCACGTCGAACGTGAAAAATGGCGTTTATTATTTTATAAGCTTTGAAACATAAAACACAACTATACAGAGAGATAGAGGTCTACTATTTTCAATTTTTCTTCTTTGACTAACGAGCAAACAGTGGTAATTAGAGTTTATGTCATACATATATAATAATGTTAATATTAATATATCATATACAGTCCAACAACAATTATCATCTGATAGACCTTTTTTCCATTCATTTTTTTTTTCATTTTTCATTTAAATATACATTATTCTCTTTATAATTTATCCATAGATTATATGTGTAGACTGATATCACGTAACATCGACTTTTTTTTTTAATTAAAGGTTTAAGTATTTTTCAAATACTTATTAGAAAGTCGAGTTTACTTCGGCGTTTAAAGGATTTGTCTTTATTGAAAACAAAGAAAAATATGGAATGTTATTTTTCATATAGAAGTTTGAAAGTTTATTGTATATTTCTGAAAATGAGTAATGAAATTTCTTTCCTATAAAAATAAATCGAAAAAAGAATTTTTTTTCTACCGCAGCAGTAAGTGTGTGTATACTAATAATATATTACAGTGATCATTCGTTTTTTATAAATTAAGATAAGAAATAAAAATAAAAAAATATATATCGTAGCTCTTTTGCTGATAAAAAAAATTACGACGAAATTAAATATTGAAAATATTAGCAAAAATTATTAAGCTTTATCTAAATCCAGAATTATTAGTGATTTAAGTTGGTGATCCATGTGAATTTATAAAACTTAAGTATATATTTATTATGTATATATAACAGGTTTTAAAGAGTAACACGTTCGTCTTAAACTCTGATCTCAATATTGAAAGAACATACTCTCAAAAGTCACTTTCTTATAATTCTTAATTAAATTATCATTATTATTTGGTACGAGTAATCCATAAGTTGTTGATTTTACTTTTTGCAACAATTGGATAATAATAAATAATAGGCTTTCCTATTTGGAGACTATATACAAAGACTGTTAAATTCAGACTTTGTTACGTCGACAATGTCGTTTGAAAAAAAAGTGAAGATCGCACAATCATCGTAAAAATTTGACTTTCATTTATAAAAGTGACAATTTACAAAAATTGATTTGTGCTTTCTTACTTTTTTAGTTTTATATTAAATTCTAAGTCTATATGTATTTAAAAAAAAAAAATTTGAATTCTTTTTCGCTCTCTGGAGAATTTTTTCTTAAATATTCTTTTATAGCGAGAGAGAGAGTCTGATTTTCAATTTATGGTGAACTCTTGTCGCGCTGATAATTCGGAATATCGATTAATTTGATTGATCTTTAAAATATCTTAGTTTGTAACTAAAGTTTACAAGAGCCACTTAACCACTAGGAGAACTAAGATGTGAGGCAAGCATGTCGTCACAAAAGCAGCAGATCCTCCAGTAACTCGAACATCACTGTCCTTAAGGAATGGTCTATCAATGACATGAATAATTCCATTGGTACATGACACATCTGGACGATCGACTCGAACAATAATTCCTTGCCATTCAATTGTGTAACCTACAAATATAAAAATTAACTTTTTATAAAATTCGTGAATAGGTTTCTTTTTAATTTTTCTCTTACTGTAAGGCAATATTATGATAATATTATAAAAACGTCGTAAAATTTTCAAAATAACATGCAATAATAATTTGTATATGGCGCGAATGTGCAATTTTTCGCAAGCCGTGCTGCTTTTTTAGATCCTTTTTTTTAGAAGCATTACACTTTTCAATACTTATGTGTCAGTTGGTTGATTTACGTCTGGGGAATGTTGCGAACATATTTTTAAAAAAATCTAAATTTACTACATTTGTAACTCGAATTTTTTCTGAATTCATTAACCATAAGACTATGATGTAAATTTTATTTATTTTGATGCAATTATTAATCTAAAGTTGAAGGTTCATAAATTTATTTATTATTATTTATTTTTTTTACATTTTTTTTACAAAATTTTTAAACAAAATACGTCTTTTTTATCAAACAAGCAGATCTTCTACAAATCTTCTTTATTTCAATTATTTAATAAATTTTTAATTAAAATTTCTCTCTAAATTAATTATTTTTAATAGAATAGAATTTATTTCTTTCCTTTGACAGTACAAAATAACTGTTTCTTGTTCAGAATTATTTTTAATAATTTTAATGAAATTCTTCAAAAATTCAATTTTTTAAAATTATTTTTTAATTAAAAATTTTATGAAATTCAACAATTATTGTTTACAATTTAAACAAAATTAAATAAAATTACAAAAAATTCCAATTTAAAACCTTCTAAAATTTAATTATTTTTAAAATTTTTTCATCTAAAACTTTTGGAAATTTAATAATTTCAATAATAACTCTTTAGAAATTCAATTATTTTTAATGATTTATAATATTCTTCGAAAATTCAATTATTTGAAAGAATTTTTCAATTAAAAAATTTTTGAATTTCAATTTTTTGTCGGTAACAGAGATTACCAAAAAATTTCAATTCAAAATCATTTGAATTCAATTATTTTCAAAAATTAATTACTTAACTTAATTACTTTTAAAAAATGTTATCTAAAATTATTTGATAAATTAATTTCAATTCTGTAAAATTTAATTATTGCCTGAAAATTAACAAAATATTTTGAAGTTTAATTATTTCTAAATAATTTCAACTTAACTCTTCCAAAGTTCAATTCTTTTTAATAATTTTAATACTTCTTTAAAAATTCAGTTATTTAAAAAAGTTTCAAATAAATACTCTAAAATTGAATTGTTGTCAGAATTTTTTTTTTTTTTAGAAATTTGTCTTACTTAATTAAAATTTTTTAAATTTTTTCTTCGATTCTTAAATATTCGAAATAAATTTTCTTTATAATATTCCTAGAGAATTATTCTTATTAAGGAATTAATAAAATGGATTTAATATCTAATAACATTAATTATTTAAAGAGAAAAGATTTTTTCTTTTAAATTATTTAAAGTAAAATAATACTTATTAACTGATTAAATTTAATGAAAATAAAAAAATCGACTCTTTCGACTTTTTTTGAAATGTAAATCGACTAAAAAGTCTTTTTTTGCGCATTAAAGTCGATCCGAGACCTGATATTGTAAAACTAGATTTTGGAACGTATAATTATCCCATAAAAGTGATTAAGTAGTTAAAGTTTTTATTTTTAATAATTTTATTAGATATAATTATTTTTTACACGAGTTTTCATTTTTCGATTTGACATTTAACAGAATTTATCTTTAAACCAATTTTTAATTACAAGAATTTTAAGGAAATTTTTATTTGAAAGATTTTTTATTTTACAGAATTTCCCTTTACCCAATTATTTATTTTAAACAAATTTCAATTAATTCGAATTTTAATTTAGCAAAATTCTTATTTCAAAAAAATTGTATGTGATTCAAATTTTTTATTGACAGAATTTCCAATTCTTTAAATTTTTATTTGCACAACTTGTTATTTCTTAGAATATGTAAAACGCCGAATTTTTATTCGTCCAAAATTGCAAATGTCCAAAAAATTGTCAACAAAAAAATATTAGCACTATTTTTCCTTCATTCACAATTATTTTATTTTTTTAGCTTGCGGGAAAAAAAATGGTCAAACTTAAAAATTACACAATGGAGAAAAATAAATCTAATTTATTAGTACGATTTTTAAAATTTCCGAATCAGAAATTATCAAGAAAATCGTGATTTGGAATTTTTGAAATTCGAGTCAAAATTGTTCTGTCGATTGATTTTTCATCCCATTTGCAAAGTACAAATAAAAATTAGGCGTTTTAATAATTCTATCAAAATAAAAAGTTCGGAAAAATGAAGATTCGGGGAATTTGATATTCTGTCACTAAATAATTCGAATGACATAAAATTCTGTTGAATGAGAATTTTGGTAAACTGTAATTTGGATTAATTGGAATTTTTATAAATAAAAAGAGAAATTCTGTAAAATAAAAATTTTGTCAAACAAAAATTCGTTTAAAAAAAAATTCTATCAAATGCTAATTCGAAAAATTGAAATTAGTGTAAAAAATAATTATATCTAATAAAATTCTGTAAAATAAAAATTCTTATTAATAATTTCTATAAGATAATCATGGGCTAGTTTTTTTTAAATATGTCCGCAACAGTCCTCAGATGAAAATCAATGGACTGAACCTTATATTTTGTGTCATTAATTAAAAAAAAAAGAAAATCTTTCGCAATATGATAATTATCAGCAAAAATATATATATAAAGCAACTGACATAGTGAAACGCTTTTTCAAAATATGTGTTTTCAGCGCTCTTTCATTCTTGCATAGAATAAAGCACGTTGTAATTAGCCACAAGTGGTAATCAAAGAATTTGCATTTAAATGGCGGTTGAAAGGCGAACATTATTAATTCTCCCCTCCGTGATTGTCTAGTCCAAGGGAAGATATTGCTTTAATTGCAATAGGAAAATGGCAAAAAAAACTATGTAATTATATTCCTTAATTTTATTTTTAATATTAATTTTCCACAAAATAAAAATATTTTTATTTAAATTGCCGTCAATGAGATATTTCTCAATGTTTGACATACTGTTTTTTTACACCTCATTAATAATTCTGCAATATTTAGAAGAATATAAATGATAATAAGAGCGTTGTGTTTTAATTAAAATAAAATATGGTCAAGTGCGTTTGTGCATTTCGCGTCGAATATAAATAAGATTTATTTGCATTATTTTGAATTAAGATCCTACTATTTAGAGAAAAATTAAAATAAAAAATGGATTGAATTTTATGGTTTTAAAAATAATGCAGTAAAATACTGAATTCGTTGGAAATACGTGAAAGCACGAATCGCATTATATAGCGTCTTCAATACTCTATATATTATAACTCACCGGAGTGACCGGAAGGGATAGGAACAATTGCGTTTTCATCCCTCTTTCCGTCTAAATGTAATACAAAAGGACAATAGTGAAAGAGACATTGATGGAATAATGTCTAATAATTGATTGTAATGGTTTTGCTTTGATTTATCGTTCTTGATACTTCTATATATATTTTTAGGATAAAATTTAAATTAACAAATAAAAAAGAAATATAATTTTTTTTCTTTTGCTAGACTTTTCATTGCTGAATAAAAATTTGACCTTGAAATGTATAAAAACATTTGAATCGAGAGAGAGAGAGAAAAAAAACCGGAATCCATTACAAATTTTTCTGTGGTATAAACTTTTTTTTTTACGTATACGCGCCTTTTATTTGTATAGCCATGTCTATATAAATTCGATTTTTTCGATATCGGAATTTTTTTTATATAGTTAAACGTTCAAGTTTCAATTTCAATCCTATCAGAAATTTTTTTTGTTATTTGCGCAATTATTCTTTATTTTTTGTAATATTTATAATCTTTATGTTTCTTTTTATTTATATATGTATCAGAAACAAATTATAAAACTATATCATAGTATTGAAAGATTTATTTTTATTTTCGAAATTATATTTCTTATTTATTTTATATTATTTTTTGTTCTCATATTCTGTCAATAATAATATTAATTAGTACTTATTTGAATCTATCACTCGGTGACATAATATTATTAAAAAGAAGATATTAATCCTTCAGAGTCAAATAGTTGGTAAAATAAGGTGAAGGATTGATATTTTATTTTTAATAATAATATTAATTATTAATTTTGAAAATTTTTTCCAGCAATGAAAGATCTATAAAAAAAAAATTGGTTTTAAATTATGAAAAAAAATTACTGTTATTGTGTATATTGTTCAGATGCATTATTCGAATATTTTGTGATACGATGCGATTTGTTACTATGTAGATATTATATTTTAGTTAAAAGCAGTTAGTTGAGAGTTAAATATTCCATATTTGTATCTCGATTGATTACTAAATTGATTAAACTATACATTAATATAAAATGAAATTAAATTTTTTTGATTGAAATGGAAAAAACAAATTGAAAGCAAAAATAATACTTACCATTCTTTGTTTCTTTTATTCGTAAATGAAGAGCGTCTCTAGCTGTTGTAAGAGTCACTGTTCCATTACGACTCATACTAAGAAGTTGGCTCATCGTAAATGGTTGATCAGATATCACGAGATGTCTTTGCAAAATTTGAGTCGCCTATAAAAAAAAATATTAATTTTTTCATAAATTAAATTCCAAATTTCAATTTGCAAAAAATACTATTTAAATTTTATTTTATTGACTTACATGATAACTGAAGTCATCCATAAAGAGTTTTTTATAGGTCGAAGGAAAATCGACTTGCGTATGTTTCCAAGCTGCATCTTTTGGCGCAAAGAAAGTAAATCGTTTATTGGTGTCACTTAGTTGGCTATTAAAATCTTTCTTCGTTCCCAATAAATACGTTAAACTGAAAATAAAAATTTACATTTTTAGAGCGTGAATTCTATTTAATTATAATATTTGGATATTAATTTTATTTTGCATTAAGCATTCATTTTAAAATATAAATTGTTAAAGTGCTTTTGAATAAAATTAAATTGAAATGATTGACAAAGCTTTTACTGATCAAGTTATTATTATAATTATTTTGTCACTAATTTTCTTTCATTTTCCAATAATTAACAAATTATAGATTCAAATTTAATTATCTTTTATTTCGAGTATTTGGAATAAATAAATAAATCGTTACGATTTCTATTTTATAAAGATAATTACTTGCAATGTGAAAATTGAGGTCAAAAATGAGGAAAATGTATTTGAATGAAGAGAGCAATTTTGAAAAGCACAAGTAGTTGATATCGTCGTTAGTTATCAAGACTCAGTATCGGATGTTGAAACAAGAATTGGGATGAGGTGATGGAACGTTGGCGTCACCATCCATCTAGCGCATCGAGTAACAAATGTCATTAAAGCTAACGCCTAGCTGGGCGTATATACGTCGGACCATGACAACATATATAGAGGGTAACGCATTGCCTTCCGATATAGATGGATATTACTCGCCGATATGCACTTGATCGAACTTCCCTAATAGCTCTCTTACTGTACTGTTATTCCCAAAACCATAGGCATATCCCAATATATATGTATATATATATATACGAAACTGCAGGAGTATACTGCGGTACCTATACTCCAGCATCCAATTTCAATTAGCTCATTTCCAAATGCATATCTCTATTTTTGTTTTTTTACATCCCACACTATACAAATCCAGGAATACATCTCAACTTTTTGCATCAGAGAAAAGATATTTATTTGTCTCAGAGTCAAATAAATATTTATTTGTTTCTAATAAATTTTATTTCAGGGTTCAATTGGATTAAATCCCAATAAGTAAATAAATAAAAAAATATCGATTATTTATCTTTTTATACAATTTATATTACTAAAAATGTATTTTTCATTTCGAATTTTTTATAATAAACTTAACAACATTTTTCATTGTTTTTACAATTGTAATACATAATCAGAGTTGCCACAAAAATTTGATTTTGTTTTTTCCTGACTTTTTTTTCTGATTTTCAGATAAAATTTCAATTTATTACCTAACTCTGATGAAAACATTTCAAGGATTTTTTTAATTAAATAATTTTTTTTAAATTTAATTTTTAGAAGAAAAAATTTGAATTATTTTCAAAAATCATAATTTTTGTTGCATTTTTATAGGCCTCAGATCAACTTTAAAGCACAAAAAAAGTCGACTTTTTAATAAATTTAATCATAAATATTTTATTATTATTGACTATTGTTATTAGATATTAAATACATTTTATTAATTCTTATTTATTTACATTTGTTTATAAAGTAAGACGAAAAAACACAAAAAATAACAAACTAAAAACAAAAATAAAACGTAAAAAATGTATGATAAAAATGAATATAATAAACTAATATTTGAAATATAAACTAATTCATACAATCGTAAGCGATCGTCAAGTACTGAAATTAAAGTAATAATTGAACGCTCAAGATTTCAATTCAGATTTCTAAAAAAAAAGTTTAATTTTCATTTTTTAAAAATAATGGTAGACTGATATTTGTAAAAATTATTTGAATTCAAAAAATCAGATTTTCAATTCAAAAATCTATTAAATAATTTAATTTTCAAAGAATTTTATAAAAATATTATTTATCAAAATTAATTTAGCAAAAATTTTTAGAAATAATTGAATTTTGAAGATTTTAAAAAATAATTGAATTTCTTGAGATTAAAAATTTTAATTTTTCTAAATTTGTATTCAAAATTATTTACATCTTTCAAAAAGTAATTAAATTATAGAGAATTTTTAATTGAATAATGCTTTAAATAATTGAATTTTTCAAAAACTTCCACACTAATTTAAAAGTATCAAATTGATACCAAAAATATAAAATTAATACAAATTTTTATATCAATTTGATATTTTTGGTATCAAATTGATACTTTTAAATTAGTGTGTGATTAATGTTAATTAAAATAATTAATTTAATTAATTGAAAGATTTTTAGAAATAATTAAATTTTCAAGATTTTTTTTTTGATTGTAATTTTTTGTACATTTATTATGTTCAAAATTATCTACAAATTTCAAAAGGTAATTGCTTTTTAGAAAATTTTTAAACGAATATTGTTTAAAATAATTAAATTTTTTTGGAAAAACATTATTAAAATCATTGAAAATAATTAATTTTACTAAGAATTTTAGAAAACAATTTTAGAAATAATTGAATTTTTGAAAAGTTCTAGTAAAGATTTTAAAAAACCATTGAATTTTAGATAATTTTTTACTTAAAAGTATTTAAATAATTGTTTTTTCGTAGATCTTGATTACTGATATTAAAAATCAGTAATTGAGAAAAACATTTTAGATGAAAATGTTTAAATTAATTGAATTTTAAAAAACTACATTTTATAATGAAAAAAATTGTAATTTGTTAATCAAACGTTAAAATTTTATAAAATAAGTCAAAAAAAAGTCACATTTTTTAAAGAAAAGTCTTACAATCCGAGGCCTGTTTTTAGAAATTCGATATTTTTCTAGTACTTTCGATAAAATTCCCTGATTTCCCTGATCCGTGGCTAAATTTTATTTTGAAAAAAATAACTTCTTCTACTGATAATATTATAAAAATTTAAAAAGTCTAACTAAATATTTACTTTCAAAACTTGAAAAAAAAATTATAAAGTCTGGCGAAACATTTACTTGTATTTAAATAAATAAAATAAAATACTAGAAATAAAATAAATAAAATAATAGATAAAATTACAAAAAATATAAAATGTCAAATTAAATATTGACTTGTACTATTTCTCAAGTTACAAAAGTCTGATTAAATATTTACTTATACTACTTATTAAATTACAAAACTAAAAAGTCTGACTAAATATTTCCTTGTACTACTGATAAAATTACAAAATTCTGAGCAAAAAATTATTATCACTTCTGTTGTTAATTTTATACCACAGATGATATATTTTTCTTAGAGCCAAATAAATTTTTATTCGTTTCACTTTTATTTGGTTTAAATAAAAATTTTATTTTCACAAAATAAAATTTTATATTTGTGTCAAATTAAATTTTTTATTTGAAACAAATAAAAAGTTATTAAAACAAATAAAACTAAAATAAAAATAATAAATACTAAAACTCACTTTTACTACTGTAATTAATTAATTTTAATAAAGTAAATTATTTTAAAAAAATACTATTTTTGTTTATTATCCAATATGAAATAATTATGAATAATTTTTCAATTAGATTACGCATAATTTTTGAAATAATCATACCTATAGGGATAAATGTAATTTATGAAGTATTCAAAAATTTCAAAAGAATCATGAAACATTTTATTTCATTGACCCAAAGTTTCATAAAATTTTACAACGGCCAGGTGCAAGCATATAGAGTACGCGCGAAAAATTAATAATTTCTCTCGTTCTCTTCTATTATATATAAAATGAATTATTTCAAATAAAATTATTATTATTATTGGATAACAATAAACCGTTTTTTTCGGAGTTAATTCCGCCAATCAAAAACAATATTTTTTTTTTTTGTAAAAAAATGTAGTAATAACATTACCATAAATATAACATTATGCGCCAAATTATACATATACATTTTCCTAGACTAATTTGGTTAAACACTGGTCTTAAATGTATGTTTTTAAAATTACATTCAAAAATTAGTATGCTCCAGCGGCTCTAAATCACTTTATATATGAAGCAATTGTATGAGAGTTATCTTTTGTGTGAATTTTAAAATATGCTTGGAAAACAGAATTAACTGAGAGAATTGTAAATTTCAGTAGAGAAGTCCTCTCAAAAGTTAGCACGCGCGTAGACAGAAAATTGTCAATTTTAGTTTCCTTTCTTTTCTGACGTATATATATACCTCTTTGGCAAGCGTTTTCTTTGAAGTTTAATCCAGTCTGGGATTGTATGTGTGAGAGAGAGAGAGGACTTTCCCTCTCGTGAAGTGAATATCTGCTTTGGGATAACTCTCACGTCTCTCGAATATCAATTATAATTGTAAAACAACCCTAATCCAACAGTCGCTAGCAAGCTTCGCACAATTTGCTCTTGCACGTTCATCCTACACCGAATAATAAGTGGATCACTGTTATAAATATTCACCCCCCAACGACCCTGACTCAAAGTATATACCTGAGCCAGTAAAAGCAAACAATCAATTATTTAAGTACTTTCGCATATACGAGAAACGAATCGCTGTATTACACGATGTACTTTCTTTCTTTCTTTTTTTTCCTTTTTCCTTTTTCCTTTTCTTTCTTTATTTCCAAGTGAAATGTGAACTGAAATATACGAAGTGAAATGTGAAGTGAAACGCGTGTGGAATTCGAGACGAAGATGTGCACAATCACGAGAGGGAAAAAGTTTTTTAAGGATCGGAAAATGTTTTTACTTTATTTTCTTATAACAAGAAAAATATCATTTTTTTTAAATATCAAAGATGATTATTCCATAAAAGTAATTAAAATTTATTTTAAAGGATTATATTAGATATAATTATTTTTTTAGACAAATTATCATTTGACTGAATTTTGTTTTTAACATTTTTTGTAATTTTATCAGAAGTTTTAGATAATTTTTATTAGTTAGAATTTTTATTTTACATAATTTTTCTTTACACAACTTTCTATTTAAATGAATTCTAATTTAACTGAATTTGAATTTAGCAAAATTCTTATTTAATAGAATTTTAAATGTTTCAAATTTCTAATTCATTGAATTTTAATTTGTTCAAATTTTATTTTCTTAAAACGCCAAATTTTCATTTCTTTGAAATTTTAAATGGTCAAACAAATAATCAACAGAAAGATTTTGACGCTGATTTTAAATTTTATCATTCACGATTATTTTTATAATTTTTCTGTTTGGTAAATTTTAGTTTTTCATAATTTCTTTTCTTGATGAATTTCAAACTGTATAATAAAAAGTACGACTATCAATTTTGCGAATTTCATTTTGCCATAATTTTTATAAACTCTATTAATGAATACATTTAATTTTTTATATTTTTAGGCCTCGGATCGAATTTATTATTATTATTATCATCAAACAATTGTTATTAGAAATTACATAAATTTATTAATTCTCTAATCTGATTAATGCAAATTAGTCGAATTCAAAAAATCCGATTTTCAATTCAAAAATTTATTAAATTGTTGAGTTTTCAAAGAACTTTATATAAAATATTATTTATAAAAATTAATTTAGCGAAAAATTTTAGAAATAATTGAATTTTAAATTAAGATTTTCAAAAATAATTTAATTTCTGAGGATTAAAAATTTAAATTTTTCTACATTTGTATTCAAAATTATTTACAACTTTCAAAAAGTAATTAAATTGTAGAGAATTTTTAATTGAAAAATCTTTTAAATAATTGAATTTTTGAAAAACTTGATTAAAGTTTACAAAAATAATTAATTTAATTAATTATAAGATATTTAGAAATTATTGAATTTTGTAAGAGTTACAGTAAAGAATTTTAAAAATAATTGAATTTTGAAGATTTTTTTGATTGAAATTTTTGTAAATTACTTTTTTTTTCAAAATTATCTTCGAATTTCAAAAGGTAATGTTTTAAAAAAATTAAATTTCTAAAATTGTTGATTAAAAATATTAGAAATAATTAATTTTCAGAAGAATTTTAGATATAATTCAATTTCAGGAGATTTTAAATAGAAACTTTCATAAATTGTAATTGATTAATTTTTTTTTTTACAAAAAATTTAGATAATAATTGAATTTAAAAGAACTTTCATTTGAAAATTATTTGAAATAATAGAGTTTTTAAAGAACTTGATTTAAATTATTGAATATAATTAAATTTGTGAAGAATTGTATAGTTCATTTAATAATTCAGTTTTGGAAGATGTAAATTTTATACTAAAAAATCGTATTTGGCCATTTGTAATTTCAAAGAAATGAAAATTTGACATTTTAAGAAAAAAAAATTTGGACAATTTAAGATTCAGTGAATTGGAAATTCTAGTATTTAAAAATTCGAAGCACTTAAAATTCTATTAAATGAGAATTCTACTAAATTCAAATTCGGTTAAATTAGAATTTATTTAAGTAAAAAGTTGTGTGTAAAGAAAAATTAAATAAAATAAAAATTCTACCAAATAAAAATTATCTAAAAATTCTGTAAAATAAAAATATGTTAAAAACAAAGTTCAGTGAAATGAAAATTCAAAAAATGAAAATTCGTGTAAAGAATAAATATATCTAATAAAATTCTTTAAATTGAAAATTCTAATTAATTTTTTGGAATAATCATGCGTCTTATATGAAAAATTGAAATTTTAGAACTTTATTAACAACTTATGTAAATAGAAGAAGAAGAAGAAGAAGAAAAAAAACCCTCTAACGATTCTCAGAGTAACTCAATACTGTTAATTAGATTTCCTTGTAAATGAATCGAACGGTCTTTCCAATGAGAAAACCTAAAGTTAATTTAATTTTTTTTTCTTTTATTTGTTTGGCTACAGTCACGCTTCGACTTAAATTAGACAACAAGACAAAACCAAATACAAATTAGAAAGAAAGAGAGAAAGAGAAGTTAGTTGATGATGATTTTTTTCAGAAAAAATTCTATTTCCTCTTGGATTTACAAGACATATATCTAAGATTGAATAACGCAGATTGTGCTATATATATGAAGAAAAGAGATTACAATCCAATTCAATTATCGATATGCTTCGTGATGTCAGAGCTTTTTTTTTCTTGAAATGGTATGAATGTCGAATCAAAGGGATATATTCGCGAATACGATCTCAATTCCAAAACCAATTTCAAAGACTGCGGTATAAGAGACTTTTAAGCTTTATACATAGGAACAAATTACGCAAGGTACCTAATTCGCAATCATTTCTATGGTTAAAGTCTTTTAGAAAGACTGGCAATAAATGTGTTCCATTCAAAAAAAAAATCTATAGAGAACATTTTCAATTAACATTTATCATTTCTGAAATTAAACTTTTATGATAAATTATTATTATTATGGGGCGCTTGAATTTCTCATAAAAATCAATGATAAGAATTTTCATTTTAAACAATTTATAATAAATTAATTAATTTTTAAAAAATAATCATTATTTTTTAGGAAAATTTTCAGTTTTCTAATTAGCATTTGAGAGAATTTCTTTTTAAACAAATTTTTTACTTAACAAAATTTTTAGATAACGAATTTCTCTTTACCCAATTTTTTATTGAAAAACTTTTAATTAATTAATTTTTAAATTCGTGCCGATATATTTCTGTCGATTGTTAGTTGGTCATTTGTAATTTCGGACAAATGAAATTTCGTCGTTTAAATAATAAAATAATAAAAAAAAATTAAATAATTAAATAATAATTGATGCAAATAAAAATTCGATTAAATTGTGTGAATTGGAAACTTTGTCATTTAAAAATTCGAATCACTTAAAATTCTGTTGAATGACAATTCTGATGAATTAATATTTGATTAATTTAGAATTTTTAAAAAATAACAAGTTGGGTAATGAAAAATTCGATAAAAATTTTGTGTTAGAGTAAAAAAATTTAAAAAGAAATTCTATCAAATACTAATTTGAAAAATTAAAATTTGACTAAAAACTAATTATATCGGATAAAATTTTTTAAAATGAAAATTTTAATTATTTTAATGGTAAATTCATATGCTGTATTCATTTATGTATTTAATTTAAATTAAAACTTACTTTAATTGTGGATCTAATTTAAGTTTATCGAGAACGGTAGTGTAAGGAATTCCAAGCACCCTGTCAATAATGTGAATCATTCCATTAGTGGCAGCAATATTGGCTGTGATTATTGTAGCGTTGACTCCACCTCCTTCAACTGTGACTGTTTCATTTCCATATGGACTTGGAGCTACGTTAAAGAAGAGATTTTTTTTCGCGGCCGCTGTTGGAACCTGTGATAAAATAAAATAATTAATTTCTTCTTTCAATAAATAAATTATAGATTTTCTCACATTTCATATATAATATATATAAATATATATCAATATATTTATATATACATCGATGAGAAAAAAAAATGAAAAATAAAATTTATTTCAGAAAATTATTTTTATAAATTGCTTAAGGTGGTTCAAATTGACATAATCTCAAAATAAATAGTTGTTTTTAAAATAAATAAAATTATATAAGTGAAAAAATTATACTAAGTGCTTTTGTACTTTATTCAATTTTCTTTTTTTACAAATTTGTAAGCCCGTACATTGTAAGTAAATAAATATAATTTTTTTCTTTGAAAAATTTTCTATAACTGTTTAGATTTTTTTTTAAATTTGTATAAATTGATCTTTCAAAATTTATTAAAATTAGTTTTAATTATAGTCTTGTTTGCGGTAATAAAACGAATTTTTAGAAACTTATGCGCAAAGAATGAACCACCTTAAGATAATAAATAAAATATAAAAAATTAAAAAAATAAAAATTCAGTTGATTTTAATAAATTTTTTAGAAATTATACATGAGAGAGAGAGCTTATTAAATACAGCAGAATAAAAGTGCAATAGATTCAATTTTTGATTGCTGAGATAAATGATGAAATATCGATGTTATTAATTATACAATTGGACTTTGTTGATTTCTTCAAATCTTTGTTCATAACGTATCCGTTTGTTGTTTCATCAGCATGCAGCAGTAGCAGCAGCATCCCATAGAGAAAAAATTAGCATGGCATACGAAGCATAAAAGCGACATAAAACATATCTTGACGATAAATTAGCATATAGCTCAGGATGCGTCGCTCTACACTCAATGCAAATCAACCACTCCATATATATATATATATATATATACTCTTTCCAGTTGGAATAAAATTTCCCCACTGTTTCTATGTTGGTCAGCATCATGGAAGAACTTTGCAACTTGTTTTAAAAAAAAACGAAAAAAAAAAAAATATACCAGAATTTTTTTCTTTCCTTTTTTTATCCGCCTTTTTCCAATTTGTTACTTCTTTCATTCTAACCTTCCTTATTTGCATAATTAAAAGAATTGATTCTTTCATTAGAGGCTTTAAAAAAAAACTTTTCTATTTTTTTTCTATCTTGATACGGAATTTTTAAAAATTATATTTTTTTTCCCCCTCTTAATATGGAATTTTTTAAAAAAATTTTACAAAATTCTTTTGTACTTTTTTTTCTATCTTTATACGGAATTTTCAAAAATTATTTTTATTTCTCTCTTGATATAGAATTTTTAAAAATTGTATTTTTTTCAAACATTTTCACAAAATTCTTTTGTACTTTTTTTTCTAGCTTGATAAGAAATTTTTAAAAATTGCCTTTTTTTCTCTCTTGATATGGAATTTTTAAAAATTATATATTTTTTTGTATCTTATTGTGAAATAAAAAATAATCATTAAATACAACGTACAGAGAATGATAATGAAAGAAAGATGAAGAGTTAACGTAAATTATTTACTTATAATATTGTATGCCTAAATAATCCTCTCTTCAATGAAAATACATAATTAATTTATGGCCGTGGATTATCAAGCAGAGCCTTGTGGGACTATATGTTAATATCGATTTGTTAATTACAAATCGTTACGATGTATTAATATGACCAACACGTAGATTTTCCCCCAATGTATAGAGTTTAACAAGAAACAATATTGGCTTGGATTTGTTCACTTTGAAAATTATGTGACCATCGTCAGTTTTGTTGAATATAAATAAACAAATAACTATTCTAATGAACATAATACATGAATCTAAATCTCAGTCTACATTTTACCTTTAGAATAAATTATTCAAATCATGTTCTATATTGATTTTTAATTAAATTTCTTCGTATTTTTCGATTTTATTTTTGTAATTAAAAAGTTTTAAAAAAAGAACTTCATTAATTGATAAATCACAAAATATCTCGTTGTAGAAGACAGAATAATTTTCCCGCGACAGATTTGTATAAAGCGCACATACGATAAATTTTGCAGCTAAAATCCGCAAACAATGTTGCATAAAACGAATAAACTGCTCGAAATCTATTTGAGATGTGCGAAGAGACTATTTATTGGCTTTATTCGGTATATTATGATCCAGAAATGTTATAATTAAGCGCAAAATTCTCTTTTAGTTGATTTATGCACAACCGTAAAAGAGCTTCTATTATGAATTTTCAGGTTCATTTTCACATATTTTTTATTAATTAACATAGTCTACAATATAATAAAGAGGATGAGGTTTCATCATCATTTTTCTCTGAAAATATTTTAGTTGGTAAAAAAAAAAAAAAAATTTCCACAAAATTATTCTTTCATTTTCAAAATGCGAAGCACTTTGTTCTATAGAGAGATTAAAATATATGAACAAAAATGTTTTGCTAAAAGATAAAAATTGAAGAATGAAATTGTAGCCTTTGGTACTAATATAAAAAAACTAACGGCTTTTCATCAAGTGAAATTGTGAAAAAGAATAAACGGGTGGAAAGAGGATTTTTCTTTTTTCTTTTTTGCAACTTCTTCGACGTCCATAGCACCTCGTTTATGCACATCCGTAGGCTCATTATCATCCAATCAACGTTGCAAAAACCCGTGAGACGATAAAAAAGCGGGCTTTCGTTTAATTTTCCACCTTCCAGGCCAATTCTCTGGTAAGTGGTTTTCAACTTTTCCCTTTTTTTCCACCTCCTTCTTCTATATTTTTCTTATTCTTTAAATTACTCGTTCCTCTGGCTTGATTTTTGTTTAACTTCCTTCCACTCTTGAATGACAAACTTTTTCCTCAAGTTTACATCAGCATTATTTAACATTAGAAAACTCTTATATAGGCTGTGAGCTTCCTCGAAGCTTCTGTCCATCAGTAATCAATTTTAAGTTCTTTTTATTCTGCTTTCTTGGAAAATAACCTAGCATTCTTTTTTCTTTTTATTAAATTTGATTCAAAATCTTAGAGTATGAAATAAGCAATAAATATACAAGTTTTCAAACTTTAAAAAGCAATAAAGTCCTTCTATATAGAGAGAAAAAGAAAAAACGCAGTGATTTTTCATTTTTGTGTGTTTGCATGCGATAAAAAATTGGTGCATTATTAAAGGCTCTAGAAATGAGGACCAAAGTTGATGGAGAACATTGTGAAATTTCTTGTAAACCTCATTTCATAAAAAATTTATTTTAAAAATTAAAATAATTTTATTAATTTTTCTTAAAAAGGATTTTACAAATTATTATAAAATTACAATTTAAAAAATTGTTAAATATTTAGGGGAGAGTAGGCAACAGTGGACCATTTCAGTTTTCAGCGCACACAAAGAAAAGATATATTTGTCTCAGAGCCAAATAAATTTTTACTCGTTTCAAATAAATTTTTGTTTTAAATAAATTTTTATTTTAAATAAATTTTTATTTTAAATAAATTTTTATTTCAAATAAATTTTATTTGGTTCAAATACAAATTTTATTTTCACTAAATTAAATCTGTTATTTGAAACAAATAAAAAGTTCAAATAAATTTTATTTACCTCGAATAAATGCAAATAAAAAATTTCTCTGGGTGTGGAAAATAATTTTAAAAAATTAAAATTTTTAATTTTTAATAATTATAATTTTTAAAAATTAAAATTAGTTTTTTTTTAAATCATCTTTTTGAAAACTCACCCATTATTACCAACTTTTCCCTACCTTAATCAAAATTATCGTTATTTCAATATAAAATTTTTATAAAAAATTTAAATAAAAAAAAAATTAAACAAAAAATATAGAAATATAAATAATATAAAATTTTTTTTTAATAAAAAAAATATACTTTTTATGTTTGAAAAAAAAATGAAACGAGGTTCCAAGGATTCACAGAAAACGTTTGCAATTAACATTTACAGTATACGCACTCATACAGAAAAAAGGGATTTTAACAAAATTTAATTACCCCTTGATTTGCCTTATTTCTGGTCGAATGCACCTTTTGAAAAAAATGAAATAAGAAATAATGTAATAAATCATAATTTTTTTTTACAATCCGAGTTTTTGCATCCACAGTATATGTATATGAAAATTTTCATAATTTTTTTTTCCAATTTCATCAAATTATAAATTAATGATGACAAAATATAAAATTGTATTTCATTAAATTTTTCTCAAAAAAAAAAAAAAATAAATAAATAAAATAAAATAAAAAATAAAGAAAAATTAAAATAAACCATGGATACAAAAAAAGTGTTGATTAATTACAATATATTAAAACATTTATAAAAACTTTTTGATTAAAATAGAAATATTGGTGTTATAAAAGTTTTGTTATTAAAGGACCGAATCGCTACTGATTAAAATTGAAACAGTGGTTAAAGTCAATTTAAGGAATGACTGTCCGGTTATATAGATTAAATATTAAATTGTTTGATTAAATTTTAACCTTTGAACTATATAGTAAAACTGTCTGAAAACTATTTAAGATACGCTGAAAAAAAAAGTTTATTCGATTCAAATAATTTAACTAATTATCAACTAAATATTTAACAAATAATTTTTGAAACCAAATAATTGAATAAAATAAACTATAATTGAACCAATAATTTATATTTGAAATAAATATTATTTAATTAACAATTATTTAACGCAAATAAAAATTGATTTGACAATAGTCAAGTAAATTATTTGAATCAAATAAATTTTGTTTTTTTTTCAGTGTATAAATATAAAAATAGATTTTCAAAAAATAATTGAAAAAAATTTACTCACCAAGCGTCCATTTTTCTGTTTAATCAATTCCAATGGTAATGGCTCGCGAACCAAATGTAAATTAAGTATATCCTCAACGCGTTTTGAATCAGTCAGAATTGCCTTGACTTCTGGTACTTCCCATGCAGCATTACTTGGTGCAAAAAGTGTTATATTTGGTAGACCCTTCATTGAATTCATAAAATTATCTCCATTGTTGATAATTGTATTGTAGAATTTATAAACTGGACCATCTTCTTTTTCCTAAATAAAAGAGACAAATTGTAAGATTATTCATGAAATAAATCTGACGTAAGTCTACAAGGAATTTTATTCAAAAAGAAGGTGTATAAAGATTTAGAGGATCAAGAAAGAGAGGAAGAAAGGCTGGAGACAATAATAATCTTCTTTCTCAATATATTTTTCTATTCAAATTAATTCCAACATGATGGATTTTTTTTAAAATGAATTTAGCTTAAAAAAAATTTAATTATGATTAACAATTTTTTGGGAAACGTTTTTTGAAAGAAAGAAATTTACAAGCTGATTTTAAAAAATTACAATACAAAACTTTGTATCCAGAGAAAAGCTATATTTATCTCAGAGCCGAATAAATATTTGTTTCAAATAAATTTTAAGTTTAATAAAAATTTTATTTGAGCTAAATAAAACTATTTGTGATAAATATATTTTTTTTTCTATTTAAAACAAAAATTAGTTAGGCTCTAAGACAAATATATTTTTATTTGCTTTAAATAAATTTAATTTTTCTCAAATAAATTCAATTTTTCTCAAATAAATTTAATTTTTCTCAAATAAACCCTATTTCCCTGGATGTGTTTTTACATACAATGATTTTTTTTTTAATGAACGTTACAATTAAAACTAATTACCACAACCGAGCGATAAAATAATCTAAAATGAATAAATGAGGAAGGAAATTATTTTTTTTTAAATACAAATAAATATATATAAATTATGCAAAAGTTAAAAGAGAGAAAATCCCTTCATTAGTGTTGTCTTAAACAGAACTTTTTCTGGAATGAAAAAAAAATGGCAGCGATGAAATGAAATCGTTAAAAAATGCTTCCTCTGGTAGCATTCGTGTCACTTTAATTTCTCTCACTCGTTAGCTTCTTTCTTTCTTTCTCTTTCTTTCTCTTTCTTTCTCTTTCTCTCATTAATCTCTTCAGGGTGCTATATAGTAGGAAGCAGGAAAAGTAATATACAGAGTACAGGATAGATTAATCGTCGGACACGTTAGTCGAAAAAAAAAATGAAATTAGAATAATAACAAGATAAACGAAAATAGAGGAGACACTATACTATAAATATGGTTAATTATTTTTATTTCATTTTTTTTAACTCTCCTCTCTTATTTATTAATTAAATATACTTTCCCAAAAATTCTATTTTAAAAATTAATAAAACACATCAAACAATTAATTGAGCTAAAAAGTTAAATTATTTCCACACATTTCAATCGCAAAATAATATTTATCATTCATCAAATTATTATCATTATTCTTTTTTTTTTATCTGATGCAAAATTATTATTTATTATTTATAGACGGGACAAAATTATATATAATTTTTATGAACATTTTTTCTATCCAAATTTTTTTAACAATGAAAAATAAATATACAATAAATAATTACTATAAGAATTTTTATTTATATAACTGAAAAAAAATTTTGATCCAAATAAACGACTATTATCAAATAAATATATTTATTCGCATTAAATAATTATTATTTGAATTAATTAAAATGATTGTTCAAATATATAGAAATATTTGGAGCAAATATTTCATAGTTTAAATAAAAATTATTTGGTTCAAGTAAATATTTATTGTCAACAGATTATTTGAATCGAATTTTTTTTCAGTGTATTAAATTATTCTTTAATGAGAATAAATAATTGCATCAGATATTGATTTAAAAAAAAATAATTTTATTTCTTTCTTAAAAATATATAGTGATCGTGTCGTTTTTTTTTTTTTTTTTTTTTTTTTGTTAATTATTATATTATAATAATAATTGTATATTATTTGAAGGTCATGTATAACGCAATACATTACTAGTTTAAAAATTTTGAAAATAGATTTTCATTTTAAATGTTTTAAATGTATAATAAAATTTTGAGAGTATGTATAAAGTTAACTGTTAACGTTTTGCGTTACTGGAACGTGTATACGTTTGTTTGTTTTTTTTTTCTTTTTTTTTAATAAGTACTTACGATGCCCTACACGACATGCAGAGTCCAATAGAGACATGCAAAGCACCACAGAATAACATTTTGAGTCAATAAGAGTAAACAGTAATAAGGTATAAGTAAATACATTTACAACAATAATTGCACAAAAAAGGTCAATAAGGATCACGAAAAGAAAAAATTCTTAAAACCCAAGTATTTAATATAAGTATACCATTTTTTTTTCTATTTAAAAAAATTTTTTTTTTTATAATTTTTTTTCGGATAATTTTTTTTTAATAATTTTTTTATATTATAAAAATCAGTTTTTTTTTAAAGTTCTAAAAACTAATCTATTATATACTAATAATGTAAAAGTATCACATTATTTCACAAAAAAACTATTATTTTATTCTTACACGTAGTGTAGATTTTTTTTTCCCATTTTTTTTTTCACTTATTTGTCAATAATTTTTTTTAAGGTGAGAGACTCTGGCGAAATTTCAATCCAACAAAATTAATGTTCTTTTTTTTAGGATAATAATTTTAGTAACAATTTTTTTTCTTGATAATATTTAGTATTTAAAATTACAATATAATTAAATAAATAAATAAAAAAAATAAAAAACAAAAAATTTGTTAATAATTTTTAAAATGAAACTCGAAAAATTAGAATTTGAACTTCTTTCATAATTTCTATTATTTTTTCATTGCTAATTTTTTCCTATAATTTTTGAAAAATAGAAAAAAAAATTGATGAGCCAAAAGTTTTGAACGTTCAAATAAACAAGATTTTTTTTGTAACTTCTTTAAATACGAATTTTATTACAAAATATTGTTTTAAATATACCAAAAAAGAAATTATTAATTTAATATTAGTGTAATTTACTGTTTTATTTTACATTGACATTATAATTTTTAATAATTTATAGATTGAAAAAATATTTTGTTCATTTGAACGTTCAAAACTTTTGGCTCATAAAAATTGTCAAGTAGTGAAAAATTAATTTTTTTCATAATTTTTCGTACTGGAATATGATTTTTCGGTTCTGAAAAAATGTTAAATGAAAAAAAAAGAAAAATTTTACCTCTTAACAAGGTCAATTTTTATTGGTGATAGTAATAGTAATAATAGTGTAGTAGTAGTAGTAGTAATAGTGATTTTTCTTTAATTTCAATTTTTTCCACATTTTTATTTTTTGTCATTGACAAATTTTGTTATACCCTTTTTTTGTGTAATTTAAACTTCTTTTATAATTTCTATTAATTTTCACTTCTGATTTTTTAAAAAGTTTTTTTTTGTGATTCTTAACAATCAGTTGCATCGATTTTGAAAAATTTAGATTTTTCCCAAAAATAAAGTTTCTAAAGTGGTAAAAATAATTTGTTTTCATTTTAACAATATATAATAATTTTAGATCATAAATAAAATACCAGAAAAAAAATTTACACCTCTAAACATTATTAATGTTGATAGTTTGAAATTTCATTAGTTCCCTTAAATTCAATTTCATTATTTAAAATAAATTTCTTTCATTTGTCATGCCTTGAGGACAAGTTTTTGTTTTTAATTTAATTTTAATTTTTTTATTTAATTTTCTTATATTAATTTAATTCATTTTTTTTATCATATTTTTGAATTAGTAAATCTAAAATTTTTTCTATCGTCAAGACATGACAATTTTTTTTTTTTTTTTTTATGACAAAAATAATATTTAAAGTGAAGAATGGTAACATTGTGACCATGATGGAATATATGCACGGATGACTGAAGATGCGCCTCAGTTGTGAATTCGTAACTTTATCAACACAAATTTCTATCACCAATTTTTTTTTCTTTTTTTTTTTTTACCAAAGTAAAATTCAATTTTTTCGCAACGTGTTGAAAGTTTCATGCATTAAAAATCGCTTTTATTATTTCAAAAATATATATAGAATATTGAAAAAAAAAATTGAAAAAAAAAATTTTTTTTTTTTGCATATATGCAAATAAATTACATGAAAAATTAAAAATATTCACTTATTAAATTTGACAATTTGCATGGAAAAATATTGAAGAAATTTTATAATAAATGAAACATTACGAATGAATGAAATGAATATGAATATTATTATTATTATTATTATGAAATTCCCCTTTTTGTTTTTTGGGGTGAATTGCAAATTGGTGCCTCGTCATCATGTTCACATGCGACATTCACAAGTGTTTAAAACTAAAATAGACGTGCAAAAAACACTTTCTTTTTATTTTTCAAAAAAAAAAAAAAATATTTTAATATTTTTGTTTTGCTTTTTTTTCGAATTTATACATAATTTGAATTTTATCTACACACATGTACATGACTGAAATCTGCATAGCTTTTGCAAATTCGAGTACAGTTTTGTTATTGTCAGAAATTTACGATATGTTTTGAGACCTAAGCCATATATACATGTATAGTGGGTTATATAATGAGAGCAGATGCCCTTAAAGTATATTTTAATGTGCTCGTAAAAGTCTTCGTAGGAATTTCACAGTACTTAAACAATGTTATAAATGTTTCATATAAAATAGATTTTTTTTTTCCATTTAAATTTTTTCAAATGGACATTTTTTTTATATTTTCTAATTTTTTTTTTTTTCTTTAAAAATAACAATTTATTTTCTCAACTAAAAAATGAAGAAATGAATTTTGTTAATATTTACATTTTAAATGACTAATTATGTAAAAACAGTTCACTGAACTTAATTAAAAATCACATATAATCCAGACTTTTAATTAATTTTAATATTTAGCAAATTATATAAAGTACCAGCACACACGTGTTTTAATATAAATTATAACAAATTCATAAAGCATGAAATTATATAAAAACAGAAATTATTTTCATGGAAAAAGAAAGAGAGAGATACGAATAATAATTAATTTATTCAAATTGAATATCTATCTCTCATATAAATATCAAAGGGTTTTTAGAAAATTTTGAGATGCGTATATATAGAAATTGAGAGGAAAAAAAAGGAATAAGGTTATATTCTCGCGCACCACCTTGTGAAATATTGTGTCCCTAGTGACCAAGGAAATTTACG